GTCAAGAACACCTTAAGCGTCACATGAAGAGTCACTCCAAGGAAAAGCCTCATGTGTGCTGGGTTCCCGGCTGCCACCGTGCCTTCTCCCGCAGCGACAATCTCAATGCCCACTATACGAAAACCCACAGCAAGCGTGGTGGACGGAACCGCTACGTTGCCACCCTGGATGACACCAGCGCAGACTTCAACCCCGAATTCCGTGGCCAACTCACACCTGACGGCCGGCCTATCTACGGGTCCAAATTGGAGGATCCGATCATGGATTGTGGTGACATCAGCGTGGACGGCTGGGACGACTAAGTGGCTCCTCCGATCCTGAAGAAACCTATAATACCAAAAAAAAAAAACGACAGCACAAAACCTTCGACAAAAGATACGGGCTCTCACCGAAGCCAAGCACCCAGGCCCGAATATTGATACCCTTTGGATCGGCAATGGACTGGCATAGACATATACCGGCTAGCCTGGCCGCGGCGTTGTACATGTCTCCCGGGCAAGGCTCGGGGACTGTGATTATTTTTCTTTATGCATAATTTGTACGGGGGCTTGGAGTGGCTCTTTGCGAGGCGTTTGCATATTATTCTGTTTGGGTCGCCGGTGCGCGGTAATCATGGGAGGACTTCGCGATCCTGTACAATGTGTTTTTCCTTTTTTTTTTTTTTATTTCTTTTGTTCTACGTGTATCACCAACAAAAACAGTACCTGGTATAATACAAACAAACTTGAGATGTCATTATTGTTTCCACTCCACTTGCCGCTCTTAGCTCGTCTCCACTTCACCAACACTCCACTCTCCGGAGCCCTTTCTGTCTCTGAACCAAACTCCCAGTTCCAACAAACAAGTGTGCACAACGTTCTGTGAAGGAACCAGGTCATCAACTACGTTGGCAGTCGGACACTGAAACCATTGAATTTTGTCCAGCCCTGTTCCACGGTTCCTGAATCCTCGAACGCCTTCCATGTTACACATCACAATCGTCCCACCAAACCCGATACGTTGAGATTTTTTCTTTTAGTTCCTGGATCTCTCCAACCGATCTATCTGTTTCCCACTGTGGAGTCGGTGATTAGACCGCTCAAAGTGCGATTCGAGTCCTGCCCCTACTACCTCTTGTCCCTCCACATTCCAGTCCAACGGGCTGGCTTCCTATTCGTGCACCACCCAGTCTCAGCCCCGCTCGTGCCATCATCAATATTATTGAAGGGCTTCTCTCATGCCTCGTTGCTCACTTGTCGTGCCCGCTTGAGTACGCACAGCACACTGCTGCGAATGATACCAACCTGATCCCGTAGACTCTCCACCTCACCTCACTGTTCGACGGAACTGATACACCGACCAGGGTTGAATCGACTCCGGTTGCTGTAGATGTATGACGAATGATCATCTCTGTGGCTAAACATGCGGAGCCACACCACCCGCGTAAGCAACTCTCTCCTCTCCAGATGGGGGATCGTGCATTCGCCAAGAATTCGGGAACGCCGCTCGGACGGCACTTTCCAAGAGCCGCGCATACTAGCCCACTGGCTGCTGGCCTCCATATCGGGCTTCTTGCATGCATTCCCAGGCCCCCAGGCGTGAGGCTTGGCTTGGACCCTCGACGCCCATAGGAAAAAGTTTCCTGATCAACAGACGCTCCCTAGTGGCCTAGCATAGCTGTCCTGAGTTGATCTTTTCTTTATTTTCTATTTCTTTTTAAAACAAGGAAAATCCCTCCTCCCCGGTTTGTTTCGAATCTACGTTTAGGGTTCTTTTTTTTTTTTTTTTTCTTCTATGATCCTCTATGCATGTGAGCCGCTGTAACTTGGAATCTTGGATTTGGGAGTTTGTCTCCATTTCTGGCAACGCCACGCCATACCGTGAACTATCTGTGTGGTTCGGTATGGGCAAAGGGTCATTGGTTAGGCTTCCGCTCCAGGCTCCAGCTCCAGACCTCAGGCTTCAAGTGTTGTATTCCAAATCAATGATCTACATCGGAACGTCGAGTTGAAACAACGTTGATCTACGGAATTTTCATTCTAAGTTACACTGCACCAGGAGACTTTGTCTTCTCAACGATGCTCCCGAGTGTATGTATCTTAGTACTTTGTCGAACTATTAGCTTTCCACTCGGATTCCTCTCGGAACACAGACCCGGCGGCACTATTGGTATTTTCTTTTTCTGCTGGCGCCGGTCGAGACCCCATTTGTCATTAACCGCTACGGACCGCAGATGTCGGATGTTCGGTTGGGAATCATCTAGTACCTCATTCTGCATGGAATGATTTGCTAAGTATATCATTCCTGCAAAGGTACCATCTCGTGTCTACGCAATATTTCGCAATACTTCGGTCAAGTCTAGACTGGAAGCCGATGCACTTCCAAGTACACTCTCAACATTCCTGCGATAACAGACCCCGGGGTTGTGTACTGCCGCGTGCTGCGTTGGAATGTCTGTGCGCCTACGGAGGCTTGCCAACGTGTCATTGTCGGTATACTTCATCAGGATCGATTTGAGATTCTCGCGTTATCTCAATTTGGTATTTTTATTTTCTTTTCCTGGAATTTGGCATGAATATATCCCGGAAATTTTGTTGAGCTCGCAGCCACTACATGACGAATCCTCTCGCATTGGCTTTATCTGTGCGTTGGGCAACATGCATTGGAATGTGATATTCAAGTTTTCAGACTAGACGACCATATTCGATTCCCAGGGCATGGTCCATGGTGTATGTACTCTGCATAGAAAGGATTGTTTGGGGAAATGCCATGAGGATGTCGGTCAATGTCTTTTTTCGTTTTTTATTTATTATTAATATTTCTTTTCCTGACGTTGAAGCTTGAATTTCCCCCCTTGGATGCATAATTCGAAGCTTCGCGTGGATGCTGTATGCTACATGTCACCCCTCGCTTAAAGTATAGACTTTGCATTGTATGGAGTACAGTAGCATTGGTCTGCAGCAACCGATAGAATGTCCTGAATCGCAGGATTTGCATGGAAATCCCGTTCACTGAAACGTGTATCTGGGAGTCTCAATTGGGGAAAACTCGAGTCGTATGCAGTCAGTTTAGTCGGTGAGTCCCGATGCCATTCCAGCGGTGAAAAGGCGTAATCATGAGCCCCCACATCTGGCAAAACATTCAACTCATGCAAGTGTCTTAATTGATCCTTCTGCATATCCCAAATCATTGTGGGAAACCCTGGTTTATCTTGGGCAGCCTACCAGTCATAGGATATCGTAGTTGTAGTCCTACGGAAATGGGGTTCCATGGATTCAGATGTCCGCCTCCTCATACCGTTACTCCCGCTCTGTAGTGCGCATCATTGGTAACTAACTCGGCCTCTTTGTGTCCAACTACAGCGTCACCGAAATCTGTCTTGATCTACACGGGTTTCATATCCCCACTTTTGAGATCCTCAATAACATGTCCGCTGGACTCCCCGTTGAGCTCTTATGTATGATACTTGACCATGGACACCAATTTACAGATTCTACAGTATGATCAGCCTTCTCTTTTCTTCAAGGTTCGAATAGTCTTATACCACCTAGAACTTGGTGGCCAGACCAAAGCCGAAAAATCTCTGCAGAACCACTGTCTCGGGACAATGGGATTTGTATTTCAGGGTGCTGTCACCGACCCTTTGCCCTGTTTTATCATGGAAATGTTTTCAGACCCCTATCAATAGAAGACCGACTCCCCATGATCAACTGCCTGCAACAAGAACTACCTTATCACTTTATTTGCTACATTTGCAATCCTTTTTGTAGGTATGATGGCTCAGAAGACTGCCCTCCAGGGCTCTTCGCTGTGTCTCAAAATGGAACGTATATGCCCTTTCAGCATTGATAGTTCGATCTTCAGATGTGCGCCAAAGCATTGCGTACGAATTTTGCTTTTTTTTCGCCTTCAGCTTGCCATGAGGAAGTTATCCTATGGTCTGCAATCTGGCATTAGCACGGAGACCATATCTTTCACTCAGGTTCAACGCTACTCTATACCTGGAAGGACCTCGCTTTTTTCAAATGACGCGCATATCTGTAGAGAGCCCCAAGCTTATGCTTGCGCATACGGGAGCTGATCTATGTCATGGGTCATCAGCCATGTCGAATTGACTCTTTTGCAGGTAGGACTCCATTCACCATATGGTTTCCAATGTGAGCATGTCTCAGCTCGATATTTTGCCTACATGCTCTGTAAGGTTCTGATTGTTCATTTCACAGACAGCAACCTTCTCTTACTCTTCGATGTGACCAGTGCACCACGGACTCCCTCGTAGGAATTTGTGAATACAAGAGCGATCTGTCGCGGGGTGCTAACAGTGGGTTAAGCTAGGTGCTGGCCTAACCCCGATGATCCGCAATGGAAGATCCATACCACAGCAGAATTGCGGCCTCACGTCGGATATGGAGTCGAGGACTTTCCTTCGGACTCAAGATTCTCGTTGCGAGGTGGAAGCAAAACACCCAATAGACACACTAACATGGCAAAGTTGCTCAACCATGGACTTTTACAAGTGCACGTAGATGAACTTAAAGGATAGCGTGATTTTGATCAAATTCCACTATTTCCATTCCCACCCAGAACCCAGCCCCATAGATATAAACTCCTATACAAAATGGTATCGAATCTGGATCGTCCGCTCCCGCCGAAAAATAGATAAATAAATCCGTATCCATAGTACACTGACAAGGCAGAATATGAGAAAACAAAAAAAAAAAAAAAAATAGAAATCGTTGAAGACGAAAAGATCGGTGAGAAGTCCATGGCAGAAATATTGCAAACGCCGACCTCTTGATATCCGCGGTGCCTGGACCTGTACATTCTCCTGAGAAGAAAAGAATAAAAGAAAATGAAAATGAGATCCCGGAAACGCAACGTAATGCAGAAATTGGGGGCATCGAGATTAATGCGCGATAATTTTGAGGGGACAATCTGCCCTAGATTTCATAGATATTTCAACTCGGCCAGGAGAGAACTTGACATTTGCCCTGATCTCAAAATCGGCCGTTGCACTGGGATCAATTGCCCATCCCATTGTGCATCATGTTTTGCTGCTGCATTTGTTGAGCCTGCATAGCCGCAGCCTGCTGTGTGGCGCGTTGCTGCTGAGCAGCTTCACGCTCTCGCCGCATGAGGTCCTGGACCCATGCCTTGGCATTCTTTTCCAACCCAGCACCATACTGCTGCGCGATCTGAGGCGGATACTGCGTCGGAGGTCCGTATTGTTGCATGTATCGCTGGGACATTTCATTGCGCAAGTGAAAAAGCCGCTGCTGACAAAGGCGACTGTATCGTGCCGCCATATTGCTCTGCATGTTTGGCATCTGTCCACCATTGGCTTGGGCGGCAGCTAGCATCAACTGTTGCTGCTGCTGCTGCTGCTGTTGCTGGGATGTCATACCCTGTGCCATTCCTTGTTGTGGGCTGCCATGGCCCTGTTGGCCTTGGGGTATTCCACCCTGCTGCTTGACCATTTGCATTTGCTGGAATTGAGCCCGCATGAGCTGTGCTTGGTACGCTTGGTGATTCTGCTGCGAAATGCCCTGCATGTTCTGATGGTTTTGCTGCTGCTGCTGTTGCTGCTGTTGCTGTTGTTGCTGTTGCTGCTGCTGCTGCTGCTGCTGCTGCTGCTGTTGTTGTTGTTGCTGCTGCTGCTGTTGCTTCTGGGCTTGCAACATTTGCTGCTGCTGTTGGTGCGACTGGATATTCTGCTGTGCATGAGCACTGGCCTGCATTTGAGCAATCTGTTGCGGTGTGAATTGATTTGATCCCATGTGCCCCTGCGCTTGTTGCTGAGCAAGAAGCTGCTGCTGTCGTTGCTGGATCATCATTTGTTGTTGTGGAGTCAGACCTTGAGGATTGAGGCCCATTCCATTCATTTGTGGAGTGCCAGAAATATTCTGGCCCATTATCGGAGTCTGTGCTATTGTTGAGTGGTTTGGACTGCCATGACCCATCCGCTGGGTTGGGGTAACGTTGCGCATGATTGGGGTGGCCTGTGACATCGATGGCGTTCCCTGTGTCATCTGGGGAGTTCCATGTCGACTTTGTCCCTGCTGACTTCTGGATGGCACCATTGGATGGCCCATCATGTTCGGGTGCGTGTGCTGCAGGGAAGACGGGGGCCGCGGTGGACTTCCAGACTGTTGAGATGCACTGATGGTCATCGGAACGGCCTGTGTTGTCATAATGTTACCAACTAATGGTGATGAAGTACTGTGTGGAGTTTGATTGCGTACGACGGGAGAGGACTGCTGCCCTTGAGTGACACCATTGGCCTGGGCCAAGGCATGCCGGTTCTGCTGAGCGGCAATCTGTGCTTGTGCCTGCTGTGCTGCAATTTGCTGTCTGCGTGCTTCATCTTTCGCGTGCTCCTCAGCCTGCCGCTGCTCCATGGCTCGGCGTCGATCCCTCTCCTGCTCTTGCTGTTGCCTCTTGGCTAGATCCGACTTCATCTTCAGCTCATATTCATGCTTGGATTTCTCCTCGAGCTGCATGCGGATGGTCTCCAGAGTCTTGAAGCGAGAGAAGCGGGGTTCAAATGCTGACACGCCAACTGTGTCATCAACCGCCACGGCCTTTGAGCCACCTGCAGCCCCAGATGCTGTGGGCTCGAGGCGCTCGTCCATGATGAGCATGAATCTCTCCTCTTCGGCTGCCAGAGCCTCATCTGCGGCAAGTTCGGCAACGGTCCTCTTGCGACGCTTAGGTGACGGTGGAGGGTCGCTGTGAAGCGGGCTTTCCATAAATTTAAGCAACTTTTGGGCTCCCTCAAAGTTCTTAACTGGCTCCAGATAAAGTGGAGGTGCCAATGCCTTCACAATAAGTGCCTCGCATTCGGGAAGATCTTGGGGCTCAATGAGGGTTTTTTGTCTCTTCGCTGGGTGACCACGATCGGTCTGAGGGCCTGCAGTTGCTGGTGATTGGGGCACGACTGATGAGGACTGAGTACGTGACAATTGGCCAGCATTGGATACTTTCAAAGCCTTGGGATCCGGTGTTGTTACAAGCAGAGTCAATTCCGCCTGCAATGCACGAGCAGTAGGGTGGAGGACGGTAGTGAATACTCGAGGTTTGGATGCAGCTGTCTTGTTTCCTGAGTCGTTTCCCTGTCCTTCGGCGTTGGCATTTTCGCCGCTGAGCTCTTTGTCTGGCTGGCCTTTGTCAGCGACTGGGGTTTCGGTCGTTTTTGAATTTTGCATATCGGTGAGCTGGTTCTGTTTCGGATACGGAACATAAGCCGAGGGTGTGATATGCTCGTTGTAGTTATGTAAGGAGAATGGGGTGTTATTCTCGGTGGTTGTAGTCGTAGAAGTCTTTCTAGTTTGCGCCGACACAGACTTGTGGTCAATCACTCGAACAATGAGGCAACCTAAAGAACATAATCAATAAGGGCTCTTCAAGCCATTTATTAGCGGAGACTTGCCTTCATAGAACCGCACATTGGCACGGAGAAGCTCTTCAATCAAATCGTGTGGGATGGTCCCGGCGCGAATATGCTCAATAATGATCTTCATCTCAGAATTGTAAGGGAAACTTCCATCTTGCTGTTCAAATCGGAAATGTGTAGGGTGGAGATGCACGATAAGGGATGGGGGACATTTGCGGTATTTTTTGAGAATGTACGGCGTTGTTTTCACTGAAGGGCAATCGAGGTGATGGTCAGTATTCATAAACCCTGTAAAGCCATTGGATGATGAAACTTAGGCCGGGCCTTACCATATGGCTCGGGGAACCTTTTAGAAGCCCGGTTCTCATTCACGCTTGCAGCTGTCCTTGTTACCGGCCGACCCATGCGCGACTGTTCCCCAGGTTTTTGCGACGGAAGGGCTCGACCCCGGTTCAGGGGGCCCTTTGAAGAATTTGGCATATTGGCTGGTCTATTGATGAGATTGGGACTTGAGCCCATAGGTGTATTACCGGGAAGGCGTTTGTTGGTGGTGGGTGGAGAAGACGAAGGTGGTTGAGGCTTGACCCCATTAACCCCAGGTTGAGAGAAAGGCGGGGGCGGTCGCTTCATTTTCGGGGTATGGGAGGCTGGTTTGGAGATGGCAGTGGCCATAATGGTGGCTCTATTGAGCGCGACCACAGTGAATGAAGCGGAAAAAGTGAATTATCGGGAAACCCAATCGACGTTGGGGAATGAAGCCGGTGATTGAGAAAGAATGGGATTACCGATGCGCGCGAGACATGTGGGGATCGGTCGGTCGGCTCTGGTTACCAACACGGCGAAGTTGGAATAAGAATATTACCGACAGTCCCTGAGGGCTAGACTTAGAGAGCGGAGGCGGCCATCGAATGATGTCGCTGGGAGGGGAAAGTGTCCGAGGAGGCTCTGAGGGCGGAAGTAGTGCAGAGGAGGTGATGATGCCAAGCCGCGGGCGAGACGTGACGATATCATGTGACGTGCGCTTTAGGACTAGTGCGGCTTTTGTTTTGGCTTAGTAGCACAGGAACTCGGTGCCTTAGACAGCACCATTTGCTGCTACTGACTTGCTTGGATTGAATTCTACATGTCTGTTTCCCCAGTGAGAGCAAAGTAATTGCATTATGATAATGACCAACGTAGTTTATTGACACCGTCTCAGTCGTCCTGATCAGGGCAGATCAATGTTTCTGCCAGTATGAATTATAACAAAGCTCGCAAGGAAGTAAAAAATGGACCAGGGGAATCGAAAGCACAATCATCAGGGGGTAGTGAGTCAAAGCGAATATAGACAAAGGAACGAATATCAACATCAACATCATGGGACGGCGACAGGGCATTAGGCCTCGCTTAGTCCAGGCCACGCACTCGGCGTCGCCAGTCATCACCAACGCGAAGAACATCGACCACGTCAATTCGCTTACCAATGCCAGTGGTGCCTTCTTTTTGCCACCATTTCTCTCCTTTGTCAGCAAGGGCAGACTCGTCATCGCTATCGATTAAACCACCACGGCCGCCCTCGTCACCAACCACAACAATGACTTGTCGGACCCAGCCAGAGATGTGCTGAGCCGCATCGCCCTTCTCTCCGGTCAATGATTCCTGTACATAGACAAGATCTGGGGACAGGTGACGGACGAGATGAACATAGCCAGTAGATGTACTGAAGGGCATGATCATGGTTTCCTTTTCGACGAGTGCCTGGGCCTGAGTGTACAGGGTTCTGAAGAAGGATGTCTGGCCCTCGAGGTCATCCTCCTGGTGAGGATCTACTCGGGCCAAGTCACCACCGACCAGTTCACCAGAGGATGCAGCTTCCTCCGTGGCAATATTAGAGTAAGATGAGGCAATTGATTGTGCTGCGCGTGACGAGTTGCCCTGGCCAATGGCATGCTTCAAGCTCGGGGCATAGATCAGAACAAAGATTCGACAGGTGTCATGGTCCACGTGTTCAGGGAGATGAGACAGAATTGACTGGGTGCGCATGGGTTAGTAAATTAAACATTCGATCATGTCCAGGGTGAGTCTCTTACGGCGTGCTCCGAGGCAAAGTCATCAGAGTCAGAGGGAGTGAGAGAAGATACAACAATCACAACCGTCTTCTTCTTTTTGTCGAATGAATGTTGACCAGGCGCTCTGCCAGGTAGCGCGCCACTCATTGTGGGCACCGAGGTATTTGGGTCGTCTCTCTCTTTAGCTCGGGACTGGGCCTCTTCGGACCATCGCGTGTGGTCTTCAAAGTCACCACGGTTTTCTTCACGTATAGATGTGAGTGCACCGCCAACAAACTGACCTGCGGCAGTTACGCCTGCGACAACTTTGCGACTTGCGCCATCGAAGATCTGCTGGGGGCTGGGAGTTCGGCGCAATGCGCCCTGCATGCGAGCCATCAAGCTGGGGTCGTATTGAGCATCACCAGGTGCGGCATCTGTTCCTATGTCTCTTGCATAGCTTCCTGTGCCGTATGCAGGTGGAGGGAAATCACCCCCAATAGCACCAGGGGGTGGTGGGGCGTGGTGGCCTTCTGCGTCGTCAGGGTGATCATCGTCATCCTCATGTCGTTCACTCCAGACCCAGGCAGCAATGCTCACGGCGGCAACTCCAACAGTCAAAGCCAAGGGAATGTAGTAGCCCAGAGCGGTTCGTCGGCCTGTTGAGCTGAAACCGGCGCCAGCTCCGCCGCGACGGCCTCGGCCATCCTGAGGGAAAGACATTGCGATCGCGGGAGTCGTTGTTTAGAGAAGGCGCATTTAGAGAGACAATCGGTGTCGCGAGGCCCACAATTCACATTTCACTCATGCAGGAGAGATGGGGAGGCTGGTGAAGAAGATAGGAGGAAAAGGAAGAGAGATGGGGGAGGGACCTCGACCCTCGGGGCACGGAAACATGTGGCTGGTGAATCTAGTAACCGCGGTGTTTATGCTCTGTTTGCACTGTTTGACCCGATTAAATCTGGAGGCGGGTCGAGGCTGACTCATCAATTGCTATCGGCACGTGATCATGTTTGATTCGGAAAAAAGCAGTCAAAGCGGGCGAGTCATACAATCGCAACACAGCCCTATAGCTTTGGCAGCACAGTGCATAGACGTGGCCAATCTGAGGAGCTTGGAGCAAAATACACTGACCCTTTCTTGAGCTGGCTCATCCTTGTTGAGCAACTTTCCTCCTCATCAGCTCAACAACCCCTCCGACTTCATTTGCCTGCCCCGCGGGGGTTATATGGACTTACTTAAGATGCCACACTCTATCCCTGTGCCCCCAAGTGGGTTTCAGGCTCTCATTTTATGTGGCCCTGGTGCTTCGCTGAACACATTTACTACCAATCCTGAGGAGTATCCAAAATGTCTTATCCCGGTAGGGAACAGAGTTATGCTCTACTTCCCCATGACCTACGCGCTGCGGGCAGGAATCACAGGTATGTCATGATACTTAGATTATCTTTTTACAATGTTTTTGGAGCTCTGTTTTAATTGGCTCTAGATATCACATTGATCACACCTCCCTCCTCTCTCGCTCCAATCCAAGCCGCTTTGCAACAAAACCCGCACCTCACAGCCCTCCCGTCTCCCCGCGTGATCGCCCCAAAAGGGCTTGATATGACAATGGGCACAGCTGAGCTTCTCCGCCTACCCGAAGTCCAGGCCTGTATCAAAACTGATTTTGTTCTTCTGCCCTGCGATCTGGTTTGCGACATCCCTGGTGAATCGCTGATTGAGGCATGGATGGTGTCTCAGGGTGCTCTCGGTGGCAGCACATTGACAGAGGGTAAGAACGCCCACGGCCCAGTCTCATCTGGTCCGGGTGGAGAGAGGGGAGGCCGACGAGGTGGTCTCAGTGTTTTCTATCAGACACAGGGCCGAGAGGAGAGTGTCAAGGGTGAATCTACAGATTTTGTGGCCGTTGCCCCTTTGGATCAGGATAAAAATGAACGACCCGCTCTATCGCACTTGGTGGATGGGCCGGAAGCTGTGCGGTCTAATTTGTCAAAATTAGTGCTCGCGATGCCGATGGACACCCTCAAGGAGAAAATGGAGCAGGACAAAGGCTTCCTCATTCGCCATTCCCTTGTTGAGCAGCATCCGCAGGTGAAGATGCTCACCACCTACCGTGATGCTCATCTCTACATTTTTCCGTACTGGGTGAAGGATTTCGCTCGCCAAGAAAAGCTGGAATCAATCAGCGAGGATCTCTTGGGTTATTGGGCTAAGGCTGGGTGGCAGAAAGGACTTGCGGATAAGCTTGGAATGAAGGAGATCTTCCAGCAAGAGACCCATACCGAGGATGAAAGTGGAAGCCAAGATGGCGAATCTTTGGAGGACGAAATTGATCTTCAAAGCATGAGTACCACCAAGATCGGCTCAAACTTCGATGACTCCCAAGCTCCTATGTTTGCATCCCGTGTTAAGGTCTCCCCTGAGTCTTCAAAGCCCACTGAAGTGCCGCCCATCCTTGCTTATGTGCAACGAGGATCAGCTCCCTTTGTCCGTCGGGTTGACAGCACTTCTATCCTCTTGTCTACATCCCTTCGTCTAGCTAAGCTGGAATCCATCGAGGAGGCCGGTCGTCAGGCATCGCATTTTGCCCACAACCAGAAGATTGCGCACCCGGACGGTGTGGCTCAACGATCTACTGTTACGAAGAGCGACTGTCTACTTGCAGAAAATGTCACAGTGGAGGAGAAGTGTGTCATCAAGGAGTCAGTGATTGGAGCCAATTGTCACATCTCGACAGGTGCCCGATTGACCCGCTGTCTTCTCATGGATGGCGCGGTGGTTGGCCCTCGTGCTGTTCTCACCGGCTGTGTAATTGGAAAGCGAGCGAAGATTGGCCGCGAAGCGCAACTCAAGGATTGTGAGGTCCAGGATGGCAATGTTGTTGAGGACGAGGCCGATGCGAAGAACGAGAAGTTCATGGTATTCGAAGGTATAGATGAGGACGGGGATATGGAGGACTTCGACGACGGAGATGAGTTCTGATATTCTGCATAATCTGACCAACGCCATTCTGTTCCTTATACCGCCATGTCTTGACGAGATAGAAATTATGTCCCTAAAAGTACCAATGACCAAACGAAGTACCTAGCATCAAGTTGAGGCCAATCCCCCGTACCGCTCTGGAGGCAACTACGGAGAACGCGGTAATCCGTCAAGCATCAAAAAATGACCTCAGCCCTGCAGCCCCATAGTCACAATTGAAATTCCCTCCTAAGCAGGATGCAGCCGATGAGCGCACAAATCACCCCCAGATCCTGCAGTCTACAAGATTCCCAACTAGCCCAGATTCAGTCCTCGTCGAACGTGCGCGTGTTGTGTACGTAGAAGCGTATCTAGTGTTACCTGTCTGCAATGTAATCGAGCTGTCGTGAGACTTGACATTCGATGTACCATGTGACTGCCGGATTTGGGGGAAGTACGGATCTTTATCGAGGGACTTGAAACTGTGATTGGGCTAGGTACGTGCTGGTTTCCGGTAGCTCGGATCAAATTCTTGTATGGGGAGGTTAAACAAGTGAATCAGACTCTCGTAGTACGTAGTTCTGCTTTTCTGGTTATTGCTTGGGTGTGTTCCGGTGACTGATCTAGATTGATGGCTAACCCTGGTCGGGGAGGTTGAAATGTATTTTGTCAGCTGATTTCACTGGACACGTCGAGTTTTGACCTGAGGATTTTGGCTATCTGGTTCCTGTTGTGCCACTTGTGTTGGCATCATACATTTTGTTCCAAGGTTGCGATGTCCATGTTCCTAGTCTGATCCAAGTCAATGATGTATCGTGCGTCTTTGTTTCATATTTGCCGGATCCTGAAGATCTATACATTCAAGCCGCAGAACTCTTGTCTATTTGACAAGGTGGGACAGGAGTGGGAATTCCTTCGGATCAACTCGAGACTGGTATGTAGCTCACTCTACCTACACGGAGGACACGGAAAGAACCACATGGGTACTTATTGGTGTCATACTGTGTGCCATCTTTAGTTCACGGAGGAATTGCTGCCTGTCTTTACGGTACCTCAAGGTGGAGTACGTCGCGTGTGAGGGCTGAATAGGTGGGTCAAAGAATATCGGTCGTATGATATCAAACTTGTAGCCGGCCGAATGAGCCTGAGTTGAAATGAGCTGGTTATCGATTTACGAGAAATCAAGGAATTGAAAAAGGCAAAGGAAATTTAGAATGGACAATGGCTTTTTGCTGATCTAGTTTCCCCTTTGTAGGAGATCTATGCAATGAAACACGCTGTAGATCAGGGGCATCCTTTCCAGGGGTATGTTTTCTCTTGTGAAGGCTCCCATTGGACCAAGCGGAGATCAACAAGGATCCGAACATCCTTCATCAAGAGCTTCAAACCGTTCATGTGCCGGGATATCCACAGTGAAAATTTGAGGATTCAGATTCAAGATGTTGGAAACAAATGGCCCTTGCCGATCAAATCAGAGGGTTCGATGGAAATTAATCAGGGTGGAGTTGCGACACGGACATAGTGCAAGGTCCTAGGTCCCGCGACCGGAGCTTGAGGCGCACAACGGCGCCATGATCATCCTTGACCTCCACATTTGTGCTCCCCCGGATGTAAGTCGGCTAGGCTCACGTTCTGTCAAGAAATTTGGAGGTACTTTTGTTTCATTGATAAACTAGGAAATGAGGATCTTTTGAACGTTATCAATTCCGCGGTTGCGACGGAGGTTAAACAAAGCGATCGTGAGAGCCATTTGCCTTGCAATTCTTGCTAGCCACAAGAGGACGGAGGCAATGACATTAGTTCGTTATGGCTGGCTGGATAATGCTAGGTCACTTACGGAGCGGAAAGCTGATTCAACCCAGCTGACAGGCTGAATCAATTGGAACGCCATCGCCTTCACTTACCTCATTGGAAGACCAATCATTGGTCGGGTTGGCGTGCAAGACGTGAGCCACTAGCTGCAGGACCACCGTAGCTCGTTCTCGCGAAGGCGCCATTGATTTCATGATTCACGCAGTAGGCGCCCCCTCTCGAATTCCCCTGGACAGATACTGAAGTACACGGTCCCGGGCTATTAGAGCGGTGCCAGTTCAGATGGAGTAGGAGCTAATGCAGCTAAATTAGAGCAGCGGAGGGGGAATGTTTAAGGATGAGCCAGTCAGGATGAAGGATTGATGAGCCCCGTGGGCCTGCGTTCTTTTGCGCGGCAGGGAAGCCGGATTTCCTGTGCGGTTCAGGGTTGGTGCATGGGATTTTGGGGCAATGTCGATCACGCGGGAAGAAAAGTGCTTTGGAATGCGGATCAACGTGGTTTGTGTGTGGAGACGACAAAATACAAAGAGGGGGTGATTGAGATAAGGATAGCAAGTTCCAAGGTTTGGGTACATCCGTGATCTCGCTTCGAAGCTTCCTGAGATAAGGGTTACATTGATGCCCCCTGTATGTGATCCTTAATTCGGTATCTTCTACTATATCTATATGAGTCTTGCATGAGACCTGCATCCGAACGCCCTACTTGAGACAACGTCATGGTGCGCTAGTTCTCTCACGCGTATAGATAACAGCTACAGTAGAAAACAAACACGTCCCCAAGTTCCTACGAACCGCCACGTTATGACCCCCTCGCACAATGGACAAGTGACTTCAGCCTCATCCGCAATGCATTGTCACCAGATCGAAGAGAGATGATCAGTCCTGAAACTGCTTTCCTCCCGTCCTATTTCTCATTCCCAGTTTTACCGGGTGCGTGGGGGAAAGTTGCAGGCTGTGACAACCCACCGGGAGGATCCATGGAACCAGCTCGCAGGAAAACCCCCGAGTTTGCGGGTATCCACTGAGCTGTCTGAGGGAAGCATTCCCAGAGAGAGGGAGTGTACTCAAGTTTTGTTTTGTTGATTTTCTTTTTGGTGAGATTTCGACGATAACGACGATTCGGTTAATCAGATTATATGGAATCTCCCGCACGTGCGGTGGTACACGGAACGCAATGTCTCGCCGAGCGCGTGTGGATTCGCTGGGGAACCAACCCCCCCGTTCGAGGGATAGCGTTGCACTTAGAGCACAAGCGACACTTGGACCTTTTTTGGGATTTTTATTCTCGAGAGATTAGGGAATTTGTAAATAAACATCCAGTGTAGCCCTGGACGTATAGATCTCAGGCACAAATCGTCGGATTTCTATCCGCAAGGTACCATGTCGCATTATCTCATGTTCTCTGACATGCAAAGCTAAAATGCTCTATGGAGTTAGGGGGCCAATGCTCAAGCCCATTGGTTCCGGATCCCTCCTCCCCCTTAAAAAGGAGATAGAACCATCTTGACATGATTATGTCGGGATTAATTATTCATAATTATGATCAGATTCGAATTGTTCGTATATTATCCTTTCCACCTTTTTAAGTTGATTTGTAAAACAGAAAATAAAAAAAGGAAAAAGGAACGAGAAAAGGTAGATTGTTCCATAGTGAAAAAAAAGCCCCTCCTATTTTCCTCTCTCCCTAATCTTTCTCCGCTCTCAACTCCCCCCCTTCCCCTTCATCCTCCCCTTCAACTTTCTCAACCTTCATCCTCCAGGCGAACGGCACATTCTTTGTCCTCTTGACAAGGTGCCATTCTAGCAGGTCCTGGTGTTTCTTTTCTTTTTCTTTTGGGGTTTCGTTTTCTTTTCATCTCCTTTCCCTTCTTGTACATGTCCTAGAATCCCCAACTCCGGGAGCCTTCAGACTACCTTTCGTTTTTCTTTAAACTCGCCTGGTTTCGAGTTGCTGCATTCTGTTGGCATTCAGCGTCTTTCCTTTTGCTGCACTTCCCTCTCTTAATCGTTGTACAACTATAGTTTATGTCCACGTTACTTAGAACAGGTATGGTCCCCCCTGGCTGACGCGTTGCTCATCGATCCACCCCCAACACCCATTGAAAAAAAACCGCCAAAACAACGATTTTCCCTTCTATCCCCCTTTCCAATTCTCCTCGATTTTTTATTCAATACCATCGTGCGGAAGCCTTTTCATGGGAACAGGGGGCAAATATACCAAAAATACACAACATGCTCCTGAATGGGCCCAGACTGACATCCCCCGGGTAGCACTCCGTTTTGTTCATCTTCCGTCCTGACACGAAGTCCATCTCACCATTTCCCTTTGGATCAATCCGATCCACGAGTTGCCTTGTCGAGATCCCGATCGACCCGGACACTCGTGTTTGCAACATTTCAACGCCCTGGCCGAGAGAAACAACATGGCTGCGTTGGTTCAAACTATCCCGCAACAGACTGGCACGGCTCCTGTGCTTCAGACGCGTCCTTCCTCATCCTCGGGCACCTTTGGTTCGTCCTCCAACCAGCATCCTGCCCGGTTTCAGAACATGTCGTGGAGTGGTTTCAATGCCGGCAATTCGGGCAGCTATCGAGCAGGTCACCCGGTTGTGGCTCCCTACGCTTTTCCTCCAAACCCGACTCATGCCCCCAATGCTCAACAACACCGCCAGTCTTGGTCCCCTCATCTCCGCCCTGAGCACCGCACCTTCTCTGCCCCTACCATTCACGGGCCATCCCATATGGCTCAGCCCGGGGCCACCTCCCGAGTCGCCAATCCTGCAGCTGGTTCTGTATCGACTTCTTCCAACTCTTCATTCAACTCCTATGTCTCCAAGGACGACAGTGTCATCCCCTCGCGCCAACCGAGAGCGGACCAGCCTCTTCGTCCTTTATCCACCGCCAACCTCCCCCCTCCCTCTGTCATGACCATCTCCTCTCCCAGCGGCTCCGTCAAGCCCTCTCCAAATCGTTACCGTCGTTCGAATCAACGCTCTCAATCTCCAGCGCCCGCGCCCACACCGGTATCTACGTCAGCTTCGGCATCTGATGACCAGGTAAACACAGCCTCTGCCCCCAGACCGGTCCTACGATCCAACGGGCATAACCGCTACTCAAGTGTGGATGATTCGTCCCATGCGGAACGTCCACAGCTAGAACCTGCAAAGCGATACCGCCGGAGAAGTATGGGAACTATGGATCCAGGCTCGTACCCGAACCTCCAACTACAACTACCGATACCATCCTCGCCACAGACAGGTCCTTATGACTTTATCGCTTTTGATACGAACCAACCACGACCACAGTCGGCCCATTCACAGAAAGGCAGCTCGCACTCGGCGCAGTCTTCTGTTTCATCGGTAGGTCCCCAACTACCGCTCCTGAAACCACCTTGAGCAATTAACTAACATGTTGAACTAGACACGAGAGGGGGCTGCGGCGGATTCCAGCTCCACTGCTAAGCCGGAAGAGAAGCGAGTGAGCAAGCCCTCCCCGCTATCCCAACCAGCTTCGACATCGGCCAAATCTCCACCGACCGAGTCCAGTTCCAAAGCTCCACCTGCCGCTTCGTCTCCACCAACGGACTCCCCGGCGGCAAAGCGCCTGGCAGAGATTAAGAATGACCCCAAGCGTCCTGGCAAGTCTCGCCTGAGACGTGCTTTCTCTTTCGGTAGTGCATCCGAGCTTCTCAAGGCATCTTCACAGACTAAGCGTGAAGCAATCGCTGCGGAGAAGGCGCGCCGAGAGGCCCTGCGAGAGGAATTGGGTGACGAACAAGCTGCAATTGCCGAGCAGCAAGAAGCTATGGGACTGGGTGAAAGCATCTATACCCATCAAGGAGGTTTCTTTTCTGGGTCAACAGATGCGCTTTCAATTTCCTCGACCGCTTCATCAGCCTCCATGATGCTCCGCAAAATGGGCAAAGGTATGAAGAAGTCCACTCGATCTTTAGTGGGTCTCTTCCGACCAAAGTCCGTCGCCAGTATCAACTCGGTCGAAGGGGCTGCCGAGCCGATGTCCCTACCCCAGATCTCCGTCGTGAATGTGGAGGCGGAGCGTGAGATTGTAGTCAACCCCGACCCGATGGAAATGCCCAAGGGCGGCACCGTCTTCCCCAAGGTGGAGCCTGCTGGTTCCGAAGTTCGCAGGTCCGCTTCTATTCGCGAAAGGGAAAGAGTCGTCTCCGATTCCTCTCAGTCTCGAAAGAGCATCGTCGGGGGCGACCGAGAGCGGGCAGAAGTTTTGGCGGCGGTTCGAAAGGGTATTCTAAAGAAAACCCATTCCGACTATGGTGTCTCCTCGCCCGCCAATGCATTGAACAGCAGTGACTCGCCCCATTCCAGTGCCCCGCCTACGCCAGACGAGTCATCTCGACCAAGCCCCCGCCCGACGGAGCAGGTAACAATTGCCGGTGAGGACTATTTCCTTTCTGGTGGGGGTCGGTACACAAGTAGCGACACCAAAAGCGCTCCCATGACTCCTCAGTCGGTTAGCGGTCGGAATATCGTGTTCAGCCCTCGCATTCAGTTTCACGAGACCTGGCCAAGTGGCGAGTACGATCGTCGCGGAGAAATCGCGACTTGTAATCGCCTGACTCCTCTCCTAGCTCAGCAAATTCGGGAGGAGATCAATAACTTCAAAATGGTAGGTCGATGTTCCTTTGCTACTTATATTCACATGCTAATGATCACACAGGAGATGGAGGTTCACGAAAACTCCAAGATCTACACACACTTTATCTGAAAGTGGCCAGGAATTCATTGTGTAGCCTACCCCTTGGCTAGGTCTGCGTCCTTGTCCATAGATATGCATAAACTTCGGCGACTGGGGGTTGTTTCTTTGTTTTTTTTTGTTTTTTTTTTCATTTCGTTTAATTTCCTTCCGTGATACGGCGAAGCTCGACAGAGTCAAGATTCCTCTGGTCTTATGATACCTCGGGTCCTCGTCTCCTACGCCGCGGCCATTAATGCCGACTCTCGTTCCGGTCTCTTTTCTTTCTTGCTGCTCTCGGCTTTAGAGGGCACATGTTCATCAAAACGGTGCGGTTCGTTTCGAATCTTGGTGATTTTCCTCGTGCCAATGCTTGGGCTGTTTTTTCCTGCGAGTCCTGCCTGGGGCGTTGATCTAATGAGTGTTGCCCTTTGCCTGCATCGGGCGCGGCGGTCCCCGTTACTGGTCGATTTCTTTCCCATCTTCTGTCATTTCCGCATGCATTCGAATCATTGTCATTGAGTATTGGGAGCGTGGGCACTGGGCTGTTCTTTCATTTTGTTTTCTAGCACATCATTTTTCCACGGTCATCTCCGGACCCATATTTCTCATTATCATCCAGCTCGTCAAAATATCAATCGAGCTCCTGCATTTTTCGCCCATTTGGCATCTCAATTCGTCTCGGTTTCTTACGATGTGTTTCTCAGTAGTGAGTGGATGCTATGCATTCGCACAAAATATGTATTTGTTTTATATGGAGTTAAGCCTGTTGAATGGTTAGTCAGTTAACCCAATTGATTCCTGGCTTTCAGCTCTTCATTTTGCTCTACCTACCCTGGGTCCCTAGATGGAACTTTGGAGGAGTCTAGACGTTCACGGTTAATACTACTCTTGGCTGAAATCTTGGAAGATATTTCAGTCCTATTGGCCAAGCTATACAGCAAACCTCGGCAAAAGCCAACGACCCGTCGTGACTTACAGCTACAATAGTACCTGCTCCCAATCATCACCCATGGGTTCCGGGCTGCATGGCCTAACTGTTCTAGCCATGTAATGTCAACCTTATCCGTCATAGTATTTTCCACAGCATGCCTATATTGAACAATACTATTTCCAGGTGATTGTTATGGATTTTGGTTGCCGCAGTCTCAATGTTTCTGCACATTTAGATTACATGAAATGCTTGAACATCACTAGCCTAACCTAATCCAATGCACGAATCTTGGAATCCGTATCCTAAACCCTCATCTGACCAACTATAGCTCCCTTCTCAAGCAAAATATCCATGATACTCCTAAAGCCCTTCTCTGCGGCCCACGAGAAAGGCGTCCGTCCCTGATTATCTGGTAGATTGATATCCGCACCATTCTCAAGTAACATGTTGACAACCTTCCTATTCCCCTGACTCGCAGCCCACGCAAGAGCCGTTTTCCCCGCAGCTCCCCGCAAGTCAACCTGTAGCCCCTTCTGCCTCAGCAGAATCTGCACAATAGTATCGTTCCCATGTTGCGCAGCCCAAGACAACGCATGCCGGCTACTCTTATCCACATAATTGGGATTCGCCCCATGCTCAAGAAGCAACACAACCACAAAGGTATGGCCCTCCATAGCCGCCCACGAGAGAGGCGTCTGTCCCCGGAACCTATCCGCTACATCAACCGGCACGCCTCGTTCAAGGAAGAGCTTCACCACATCTCCACGTCCGTGCTCGGCAGCCCATGACAATGCGTTTCGTCCGTCTTTCTCTGCAATCATGGGATCGGCACCTGCATCTAGTAGGATCCGACATATCTCTTTTCGTCCGCGAATAGCTCCCCACGTCAGGGGTGTACGGCCAGTATTATCCTGATTTGGCTCTGTACCTGCAATATCTAGAGAGTTTGGGCTCACGCCGTGCTGTAGGAGGAGCTGCAGGACTTGGGGACGGCCGTATTCCGCTGCTTGGGATATGGGCGAGCGGCCCCAAGAGTGGTCGCGGTAATTTGGGTCTGCGCCTTCATTAATGAGGCGGATTGCTTCCTCTTTTTTGCCATTTCGGACGGCTGAGAGGAGAAGTGCACTTTGGCGGAGGCTGTTATAGCTGTAGGGGTTTGACTGAGGTGTGTAGGAAGGTTGGGGTGTTTCCTGTGGTCGTGGGGGCCATTGTGGTTGCCCAGGCATGTACTGAGGGGCCGGTTGGGGCGAGTATGTTGTCTGAGGTGTATACAGAGGGGCAACTGGAGGGGGAGCTGGAGGAGTGTAGGGTGGCTTGGTATCCATGGGAATATGCATTGTGTTGAGCTTTCCCTAGTTTGATTGATGTGTGGTATCTTAGCGAGGCTGAGATTCCCTCGAGTGTAGGTCAACCTCGGGAGGAGAGAACATATTTATAGGTTTTAACCCTTGTAGATTACTGAACAAGGCTGAGGGACGTGCTGTACAGACTGCTGGATTGATTGGTAAATGATAATCTCCACAGCGGGTGAATAGGAGGGGATTGGGGCCAAAACCTTGGAAGGAGGGCGATCATGGGGCGATGAGCCACGTCGTAGAAAACATTCCTGAATTCTATAAATATACTGAGGATTCAATGACTCTCAAGTAGCTTTCAACCAGTGCTGAGATCGAGAATAATCGACATTGGGCAGGTCTGGATGGATTTGCACCAGTCCCATGGATCAGGCATATACACCGAGCCCCACATAAACAAAAGAGCCGCAGAAGCGGAGTAGAAAAAGTTAAAGTGAGAATTATATGGAATTGAGTTATCTTGATTCGAATATTGCGCATACAGCTTGATGGACAAGAACGCCCTTGCAGTGTTAGCCTCGTACAAGTCTGACTTTTCGAGCCTGAATATACGTATTATGAATCCATCTTTGTGCCTTGGATTCATTCACAATGATGAATGTTCAAACTCTTATCACTTGAAATTTAACTGATTACCAAGAATCAAGACGATCCAAGTCATCCAGTCAATACAACGCATAGTGGGTATTTGATATAAAAATACTGTAGATGAATAGTGAGCAAAGGACCTGGCTGGATAGGATCATATGTATTAGTTGCGTAAAATTCATCACAGGCCACGACCCATGTTTATACCCCCAACGACCTCGCTACGCCTACTGCGCCTGCGCAGTTGTCGACACCGAAATGCTCCCCTAAGCCAGACTCGGTGTGTATGTTCATGTCCTTCAAAACTTCTTCGACCATGCCAATTGCGTAACACCATAAATGAATGAAATTGTGAGGGTTTCCAAGTTGGTTCCCTATGCGGTGACACCGGGGAAGCAGTCAGCTAGACCCTTACTGTGCTTGTTGGCGGCATGCTCGAGGAGACTATCCAGGTGATCGGGTTAGTATCGGACCCCAACACGAAGCAAAAGGGGATCGGGATCACGCACGCAGGCGCCTTGGTGGTCTGAAGGAAGGTCTGCTTGCAGGTCTGGCATTGAATGCTCATGGCTTTCTCGTTCTGGAGTCATCGAAGGTTAGTGAGATGTAGAACGTAGAGGATATAACCCAGCCTGGTAGTGGTGCCAACGTACAGTCTTGTTTTGAGACTTGGGAGCAGCCTTTCCCGCTTTCGCGTTGCGCTCGCGCTTCATGTTGGCCTTGGCACCCTGGAAGTAGATCATCAGTATCCGGCATCTGACAGGTGGAGCGTATGAGGGGCTTGCGGTATCCGCTCAGGCGGGGTGGGAGTTGTCTTACGTTACCCATGTTGACAGATTTGGAAATTAACGAGGGAAAAGACAGATCGTTAGCGACAAAGGAACGTAGTATAATGGAGGGAAACTGGGGGAGGAAAGAGGGTCAACGGGAGAAAAAGCGAAGAAAAACGCTAGAAAAATGTGTTATCGTGGCGGAACCACTTATCGAGCCTATTGATCGCTCCACCAATCAAGGTCCCGTGGCTCGAATTTCCCCAAATCGGGAATGCTCCGCTCCACCTTTGGGCTTCTTGATCACCCCCCCCCCCCCCCCCCGATCGTTCCATTTTTTGATTCATAATTCTGAAGTGGCCCTGGGTCGATACACGCCTACCAGATGTCATTTACAGTCCTAGCCCATTCGTGGGATTTAGGACTTTGCAAAAATGGCGCATCCGAGAGCTCGCGCACGTCAGCAACCAAGTAGCTATGGGACGTTCAGGGAACGAGAGCTTTTTAGGTCAATACCTCCAGGGTTCTGATATGGTCGTCGCTGACCCGACTGGTGTATAGATACATCCCTCCTCATCATCTACAAGCCCACCCTCTACCTCACATCGATCGAGACATCCGATCCACCTCCTTTGCCGCTCGATCTTCATGGGACCCCGCTCTGACCTCCTTCGCTCAGCTGGGTACGCTACGCCTGAATGCTAAACGAACGTTGATTTCATTATTCGGTCGGAATGAACAGGTCGTGCTCGCCGAGGCTACCCAGACTTTGAATCTTCAGGATGATGGCAGCCATAATGCCCGTCAGGGATTGTGGGTCGGATGCTGTACAATGTCTTACGAGCGTAGTCTCTGCAAGTCCTTGTTGAATCACTCGCAAGTCATCGAAAATAAACCTCAACCGCTCGTTGTGCTCGACATGACCCAACACGAAGAGTTCAAGGACCATTTGGATGTGAAGAATAACCCTCATATACGATTCATGGCCTGTAGCCCGATTATTAGCCCCAAAGGAATCGTGATTGGTGCTTATACAGTTTTGGATGACAAACCACATGACCCATTGGATGCCAACACGTCGAAGTTCCTGGTCGATATTGCCCACACGGTGATGGATCACTTGGACGCCACTCGATCTCGACATGAACATCGCCGAGGCGAGCGCATGATAGTCGGGTTGGGGAGTTTCCTGGAGGGCAAAGGCTCTTTGCGCAATTCCTGGATCAATGCGAACGAGACCTTTCTGACTCCTTCTCCAGGCGAGGATAACGAATTGGAGGGCCATGTCAATCAAGAGCAACAACAGAAGCAGATTTCCGAGTATGCAGCCCCGAACGCCAAGTATCACGATGGTCAAGCCTTTGGAGAGTTCCGCCCACAGAACTTCAACACCAACCAGACCGGGAAAGCCCCAACACAAGCACATCAGGAGCGGCCATTGGCCGGTTTAGATACAGGTACAAGAGACTATTTCCACGCTCGGCCCCGGAATAGACGTGCATCTCATAGGACCACGGCACCGAACCACAGAGATACTCTCAAGAAACCCCCGAGGGACAGCTATTCCTCCAAGGTGAAAGAAACATTTTCCCGTGCAGCCAACATTGTTCGTGAAAGTATTGAGGTCGAGGCTGTTGTTTTCTTCGACGCCAATTTTGGCTCTCCGGACGCTTTGGTAAATGCTTCCAATTTCGACTCCGAGAGTGGCGCAAGCTGTATGGAAAGTAACTCTTCAAGCGAGGAGGAAGCCAAACGCTGTGGGTTTCCCCCCGAGCGGGATATATCCAGCGACCCGCAACCTAATCATTGCGGAATGTCCACGGTAAATCCATGCAAGATGCTCGGATTCGCCACCTCGGATGTTTCTAGCGTCAGCAAGGAGTATATGTTTGATAAAAAAGTCGCCATATCCGAGAACTTCCTTGGGCAGCTTTCCCGTCGATACCCTCGGGGTAAAATCTTTAATTTTAGCGAAGATGGAACCCTTTCATCCGATGATACCAGTGAAGGTGGCTCCTCGTACAGTGGTGGCAAAAAGTTCAAGAAAACTCGGAGAGCCTACCTACGTCAGGATGCTGTGACGCTTTTGCAGCTTGCTCCTCGTGCCCGAAGTATTGCTTTCTCGCCGCTGTGGGATTCACATAAAGGGCGGTGGTACTCAGGCTGTCTGACATGGACGAGAGCCCCTCATCGTGTTCTAACCTCCCAAGATGAGCTAGCCTTCTTATTTGCGATTGGGCATAGTGTCATGGCCGAAGTTCATCGACTCGGTGCTTTGTTGACAGAGCGGGCGAAGTCAGATTTGCTGGCCGGAATCAGCCATGAACTTCGATCGCCTCTTCATGGTATTTTTGGCACGGTGGATATTTTGAACGATACCGTCATTGATGTTCTACAACGTGGGTTGGTGCATACAATCTCATCCTGTGCCTATACACTACTTGGCTCCATAGACCAACTTCTCGAGTATGCCAGCATCAACGACGTTCGTCCAAGGCCTTCCAAATTTGAAGTTCAAGATGCCTCCAACGTTGGTGCTACGCAACCTTCACAGATCGGAAAGGTTGATAAGGATTCTGTCGTTCAGCTGGATGCTGCTGTGGAGGATGCAATCGAAACGGTCTTTGCAGGGTATTCATTTTTCAAGACTCCAACTACCCCGCTCTGGACGGCCCATGCCTCGAATCCTTTCGACTTCAAGGGAGGAGTTAAAGTCATCCTTGATATTGAATGTGCTCAAAACCTCAAGTTTGCAACCCGCCCTGGGGCATGGCATGTAATTTTGACAAATTTCTTCGGTAATGCCTTGAAGTTCACCGACGAGGGCTTCATTTATGTTTCTCTGAAGGCCATTCCAGTGAAATTCAACGCAATCGGCCAACCTACGCAGTCAAAGGTCACCCTCTGTATCAAGGACACTGGATGCGGTATGAAAGAAGAATTCTTGCGAAACGAGTTATTTACTGCCTTTTCCAAAGAAGACAAACTATCGCCTGGCAATGGTCTGGGAATCAACATTGTGAATCGGATCGTATCATCGCTTGGCGGTGAAATTGAAATTAGCTCCCAGAAAGGCGTCGGGACAGAGGTTGTAACAACAGTCATCCTTGATCATATTCTTGAGCGAATTTCCCTCGGCAGCCTACATGATGCCTCACTCCCTTGGTCCACAAGGAGTCTCGTGAAGCAGAAAACCATGGGTATCTTGCTTCACACGTCTTCCGATGGGGATGCGGCCTTGCTATCATCCATACACAAGCTGTGCCAAGACTGGTTCCAAATGAGAGTTGAGTTAATTGAACCATCGAAAATGCAACTCAGCCATTGTGACTTTTACGTTTCCCTTCATCAGTCTTCGACAACAGGAATACACGAGAGCATGCTTATGCGCCCTCGCTCGACTAAACGATTGCCCCCGCCTGTCATCATCATATGCTTATCTCCAAGGATTGCGCATACCTTGGCATCCCAGGATCAAAGGGAACCAGGCGTCTTTGAGTTTATCAGCCAGCCATGTGGACCGTACAAATTGGCAAAAACATTGGAAAGTTGTCTTCAGCGCCAGCAGCTACGTCGAGACTCATTAGCCGCAAAACGACGAGGATCAACAGCTCCAAAGCCCGAAGAGCTTGAAAGCCAATCGAATGGGCAATCGCAGAGAGATTCGATTCCGATACTCAGCGCGGGTCCTGTTCGACCACCGGGGCCACTGCAGATGCCCACAGAGTCGCCTACTGAACCTATTGTGACACCGGCTTTGTCTGTCCCTGCGGGTCTAGATTTGGACATTCAACCGGAAGATTACATGGCCGTCCACTCACAAGTCATTTCTCCGAGGACTATTCTTCTCGCGGATGATAACGAGATCAATCTCAAAATCCTGGTAGCATTCATGAAGAAGCTGGGATACAGTTATGCCATCGCACACAATGGGCAAGAAGCCCTCGACATCTTCAAGCAAAATGCACAAAACATCGAAATCATTCTCATGGGTGAGTTTCAACAATTTCAAATCTTTTGACGGTGGTCTAACTTGCTGCAGATATTTCAATGCCCATCATGGATGGCATTGAATCGACCCGACGCATCCGCGAGTTCGAAAAAACACTGGAGAACAAGAGACGCACCCTGATCCTTGCGTTGACTGGTGTCGCCCAAGCTGAAACGGAACGCGATGCCATCGGGTCGGGTATGGATGCATTCCTAACCAAGCCTGCACGATTGAATGGGTTACGGCCAATTATTAAGGAGAGATTGCCTCAGACTTGATTTTTACAGCACGCGAATCTTGAAAATTAGCGATTGGATAAGAAGTAAATATCCCTTATATGAATGATTTCCATTTTGTATTTGTTAGATCGCATGTGTCACTAACGTTGGGGTTTCATTTCTATACACGTAAAATGAAAATGAAAAGAAAGAAAACAAAAGAAAAGAAAACCATCTGGAAACTGATTTCAACGTGTTCATGTTTGCTGAAGAAATCAACAATCACACGGTCTAGGATTCAGTTATGATTCCCCATTACAAACCGAGCACTTGGTCCCCACGTCGGTTTCCCATGTAGCTGACAATCCCAGCAAATGAAACCAAGCACCAAACCATACGCCCATTTCTATGTCGAATTATAGATGGACTCAAATTTTTCATCTCTTGGACTCTTCCAAACCGACCAGAGTATCTGCTTTGCTGATTATTGATCCCTCATAACATTTTGGCTGTGCCTCGGCCTTCGAAAGTCGACGTGCACGGTGCTTCCGGATTTGACGATTCAAATACCTCCACGCGTCTGCCATAATTTGAAGATCAGTGCGGGGGAGAGGAGCCGAGGACGGTCGTTGAAGGGACATCAAAGCCGCCATTTTTGGATTGTTGGGTTTGTTTTGGTGGTGAATTTGGGCAGACTTTGACCTTGGAGTAATCGAATTCGAGATGAACGTCTTAAGGCTTGAACTTTGGTTTCCAATTGCCCGAGTGGAAATGAGGTGAAATGATGAATATGTAGTAGATCTAGAGAAACAAGTGTTGGTTTATATAAAAGTTCTTACCATTTCATCATCTCAGACAATATATATATCTACCAAAACAAATAGCATGAGTAATCGTGACATCCCGATGGAATAATGATTGTGACCCGCATGACCCCGACCCCGACACTCACTATTATTCCATTTGTAGCTAGAGCCCAATGCGACTGTAAAGTAGCAAAATGAGGAAGAAGAATGGCTGACGTGTGTTTGTGAGTATCGCTGCCATCCCATCTGGGCTTCTTGACCCCGACCCCGACTCCGATACGGAGTCTCCACTTCTGTGACTTGGACAAATCTGCTCACAAATGACTTCCCGGTCAATTAAAACATGAGCATGTCTTGTAGTTCAAATTGCCAATTGTCGAGATTTGAAATATAATAGTTGTAGTCCAAAATGTTGGCCATGTCAGTGGTACTTGGGGAATGCGGATCCGGCACGATACTGGTCATGTTTAGAGGAGCCAGTGGGGCGGTTTCGGAAGACAATATAAAGTCCAACACACGCCCAATCGTCTCTCGGGCTTGCTGACATATACCGTAGTTCCCTTCGTGGGATTGAACAATTGTTCGGAGATAAGATGCGAATATGCTCAGGTCCTGTATGACTCCCGAACGAGAAAAGGGTTGTGCCGAACTTAAAGAAGGATCGGACGGGTCGATGGACTGATGAGAAGCGCGGCGAACAAGTTCAATTGAAAGAACACCGGCTGAGGGGAGACCAAAGAAAGATATCTTGATTCGTACATTAGAAGTGGTGCGTGGGAATTGAATAAGAAGAGCGCACCACCCAAGACAGTTCAGGAGTTAGTCGCATGGACCGAACCCGACTTTCAATAAGCAATAGCACTTCGCTAAGAATCTCATGGGAGACCTTGACGAGATCTGGAGACCAGGTATTTTGACGTTTCGAAAGGATTCGATAAAGCAGAAACTGATCGTAGAGATAGTCCAGATGTAGCTGGAGAAAGACGGTCTGTTTGAAGTCTAGATCGTACGATGCAGAATCCTGCGGTCGGTGGAGGAATGAAGGGAGACCTAACCAGGCCTGACGAGACTGCTGCAAGAGCTCCCTGAGTAAGGTCAGCAGATAAAGCATCACCCCATGGCAGGCAACATTACTCAATTTTTGCCGGAAGGTTTTCGCCCTGCTGGTTTAGTGATAATTCTAAAATGCTTTCTCGCACAGGGCCCATAATTAGGTAAGCTCTCAGCCATACTGCTTGTGTATCATTGTTCTCAGTATTCCAACCATTGGCATCAAGCTTGCTGATCGCGTTGTCCCGGACCTCGGGCTCTGCAATAATATCATCGAAACTGAGATCAAGAGGTGGCGTGATGTCACAGAAGCGCCAGCTGATGCGCGGCGGCCTTCCTAGAAATGTAGCCATTTGCTTGTCCGAGCTAAAAGCACTGCCCATCACACGTTTTCGTGTTTCCACAAGCCAAAAAGGCGCATTCTCATCGCTGGGAGGCTGGTTGAGGCCGAGAGTGAAAATAATTGTTGAGAGGTCTCCTAACGCCCTCCACGCCCGGTAGTCTGAAGGGTATTGATGATTAATTATTCCATTGATCTGGAGACAGGCTACTGACCTCGATCTCCGTGGACTAGAGTGGCGAGGAAGAGGCGTTGGGAAATGAGCCAACTGACGGCATCGTTCAACACACCGGCTTCATTACAAAACGAAAGACATGTTTCTGTTGCTGACAATGCTAAATCTCCTAGATCTTTCCTGGAACCGACTGGCTTGCCGTCGACTATTGAGTCCCAATCACCGGGCAGCGCAGTGGCTACCCCCAAGCAGGAGAAAGCCAGGCCGATGATCTCCCACCTGCAAGACATGGATGACATGAAGTCGTTTAGACTGACTGAGGAGTGAATTGGAATCGGAGACGAGAACAAGCCAAAGATTTGTCGCGAACGAGTGAGTAGCGCAGAGAAGTCACTGGATGGTTGTGAAGCGAAATCTTGTAGGGACTTGAAAGTGAGCTCAACAACTGGCTTACTTAGAACACCGCTTTCCTGCGTGGTTCTAATCGAAGCTTCTGTGATTCTCTGATAAACTGGAATGTTTCTCAGAAGTTGGAGGATGTGTGCGCCTCGGCGGACCGCATCGCTTTCAATAGGTATCGCGTTGGGAATTGGGTCCCGGGTGTTTACATTGGCTCTCTGCACCTCATGGGGAAGTGAAATCGCCAAGTTATCGGTACTTTCTTGGAAAAGGGCAAAGTGACTGGTCATTCCGAGATATTCGGATTGTGACAATCGCCTCCTTTTGAGGGTGGACTGGCTTTCCCGGGTTGATACCGAAGCTGCATCCTGGATTGGCTGGGGTGTTGACGTGGGCGTTAGCGTCGCTGATCCGGAGTTGGCAGTTCTTGTCGGCGAACGAAGATAGATACATTGGTCCGACTTGCTTGTTCGAGCGCATCTCGCACATGTGGGGAATCGATGGTCACATCTGAGTTTGGACTTTCGACAGGGCTCGCACGAGGAGAGCAGACCGTTCTTTCGTAGAGTGGCCATCTTGATTTCCGGGTGCCCCGTACTCTGCAGAGCCGATCGTGCGGAGTAATCCAGTGGACGCCATAGCAACCAGGCATAAATACTGAACTGACTGTCTCACTGAACTTAGTGAACTTACTAAGCGGCAGCCCTGAGTTGGTTTGCACAAGTCACGTTTATGTTTGTCGGCAGCAGCAGCGGGTATACCACCCCTCTCTATCATATCCTTCTCTTCTTATTCCTCTTCATACATTCGAGGTGGACTTTGGTTGCCACTTATATAAGACCTTGGAAATTGCCAGGAGCTGGAACAGTAAATGGAAATGGCTCCGAATCGCCAGGTTCGCTGCATCTCCCATTGGTCACATATGTGCAGCAACTTGTCTTTCTACTAGATATCAAATTACCTCATGCGCCAAGGCTCAAAGTAGCAAGCAGCAAGCAGTCGGTCTCATGAGCCATGTGAACGTTACATTGCCAAGTCTCGTGTAGTGCAGCAGCGCAGCTATCATGATGTCCACCGATGTCTGTCTAGACACTGAGAGATAGAGTTCCGTCAATTAACGTGAAGATATCCTCGCAGTTATTCACTGATTCCTAAGGGAATCCACGCTTCATATACCCATGCCTTGTGGATACTAGTATAAATAGCCTTGGCTAGTGCACCCCTCACTTCCTTTCTTGCCTCGAGCCTTTGTCATAAGTTGCAACTCCTCGTTCCATATTAGTCTACATCATGTCGCTAACCTACCCAGAGGGTGAATGTTTCTTTCTCCGCTCGGTCTTACAGTCATCCGGGTACGATGCTGACAGACCTGAGCACTTCTATGCTCACCTTATGATGGGAATATATCTGGAATAGACCCGCATTCTCAGGTCCAGATAGTGAGTATCATCAGCGGTAACACTATCATCCTCGCTCAGCCTACCAGGTAGTGAAAGGTAATTCAAGGAGCACACCTTATGGTAATTGGAAAAACATCTTCCTTTTATATGGCTCAGAGCCGTACCAGGCTACTTCCTTTGGAAGCCGGTTCAGACAGGCAGAACACAATCTTTGTGTGAATGGAAATCAGTTCAGATCCCAGTAAAAAGGGCGCATCACTGGAGTCATGGTTCATCAGAAAATTCAGAAACTGGAATGTCTTGAAGCCCCGGGTTCGGACGGCAGAGTCAAACACCTCACACCCTGCTCATCAAGAAGCGAAGACACAGACTGCTGCTAAGACTGAGATACTAGAAACACCAAAACCGATTCCTCTTAGTGAGCTGGGACCGAGTCTCCTCTTCCAATTGGCCGCTGAGGTACTCAGCCACTCGGGGGGTAATCCTGCACTCACCAACATGACCGGAGAAGTCGATGACCAGGGTGAAGAAGTACTGCAAGAAGTTCTTCCACAGAACCACCCTGAGATTGACGAGTCCAACGAGAACTTTTATGACTGGATGCAACAATATGTGGAAGAACAAAGGGCGATGTTTGAAAGTGAAGCGGAGGAATTCAGCGGCTGAAGCTTGGGTATTATATTGTTATACATCAATTTGTGGTGCTAGATTTGGGATGCAATATTTTGAATTTCATCTGACTTCCTTCGCACTATCCCTGAGCTCACAGAGCAAGAGAAGAAAGGCAACTTGACCCACTTTGGGTGATTTTTGAATGAAACATATAATTTGCTATTCATAATCTCGATACATTGATATTTTAATTGAATCAAGATCGTATCCTGAAAGGACCTATACATAAGACTTAAAGCCAAACCTGAAGATCAGACAAGCAAGATGACATGATACCGTCTTAACTCAACATCTACGCATACTTGAGCCTCTCCTCCGTCCAAGAAGGCCGTAGGCTAGCGTCATTAATCTCACTCGCATCCAACGAGCTATCAGCCACATAATTCACCTTCCAATCCACCGAAATAGCAGCCCCTTCTTCCGACTGCGCCCAAACAGCCACTGAAATAGTATTCTCACCACTATAATTCAAGATACCAAGTGGAACGGGGAATTCCACCTGGTTTCCAATATACGGGTTAAACCGTCCGTACTGATATCCGTTCACAAATAGCTGTGACCGGTAGGTAATCGCCGATCCAGATGGCGTACCCAAGACGAACGAGATCGAGATATCATGCCCGGATGGGAGATCCAATGAAACGACTGTACGGAAGAATCGAACTGTGGCACCCTCGAAGCTTAGGCTTGAACTGTCGCTGACGCTCTCCCACGTCGAATCGTCAAATCCTGGGAGATGCCAGCCAACCCGCTCAGCGTAGAGTCCGTCTTCATTGTAGGCACCGCGGACGGGGTCGAGGTTGGACTCGCCGCCTGCTGTTCCGGCGATACGCCAGTGAGTAAAGCCCGTAGAGGAACCGAGGAGGTCAACGTCGAGGATTCCGCGGGGGTTCAGAGCTCCGGTTGTTTCGTCGTGGCCTGTGTCATCGTGGACTACTAGGAGGACATTAGGGGTACTGGTGCTGACGGTTGCGTTGGTAAATGAGAGAGTGAGGTTGGCTTGTTCGTCTGTTGCGTCGCCGAAGAAGGATCCGATCAATTTGCCGTTCAACCAAGCTGAATATCCGCTAGATTGTTGTGAGCTTTTGCTTGTAGTGCGGAAGGTGAGGGACTTACAAGGCTGTTCCTCCTTGGACATTGAGGTTGACACCGGTGGCACTGCCGTTGAAATATCCGCGCCAAAGTCGGATGCCGTTGTGGAACCCTGTAGATTGTTAGCTTGCAGATCACCAGGTAATATGGAAAGGGACATACCATATTCATCCGCATACAGGACAGGGAGAGAGGTGGGCTCTCTAGGATTCAAAGTAGTCATGTGGTCGGCAGCTAGACGCATTGTTAGCTTTCATTTCGTGAAGTGGCAGCTCAGCGTGGATCATACTTACCAACCCAAGCCGCACCAGAGTCATCGTAGTTAGTGAGACGCTCTGGCAAGCTGTCCTTTGCCTTCCATGAAGTGAGTGCTGGCAGTGTAACAGACTTCGGTGCGGAGATCGAGCCCTTCAAACTGCCGTACGCCGTTCGGCTTGTCTTGACAACCTTTCCATTCCAGGTGATGGATTCCACAGCCCTTGGAGCAAAGACTTCAATGGTAGTAGCATTGACAATATCACCAGTGACTGCCAGCTTCGACTTGGAAATACTGGCCCCACGAACGAGGTAAGGTCCTTGGATGAGAACTACAGATGGGTTAGCAGGCTATCATAAAAGGCAGAGTCAAACAATACATACCGCTCTCCGTCTCAGGGACAAGTGGGTCGGTCGTGAGAGCAGGCACCCAGAACTTGTAAGCATAAGTCCGGTCAAGCAAGATAACCCGGACACCGTCTATTTCCAGAACGCTCATGCCATACGACTGGGTGAATGTAGCAGTCAATCCCCCGTGCTCCTTGATGAACTTGACTCCAGAGCAGCCTTTGCACGACTCAATCGATCCCTTCTTCGCTCCCTTGATGTTGAATTCTCCGGATTCCCCAGCGGGAACCCAAAGAGTCAAGGTCGGCACATTGTCAAAGACAGCGTAGGTCAGGACTTCGGCAGTAGAGTAAAGCAGCTTCTTAGATCCGAATGTGAAATCGGTAACAGCGATCTTAGACTGGTGCCCGTTCAGGCGAATAACACTCCCATGTGCGGGGACAGTCAACTTTCCAACGGAGGTGTCAATTTTGAGGTGGAAGGCCTCGTTCGTGGAAGTCGAAGTGTTAGAATGGAAAGTGGCATAAAACCCGGCATTTGTATCCGGGTTCCGCAGTTCATATGCACGAACGCCCGTATTATCAGTATACTGTGTTCCATTACCGATTAGATCGGTCTTGGTCAGGTCCTTCGCAGCACGAGTAAACAGAGCCAGCAGCTTTGTCTCGTAGTACTTCGATCCGATAGAGCGATCCTCTGAGATAGGTGACGAGTAGTCGTAACTGGATGCTGTCACGGGTGCAGCGATAGCACCCCAGTTTGTGCCGCCGAAGATCATATACAGACTCATTGCTGTGATACGTTGGCCGATATTCCAGCGATAGAATAGGTTGGCGAAATCTTGGTTCAAATCCTCGGCGCATCCGCCTTCGGGTCCACCCCAGGGGTTATAGGAGCCTCCTTGAAATTCGGGCATAAACGAGGGCAGGGTGGGTTGGTAGTCCTGGAAGTAGTCATAGTAGTCTACTACCTGGAATGCCACATAGGCTCCGTTGGTAGAATCACACTGACTGATGTCGCAAGTCCAGCACTATATCGGTGTCAGATAATTCTCACCACATCAGGGAAAAGCCGGACTTACAGATGGATAGGAATCCACACCGGCAATATCAACGTTTCCCTCTCCTGTGATATAGTCAGATCCCCATGAAAGCGAATTCATGTTCGGGTCATTGGCTGTCAAAGGGATCGTTACGCCATTCTCGCGGGCATTGGCCTCGAGAAGCTCCATATACGCAATAGCGGTGTTATTGGGTGTCTTTTCGGATGTCGAAATCCACTGATCACCATACTCATTCTCAATTTGGAAGCCAATCGACATTTCTCCATCAGTGACTTGGTACCGACTGGTAATCTTGGCCATCTCCGTCATGTATGGCGTCCAAGCCTTGGTATACCGGGTGTCATTGTTACGGAGACTGCCGTATTCACCCGTCGTGAGCCACAGTGGGAATCCGCCGGCCGTAGTCTCAGCATTGATATACGGCCCTGGGCGCACTAGGACGTATAATCCCAATTCCTTGGCAAGTTCGAAGATCGGAGTGATGTCATGGGCGCCCGTGGAGAAATCCAGGGTCTGATTGTTTGGTGCGTGGTAGGCCCAGTTGGAGTAGAAGGAGAAAGCCGTAAAGCCTGCAGCTTTGATCTTCTCGAGAATATCTCTCCACAGACCAGGGACCGGGATACGCCAGTAGTGAAATTCACCTGAGAAGATAAAGATTCTCTGGTTCTCAACCTGGAAACTGTAATGATCCCATTCCACAGCTTTGTTATATCCGTCGTTGTGGAGCGGCCATTGGGTGACTTCAGAGTGTTTGGCAGCGGAAGGCAGACCGAGAAAGACGGTTGCAATCCATAGACCAGAGAGGATGTTCCCCAGGCCAAACATCTTGGGACGACTGAGATGAAGGTTACAACCTCCTCGACACTGGAAATCGCCTCATTTATACTGGGACGATCAGGGACATTGCATCATTCTAGGTATAATTCCGGAGTGGTGGAGCCGCTATACTCACATTGAGTTTAGTTAGAAAGCAAGAGCAATTTGCAGCGGTCTAAGCGAAGCTCCGCACCCCATCTCCCCCGCATGGCGCGGTTTTCGCGCCGAGATTTTTCCTCCATTCACGTTCCTCACGGAAGTCCGGTGAGTGACTCTGATATCGATAATCTGGAGGTGGCACATAGGCACAATTCCAATTGGGTGATCGCTACCGGTTTTTCAGGGGGGGGGAACACGGTCTCCGAATGCCTACATCCTTCCAGATTTAAATTGCTTATATTTTGGCCTCGGTTCTAATTAGCTGGGCTCTGAATATCATTATATCGGACAGGAGAGAAAATGATTAAATATTAACTTGCTAATTGCCTCATATACATAATTTGTGATCCTCCACCTGCGAGTTCAGCGAGAAGCCCACTCATTCCTCCGCAGAAATAGCAAACTTACTCAAAGCCCGAAGCCTCGAGCCATAGAAGTAAAGTAGCCAAATTCCAATGATACCAATGACACTCAATCCACCAAGAAGACTGGTGCCCCTCGCAACACCCAAATTGGCAAATAGTGGGTGGGCAAACATCACACTGCCACAGGCCAGTGCGCTCCGGAAGAAATCATTGGCTGCGAACAGACTGGCAGCGTATTTCGGGTAAGAAAGAGGTATATAGACGAAAATACACTGCATGACAATGAACACGGTTGCACCATAGATGGTGATACCGATAGTCGGTACAATCCAGTGGATGGAGGCTCGGGCCGTCCAGGCGAAGAGGAAGAGGCCGATTGTGGGGCCGAAGGAAGCCGGAAGAGCGGGGAGCAACCGGGATTCTTGGACCGGCCACCCGAGGCGCGCAATACGAGGGTTCATCCAGAAATATAGGTAGGAGAAGTAGATGCCCACACCTAAAATGCAAGATACCAAGATGCAAAGGAAGACCAGGCCGACTTGGCCGAGATTCATGTGGTAGTCGACAGGATAGACCAGGGGGAAGACTTCGAAGAATGAGTAGTAGATGCCGTAGATGATTGCGGTGTAGATCTGGACAAAGAGGACGGCAGGATCTTTGATCGTGATCTCCATGGGCTTGATCAGAGCGTCAACGGCAATATCCGAGACACGCATGTTCTTCTGGTCAATCTCAGACTGGGACATGAAGCGCTCATTGTTGTAAATTTTGCGAAGGCGCTGGGCACGTCGGAGCAGGATGGTTGGGGTGCTGGTCTCGGGGAGGAAAACAAGCATTATAATAAAGACCGGGGCAGAGGCCCAGATAGACTCAAAGAGAGACCAACGCCAGGATTCCGCAGGGACAGCAAATCCACTGAGGAGAGGACCCAGAGCAGCTATGAGAAGTCAGTATGGACGTACATGAATTGAGGGATCGTAACTTACGTCCACAGTATGCAGCGGCAACCCATGCCATCATAGCGTATGGCAGAGCGTTCAGGCTGTACATATCACCAATCGAGGCACCTCCCGATGCGAGGCACGGAGAGCCAAAGAATCCTTGAAGGAATCGCAGGACTATTAGACCAGGGAAGTTGCCAACAAAAGCTGTCGGGATAGAGATGATGACAAAGAGGAACATGGTGATTATGTACACTGGGTTCCGTCCAATGATGGGGATCTCACTCAACGGTGAGAAAATCAACGGCCCGGTGCCATAGCCCAATACATATAGCGAGAGACCCAATGTGACAACCACCTCGCTGACCCCAAATTCTTTCATGATACCCTGCTCGGACGCAGTGTAGATAGCCGACGTTGTATAGACGACAAACGTGTATAGACAAATAATGGTCGCGAGCAGTCCGCGCTTCAAATTGGACCAATTATGGGGATTCTCGGCGTCGTCGGTATAGTACCAATCCACCAGAATCGCGCCATCTTTTGTCTTCTTGGGGGTGATTGGAATGGACTTGATTTTCTCAAGATCTCCTGCATTCATCTCACAATCCTCTTGTAACGTCGAGGTATGACTGATAGCATCACTTTGATCGGAGTTTTGTCTTTGGTCTCGGGACTCGGGATTTTCGGTATGGCTCTTGGAAGCCTCAAGGCCCTGCATTATTTGAATCCATGGCTCAGGGAGTTCGAAGCCAGGCTTCTCTTCCGGATATTGAAGGTATTTATTGTTGGTCAGAAACCGGACCAACTGCCCAATTGGGGCTTCCCGAATAACTGCTTCCATTGTAGTGATTCCAGGGTTCTCGTAGATAAGCTTCGATAGGTATAGTTGGTAGGATCGAAGCACGTAGCTATGATATCGTGCGGATCTTGCTGCCGACTAGTGGGAATCAGGCAGTGGCAAAGGTTATTCAGCCACCAGAATATCTTTGGAGTTGTTTTAGGTGTCGATGACCAGATGCCCTTTGAAGAAACGGAAGATTATTATATACTATCACTGCATGAATCATCTTGGTTCTGCTTATATAGAAAATTTGATACGGAATTCGGAAATAAGGTCAAACACACTAATTAGGCTTCGAAAGTCTTCTGTTTCGACCAATCATGATTATTGAGCATGTTCTATGTTATAAATCAACTCTTGGCCCTGCCTCCACGCCTTTCGAGCACGTCAGACCCACCATGGAGATGAATCTCCCCGATCCCGAACACCCATCGAGCCAATCAGAAACGAAGTTACGACATATCCATGGATGTGCCTTGGATTTGAAATACGAAAAATTACTCAGCTAATTGACACCAATACCCTATTTGGTTATTAAACCCAGTCATTGCGAATACTTCCATGGGTATGGTTCATCGGCCATCTTGGCATGATTTATAACGGTCTTACGTTAACTCCGGATCGGGAGTAAGATCTTAGCCCCGCGTTAGATGACGAAATTTTCTTCTAGTCCAAGATCGCTTATCTGTGCAATAGGGTTTGCGCTTAGTTTCGAGCTCTGAAGGTCAAGCTGTGAATTCTCGTGATCTGGTGGAGGTTCAAGTGATTTATAATCGATGCCGAGGGGCTCGGGCTCTGCACGCACCGAGCAAAACGTTATGTTTTTTTCGCCTGGAACGCGGTGATGATGTGCTTTACAAACTTTCATGACCCTCTCGGGTATGACAAAGTTAGGGATGCAGTTTGACAAGATTTGTGAAACCGAAGAGAATGAGGCTCTAAAGCATTACTTCGTAACCGGCATAACCCATCAATAGGTGAACTAGAAGGATTATTCAGACAGTGACGATCTAAAGGGAAAAGCATGCTTGTCAAATCATTCAAACTTCAATTATAATTACAATCCAGTCATTTTCAAACTGTGCGAAAGCGGCTATGTCCATGCAAGCAAATCCAAATTGCAAATCGCAAATCGCAAACTTCGCCCAATAAACCTTTAGCAACCTCTCTGAATTTCACCAAGAAGCGAAGGTCCTCGGCACTCAGGGTGCTATCCCGTCCAAATGATCTCATAGAATTCATTTTTTTTCACCTTCCAGTATATTGGACATATGTCGACAGTATCACCAATCAGGGGCGGGATAAGGATGTGTTAGTGTGAGAGTCATGTAACATTTCCGTTCGTGTCACAAGGGTGAATCGTTTTTTTTTTCTTTCTGTAAAAACTCCTAGACTCCAAGATAATGCGGCAAAATCAAGGTCATATTCCTATGATCATGCGTCGTTACCAAGGACTCCGAATGGGTTTTGGCCCTTGGTGTCGGAAACACTTGCGGGAGTATCTTGAGCGGCCTTCTGCTTCTTGGCGCCCTTCTTCGCAGGCACGGTAGAGAATCCGTCGTCAGATCCAGATTGACTGGTAGCCACAGTCTTGGCCTTGCTGGCAGCCGATGCGCGAGTGCGGATGGGTGAATCAGGAGTGGACTTCTGCTCCACGATCTTCTGCACGTGCGCCTTGATGACCTCCTCGTCGGTGGCCTCGCTGTTCTCACCCTCGATGGCTGCTCTCTGAATCTCGCGGCTGAGGCCCTTGAGGGCGTCCATGCCGGCCTTCTCGGCAGCTTCCATGTGGGTTGCCTGCTTGATGCCGGGATCCTTGCGTTTCAGGTATGAGCGCACGAAGAAGCGGGCGAACAAGTAGGTCAGGGGGAGAAGGTATGACACGTTGAGCCAGATCGCGAATGCCTGACCAGTGGTGTCCATGCAGGTCACCATCTCTTGAGTGAATCCAGAGCTGGCGATGGGGGCAGCACCGGTGCTGCCGACGTTCTCGGCGATTCCCTCGGCACCAGCGGCGCGGAGGGCAAGCTTCTTCAACCAGGGAACGACGCCGGCTTCGGCGGTGGCAGTGACCACGGCGGGTGCAGCCTTGGACAGGTGGCGCAAAGCGGTGCTACCGACAGGATAGGGAAGAGTGTACTCCACGAAGAGGTAGGCAGCAGCCATGTTAGTGCCGAGGACGAATTGGGTGATCTGCATGGTGGTCAAGCTGCGCTTGATCACCCCCGGGACACGAATGCGCAAAGCCGTGAAAGTGTAGTAGGTGTACTAAATATTTCAGTTAGTCATCATGCTATCTGTGGTCCTTGAGGGAATTAACATACCATCAGCGCGTGAATAGCGGAGTTCACGAGGCAGAAGATCCAGATAGGAGCTGCCATATAACGAATACCGGCCCACATGCACATCATAGCACCGGCGTGGTGGTAGGTCTGCAAGGTGGAGCTCTTCTTGCCTTTAGCCAGGATAATGGCAGTGTCCACGACCTCGTAAAACTTGGAGAGGTAGAAAAGCCAGCCGAAGTAGGCGAGGCCCTGATTCCAGAGACGACCGACATCTGTCGAATCGGGTAGGCCATTGCTCAGCTTGTAGGCCGGGTTGGGAATGGACCACTCGTCGGTGATAGTGCTGTAGGTTGCGGCATTACCGTAGCCGCGGGGGCCATTGATCTTGCACAGCGAGTCCACAACGCCAATCAGACCATTGGTATCGCTGCGATCCGGGAAGGAATTGCCAAAGGCCTGTACCATACCCACAAATGTCCAAGCGGAATAAACGGCCAGGAAGACATTGTGTAGTACCACGAACAGCTTGAACAGGGGCGAATGGCTGAATGCATAAGGCTTGTAGCCGCGACTTTTATTGATGCGACTGATCAGGACGACAGTCAAGGCGTAGACGCTGGCAATTGTAATAGGCACGCGCACATCCAGCACCTGGTTGTAAAGGTCGTTGGGAATGTTGAAGGGCTGCTTCCAAGAGAACTCCGATACATGGGGCGCAGGAATGGTCACAGGAAGCTCAGCTGGAGGGAAGCTAAGAAGGGAGGAGCGAGGAAAGCCGATCCGGATGGTGGCCGGCCCAAATTGGGAGGGCACATTGAAGTCATACATGGTTGCTCTCCTTATAATGACCCAGGTTTGCGAAGTTGCGCAATTGGCAAAGGCCCTAAGGGAAAGGTCGAGAACGAAGAGAGAGAAGAAAAAAAAAAAGTCCTCACCAAATCAGTGATAGCCTTAAGGGCGACTCCACTCGCGATAAAAGAAAAAAGACTTATCGCGGTGGAGCCTACGTTTGTTGGGAATTGGGGAACCGAGGTTGACCTGTCATTGGGGGAAAGTCGACGGAGTTTGGGGTTTGGGTGAATCGAGCCGGAAGGCGCCTTTCTCGTCATTCTACAGGATCAAGGACTAATTTTTGTGAATTAATTGTTTAATCTTATTGTTTAATTGTGTAATTGGCCTGCGCATGCGACCTCATGCTCTCAGACATCTATCCAGGGCCAACATGTAGAACCAAACCTACCCTTACTTAAAGCCTGTATTCCAGTGTTCTAAGAATCTATGGAGTATAGCATCATGATGTGGTCATCCACTTCCTGTCAATCTCCAGGTTTTCGAGATTTCCGTGCCATTGTTCTGTCGTCACCCAATGTGGACCTGCTGACTCATACTCTCGGTTCCAAGTGGATATAGTAACGGTGGATATGGATAGGTTCACCGCGGGCGGATTCTCTCTGCACGATGATAACATACACATGCTCGGATCCTACTCCAGGGAAAGATCGGTTGTTGGGAAACCACAGTTCGCATATCAGGGGGGCGAACATGCATTGGCAGTTCCCAACAGCTTCGGCGTAAGAAGATCGGCCAACCGGATCTTCACATGCGGCCGAGGCCAGGGATGCCAATCAGAAGAGAGCATCAATCAGCTACATGCAGTAATCACAGAGAATCGAAGTATCGGATTACAATTCGGAGTGGTAATACAACATCAAAAAGGATGGAGAACCAGGTTATATGGCAATCCGATCCAAACTGATTTGGCGCCAGGCCCGAGATAAGGTTGTACAGGTTACATGTGCCCCGCTCAGCGGGGTTTGGTGTTATGAGGTACAGGCGGTGGCGGGACTGACGACGACTCAGGCTCAGGGAAAGCACCGGGCATCGTTGGTGCAGCACGCATCTCCGCTCGTTTGGGAGGGGGTGGTGGTGGCTTTTTACGCGCTTGGGTCTCCAGGGTAGATGAAGATGAAGAGTTCGGCGGCGCCGGTGCTGCTGGCGCAGGTGCTGGTGCCCTTACAGGTGGATTTGGCCCGGGCGGTCGAGGAATCCGTTTGTTCGCATTGGCCGAAAACTTACGGTCTTCAACAAAAGTGTTGAAGCGCGACGTCACTCCACCCCATTTCTTCTTCCCTGCATCAATTGTGTCGGCATGTCGGTCGCGGAATCCCGGAGCTGGTGGAAGGAAGTCCGCTGAATTCGCCGGACGCGGGGCTGGAACTGGCGGAGGGGGTCCCTTGTTGGGAGAGCCTGAATCGGTGCGCATCTGCGAGAAGTGAGTCTGCAAATCTTGGACAGGTGAGTCGTTGGCTTGTGTTGTTGAAGAAGTTCCACTCGTTCCTCCGATACCGATTTCCGGGACTGAGACCCCAGCGTTAGCGAGGCGGGACGCTGCCTCCTGATTCACATATCCCTGGGAAGGCGATGGCGTAACAGCAGCGTATGGCGGCGGGGGGGATAGATTTTGGGAAAGCGACTGATTCCGTGGAGGGAGTCGGGGAGGCAGCTGAGGCTTTGGCTTCACGACGGTCGGCTTTGCGCCTACGGAAGGAGCAGAAGTCGGTGAGTCGAGGCGTCGGACTGGAGGTGGAGGCAGGTTGGTTGTAGATAGCCCAGTTGTGTTCGCGCGATACGGCACCGGAGGCGACTTTGGCTTCTGAGCTTCCTCTTCCTCTGCTTCAACCATTTGTCGATGACGAGTGTTTTGTTCTTCGATCTGCTCGTGGGACATAGGGGCCCCTAGACCTCGTCGGTCCGGGATTGTCTCGTTCACCGCGGCCGCGCCATGGTAATTAATATGCTTCGGGGGTGGTGCAAAGGACGCGGGGTCCTTGAGAGACGACAAAGGTTGGGAGACATGTTCACTTTTCTCGGAGCTGGGGTCCTTGCCCTTGCCCATCCATCCCGCCTGACCGTCACGTTAGTAACCGAGACATTGGCCACGTACAAGGTCACTGACCACTTGATTGATGCCCTTGAAGTCACCGCGCCAACTTTCTTTGCTTCCTTCTTTTCCTTTGGGATGCCAGCCCCCTTTAACAACATTGCTGAGGCCACTCATGATGACAGGGTAGATGTAGATGATCCTTCCAGAATCATTCGGCCACGGTCTGCAACCCCCGCTTACTCCACAGTCACGTGAATGTTGTGTAAGCTTCTCTCAAACAAGGTTGCTGCAATGTCCACAGTGGAAGAAACAGGCTGTCAATATTTCCATACTCCAATGTCAGCCGCATTTTCTTACCAAGACCGGGCTCGCGGATCAAAAAATGAGATCGACGTGTCATTCCAAAGCCGCACAACATTCTGCAGCTTTCTCGACACCTGGGGCTTGGTTCAATTATCATGACCTCTCACGTACTGCCGTTAATACAGCCACCACAAAGCCCAAGACCGAAGTTGCATGAATGCCAGCCCAAGTATGGGACGATCTCAACCTAATCTCCGAAGGGATGATGGAAATCATAATTTTGTCTTTTCGACATCGTGGAATGACTCCGCGAGCACCTCCTCCAGATCAATAGTCAGAAACTTCACACACAGCCAAAGCGAAAGGTTGTGACTGTCAACTGTAATGGTTGACTCAATGTTGAAGACTTTGATCCGGGACGACAAACTGGATGGAGGCGTGCGTGCGACGTATGCTACTGACCCCCGGCGGTGGATACTTGGGTGAAAATGCACATACTGTACTCGGTCGACTACCGAAATACGAGTGATCAGCAAGCGAGTTTGATCTAATACGAGGCTGGATAGACCTTGACGAGTTTCATCGAATCACATTCGTCTTTCTTCAAGTCCATACGAATACGTCGTACTTAAAGAGGGGGTTCAGGATATCTTGCTTGGATATCGTGCCGCTGGATGTGCTCGGTCCCATAAGTTCCAACTGTGCAGGGAAGCCATAATAACGCAGACGTGTGTCATGTTTGAACAGCACCAATCACGACAACGCGGGTCTGACATGGAGCCTCAGCGCATTTTTGGCTAAACGAAAAACAGCTAGACTTGCCGCCGATCTTACGTGCCGCCCCCAACTGTGAGCCGCCCTCGATTTTAATTATAGACATTGAGCATGAGTTTAGCATTACGCGGACAGTGAATTCTGTAGTCCCCTGAGCAGATCGACGGTTGTGCGTAGTATACATGTACAGTATTTTTCGAAAGGATGTGCCAGCCTTGTACTGCAAAGCCCCAGTTCCCACCTTCCCCACTCCATCCTTGAGTGCTGACCTTTGTCCCTTTTTTTTCTTTTCTTTGCGCACTTTTTGTCTGCTTCATATTCTGTCGTGAAGACATTCGGGAATTATCAACTTTGAGTCGAGACGATCTAAAATAGAAGTGCAGTGCGCCGAGCGCTTTAGCCTATGCCCTACTGAGTAGCGTCTAATTTGGCCCCCGATCGCCCTTTGTGCCGCTTTATTTCTTTCTCCCTTTGTTTGATTTTCTGTTTTTAAGTCATTTGGCGCTCAATAACTCTTCATATCAATTTTCAACAATTATGACGATACTAGAGCTTCTGAGGAGGCTGTCAAGGCCCCCAGATACTGGAGAGGGTGGCCCTAGTCATGATGATGGTGCTACCACAACTATGAATCCTACTGGGACCGTTCAATCGGAATCGGCTGCAACTTCGACGGCAACAACCAGCGATTTAGGAGCGACATTCTTCGGTGAAGTCTCGGCAGGGGCGACAGCATCTACGACCCCGACAACAACTCCTACGGCAACATCTATCTCTACCTCTACCTCGGATTCTATCTCTACCTCGGATTCTACCTCTACCACTGCAGCAGGTAGTCATTCAGGCGGAGAGTCAACAACCACAAAGCTAGCTATCGCTCTTCCTATAGCCATCGTCGGTGCTTTAGTGATTATGGCTATAATCTTCTTCCTCATTCGCCGTCGCCGCCGAAGCCGCAAGCAAAGTGGTGCAGTCCCTTCATCACCAGCCTACGATACAAACGAAGGAAAAGTCATCTCAACCACGCAGATAATGTCCGCACCGCCCCGAGAATCAGCTGCAGCAGGTCTGCCCAGGTTCCCGATTATGGACGTTCCACGAAGTCGAGATAGTGAGGTGTCGGCGGGACAGGTGCCGACACATAATGAGTCTCATACGGAGATGGGCTATGGGATGGCGGTTTCGAGGGATCAGATGCACAGTGCGACGGAGCAGGCTTCGCCTGTGAATGCGGCGGGATCGCATATACGTTTGCCTTTTGAGAATCGCGGGGCTGCTGATGATGATGTTGTCTCGATTGTTTCTGATGAGCACCGGGCTCATGGGCATGGTTATGATGATATGTCTTCTGTGTCGTCCTTTGATGGGAATAGTCCGGGAGCGAATGACCGTCAACATCCCTTCCGGTGAAGGGACAATTATACATTGAAATTGTATTTAAGCCATGGCGTAGATTCTTTTTTTTTTTTTTTCTTCTGAATTGACACCCCATGGTGCATGTTTACAATGTCAAGTTTGCACCTGGTCTATGTGTGTGGGCTTTATTTTAGGTCTGGACGATCAATTTGAGATCAGAGACATCGTGAGAGATACTTTTTATTGGTGAGTCAGTTGCTTGTTTGACATGTAGACCCATAAAATTCATATACAATAAATATACTTGCGCCCGGTTAGAGCTTACCGACCACCCCCAAGGTCAGGCTTCCACTCTTGAACCAGGCCCTTGGAAAGTTCGCGGAGTGCCATGGTGGCGTACTGACTCGATCCCAATTGGAACTTCAGCACAATAGCCAACTTGTCACCAGCCGGGGCCTCAAGTGTAGCAGCAGGAGCTTCTAGCTTCGATTCCAGGTTCTCCAAATCAGTCTTGACGAATTGCTGATCCTCCTCGGAATACAGCTTAATGTCATACGAATAGTCAGCGCCCATGCGGCTGAAAATTTTGCGATAGCTGCCACTGAGACTGGCATCCTTCCACTTGCGTCGCATGTTGAACGGATCCAGACCGCCACCCCGCTCGCTGGCCATGAACTCGCGGTAAAAGTCGGTCATCTTATTGGGGGGTAGATGACATCGAATCCAGGAAGAGGAAGAACAATGTCAAAGAGAGAGTACTTGCCGCTCGCAACCTCCTCGGCTGTCAGAGCGCGCGCCCGTGTGAACATGTCGTCCGTAGAGTTGGCACTGTCACCACCCTGCGGAACCACGATGATCTCTCCATCGGCATCAATGGTATCGTTGTTTTCAGATGCGCCCTGTTCCTTGTCTCGGTGCTCCTGCACAATAACGAGATCACCCTCAACCACTTTGTCGCCGTAGAGACGCCAACGCTCACTAGCAGCATAGTTCCACACGAGGGACTGGTACGCATGTACGTACATGAGTCGCAGGTTCCGTGGAATAGCCTGCAGAGCTCCGAGATAATCATTATTTCCGTAACCCTGTTGACGAATGATACTGGCCTCTGCAGAGAACTTCCGCGGGAGCTCGTTCAAAGCGTCGTTGATGTTGCCTGTAGTCTTGAAAATGTGGATTGCCTTGGCACGGGACTTGTCATCAGTGCTAATGAGAGCGGTTGAGGCTTCGCCTTCCTGTGCTGCGGCGAGAACGTGAGGGGGGTAGTGCAGAATGGCATTACAGGCGCCCTCGAGATCATCTTGAAGAATCTTCACACCAACTGTGTCGGTGCGAGTCGAGAAAGTTCCGAATCGCTGCAGACCATAGTAGTTGAAGTAACCACGGTCGTGGAGGTTCTTCAACGAGGATCCGACGATCTCAGTGGCCTTTGCGACAGCAGCTTGGGGGTCTTGAAGGCTAACGCCGGGAACTTGGCAGTCACGCAGTGTGATAACAAACTCATTTCCGTAAAGATCCCCAAGCTCCAGACCGTGCTTGCGGTACTCGAAATCGCCCAGACGAGCATTGCGAAGGGTGGCGTTCAGCTTGGCAAGTCGGTGGGCGTGAACGCGAACAACACAGGCGCGCTGCACGGTTACACCACGACGATCTTTAGTACCGGCAAACTGGAACAATTTGGCGTTCATCTTCATCTGACGGGCCAAGAATGAGATCACCTCCATGGTATCCTTGTTCTCTTTGTATATCGTAAAATGAAGATATTGACCACCCAGCTCATCCCAGCTCACCCGGCCACCACCGGAGCGGCCACCACCGCGTCCGCTCTGCTGCTGAGCGTTGCGCTTGAAGCGATTGGCAGCGGGCATTATGGCAAGGTTGCCCTCGTTATCGGTAGTAGACTCCAACTGCGACTTGAATATACGCCTAATCGCCATGTGGATCTTGGTGCGCTGGTCACGGTCGGTAACCTGAAGGGTGACCTTTCCGAATTCAGTTGGTCTGGCTTTGCGGTCGGCCATGGCGCGCGCATGGATGTCAATTGTGTCTACAGCATTTTGTTCGCCAAGACATTCACAGAGCAAGACCTTGTCCTCTTCCGAGACCTTGAACTCCGCATCAGATGTCTCTTCCTTCGCGACAGGTGTGGGCTCTTGTGTTTCAGGCTGCTGTGTCTCGTTCTTCTTCTCGCTCAAAGCCTCGGGGACGGATGGGTTTCGGAGATGAAGGACTTGGCCGGAGGGTGTAATCTCATTGACCAGGAAGTCAGTGTATCTGGATTGAACTTCTTAGTAAGAAAGATTATATCTTGATGCTCAAGACTGCGTACCTCTTCTTCAAGGTGCCGGAGAATCCATCGATGTTCCCGGTGACCAGCTCCGTGATGCCGACTCCCCGTTCCTTTGCAGCCTGCGCATCCTCTACAATCTCGGTTTTGGGCAGCACCTCAACGATGGCATCAGCTGAAGACACATCTTCGGTCTTTTGCCGCTTCTGCGGCGGCTCGATAACTTCTGGGCGATCCATTGTAGCGTGGTGAATAAAAGTCGTTGCATCGTTGCAAAGCTTTTGGTCACGTATCGGGAATAGCGCGATAGGGCCAGCCCTAAGTCCCGGATTGGGAAATTCCATAACATTCAGATGAGTCTTTGATACTATTTGTAAGACAAATATATGGGTGATATTGACCCTCATGTTGTGAAAAGAGATCATGAAAAAATAGTCTTGGATAGCTTACTCTTCCAGCTGTGTCTCCAGGGCTTCCAAGTGCCCCCAAATCGATGGTTGATACAAGCATGCGGACTATTCATTCCTTCCGCGTTACTATGCCTTTGTCCATTTGCCCAAGCATTGATAGGTAAAACGCATAATCCCCCAAAATTTCTCCCCTCTCTGGCTTCAGAGCCTCTCACACATAATGTTTCTTGCAGACGATGAAAGGGGGCCCATGTCACACGCCGTGACGGGACTAGGGAGCCCTGGGAACCCGATTCCCCAAGGGCCGCATCAGCCTCGACTGATCTCGTGACCAGTGGATGCGAAACAGGCAGACTATCCGATAATACATCTAAGATGGCGTCGGTGAAGACCCCCGGCCCAGTAATCTCCAGCGTCATCAATTCGTTATAACGCGGACCTATAAAGATATTACTCTCGTCCAAGTGGCGCTTAGTGTGCGATATAACTCGAGCAATTACTTCTCGTAATAACGGACTAAAGCGCCGCGGTGCGTATATTGTATATTGGAGGAAGCCATAGGGGCGCACCCAGTGCCAGAAGTGCATTTCCTCGGGGGTGGCCAGGGGCTCGTCGATCTCGATCCCGAGGACAAGGGAGACGTCGGCGTTGTCGTTGAAGACCGATTCTTGTGTCGCCGGGCATTCTTTGATCTTGCGAGCTGGAACTACGTCCATGTCTGCATAGTAGCCACCAAAGTACCACAGGACAAGGTACCGCAATAAGTCGCTACGTTGGACGAAATTTGGATAGGAATGGTAGAGACTGGTCAGGCCAGGCACGGAGGAAAAGGTAATCGTGACCAGCTCTTCGGCGAATTCACCGGTAATGAGCTAAAGTTCATGGAGAGATAAGCTACTGTGCCAAGAGAGCAAGACAAATAGCCAAGAGGCTTGGGTATTACCTTGTATGACCATTCGGAATTCTGTTCTTCCATTCGTAGTGAATCCTGGCCGCGATTTTCAGGATTTGGCGCATCTTTCAGTAGCATCTGCCATATAATATCCCATGATTGATCACTACCGTGTAGCTCGCGTTGTTGGTTTTCGATATCCCGCAATGCGTCCGATACTCGCCGTTCGTATTCGAGGTCTGGATTTGTGCGAAATTCGGAATGATGTAGATATCGAGATTCTTTTTCGACCTGTTTATCCGGGCGAATGTTCAAAGAACTCTCTAGCGACACTAGAATATTGGCTATAGCAAACACCGCCAGACATGCGAGCGCTGAGGCAATGATTAATCGGCCCCAGAGTCTCGAAGTCCGCAATCGCGGAAACATGATGGACGATACATGGTTCGAGTCGGGGGAAACGAGGACTATGAACGGAACACACGGAGGCAGTGCACAACTTTTGGACTCGCAATTGTCCTTGGGGGGGGCAAGGCTGAACAGTTCTCAAAACATTGGCAGCCTTGGCATCCGGGATTTGGTTGGTTGAGTGTTGGTTTTACTTGCTGGACCCTTGGTATAGTCTGCGGGGTGGGCTTTAGTGCTTATTGTTGTGTCCCCACAACTCCCCGAAATAGAAAGATGAACCCATTATTCCCCTACCTTCAGGCTTGGGTATTCGAATCAATGTTGCCATGCGTTTTAAGATTTCTCGTATTACTTTCCAAACAGCCAAGCTGTTCTTATAACCCTTTGATTCTCCTGGTATATATCTCTTTACCTGCTGATAATTCCCCATTTCCCAGCACTGCAAAACTTGCCCAGGTGAGACATAATCTCCAAATTGGGTACTCATTCAGCAGTGACCCTGCCAAGACCCATTAAATACTTAGCGAGTCAAAATCTATGAGTCTGAAAATACACAATCTCAGTTCCGTCATCAATGTCATTATTCGTATAGTACAATCCCCATATGATCGAGTTACAAACAAACGCCTCCCATGCAACTCGGATCCAATTCCGAGTAGATCTTGATGTGAACATAAACGTTTTAATCCAGCACAATAACATCATCATCGTCAGACACAACAATGCATGGAACATCATCAACATCATCATCGCCATCAGTATGTGCCGGGCGCAAAACCGTCTCAATTTTTTTCAGTTCCTTACTTCCTTCCCAAGCCTTCCTGATTACTTTGACATTCTGCCATACCCTCTCTCGTGCCTCGCATCTTTCCACTCCAGACGCAAGCAGCGTTTCGTAATTCGTATGCTTATGCCGGATGTGAGCTTCAACGGCGAGAGTAGCCTTGCGTTTTTCTGTCGTAGTTGAGGTACGTCCTACCCGCCCAGACCCTTTAAGGAACGCATGGTTCAGGATTGTTTCAAGTGTCTCATGGGGCATCAATGGAAACTCATTGTAGAGTAGTGCCCGGCCGCGCATGATGAAGGTTTCATCGCGGACTTGGACAGCGCTGGCGCGTTTTTCTGCCGTTAAGGTTGCCCGCTTAGATACGTTTTTGTGGATCTCATCTGGGACTCTAATGCCCAGGGTTCGCTTGGCAGCTTTGTCCTGCGATTTACGTTGGTAGTTAGGTCTTGGTGCAATTTACTTCCCAGTTGACTTGATCAACTCACGTAGACAAGATAGACTACCCGATTGGATGTCTTGGTATCGGTTCGGCAGTGTCTGGTAATGTACACATTGCCCTTGGGGACAAACACATAGTCTTCTGGCATGGCGGCACGCTCAAATATGTTCTGTTTCAAGTATTAGGTACGGTCGGTCATATTTCAGGGCGCTGGATAGATACATACTTCTTCTAATGGGTCATTGGAATCAGGGAGGATGCCAGACCCCGCGGGGGCCTTGGATCTGGGGGGCTTGCGGCGTGAGCCGGTGGTTTTTGGCGGGGAAGTGAGGTCTGAAGAGCGCTTGTGGGCTCTTCCATGACGTCGACCCGCGAATTTCTTCCGATGGTGAACTTTTGGCTTTGTGCGTGGTGCCATGGTGGAATTGTGTAGTGAGGGTGGAAGAAGGGTGGTAAGACTTTGAGTCAACAAAGCCGGGGGATGTTCCAAGATTATCTGTAGCTGCCCTTTCTTGGTCCGCAGTCTGCCTAGCTAATCTCCTTTCAACAAGCACCCGGCCTTTCGATTATTTGACCTCAAGGGTTTGGCCTTGATGTCCGATCTTTTTGAACTCACGGGAAGCCCGGGGCCTGTGAAATAAGGCGTTGGATCAATTGATGTGGCTGTGGGGCAGGACGCCTGAGATATCAGGCTGCCAGGGGGGAAGTGCTTCAGCTACAAAGATTGGAATATGTCTAGGTGGATCTATGTAGGTGTGTATAGGCATTCCAATTTTATTGCGTATGTGAATAAAAAACGAATTGTGCAAGCTTCGTAGGCCGAGTGAATCGAAATTACTCATTGCACTTGAATACGAGTGGTTGCTACGTTGATTTGAACAAGCGGATATATATCTTGTCATATGTGACGCCATTATTCACCTAAAAACGTCCCTATATCCAATAACCGGAAGTAGGGAAATTGAAACGAACATGTAATTCCACATTGAAAAGCTTAAGTGAGGGTTTAATGGACTCGTGCAGGTGCTAGCTAGTTCCAAAATGTGACTTGTAAATAATTCTAGCTACAAACAAAGCCCGATTCTCCAGAGCTGTCAGTCCTTGCTTCCGAGATCAGTCACCTTGGAATGAATGAATGTCCCAAGCATCAATTAAAGGTAGGATCCAAACTATAAAACTATAAGCGGGGTACAACTACCACAGTTGAACGAGCTCCAGGGCTTTGTACTGTGTGATGTAGATCAGGCCATAGCGTGGGGCTGGAGTCCGGACGAACCGGGCATCGCAGCTTCAGTGGAGCCAGTGCTTGAACAAGTGTTTTGCAGCAAGCGTGGTTTACAGGTTTAGACACGTTGTATTTTGTATCAAGAAACCAAGATCTGGAGGATCCGCTGCGGATACGTGCCCAAACTGCCCCTAGTCCATCATGTTGCCCAGTCAGAAGCGCCACGGCGTGACCCATCCCCACCGGTCGCTATGAGCTCCCGTTCAGATCATGTGGAAGATGGAAAAATAATTCCGAACCAGCAAAACGACCTTAAGTGAGATTATGATCAACGAGATCTGTAAACCCCCCCCCTCCTCCCAAAAAAACAAAAGAAGCTATCGGATCCCGGTTGTCGGGGGGAGCTCAAAGGTGGATTTCCGAACAAACAGCGGGAGAAAGTCAGAATCCGGGACCTCATCGTTTGGATATCCGTCTGCTCAGGTGGATACGTTAAAATGTGAGATGAGGGGGCAGAAGTACAATGACAGGTAGACCACATTTACCAGACAATGAGCCGACAACGAATCACAGGCGCAAGGGCGAATGAAGCGACGCTAGCGCAGGACCAGAATCCAGGTGCGCCAAGCGGAATTGCCTGGCTCGTATGCCAGGGGCCGCGAATTAGCAGTAGGCGATCCTCGAAATGAGACTATGCAGGAACCAACGAGAAGGGAACATTGGAACTCAATCCTCGCGGACTTGCAGAGGCGACTTCTCCCCCCCTCCAGTGACTTTCAAACCCCCTGGAGCAATGATGAGATGCTTGATATCATCTTTTTCTCCTCAGAAACCCAAACATCTACATGGATTCTGGAGTATCGGGAGACTTGAATCCGATGGCAGCCTCTCCACTTTCAGGGGACATGTCGTCATCGGTCAGATTGGCCCGCTCTGGGGCTCGACAAAGCGTGAAATGCAACTGGCTCGTTCCCTGTGAAAGCTTGGAACGCCGAACAAGGCTCGATCTCGTCGGCCCAAATACGGTTCTAGATCGGCAGTGGTTTCCCCAAGGAGATTGATTACTCCGGAACTTCGTCCTTTCAGCTGGGCTGTGCATATGTGAGCTGAGAGATTCCACGGGGTATTCCATACTTTCCTTATCGCGGGGTTCCAGCACCATAGATGACAAGTACTCTTAAAATACTCCGTACTATCATACGGAGTACTGTGTAGATCTAAAGCATAAAGCAAACATTGTCGGAAGCTTTATAGTGGAGATCGGTGGAGGCTCATTTTCTCAAAGGGAGGAAAAGTCCCCACGCGTGAAAAAAAAAAAAAAAAAAAAAAAAAAGACAAACAGAGAAAAAGAAAAACATTTTTCCTGAACCTCAAACTCCATTTCCCCGTTTTCACCTTAGGAACGAACAACGTTGGAAGCTTGAAGAACTTGGAACTTGAAACTTGGGAACTTGGGAAGATCGGATTGAAACTGGACACTGGCTGCAGCAATAAACCCTTGGAATCGGCCCCAATTCAACCACACCTCCATCTATATCTAATGATCGTGACTCTTCAACCTTAAGCGTCTATCTCTCAGCATTCCTCTTCATTAAGGTTGCCTGGCAGATCAAACCTTCAATGGTTGCTGGGACCGAGTTGCTGACATGAGTTGGGATCACCCTGTCCACAGGTATGTTCCCCTTCCCCTTCCCTCCCTTTCCTCGTGCGGGGTGCCTTCTCCCCTTAGAATGGATACTGGCTCCATGTTCTTCTCATGCCTCATTCTTCAACTATGCTAATCCACCCGGCCATGTTCAGCTTCAGCTATCCTAACGGCGAACCTCAAACTCCCACGAGGACCCCTACCACGGCCGCTTTCGACTCCTTCACTACTCCGAAACTCGAGTCGAGTTTCTTTGACCCCCGGGTCACCTGGGATACCGCCGACCCTTATGCCTCCAGTCCCGAGTTTCTACGGTCCCCTCAGAAGTTCGCTCTCGGCACCCCCTCAAATCCGTTCAAGACAGAATCCCTCGACCAACGCGTAGGAGACTTTAAGGATGGAAGGATTTTGGAACAGACGGATACTGCGAGGCGCATTCGTCCCGTGAAGCCAATGCCGGATATAAGTGAGGATGGCCCACGGATAGAGGATTCTGCAAAGTCCGCAGCTTCAATGCAGACACCACCTCCTACCAGTGCGTCAAGGCGGAAGATCCCCGACTTCGACCCGCTGGCCAGTGTCGGGAGAGGCACTACTCCCCGGACAGGAACCCATCTGGAGACCCCCAGCCGACTGCTGGGAGAGTCCCCGCGGATGTTTGGCAACCTGCAATCATCGCCAGATTTCTTCCAGCTGGCTTCGTTGGACCCCACAGGGTCTCCCCTCTTTCCACAGCAGCGACTGTTCTGGGACCAGGAGCATGAACCACCAGCACGCGACCTCCCTCTTCCGGGCACCCACAGAAATGCTGATCACCCACCAAAATCCATCTCGAACGCTGCAATTAAGACACACATCCCGCAGCTGCCAACCATTGACGGCTCCATGGACTTGCCAGAATTCAGCGGGTTTGGATTCTCAGCCCAGCCTACCGATGCAGCCCTGTTTCCCGCTCCATTCTCCACCTCCCCTCGACGGCCCATGGCCAAGGCAGAAGACCCTGCCATGTTCTTGAGTTCGCCTGCCCGCCGGTTTGGTGGACCTCAGATGACGCCGGAACGAAAATTCCTGCGTGGATTGCGACAGCCTTATCACCACCAGATTGAGGAATCGAAACGGGAAGAGCTGCTGCGGTCCCATAGTCAAGATCGCCAGGGCTTCGGCTCCTTTTCGAGCGTATCAGATGACGATGATCATACACCTAGGGTACGGCCGGGGTTGACCAGGAGTGTCACACACACTGCTTTGACGAGCTCCTCCCATCGCCCGCTTAGCCAGGCAGGAAAGGCCTCCAACGGGGTTCGCAAAAGCCCTTCAAAAGGACGAGCATCTCCGGTTAAAGGGATGCGTCCTGCTTCACTAGCACGATCTGCCTCGGCCGCTACATTCCCCACTCGTTCCCAGTCTGTCGTGCTTCGTATTGGACGAGATGGTCGAGCAAAGGCTGAAATGCAGCCTGTTGATGAGGGGCCCTCGGGGTTGACTGATCCTCTAACTGGGATGGATCTCGACGGATCTGCCACTGAGAGTGAAACTGACCCTGCCGAGTACTCAGAGTATCCTGTCCTGCCTCGGTCCCAATCATCTTTCTCTTTGTTGGACAGCCACTGTCCTAATTTGGCCCGAAGTGACTCTGGGTCCCGGCCCCCATCCAAGGGGTCCTATGCCTCCATTGGCTCATCACACTCTGGGCGCATGTCTCCTTGGGCTGGATCTTCTCGGAATGTCTCTGGTAGATCTACATATCGTGGGTCGCCGGAGGCTATCAAGCGGACCCCAAAGCGACAATCATCATTTCTTCACTCTGATGCGACTTATACTCGGGGTAGCGTGACGTCCCAGTCCCTGCCTGGGGATGAGGATGGCAGTGGTGATGCCCAGGCTGCTCTCCGACAAGTCCTCAAAGAACGTGGCCGCCCCAGGCCTTCTACTGGTGGCTACGGGGCTCGTCTCGCCCGATCATCACACTCATTTGCTCATCTCCAGTCATCCCCCCCCTCGCATGCATAGTGATTTTGATCTCCAATCTCGACACTCCAATGCATCCCCCACCACGGTGACCGACCCCGACTTAGCCACTCCCCACACAGAGCGACATAGCAACCATAGCAACCCTAGTAATGCTACCCGCTGTATTTGTCACTCCATGGACAACGGTGGGCACCTCATGATACAATGGTTAGTTCTAAATCCGACGATGCTTTTGAACTTGTGGCCACGGACTAAACTATTTCTAGTGAATCTTGTACCCACTGGCTCCACACTAAATGTGTCGGGCTCGAACGAGCCAACCTCCCCTCTTTCTACGTGTGCATGTTCTGTGACCAAACCCCATCCCGGGGAAACCGTGTTCGATCGGGCTACGGGCCCGGTGGTGGTCCCCCCTCACCTTTAGCGCATAAATCATTTCGGTTCCGGCAAAGCTCCCGTTGAACTGCTGATGTACTCTGACGACTTTCTTTCCTTTGTTCCACTATGCATCAGCCGGGCTGTCCCCGTCTATTTTTTTGTATTGCCTAATCTTTCCCCTTTCTCGATGATACCTGTGTACTTTTGTACTATTACCACATATCTCCTTTTACTTATATGGTCCATTCTTGAGGTCCAATAGAAATCCACTCAGATGTTTCTGTCCTACAATCCTTACACACCGAGAGCTTCTCATACAACCGGACCGGGACTTGTACCTCACCGGACCGGGATCTACATCCAGGGTCACGTGCCAGATCGACACTGTACCTTATCGGCAAGCGCTCCCGAGATTTGCGTATCGTGCGTTGCTCATTGGTTGACAACCTTATCCACCTCACCGCCTTTTTATCGGTTCCTGAAGAAAGAATCGACTCCCCGCAAAATTGAAAACGGAGTCATTCCCTCGTTGCTGTGCAATTCACTCGTTTCGTTTGCACCATGTCTGCCTCAATCCCTGGCTCTCGTGATCTTCCGGTCTCTCAGTATGACTTGACCACCTACTGGGGCCGCGTTCGCCATGCCGCAGACATTTCAGACCCGCGGTGAGTCTTCCGGTGTTTTCGCCTCCGTAACAACATTATTGATCTGTGGTTTTAGCACCCTGCTCACGGGACCTGCTGGCTTGGAGCAAGCCAAGGGTATAATTGCTCAATACAAGCAAAACAAGATCCCCTTCATGACACCGGATCTGTGGAGCGCAAAGAAAATTGTCGACGCTACCTTGCATCCCGGTATGGGCTGAACCAGCTGGGAAAACAAAGGAGGTTGGTCGCTGATAAAATGTACTACAGATACTGGCGAACCGGTTTTTCTGCCCTTCCGCATGTCCTGCTATGTCCTTTCCAACTTGATTGTGACGGCGGGTATGCTTACCCCGGGTCTCCAGGTGAGTCAATGAATTTCTTCCAACCCCACCCTAGATCTAGACTAACGTGCCGCCGCCTCTATAGACCACTGGAACTCTTTTATGGCAGATCGGTAACCAGTCGCTCAACGTTGCGATCAACAATGCCAACGCCAACAAGTCGACTCCACTGTCTTACTCCCAGATCGCCAAGTCCTACTGCATGGCCGTTACCGCTTCCTGCTCCGTCGCCCTGGGTCTTAATGCACTGGTCCCTCGCCTGAAGAGCATCTCCCCCAATACCCGCCTCATCCTCTCCCGTCTTGTTCCCTTCGCCGCCGTCGCCAGTGCCAGTGCCTTGAACGTTTTCCTCATGCGTGGTGAGGAGATCCGCCAGGGTATCGATGTCTACCCTGTCCTGTCCGATGAGGAGCGTGCCAAGCGCGAGGAGATGGAGGATGCTGAGCCATTGCAGAGTCTGGGCAAGAGCAAGAAGGCCGCTACCATCGCTGTCGGCGAGACAGCTATTAGCCGTGTCCTGAACGCCACTCCCATCATGGTACTTCCCCCTCTGATCCTTGTCCGCCTGGAGAAGACCCAGTGGCTTCGGGCTCGCCCTCGCATGATCATGCCTGTCAACTTGGGTCTTGTCCTGACCACCTCTCTCTTTGCCCTGCCTCTGGCCCTGGCTGCATTCCCCCAGCGCCAGGCCATCAGTGCCAGCAGCCTTGAGGAAGAGTTCCACAGCCGTGGTGGCCGTGATGGCATGGTCGAGTTCAACCGTGGAATGTAAATTTTGGTTTTTTCTTAGCACCGGCGTTGCAGCGTCTGCATTTGATGCAGGTAGATACGTTTTTCTTTCTTTCCTCTCTGGGATGCACATGCCTTTTTGTATAGATTTGGTTTTTCCTAGGTATATATGTGGATTCTAAGCCTAGCATTGCATTTCTATCATTTATCATCATTCAGTCAAAAGTGGTGTCTTTCTTGCCTGAAGGACTTGCTCCAACTGTGATGCAATGTTTAACAAGTCATCGTCGTTTCCGTGTGGACCCATCAACTCTATTCCAATAGGAACTCCTCGAGGTGCCGATGTAGTAGCTGGACCAAAGCCGGCTTTATATTAATTAGTCTCATATTCATTGCGTCCGTGGAATATTACAGACTGACCTGGAATGCAAATTGCAGGGTTCCCAGTCACAGCTGCTAGCACCCCATTGCGATTCGGCTGTCTCGTTTCCCCAACGTTGACAACCAGCTGTCGCTGATGCGGATATACCAATGCATCTAGCTCATACTTGTCAAAACACCATCGTACTGACTCCTTCAGAGCCGCAATAGCATCGAGACGAGACCGGTACTCCTTGCTCGTGCGCGAGTATACCTCAGGATCTCGCAGAGGAGCATAGAAGACGTCCGTCACAGCTTCTTTGTCATAATTGCCACTCTGCGCTATATCTTGAAGCGAGCGACATGGCGTTGATGTTACATACGAAGACTGAAGAAAGGCATTGAGACAATCCTTGAATTCAAAAGGTTGGGTATCCGCATTGGCAAGCAGGTTCGCCAGAGTCCAGTCTGGATCTGAGTCCACGGAGATCAGCATTATGTCCAACTCGCCTTGAATCGTGTCTAGCGCATGATGGACAACACTTTGGACCAAACGATTTTCGGCAATATCCTGTTCAGAACAAGCAATAGGGTCCTCGAGTTCAAAATACGCATTCAAAACCCCAATTCGTGGTGCGCGCTGTTTCTGCTTCTCATGACAAACAGACCCAGAATAAGAACAAGAATCCATCAATCGATTAATTGGCCCTTTCATTGCCTCATATAGGATCCTAACGTCATCCACAGTCCTTCCCATTGGACCAGCCATATCTTGTGTCTCGGAAACAGGCACAATTCCCACACAAGAGACACTCCCTATGGATGGCCGAAACCCCACAATCGAACAGGCTGACGCCGGTGACCGCAGTGAGTTCATAGTATCGGTCCCACACCCCACAAGTCCCAGGTTCGCTGCTAAGGCTGCAGCTGTGCCGCCGGAGGAGCCACCCGGAGTACGGGATAGGTCATATGGATTAAGTGTCTGTCCACCGAGAGACGAGGTTGTTGTTCCGTGTAGAGCGAACTCATGTAGGTTTGCTTTTGCGAGGACTATAGCTCCGGCGTTGAGTAGGTGCGTCACTACTTCGCTATCTTTGCTGCGGAGGGAGTGTAGGGCCTTGGTCCCTGCGCTTGTGGGTAAGGTTGAGGTTGTATAATTGTCCTTCAGGATTATTGGGACTCCATGGAGAGGCTTCAGGGGAATCCCTTTTCGAAGATAATATTTTATTTCCGTGTCTTTTTGGATTGCTGTGGTTAGGGCGTTGGGGCTGATTGTTATGAGTGTTTTGAGTGTCTGATCGTGCTGGGTGATTCGGGCGAGATAAGTGCGTACTACCTCACTACAGCTGGTTCTGCCTTGATGGAGTAAGGCATGAAAGGCTGGTATAGTGAGTTCCAGGACGTTGGGATGCTGTTGTGCATTCATGCTGATGGGGGAGGTCTAGTGCTTTGTTTTGAGGGGTTGAGTGGGTTGGCGTTGTTATGACGATCTGAGAGTGGTTTAGTGTTGATACTCTAACGTCGGGCAATGCCAACATTGAAAACATTGGAAGTATTTCGAAGCAGAACTAAGGCCAGGGAAATAAGATAAATAAAACTAAGAAAGAAATCAAGCAATAAAATTAGGGTTAGCCTTACCCTTGGCCTGATAAAAATCTTAACATCTCTGAATGGCTTCAAAATACCTTCACCCACCCCTGCTTCTCTTCCACTCCCAACCAACTTACACCCTCATTCTCGCGAAGAATGTTTGAGCTACCTGAAAGGCAGAATAGAAAAAAAAGGAGAGAAAGGCAAAAAGCAGATATAAACCATCTGTTGCCCCAGTTTCAACGGTAAATATCATTGCCGTCGGACACCTAGACACCCATATGTCCCAAGTGTCCTTGGTCATGTAGCACTGAGGAATAAACCGGCCAGTGAGCGCGGTTTTCAATGAAATAGTCCTCATATATTGCATCATAAGGGAACACTCGCCAACCTTCCCCTTGGTTTCTTGCAGAATCCACTCTACACTTCTGGTTTGATTTGGCGTTGATGGATCAAGGGTATTAAATCATCTCGACTTTTATAGTATTCCGTGGACGGACCGAGACAACATCTATTGTATTGTATGTGCATTTCTTTGGACCCATCTCTTCCAAGGTTCGGAGTAAAATGATCGGTGTATGGCAGTATCTTCAGCTCTATAAGTATGCAATACAAGTACATTGGATTGACTATAGACTACTGATATATGCATCAACCTTGGAACATCCTAGGATCGATATACGGGACACTTAAGCAAATCCAAAATCCCAAGGATCAATGAAGTCGGGCTAGGACCCGGCCAATGCCTATGTACACTGCTCTCCACTCCGGTACGCGCCAGAGAAACAAATTCAACATGGTATAAGAAACGCAGCCTAAGAATCTCCAAACCCCACATTGATAATCGAAAGAAGAAAAAAAAAATAAGTCGCAAAGAAAGCAAACGGCAGATAGGCAGATGCTCGGATCACAGAAGTCTGTGGCATCAGCCAGCGCTGGAAAGGGATGGCAGAATGATATAAGGTGTAAAATATCACGATGGATCACCGTGCGAAATGCTAAGCCGGGGTCGCACAGGAGAGCAAGGTCAAGGGGAGAAGAGAATCGTGCCCTGACTGCCCAGGTGGTACAAAGTCCAGGGTCAAGCCAGGATTGTGCATGTTCATAAAACCCAGCCCTGAAAAGACGCCGCCGGAGGTAAGAAGAGAGCGAGAGAAGAGAAGAGAAGAGAGAACAAGAGAGCAAGAAGCAAAACACATCGTGAGCATCATTTTCCTAATGTGAAAACACCGTCCCATTCCCATCCGTAACAAGAATTACCCAGAACATATGAACCATCTATCCATAATGGACCCAAGAGACGCCGGTGGATCCCATGAAGATACGTGTCGCGAAAGCCTGATGAGGCGCAAAAGATTGACAAGAAGACATAAGGCTAGCGAGCGTTGGGGCGATGCAAGCCCATACCGATCCGATATGCCTCTGTGCCATCATCGACGATACTCTCTTTGAACCATGGGTGCTTCAATGCATCCTTGGCAGTGATTCGTTGCTTAGGGTCATATACGAATATTAGGCGTAACAGGTCCAGGAATTGTCGGTTGAAGGGAGTGCTGGTAGGGATGAAGTCCTGCGCATAAGTTAGTAAGAAGTTCCCTATAATGAATGACAAGAGGCAACACATACAGTTAGTTCTTTCATTGCACGAACATACTTCCGGGATGCCCGGGTTGTTTCGGTATTCGGGTAGTCAAGTTTGTTGCGGACGAAGTATCTAAGAAGTGCGTTAATAGAAGATCATATAAGGTACTTGACTTGGAAAGTGAACCTACTTGGCGGCGGAGTTGTGATTACCCCCGCGTCCTGCCATGACTTGCCGAATCAATCGGGGATCGATCTTGTGTCCGATGACTGCCTCCATCATAGCCAAGTGTTCAAGGTTGTCATGGGTCTGAAACAAGGCATCCCCGGTGAAAAACTCCACCAGAATGCATCCAATACTCCAGATATCACATGAGAAACTCCACCCCAGGTTTAAAATGATTTCAGGTGCCCTGTAGTGCCTTGTGGAAACCACCGAAGAATGGTATTCATCGTCGAAAGTGGCAGAGCCAAAATCAATTAGACGGATCTCGCTGTCAAGGAGAACCCGTCGCTGCCGAGCATTTCGAGGGTTCGCATGGGAGGAGGAGGGGATAGTGCGGTTGTATGTAAAAGTCTGGTAGGCGTTGCTGACGAGGAGAATGTTTTCGGGTTTGAGATCGGTGTGAATCAGGTTGAGGTCGTGAAGGACTGTAATCAGGTCAGTGTCAAATCCCACATCCGTCTTTTCGTGAGCAAATGGGACCTACAGGCCACACTTGTGAATAACTGGCGCGCAAAGCTCTGAATCTGACTGCTGGGGAAGGGAACGAAGCCGTTGCCTTTCAGAAAATCAAATACACTCTGGCCCAGCAAGTCGGTGACGATGCAGATATGGTTGCGGAAATCGAAGCAGTCTCGCAGGTGGATACATTTGTTGCGATTGCTTTTGTCGTTTGAGGCTAGAGTTGACAGTACTCGCAGTTCAATCCGGGAAGCGTCCCTGTACTTTTGGATGGAGCGGATGATTTTGATCGCACAGCGGGCCTTGCGCGTCTTGTCATAGGCTTCCACTACTTTTCCGAATGTGCCCTGCCCGAGCAGTTTGATAACAGAGTCTGCAAAACGTTAGTCGAGTCGGTGCCAGCCTGGGTAGCAAGTGTAGATTAAACCCACATCGATCCGTTAACGGTGTATCGGGAGTCACAATGTAGTGACCATCGTCATCGTCAAACTTTTCATGTCGCGCGCTCGTGTACTAATTGGGAACTCAGGTTAGTTCAGTTGAAGACAGGAAAATGAGAGGTCCAGCATTCACGCACATCACGAATGACAGGCACGGGCACATCTTTGGCTTTGATGACCGGGTGCGGTGGTGGAACATATTCCAGGAACGCGTCGCCGACAGTTTCAAGTTCGCGCCGTTTTTGCTCGTCGCGGGCTGACTTCCGAGTGGTCCGCTTACGCTTTTGACCAGCTGAAGCATCTTCGTAGTAAATACCGTTGCTGGCGCCTGTGCTGCCCTGAGAGCCCAGTGACGTCGGGGCTGTAGTGTGCAGAGAGGTAGTTCGGTCGGTTGATAGTGAGTTCGACGAATCCTCCCCATACTGCTGAGGATTGATGGAAAAGGAAGGTCGGTCATAATAGCCCAAATCATAGGCAGTCTCGATTCCAGTGCGTCGTCGCTTGCCCGCAGGCTGGGGTACAGCTGGTTGGCCGGCCGACGCGCCGTGACCTGGAGCAGATTTGGAGGCCTTGGAGGCCTCGGGGCCTGGACTGTCATCTATCACAATGACTTCTTTGGGGATACCATTCTTGTAGAATTCGCCCCAATCGGGCTTCTTTTTCCGACCACTTTGCGAGGGGGCCGCGCTGGATCCACTTTGATGGGAAGCCATGCCCGACGGGGTCGACCTCGCCGGCGCGACTCGAGTAGATGGGTTGTAGGGAAGGGTGGTGGTCGGAGCGGTGGTTGGCGAGGGGACGGAGTAGGTGTAGGGATTTGTCAAGCGAGCCCCTGCGGTTGTAGTCGGGGTTGGGTAAGAAGTCGTCGCTTGGTATGAAGAATGGGGGTATCCGTAGCGCTGGTGAGAGGGATGGGTTGCAGTAGCTGTGGACGGTGTGGACATTGTGTACGGATCAGTCTCGTCCGTCACACGAACGGGGTCCCAGGACGCGGAGAAGAGGGCGTTCACGACCGATTGCCGGTGGTGACAGAGGAGAAACTCTTCACCGGAGATGAAAACACGGCGGCCAGATATACTAGCCTGTTGGGATCAAGCCCGGTCGAGCAAGAGGCAGTAGGGAGAGTCGGAAGGGATTGACTTGGGACGTGACAATGACGAGGCGGTCGGAAAATGGGATGAGATCAGATCCGATGCATCTCTAGTCAAAATGGGGGGGTGGAAATTTTTCGGTTCTCCGTCTCGAGGATTATATCTAGGATATCACGACGAAGCAAGAGAGAAAGTGCGACTCATTGAGAATAAGTGGAACGACATTTATAAAGAAATGCGGATGGGGGAAGGAGAGGAGTGAAGTTGAGTTGATGATGGAACCCGACGAGCCAGAGTTGGGGGACGTAACAACGCCGATCATTCATTTCTCTTAATGCCTCGACTTTCTCTCGTTACAGATATAATTGGATCGAAACAGCATTCCTCTTTGCTTTTCTACATGACTCTCCGTTCTTTCGGCCAATATATATCTCCTGTTTGCTCTATTCTCCCTGTTGGATTCTAAGTCTGTGGAAACCCTAGTCTATGGAAACCCTCTACAATAAACGCTCCCCCTAGGACTTTTCCCGTGTTGCTTCAGCCACCGTGGGCACTTTAGGGTCCATGCGCGTTAGTAAAAAAAAAAGACGTTGCAAACACTAATATGGGAATGAAGGAAAATCGAATTACGCCCTCATTCCATTTCTATGGCCCACTCCACGCCACCTGGAGTAGCCCTGGCTTAGCCGATCCAGCCCACACGCCCCATCACAGCAAATTGGCCATAGCGATCTAGAAATTTTTAGAAAAAATGGGTCTTTCCCCATCAAGGCCCTAGAGGAAGTAACAATCCAACTCTCCATGGATAAATCGCTTCAAACTCGACAGAATGCGGACCTGCGCGGCCGATCACCTGACATGCGGATGAACAGTAGGACCGAGTCATAACCGAGTTGGCTTCACCTCTTCGGCTCTTCCACTGGAAATCAATTCTGTGCAATGTGGCTTGGTGAGATCCATGCATGAATTCCACAGTTCATGTGGGATAGCGAGTTCTCCGGGGTTCTAAATGCTGGAGAACACCAAATTCCCTCGATGAAGTCGGCTCCACAGTCCAATATATACACTCGGCTGATGTGCCTAGAACTCGTCTCGGAAGCAACATCTCTCCAATAATCACTGTCTCAGGTAGATTTGATCACAATTGTCCATTAAGTTGAATGTGTAAAGCCCATCGTACAATCAGACTAGCATGGTACCGAGGGTGAGTGAAATAGACGACATCTGGAGTAGATGGCTACCGCTATTGTCTTGCTCGTCTAAATTGATCATGCATCCACTCATTTACATATGTTTCAAACCATTAGAATTGGAATCTAAATGCACTATCACTTGACTCGTTGAGATTGAAGTAGCATAGGTGACATCTCGGACCTAATTTAAGTACAGTATTACGACAGAGTCGCAGAAACCCCTGGATATATACAGTATCTCCGAGATTGACTGGGGGCCGAAGTCTCAACATGGAGACACTCCAAATGTTCCATCTTCCAATATCTATGCAATAGATGCCTTCCTCAAGCATGCTGGGAGTGACCGGACGCCCAGATATCACATTCCATTATCCAAATCGCGTAATCCAATGACCTGCTTGGATTTCCCCAGACCTTCGGGGCTGGGTGACCACGCATATGAGCTCATCAAATTCACTGTTATAAACAAACCGAAAGTACTGATGAACAGAACAACCCAACTACCTGGATAGATATGTCATTGCAATTCTGAACAGGCGGTTCAAGTCAACGCACAAGGCCAAGGGCTTGAGGAGACCTAAGAACAGAATGCACCTTATCTACCCTTTTTTCTTTTTCTTTTTCTTGAACTTGAAATCAAGAGTGAAAGATTTAGGCATCATGATAAACTCCTAAAACGGTGTACAGAAGCCATGGCCAGAAAGAGTGTCGGGCTCCGCCACCGAACTGCTCGCCCGATCGGGTATAGGATGCGGAAACTCAATTATGCCCTGAACCAATAACCTCCCCTTTTATGACCCACCACTGTTCGGGTCTACTTCAAATCCATCCTTTGAGGAAGAATGCATAGCCACTGCTAATGCGGTCGAGAAGATCCTGGCTGGTAAGCTTATCCGCCGGGACTGTATATAAGGCATGCCGTGTCCTCCTAAGTAATTACAATCAATCCACGCTCATCGTTGACGCCTTGCTACTGTGACATATTTCCAATTTCACATATTTTTGGCGTAATGACGAGTGCTCGTTCCATCGGTCGGAAAGCCTTTCAAGGTATTGCTGTGGGCATCGGCCTCGTATCGGAGGGTATATCGGCACACAAGGCAAAGAAGCAGAACCAACCAGCCCAAGAGCCCACAGAAATCACCACAGAGACGGAACTTAACTCAGAGGAGGAGCGTTTGATTCATGAGTTCCCCACTCCAGCAAATGGAACATCTGAGCACCCAATCAGAGCCTTAGAAGAGCAATGGGCTCTAGATGAAGCCCAAGAGGAGCTTCGACATGACCCCGAGGAGCAGACCAGCTCTCCTCCCCAATATACGGAAGTTGATGAGGCCAACCTTGCACATCAGTTTGCATATGCTCACCCAGCGCCGCCGCCATACACCGTCAACGGGCATCTGCCACAGCCACGACTATCAGCCCCAGTTGTTTTGCCCCAGCGTCGGCCAAAGACCCGTGATCGTGGTTTCATTCGAGCATATGCCCCTGCTCTGGCCGACTGTGGGATCGACCAGACCATGTTCATTGAATTTCTCAACACTGCCGAGAAGGCCTGCCGAGCTACCCCTTGGCTCCAGGCAATCAATTTAGCCTCCATTGGAACCATCTGGCTGCCCTCCGTGACTGGCATTGCCGTTTCGATTGCCATTCAGATCGCCACCGACATTGCGATTGCGGTAGATGGCCGTCGAAAGTAAGAAAATAAACACGCACCCATCATTTGATGCTGCTTGATGCTAACAACTGTGCTTCAGAACAAACTCGTTTTTCGACCAAGTCAATAAAGAGTTCTTTCAGCCTCGTGGTCTGTATTGTCTTATTATGACATGGAACCCTGAGCTGGCTGATGCAGCATCCACAACGGTCGATCTCAATTCGTTGATCTCGCAGGCCGCTGGCAGTGGTAGCTCTGGTACGCTGGAACGCCTTCGACACAAGTTCAAGTCCTCTGACGGCAAGGGCTATGGCAACATCTTTCCAGAGGTAGCGCCTCTGGTTTTCCCCGAGATCGATCAATTGGCATCCGACCCAAACGCGGAGAAGAAGCTGTCCAAAATGAAGAAGAAGGGCCAGTTCGTGAGCAGCTACATGGACAAGAGAGCCCAGGCCAAGTTTGTCAGTATCATGATCCATTCATCTCATCCGCAAGGTGACCTAATAGACAAGTTCATTAGATTGCCAAGAACCCGGACAGTCATTTGATCCAGGGTCCCAGACCTACCTTCACCTCCCGATATGCCGATCCAAACCATCCGGCTAGCAGTGGTGACCCACTTGCCTTGGTCACTGGTGGGAAATTAAGCATGGAGAAGCTGCAGAGGTTGAAGAATGAACAACTTCGTGGGGGGCGTGGTTACTGCAATGGATACCAGAATGATGGGTCTATGCGGACACAATCTGCTTCTAACCCGGCACCACATGCGCCGGTCGGTCGTTCAGTCGGGTTGAGAGACGTCATCGCCCAAGCGAGGGAGTTCAGGAGCCCGCAGAGCTCCACACAGTCTTTCTCAAGGGATGAGCCATACTCCGGAGGTCGAAGCTTCCTTGCCAGAGGATCTACAACGGGCCAGAGAGATAATCATGGTCTTTTGACGCCAATTGCAAAACTCATGAAGAAGGTAGAGTTTTTCAGGATCTTTGGACATGAATTGCATATTCTGACGCTGGATATAGGAAGTGCTTTATCTGGCTATTGTCAACATGCCATCGGAGGATGAGATGAACCGAGCACACGAGGCTGTGCGCCAGATGGTTTGATGACAGATCTGTCTAGCCATAACTTGCCTTATATCGAGTCTACCCAGCTCCACCCAAATGCCGTTACAGTATACATGTATACAGTATATCCGCGTTTAATTTTTCTCATTGTTGTACCTAATTTCCCCATGCATAGAAATGGCTGTTGGCTCGGTTGACAAGGAAGGATCAGACGAATCATATGCGAAATTATCTCTATCCGCACGCATGGTCAACCAATATTTCGAAAAAAAAAGATAAATTCCAGCTAAAAGGAACCCCCGGCATCTCTGTGTGAAAAGTAAAAAGAGCCCAAACGCCACGAGCCAGACTCACGCAGATGCAAAAACTCTTAGAGCGGGGATCAAAATTGCCAAATTCCTCCCTGCAACTTGACCCCACCCCTTCCCCCGCCATCCAGAAACAAATTAGACCGGAAAATAGAAAGAAATGTGAAAATAAGATTACAATGGTCTGGTTCGGTCACGTTGAGCGATCCTCCTTGGGATCCTTCGAGTAGCCTCGTTGCACGTGTTTAATTCCTCGTCCATCTGCCTCGAGCATGAATAAGAGATCCCGGACCTGAATGCCAGACCCCTTCTCTGAATCCTCGCGCCACGTTCCAATTCGTCGCTTTGGCTGGCCAGCTGGTGTTTCTCCAGAGCGGCCGGGCTTATCTGGCGTGGCAGTAGGTGTGGAAGGAGCGGCGCGTGATGGCGATGAGAACCCACTGGAAGAGCCTCCGGGCTTCAACCACGAGTATGACTTCTTGGTTCCGAACATACGGCCAGAAAGCATGCTATTAGTTGCTAAACGGGCCGTTTCAACGGACTGCTGGTGCTGCTGCGCCTCACTGGCTTTGGAGTCCATCATCTTCTTCGCTTCCTTCTTGGTCATAGACTTCTTATCGAAGCTAGGGGCTCGTTCGCCGATAGGTGTCGAGGGAGCGGATGCAGTGATGTCGACAGAATCGGCACGATTGCCGGTGAACTCATCAACAGTGGCATCTGCGTTACGCTTCGCGCGTTTGGCTTCACGTTTGTTCTCCTGTGAGGACTCTTTACTCACAAGGGCGCGGTATTTCTCGGCGACTGGTCTTGTAAGGGAGGTTTCGGTACCAGGACGAGGGCCTAGAACATGGTCAGTTTATAATTGATTTGATGTGCCTCAGAAGATGCACATACGCTTGGAAGGAGTTGCCGTATTCCCAGTGACTGGATTCAAAGGCTGCGCGACATCCTGCCATTCATCGGGAACCACGCCATGTGAGTGTGCCTGACGGCTGCGAGATAGGGATGAAGAATAATCAATGATGCCTCGTAGTCGCTCTTCGCAAGACAGAGACATCAGATTCAGGATGTCCACCAGGGGTGCCCCCTCCTGATTCAGAATGGTTTGACCGGTACGGATAACGGACGATCCATCAGGCCCAGTAACTTCGATAGGCTGCGGCCGGCCGGGAACGGGATGGAAAAGACCCTCAGAGGGGATGCGAACACCAAGGTCGAAGCCTCGTTTCTGGATTTTCTGCTCGAGCAGTTTGGCTAACAAGAATGGCTCTTGTAGATGATATTGTGCCCGCCTTGCCGCTTCTGTATCCTCACGAGTCGGCTCATTGGGGTCTTTGAAGGGGACTTGGGTTTGCGAGGCCGGGTCGGAGAATGACTGTTGCGGAATCGCCGGTTTGACGTGGGACATGTCGCCAAAACTGCTGGATGCCGAAAGAGTCCCAGCCGATGTTTGAGATGCAAACGATGTGTTGATGGGTGGTGGATGATGGGGTGTTTGCCCTCGAGGAGCCGGCTGCGCCTGCGCGTTAGGCCCCGAGAAGCTGCGCGTAAGAAATGCCTCTTCCTCTCGCACGTCGATACCCGATGATGCCAGAACATCCGTCAACTCCGCGGCATCGGTAGTTTTATCTACAGGACGCGAAGGCGGCCCCATAGTGCCCGGGGGTGGTGGCATATTGTTCGGAGCAGTGCCGTTCATGGGAGGCGGGTGTTGGGGTGGAAGTTGAGCTTGAGGGAGTTGCATCGCTCCAAAGCTTGGTGAAGCATAGGGGGACTGCGACTGCGATGATGGAAGCGGAGAAAGTCGAGGCCGTTTGGATGGGGGAGGTGCTGCGCCTCCATTTACGGGCGAAGAGGCAGAGTGAGGTGAGGGAGAGGAGACAGGAGGAGAGAAAGGTTGAGAAGTGAATTGAGGGGGCGGCTGCTGCTGCTGCTGAGGGTGCCGAGTTTGCGCCATGATGAATGATGTCTCAGAAGTGGACGTAGAGACTAGTAAAATTGATCCGACTAGTGCGCGAAATGAAGATACGTCCACGCGTGGTCGTTCAAGTGAGCGGCTTGCTCACACCACCAGATACCACCAAGTGGGACCATCTCAGAATACCCGTAAAACCATGAAGTCGACGCGTAGCAAATATTTCGAGTAGGAGGCAGGGCGGACGAGCGGATATGATAGGCTGTATGGACGCAAGTGATGCGGGACGAGGGGAACAGGGAGCTTTGCGTTTTGAGGTTTTGCTCCGCGGATCGCGCTGATCACGTGTCGCTTAGTTAACGCCTGGGGAACCACCCCCCAAGGCGGTGAACACGGTGGACTGGATTCGCGACTTAATTCTACATCTTGTTAGATTCAACCGCCATTCAGTCCGCGTGGCTTTCCTTCTTTGTTTTGATTTTCAGTGTCGTCTTGGCCATGGAAATGACCTGCACCGAACACTGACTGCTCGGTTTCTCATCAACCGCGAAGGAGCTCACGGTGCCCTTCACTCGAACGATTCTGCCGGCAAGCTGATCGCGACTACGACACGCATTACTATTTTATTTGATTCGGTTCAAGCGCTTAGACTAAGGAATAATGGCGGCCAAGCGTAAAGCTTCAGCAATGGGTGCCGCCATGGACGATGAACCGGTGGATCCCTCGGACGAGCTGGCGTTCTATTGTCTTGGTGGAGGCAATGAAGTTGGACGATCTTGTCATATCATCCAGTACAAGGGCAAGACGGTCATGGTAAGCCTCGATTTGGAATTGAGGGGATTCATGATGTGCTAAAATTTGGACTCGACCCTTAACAGCTTGATGCGGGAATGCATCCAGCCAAAGAAGGCTTCTCAGCGCTTCCTTTCTTCGACGAGTTTGATTTAAGCACAGTTGATATCCTTCTGATCAGCCAGTATGTGTATTCCTTTGCCACCGAACACCAGCTCTGGGGACCTTGGGACATGCGCAAGCACGAGACACAATGATTTGTGCTACATTGCATCCTGGTTGTAGATAAGCAACCCCGGATACAATCTTATGCCAGCATTGAAACTTGGCATCATCTTGTTAGCTCATGTCTTTTTTTTGTCGGTCGCTAATGGTTCATTTTTGGCTCTAGTTTTCACGTTGATCACTCATCGGCACTCCCTTATGTCCTCAGCAAGACAAACTTCAAAGGTCGTGTTTTCATGACACACGCTACAAAAGCTATCTACAAATGGTTGATTCAGGATAACGTCCGAGTCAGCAATACATCCTCTTCTTCAGATCAGCGCACCACCCTATATACTGAGGGCGATCATCTTTCGACCCTTCCTCTAATCGAGACCATCGACTTCAATACCACACACACCATTAACAGCATCCGTATCACCCCCTTCCCGGCTGGTCATGTACTGGGCGCTGCTATGTTCTTGGTATCCATTGCTGGATTGAACATCTTGTTTACAGGCGATTATTCACGTGAAGAGGACCGCCATCTGATTCCGGCGACCGTTCCAAAGGGGATTAAGATTGATGTTCTGATTACAGAATCGACATTTGGCATTTCGTCCAATCCCCCCAGGTTGGAACGAGAGGCTGCTCTGATGAAGTCAATTACCGGCGTCTTGAATCGTGGAGGTCGTGTGTTGATGCCAGTATTTGCTCTCGGTCGTGCACAAGAACTGCTTCTTATTCTTGAAGAATACTGGGAGCGACATCCCGAATTGCAGAAAGTCCCTATCTATTACATCGGTAATATGGCCCGTCGCTGCATGGTCGTGTACCAGACATATATCGGTGCCATGAACGACAACATCAAACGACTTTTCCGGCAACGTATGGCTGAAGCCGAGGCAAGCGGCGACAAGAGTATCACGGCAGGACCATGGGATTTCCGCTTTGTTAGAAGCCTCCGGAGTCTGGAACGGTTTGATGATGTCGGAGGTTGCGTGATGATTGCCTCTCCTGGTATGCTTCAGACCGGAACCAGCAGAGAATTGCTTGAGAGGTGGGCCCCAAGCGAGCGCAATGGTGTTGTCATGACAGGTTATAGTGTTGAAGGCACCATGGCCAAGCAACTGCTCAACGAGCCGGATCAGATCCCCGCCGTTATGTCCAAAGTTTCTGCCATCCAAGGCCGCGGACGAGTTCCTGGAGGAAACGACGACGAACAGAAAGTGATGATTCCACGCCGATGTACCGTTGATGAGATTAGTTTCGCAGCCCACGTTGACGGCGTGGAAAACCGCAACTTCATTGAAGAAGTTGCTGCACCGGTGGTTGTAAGTAGATCAGAGCTATCTTGCGTCGTGCCAGCCATTAACATTTCAACAGATTCTGGTTCACGGTGAAAAGCATCAAATGATGAGGCTCAAATCCAAGCTTCTTAGCCTTAACGCTGATAAGACAGTCAAGGTCAAGGTCTACACACCGGCAAACTGTGATGAAGTGCGCATTCCCTTCAGGAAAGACAAAATAGCAAAGGTGGTTGGCAAACTGGCACAGATTCCTCCGCCTTCGGAGCAAGAGGACAGTCAACTCATGGCTGGAGTTCTGGTTCAAAACGGATTTGATCTGTCTTTGATGGCCCCGGAAGATCTCCGAGAGTACGCGGGTTTAACGACATCTACCATCACCTGCAAACAACACCTGACCCTTAGCTCCGCTAGTATGGAGTTAATAAAATGGGCCCTTGAGAGCACATTCGGCGCCATTGAGGAGATCGGTGCAGACAGCAAGGAAAAGAAAGAGGCCAATGGTGACTCGAAAGCATATCTTCATGGGGAAGCTGCAGATGAGGAGATTCCCATGGACCAAGCTCAAACATTCCTAATAATGGGCTGTGTCGTTCTGCGATACCACCCACGAAGCCGTGAGGTTGAGCTCGAGTGGGAGGGCAACATGATGAACGACGGAGTTGCCGATGCCGTCATGGCCGTGCTTCTCACAGTCGAGAGCAGCCCAGCCTCCGTGAAACGTACGAGACCTTATAGCCCTCTTCCATTGTTCTAAAACTAACTAACAGTTGTATATCTAGAATCGGCCAAACACAATCATCACCATCATCACCATGACGGTGAACTAGACGCGCTTCCCAACCCCCATTCACATCTTGGAGCCGACGATCGACTTGATCGTCTCCTTATGATGTTGGAGATGCAATTTGGCTCTGACATTGCCCCCATCGAACGTCCTCGTGTACCCGCCGATCTTGCAATTGGCACAACTGACGGCGATGAAGCCGCCCTCAGCGAGGAGCGTGTTGCTGATATCGAGTCAGCCGAACTGGAGCGTCTCCAAGCCCTGGGTGTCCCAGTACCTGGAATTGAAATCAAGGTAGACAAGCACGTTGCCCGCGTCTGGTTGGAAAACCTGGAAGTGGAATGTGCCAATGCTGTTCTGCGCGACCGAGTGCGCATTGTCGTTGAGAGGGCGGTTGAAACCATTGCTGGTCTGTGGGCAGCTAGCTCCATGCCCAAGGAGGTTGTGGTGGCCAATGGTCCCGTGAAGTCCCAGGCAGAAATTGAACTTGCTGCTAGGACCAAGACGGTTGCTATTGAGTCACAGTATTGATTTTATGTACAATAATGGGAATTTCCGGACCAAACAGAAATGATTCTTCGTTGATATATTCTTATTCGATCCGCTCTGCCTTCGTGAAAACTTTCACAAAAATTGAGAAATATTGGAAATTAGAACCATCCTCACATCACAGCCCCAGCTCATTGAGGACTTCCGCCAGCACCTCCGCAGCACCATCAACAATGAGGTCGATTTCCTCTTTTGAAACAGTAAAGGGAGGTGACAGCAGCACATGATCACCCCGAACCCCATCCACCGTTCCGAGACTGCCATATAGTGAGAGAGCATACTGCGAACATAGAGCCTTTTCCTGCATGAGAAAAGATAGCCGAGTCGCCGGATCAAACGGCTCTTTCGTAGTTTTGTCTTTAACGAACTCAATCTGCAGATCCAATAGTCAATCAATCAATCGTTCAAACCCGAGAAGTCCGTATTGTTCCTTTCTTACCCCCCAGAATAATCCTTTGCCTCGAATATTTCCAACATATGGATGGTCGCCAAGACGCTGGCGAAGCTGTTGCTCCAAGTACGCTCCCATATTCCGCACATTTGCCAAAAGGTTCTGTTCTTGAATCGTCTTCTGTACCGCCAAGGCAGCAGCACAAGAGACTGGATGGCCCTGGTAGGTTTGTCCATGCCGGAACACACCCGTTCCCTTATCCAGAACCTGTACAATTGAGTCGTTGATCAAGATCCCGGAAACTGGAGCATAGCCTCCACCAAGACCTTTGCCTATGGTTTGAATGTCCGGGACAACGTCTTCCTGTTCCCAGGCATGAAGAGTTCCACATCGGCCCATGCCACTCATGATCTCATCCAAGATTAACAGAGCCCCGTATTTCTCACAAATGGCTTTCATGGCAGGGAAGTATCCTGGGACCGCTGGAACACATCCAAGGGCCTGGTGTGTGGTATGTCAGGTCATTTCCATAAATTACGGAGCAGAGATCTATTCTTACAGCTCCGACTACAGGCTCCGCGATGAATGCGCACACAGTCTCCGGACCAACTCGCTGGAACTCGGCATCTAGCTCGGCTGCAAGGCGGGCCACATAGCTGGCGTCAGACTCGCCCTCGTTTTTGCCACGGTATGCATTGCACGGTGATACATGTGATGTATTTTTCACTAGCAAGGGCTCGAAAGGCTCTCTTCGAAGGATATGCCCTCCAACACCCAATGCGCCGAGAGTAGTGCCGTGGTAAGAAGGCAAGCGAGCGATGAAGCGCTCGCGTTGGGGCTGGGGGCTAGGTAGCTCGAGAAAATATTGACGCGCAAGTTTCAATGCAGCCTCGACGGCCTCGGAACCTAGATGAACGACTGCTTTAGTGATTTTGGATTTAAACAAGGTTTTGAGGGATATGCTGACCGGAGCTGACTACAAATAGCTTGGATAGCTTGCCTCCAGTTGAATCAACTAACAGCCGTGCCAACTCCTCGGCAACATCTGTTCCGAAAAATGCAGAGTGGCAGTAGGATATCTGGGCCATTTGGTCTTTGATAGCCTGTTGAACGGTCTCATTGCCATGGCCGAGGCATGCGACGGCAGCACCGCCGGTTGAGTCGAGGAACTTTGTACCATCTTCAAGAAGAATGTAACTTCCTTTACCACCGATAGCCTTTTTAGGAATAAATTGGCTATCCCGGTGCAGAACCGCACTACGCGTGGGATTAGAAGCTATTTCATGATGTCAGTACGATGACTAGATATAGCTTGGGATAATTACTACCGGATTGAGTCATATCGTAAAGTGATAAGTAAAAGCAATGGTTCTGGTCTGAGGATTTTGTATGGAGCGAAGTTAGTTCATGAAAAAGTCGGAAATTAGCTTCCTTTTGTACGTCTTTGACCCGAGGCAATTGCCCGCGGGGTGAAGTGGGTTCGGCTTGCCGATCCAGAGAAGCCGAGAAGCCGATTGGCTTTGATGTGGGTCAGCACCACCAGCGCACGGTGATGGATGGGTCCCTGGCGGAGTTATGACCGTAGTGGAGAAAGTTCTCCAAGGGAATTCCTATCTTGGTCCCTAGTGCGCTCAGATCACATGCTAGGAATGGGGCTACACCAAATGGTTGTCGTTGCTACGTAGGCAAATCTCGCCCATGGCACTCCTTGATTTTTCTGGCCAGATGCTGTTATGGCATAACCTTGTATTGCCCTTCCCTCTATTGGTATCAATTTTATACTGCCATCTCGTCTCGCCGTTTCAGGTGATAGACACGGGTTATACAACACTGAATTGCGCTTCTGATTAAATTGCCTTCACTTCATCTCAATCAGTCAATCTTGTCCGATGGAAGGCCTCCATTCCGATAATGCCAAAGACGGCTGTAGTCTTTGACGCGCAGTTTCGGGGGTGGATTTTCCTGAAGGAGACCTGTGGCGGAAATAGGGAGCAGGGTATCCTCGCAGTTATCATGCGGTGTGCAATCTGACTTTGTCTCAACTTCTAAATCCATGAACGGGTTGTTTTCCAGCACTTTGTGATCAGGTCCCAGGGTGAACATAGTATCCAAATAGTGCTGATTTAGAAGATGACCAGAGCCTGCACGGATAAATAGGCGGCCCATGTATCTATTGGGAATAGTGATGAAATGCAGAACACCGATCCGCGAAACCATGTCAGCTGAGTTCACATAGTGCTCGATGTGACCAACGGAATACTGATATCGCGAAGGAAGGCGGGAAGAGTCGGTCCCATTTTGCTTAGTTCCAAATGTTAGGCGAGGATTGTTGAAGTGATTCGCCGCGTTCGCGAAAGTGTAGACCTCTAGATGTTCTAGAATGGGCTGAGGAAGTTCATCCAAGAGCCAATCGATTACCAAGCCACCCTCGATTCCTCCTTGGCTGTGAAGTATCAAGACTACCTTTTCACTGTCAGGATCTAGCAATGCCTTCTTGATGAGTGGGTACGCTTGGCGTATGTCTGCGGTGGCATAGGTAAAACAGCGCTGAATCAAGCATTCGATTAGGTCAAATATGATGCCTGACCTGCCATGGCGGATTAGCATCCATTGCTGAAGGGTGTTTTAAATATTCCATGAGCTTACGTGCGATTATGAATACCCGTGATTCTTCGTCCAAAGGTATAAGAAAGTTGGTCCAAATTGTCTTGCATCCAACTGTGGCTGTAGTACATGAGTGGATGAGAATGCATTCTGGTTCATATCGTGGAAGCTTACCTGCCAGCTATGCCATTGATAAAGAACCAATGCTCATGGGTATGAGCAGGCTGCTCCGCAATCGGGACTTGTGACACAAAGACCCTGCGGTAGCCGTTCAACACGACTATGCAGATGACGTAGTTCAAGGTTAGTGCAACAGTGATGTATAGAAGAATCCATAGAGCAGGGACCATGAAAATCACGGTGAATGGGATGGAAAGAAGAAAAAACACTTGAAAGACAGCGAGGAAGCCCTGAGTTCCAATTGATATCCCGTTTCGAGTTGATGGATGCAGCTCATCCAGTCGAGCGGTTTTGCCCAACCGAAGGGGAAAGAACACAAGAGGCAGAGCCCAGGCATAACGGATGACAAGGCGAAGATCTTCCCACAGGAGTTTGAGCGGGGATGCAGTATATGGCAACGGAGTTGCATTTGGAGGCCGATAGGCCAACCGAATCTGGGGGGTCATTGTGCCATAAGCTGGAGGCAGTTATAGTAGCAACATTGAAGCTTGGAACAGAGAACCTCGGAATGCTGGGAACAGGTCAACCGCACCTTTCGTCATGTGATTGCATCCTGACCATTGGGTTCAACATCCATTAGCGGGGAATCTTTCCAACGCGTCATGTGCTCGGACCGCACCTACGTGATAACGTCTATATCGGCCGCAAACTGTGAGCTGGACACATCCTACACTGCAAAGATTCGATAGCGACTCAGAGATTGGTTTCCCTGGCTCGTCACGGCAGGCGTGTCAGTCCATACATAAAGACCACAATATTCGCAAGGGGAATACGCAGGGGTGAGCTTGGACCCCGGAAGCCCACCATGAATGACACCGCGAATATCATCGAATTGGAACGACTATGGCAGCGGGTCCAATTATTCGAGGTGGGCACCAGCAAGGCCAAAACCGTCTTTGGCTTACCGCTTCAATCGGTCATTTTGTAATCGGTGCGGCGTGACTCAACACCCATGAGCAAGGTGAGTTGTCAGGGGGATAGGTATGTGTAGGAATTCTCACGGAGGCCTTGATAAGGCACCACTGCAGAATTGTTCGCGACACTATAATACCTGGAGCCAAGAATTGACCGGAAACGCCCATACAAATATGTGATTCTTGTGGGTGGATTCGGTAACACTCTGGAAGCGCAGAAAGCAAATGAGCGCAATACATGCATCGGTGACATTATACGCATTGGTCGTGATATTATTGCTCAAAATAGCTTGCCCCGGCAGCTTTGCTACAATCCTAACCACCACTTCCAGGAAAATAACATGCCCCAGCTCACCGAGGAACCATTTCGGACTGGTTGGCACTGTCGGTATATTCAGGAGGGATCTGTTCAAGCTGGGGATGAGATCGTTCTGGTGGAACGCATGCAACACCATCTCTATACTGAATTGGAGAATATGGACATGATGAAGCAATTGACCGACCTGGACTCTTTGGGGAAGGAGGTCCGAACCAATTTTTTAGAATCGACTGGGAAGGACGTTGGAAACACTAGGAGCAACGAGGCGACATTGTAATGGCCCCTGATATGTAGACGGATCCTCGATGTATCTAGAAGGAAGGAGATACACCTACCGTAACTCCCTTTGTTTTTGAAGCATTGGACCCGGGGCAGTCTCCCCAAGAAGTCCAGCCCGACATTCATGTACGAGCAGCTGAGTCCAAACGTGACATCCACACCAAGGAACTGGACAGGCGATCCAAGAAAGCGCTGCAGGATACTGATAGCAGTGCCCCTATCTACTGGTGCTTCGGAGAGCGTCTGATGAAAGCATTGCGCGACACCAAGAGAAGCTCCGGTTTCCCAAACAAAAATCTACGCTCTGGATCTTTTCAGGCCAGCACAACGGGCGATCCATCCATAGACGAATTGGCTGAGTCCTGGCAAAAAGCGGATGTGAGGGATGGAGCCAGTCTATTAGATGCTCGATTCACCGGGTTATTCGACAATGGAAAGACACTGCTATGCTCAAGTATGTCTCACGGGAGATGGGACATCGTCTTGTATCTATAAGAATTTGTTCAAAAGCAAAGCGAATGATGCCCACAGCAGTATAGAAGAATAGACATTATTAACAGTAAGTCACGGTAAAACGTGGAGAAAACCATGTACAAAGAATTGACTATGAGCATTCTCAAGTTATTAATACAACGGAGCCTCACCTTGAACGGGCCGAGATCCCACATACGTTAAGCAAGAAGAGAAAGGAAAGTAAATGACCTCGTAGCCACAAGGAGATGACCAGCAACTCCAAGGCCCCCCTCGGGGACTATGCATGAACAATTGACACATTCTTATAGTTTCGTCACGGAGCCTTAATTGTGTAGGACGCTGCTGGGAACACTGTGACTCGGTCCTTTGAGACTGTCAACAGTCTTTCGGCGTAGACGAGTCCGGGTGGCCGGGCCGTCAGATGAGACCACTGCAGGCTCAGGCTCGGTTTCCTCGGCCAGCTCGGCAGCCTTGAGAGTGTCCAGATCCACCTGCTTCTGGGCGATCTCTCGGGCCCGCTCGTAACGAGATGTGACGTCCCCTGTCCATTGTGTGCCGAGCAGACGGTCCCAGAAGATAAAGAATGGCTGAGAGAAGTTGGTCTTGATGCCCCAACTCTGGTGGTGAATGTCATGGTAGGCCGCATTGTTCGAAGTGAAGTGCTGTAGAGGATCCCAGGGAAATTCGTAGCCGCAGTGGTCATCGACAGTCTTGATGGTGGACATGGTGAAGAACCACATTCCTTGTCGGTTGGTCATCCCAGAAACCAAGAAACCAATACCGGTACCGAAAGTATCCAGCAAAAATCCTTCCACGGGGTGGTTATACAGGGCGCCGAAAGCGTAGGGAACATAGAGTCGGTGGTGTCGAGAGTGGAATGTTACTGGGAACTTTATTAGCCGCAGAAGCCTCCGGAATGAATGAACAAATCTCACCATAGAGCCATCGATTGAGGTGCATCGCCCGATGCAAGAAGTATTGCCAAGTATCGACAATGGAGACCGCGAGCATAAACTGAAGCGCCGGAACGAAGTACCAGTATATGAAGCTCGCCAAGGCCAACTCCCAACCGGTGAAGGCAGGCGCGGATACCTCGGCTCCACTGTCGAGAATAAGCGACTGCATCAGCTCCGGGTAAGAGCCTCCTGCTAGTGCTCCAGCCAACAAAGTGTGTCCATTTTGTGACATTGACTTGGCCAGACCCGCCGCGTCCACACCGACCAGAGCCAACATGGGGGGAATGGCTCGCTGGGCGAGTCTGAGTCGTTGCGCCCATACGGCCACGTCGTATTCTTCACGGCCAACCGTTTCCACGGGATCGAAATAAGCCACGGACATGCCGGCGATTGTTTGAACGACTTGCTGCAGAATGACATCGCGCACCACCTCCCAACGGGTCACGCGGTTTCGCTTCAATACCTCGGCGGGGGTGTGTAAGCGGTATTGTTCGAAGTATCCGTAAACATCGATAAAATGATAGACCATAGACAAACTCCAGTATGCGATGATGGGCAGCGCCAAGGCCAAGACATTGTCGGGGATGGGGGCGAGCACGGGTTGCCGCACGGAGAGGGTATAACTCGGGAGGGGAGGGAGGTCCCAGGCGACCGACGCGTTGGTGGCCATAGTGGCGAAAATGGCGTTCAAGGTGGGCAAAACTTGAGGAGTCGGATGAAGATTAAATCAAGAGTTTGATAACAGCAAAGGAAAAAAAAGTTGGATGAAGATGTGGATGGGGGTCGCGCGATAAGCTTGGAAATCAGGAAATGAACTTTGACGGTGACTACCCAAGGGACTCGGGGAGAGCACAATGACAATCTGTGTAGAGCAAGTGCAATGCACGATCCTACACCGAGTCCCAGTAGAGAATCTGATAAGAATACAGGAAGAGGAAGAAAGATCAAAGAGGAAAGATGAACAGGAGACGAACCGAAGAAAGAAGTAAAGAAGTGGCGCCAGTCGGATGCGGACGCTACGGGTGACGACGGATGGACGGATTGGATGGCCCCGATTGGTCCAATGGTGTATCATACCGTATCCAGGTGGTATTGGATCCCCCGATGCGGCGACTTGTTTACTCCCAAGCTGGTTTGGTGTATTCTACTGTATGAATGGTCTATTCAAGATGCATTGGGCGATCTGTCACATGGTAAGTGCAACAGAATGACTGGTTTGTACGCCGGGACTCTACTTGGCATGATTCAAGGTTGGTGGCCTGACTTGACAAGTTGGTATACACGGGAATTGTCAATGTCTCACCACACCATCTGGACGGAGAGAATGTGTCCTCCTTCTAGGCCTAAATATTGCGATCATCCTTTGCTCTAGAAACAAATTGGGAAAGGCTCAAAGACTCGTAATGGCAGGGGAGAATTATATCTTAGCCATTGCGTCGGACTATAGCGATTGGGAAGAATAATGGGCGACAGGATCGGTGTCTCCCCATACAGGATGAGGAATGGTTATCATTAGCTGCCCAGGTGGCTCTCTCAGAATCATTATATCAGTAGGCATATTCAATCATAAGGCTGATACCATTATACATACTTATACCATGTTATTAGCCGGTGCTTAACCTATCCTGATATCTCGCCCGGGATCGGGACAAACAGAGCAAACTCCCCCACCAACCAGAGCCCGCCACTAAAAAAAAACTTCTTCCCCTCCTTTTTTTTTGTTTTCCCTCTCTTCTCCTCCACTTCTGGTCAATTTCCCTTTGTGAAAACATTATCACTCTCCCACCACCACCATGATTATCTACACTGTATGTTGTCCTACATCGTCGCTGTATATCTCGCTTGGGACCGTTTTGGAATCGAACTCGAGTCCATTGGCGGTTTGATTATTTCCTGATTGGCAAACTGACGATCTTCAGGACATCATCTCCGGCGACGAGATTCTCTCGGACACCTATAAAATCACCCCCGCGGAGGACTGCCCCATCCTGTGGGAAACCAACTGCCGCAAGTACACCAAGAAGGTCGGCGAGGATTTCGAGCTTGCTGGTGCCAACCCCTCCGCTGAGGATGCCGCCGATGATGACAACGGCGAGGCCGAGATGGTCATGGTCCACGACATTGAGGACCAGTTCCGTCTCGTCTGGTTGAAGGTCGAGGAGGGCCTCAAGCCTTCCAAGGATGCCTTCAAGGCTCACCTGAAGGGTATGCATGCGTCTTTGCCGGTTACTCGAATGTCTGGACACATCCAGCTAACAGACCGACTTTTCTAGCCTACATCAAGAAGATCAACAAGGCCCTTACCGACAAGGGTGACGAGGAGGCCGTCAAGGAGTTCCAGAAGCACGCTGGTGCGGCCATGAAGAAGATCATTGCCAATTACGACGACTACGACATCCTCATGGGCCAGAGCATGAACGGTGACGCTATGTACGTTGCCTTTAATACCGCAACACCTCTCCAACCGTGCATTGCAATTTACTGACTTCATCTCATCTAGGCACGTTCTCATCAACTTCCGTGAGGATGGTGTCACCCCCTTCGCCACCGTCTGGAAGCACGGCTTCAAGGAGATCAAGGTCTAAGCGCTTTGATCTTTGCTGGCGATAATGCATTGCACTTGACCTGAAGAAATAAAAAAGTTACGAAACGCGAGCCCTCTGCATCCATGTTTAGATCGGATGCGGGGATGGCTTTTATCCTCTCCCACCGGGCCGGATCATTGGTCTGGTTTGGCTTTTACACGTCGCATCTTCGTATCATAATTGGTCGATCCTTCTGATCGTCAAGAGTAACGCCTCACGAATCAATAACCCGTTATGTCCTCTTCATCTATTGGTTTCTTGTGGCAGCTCATTCCACTTAGTCGAAATGTAAAAGATTGCCTTGGTATATGAGAGACCAATTTCTCCCTAAGTAAAACACGACTTCCCAAACGCCTGCATGTACGATCCCACCCAATTCACCAATTATATTACAGATTATGCATGTCATACCCATCATGCATGATTAACAATATCCCGTCCAGTCACTGGAGGAAACGCTATTGCCCGATGGATTGTCGGCCCAGGCTGCTGGAAAATCATCTGTAGACATCCCATTGACATCAACACCAGCGTTGGCAGGAGGGACCCCGAAATTGGCAAATTCCAGTCCAGAAACAGGATCCAGTTCCATAAGCTCATCCGCCACGGGCAGATGCTGTCCAAAGACTGCGTCCCATTGGTCCCAGTCGAAGTTTAGATTCGGATCCACCATAGACGGCGGTGTGGGGACTCCCATTGGAGGTGGATTCGGGGACACGGGGTCCATGAAGGGCATGTCAGGAGGCGGTTGAAGGGGCTGGGGCACCTGGGAATGAGAAGCGGCGGAAGATTTGGCAGATGAGGGCGTTCCCATAGAGGATGCCGCACCAGGTGAGGATGACATAGCAGAAGGCGACACCAAAGTAGCTGGAGAAGTCATAGTAACGGCGGCTGGATTGGGGTTGTATTGAGGAGTGGGAAGGGAATAAGACGGTCGTCTCAGAGGATGGGCGGAGTATCTCAAGGGACTAGGCCTTACTGTGCCCGAGGTAATGGCAGGGTTAGGAAGGACCTGAGACCGTGTCAAATTGTAGAACATTCGGTTAAAGTCGTTAATTTGACGACCCGATCCAGCCGTTTGACGTATCGAAGAGGCCGCAGGAGACCCGGGTGCTGGTGAAGCCCCTAAGTGGTATGAACTACGCAGATTGTTGGCCTCTCCTGCCGGCGAAGCAATTCCTGCTTGGATCTGGTCTTGTTCGGTCCAAAGCATCTTGGGATTTAGACCGGCCTTTTGCCAGGCCTTTTGACGAAGGCGTCGGATCATGTCCCATGCTTCGCGGCCACCATCCTTAAGTGGTCGCTGAGTGGAGATGCCATCTTCACCACCAACAACGCCTCCATCTGGGCCAGAAATTGCCAGAATTCGGTCGATGAAAGCGCGTGACTTTGAAGCCTCGGGGCTATATGGTCGCTCGTATAGGTCAATGAGCATGATCCTGAAAATGGTCAATGTTACTGGTAAGACAGTCAAAAACAAGAGAAAGAACATACATTGTCGCGTGCATAGGTTGGTGGTTGCTTGAGATCTGTAAGCTACTATGAAATTTGCCAGTAATTGAAGGGGTAGCTTACCCTGGCCAGCTCCAGTGAAATGGCTGGAAGTCAGGATCTGTCGCCAATTGAATAAACTTTTCCATGAAGCCGTGGCAGTGACGAAGCGCACTAAAAATGTAAGACAGGTTTCATCTGAATTAACTTAGAATGCTCACCTCTGTCTGGCGGCAGGCCAGATTCGACTGCGAGCATTCTTCAGAAAGGGTTGATATGCAACACAGAACGCCTGCCACTTGTTAGTCAAAATCGTAACCTGACGTTGAATGATCCTGACCTTATCTATATATAAAGATAGAATAATTCTGGCCCATTTATGAAAGGAAACCAAGACAGGTGAGTGATATTGCTCGGTACACCCATTGGGGCCTTCACCTGGAAGTTCTGTCTCAGTCGACTGCACCTCGACGGGCGATCTGGACATGGACAGGGCTCGGCCCGCTGCGCCTGAGGTTTCTTCAGATTTATCCTCGGGAATTCGATTTATTATTGAGTTCAAATTCAATTGAAGATCGAGGAGAATCGTTCGCAGCTCTTCCATATCTCTTCGAGTGACTGGTTTGGTGCCTAATTGAATACGCAGTATTCGACGGACAGCGCCTGTTTTGAATGTTAGCTTCTGTTGCCCTCTTTTCTTTGTGATTGGAAACATACGAGCCATTGTGTATTTGCCTCTGGCCGTCAGATAAAACACGTTCACCATTGATGGCCCACCGCAGACAGAGGGCTCGTCTGGGTGTTCAGGAAGCTGCTGGTTTGCTGCTACCATCTGCTCGTATCGTTCGGCCACTGGAGAGCCCAGTAGTGTGTCCTTTATTTCACTGGTTTCGCGTACGTCCCAATAGTTTTCATCACTGACCAGAGGAGGAAGACCGCTCGACATTGCCACCACGCCATCCATATGCATGATATGCCACCAAAGTCGGCGTCTATACTCTGCTTCGCATGGCTCAATTCCAAATTTTGCCGGATCTCGATGGAGGCCCATGGTCTGTGCCACCCGCATTGCGAGACTGACGAACAAACTACTTGTGAGAGGCTCTTCCTCTTTAGACAAGATAGTTTGAACGATGAGGTAGGCTGATAGCCCTTGCAGAGAGGGGCTTCGAGGAAACGATATCTTTGCCAACCAGTGAGTCACTTCTTCATTGTATATGGAGGACAAAGAAAACCGAGATGATGCGTTAAACTCGGCTTTAATTGTTCGAATGGAAATCGTAACAGAGCCGCCGTACCAGATGGCGTAGAGTAGTGGAATAAATGACGGACATGGGCACGTTTCTCCGGAGTAGCTACTGTAGTCGTACCAGTTCCAAAAAGCATTGTAGAGCTTCAAGATAGTGGGAGGGTGGACAACTGGACTGATTGCATGAACACCAGACATGAAACCCTTGTATAGGATTTGGCTTTGCCGTCTGGTTGGGACATGTTTGAGCATTTCCGGCTCCACAAGCCTTTCATTTCCGGGTGGAGACTCGCCGGATGGAAAGATGATGGATGGTTGGAAGGATCCTCGAGACCCAGACCCAGACCTTGGGGTAAGGTTGTCTACTAACCCCTTTCGCGATCTGCAACCGTTGGCCATGGAGTCAGTGTTGTCTTCATTGACATTCGGAGAGGGCGATAAATCATGCGATCGATTTTGGTCTCGCAGTAACTGATTTAGATCATTGATCTGGCAGAGGTTAAGGTCAGCTCATCCATGACACGAGATAAGGCAAAAGGACGGAGCAATACTTCATGAGAGATGTAAGCCCAATATGTTGTGCCGACGTATCTGATCTTTATTAGCACTTCCGATGCTGCCGCTTCGACGATTTTCTCACTTTACTCACCTCGACCTGCCGCCATCATCCAAGCTCAAGTGGCCTAAGTTCAGACTGCCCACCGGATCAACCAGATCAGTCGCCTGGCCTGAAGGAATGGGAAATTCATCACCGCTCGACTCTGCAGCAGCGCGACGTGGACTCGAGGACCGCGAAGATATCGCTCTTCCGTTTCGGGTATGTGCCTGTCGCAATTCCTCCACAAGAGCGGATTCTACCGCGGCGCATGGGGCTGCGGCATGTTTTTCAGCCGCTTCAAGAGCCTGAGCACGGCCGCCTAGTCGGTCGATCATTGACATTAACTTGTCTAGTCGGTGCTCAATAGCACGCGGGTTGGACTTTTGCCCGGTAGACGCCTCAGTCTGCCTCATTTGCCCATAAATGGTTTGTAGCTCGTCAACGTCTTCCTCCCAAGTCCGTGGTGTCTGCCTCCTTCGTTTTACTCCATGTCCACCTTGCTCGGCCCGGTCGCGCCCCTCTTCGCGCCTATGCGACGCATCGTAAAGACATTCGGCTCCGGTTTTGGCGCAGTTTCCGCAAATGGGGTGAACCTGAAGCGCTAGAGGATTAGTCAAGAATTGACCGACGTTGGTGTATCACTGGATTAAGATGTTACCTTGTCGCATTTCACCTTTCGCCGGCGACAAGTGTGGCAGCTGTAGCTCGCGCGGTTTCGAGTGATCTGCTTGGCCCCGGCTAACGGGGCCCGCGCGGATGACGAGCGACGCTCGGAATCAGGCACGCCCGACAGCGGCTCGAAGTTTCGTGGACTAATGTCCATCGTCGCTGTCGGAAGTGGAGAGGGAATGCGAGGGACTCTGGTGCGGATGGCGAATTGCGGGGGAATATTGAACATCCAATGGCCAATGACATATTAGTTTTCAAGCCCGATTTATCAGGCACCACCGGGATCTCAGCGGGAGCAACTCGGCACCGCGTTACTGAGCGGTATTGCTGATTTGACAGATCCTATGGTGTCTGGGACTGAAAGAGATGATTGTCAATGTTCTTTGCTTCCTAGTGCGGGGCTCTGTATAGTGCAAGGGCTCAAAATACTTGGACATTTAAGCTGGGGATCTCTAATTGATTGCCATAAATTTAGTCGAACATCTCACTAATCAGCATCCGGGGTAGCGCGGGAAAGATAGAATACTGCCGGCTAAGGACATATATCTCGCTAGTGAGGTACATCTGCGCGTATAATTGTCCCCTAACATACTATGATTGCACCTGGTCTTCCCGCTTCTGGTCCCAACACTGCTCACGTATTGTATCCTGTAACATGCCCAGGTGCCCATTCACTCGCGCTATCTTCAGGTTATTGCCTTTTCTTTTCTTTGAAGACAGAAGTGCTCGTGTATTCACAGTCAATTCATGAAAAAGTGGAAGAGCTAGCTTGAGGACTGCCGTGAAGAATGCAGTTCAAGCTCCACTCAAGGGAATCGAACGAACCGATCGATCTACCCGCCAAAGCTGAGTCTACGTGTATCATACTCGGAAACTCCTCCTTCTAACGCGCAAAATCCCCCTTGAAATTGTCCAAGGTTGTTCCCTTGAGACACATCGGCCTTGGTAATACGCGGCCTAGTGGGGCTGGCGCCATACATAGGCGCCCAGTGCTTCCGGTTCGCTCGCCAAGGACAGCCAAGACGAGGCTATTCACATCCAATCTCCCAGCACAGCCGCCAAAGTCGAGTTTTCGCTGTGAACGAAGAGTTCCGACAGGCCTAGGGTCCCGGCACTCTGCTGCCCAGGTCTATTGCCCAGCACGCCTCCCGTTTGGATGTCTGTCTTTGGACACGAAGCTGCTGATCGCGAATGGAAAATCAATGGTTTCCTCGGCGCCAAGATGCATTATGAAATTCCAAGGGGGTTTTTTCTTGTCTTTTACGCCTTTGGGACCATCCAAGTTCTATTATTGTTATATCCCCACCTGGTTGGCATTATGGATCATCTCCCCATGAATGCATTATTGGTCGCATTATTCGCCCCTCCTATATCTCCCTTTCAAAAGTCGGTATTTCACTGCAATCCAGCAACGGCTATTATCAATTCTAGAAGAAACTCACAGCATACATGGTTCCAAGGCTTTTCTCAACAGTATGGCCCCTGCCATTCATCGTGCTATCATGTTTGAATCCTCTGGTTGCCGGTGCAGGAGTAGCCCTTGATATTGATAGCGAAGGTGAGTGATCAAGTTGTAAACGTATTCTTCAGAGTCCCGAAATTGACCGGCACAGACTCAATTAGATCAGCTGCCAGCACTGTCGCTTATGATCTCGTCAGCTTTTACACAGGCAATAATACCGGCGATGTACCGGGAAACCTTCCAGATCCCTATTATTGGTGGGAAGCGGGCGCCTTCTTCGGGGCTCTGATCAACTACTGGGCTTTCACCGGGGATTCTACTTACAACAATATCACCGTTCAAGCAATGGAGCACCAGGCCGGCGATAAGGGGGATTTCATGCCAAACAACCAGACCTACACCGAGGGAAACGACGACCAGTGCTTTTGGGCACTCAGCGCAATGATGGCTGCCGAACGGAACTTTACAAACCCGAGTTCCTCATACCCGGGCTGGCTGGCTATGGTTCAGGCCGTGTTCAATGAACAGGCTAACCGCTGGGATACAGCGAGCTGTAATGGAGGTCTGCGTTGGCAAATTTACACCTGGAATGCTGGATACAATTACAAGAACACCATTGCAAATGGCTGTTTCTTCGACATCGCGGCACGTTTGGCTCGATATACTGGCAATGAGACTTACGCTGAATGGGCCACTAAATCCTGGAATTGGGCCAAGGCCGTCGGATTGATCACGTCGGACTACCAAATATTTGATGGAACGACGGATGCCAGCAATTGCACTTCCTATGATAGAACTCGTTGGTCATATACTGCTGGGATTTATCTTCATGGTGCCTCCGTGATGTATAACTATGTGAGCAACTCGTGTTTCAGTTGTTACAGCGTACTAATCAGCTCACTCTACAGACCTCTTCACTTACAACCAACGCAACTTCAGCTAATTCATCTTCAGCCTCCACATGGAAAACTCGGCTGGATGCACTGCTCTCGAAAACCAATTTTCTTTTCTCGACAAACGAGTCCAGTCTTCATGTCATGTACGAGCCTCCATGCGAGCTCACAGGTAGTTGTAACACGGATCAATTATCATTCAAGGCCTACCTATCGCGATGGATGGCCGATGTCACACAACTTGCACCGTACACATACAACACCATCATGATCAAAATGCGAGCCACCGCGCAAGCTGCGGTTGCCCAGTGCCAGGGTGGAACCACTGGCACCTTCTGTGGCTTTAGCTGGTCAAGTGGCAATTACGATGGAACAACTGGTGTTGGTCAGCAAATGGGGGTTCTGGAGGTTCTACAGGGACTCCTTTCTGCTAATGTCAATGCCCCCGTCACGGCTACTACAGGCGGAACGAGTGAAGGCAATAGTGCCGCTGGAACTGAGTCGGACAAAACTACGGCAGTACAATACTCTGCGATTACTACAGGTGATAGGGCAGGGGCGTCGATAGTGACTGCGATCGTGGTTGGTCTGATATTATCCGCGGTCTATATGATGGTGACTTGAGCTTCTGTTGATTTCCTACACTAGAATTATTTGTTTGCGATACCCAAAATTGTACTTTAAAGCTACTTCAAGTTGTTTTGATTTGGCCGTGAACCACTTAAGTGACATTTACACGGTATCCCGAAGAAAGGGACGTTGCATTTTTAGCTCGAGCAGCTAGGGGCAGTGAGCATTAAATGGCCAATATTCTGACCAATGTCTAATTCCGTTCCTTCCATCACGCAGCAGGTATTTGCTGCTCATCCAATGGCCACTTGGAAATGGTTGTCTCCTCGCCCGTCAAAGTGAAGGACAAGACTACCGAGCGCTCATTGTTCAACGCCAGTTCGTATTTTCCAGGGTAGACAATGCGGTTTCCAAGCGAGTCAGTGCGGGCCACATTATCAAGTGAGATAGGGATGACCATTGACTGGGAAGTGTGCGGCTTAAGTGATCCTAAACGGTCGAAACCAACCAGCCACTTATTGGGATAAGGCTCTGGTCCTGCGGTGGTGTTAACAAAGGCCATCGCCGTATAATCAGAGACTACGCTGCCAGTGTTTGTGACGCTAGTAGTGAAGTTGAGGAAGGGGAGCTGTTCCGCTGTGTTGTAGCCGGCATGCGACCGAGACAAAAGGTCAACAATATCAAATGAAGCCTCATTGGTAGCCATGTTAGAGCGCGCAAGGGATGTCTTGAAAGTCGTGTAGAACATTCCATGTCCAAACTCGTAGACAGGCTTGCCTGTGTACCACATGTATGTTTGGCCAGGGTTGTCTCCGCTGGGACGCATGTTCATGTCGATCGCCGAGAACTGCAAAGCATACTCGGCGGGATATTGTGTTGTTGTCAGTCGACCAGCGGGTGCACGCTTGCCAGTGATGATGTCCAAGAGAGCCTGGCCACCAGACTGACCTGGGTAACCTCCCCAGATAAGCGAGTTCACGTTCTTGTTCTTCTTCAAAGAGGAGCTGTCAACCTGACCTCCGCCCATCTGTAACACCACCAATGGTTTGCCAACGTTGCTCAATTGCTTGATTAACTCGAGTTGGTTTCCTGGCCATGTAATGTTTTCTCGGTCCATGCCCTCCGCTTCAATGGTGTTGTCAATGCCACCAGCAAAGACGATGGCATCAGATTTCTTGGCTGCAGCGATCGCAGCGGCGAAGTCTTCAGTTGACTGCGAAGAGATGTTCGTACCCAAAGCATAGTGAACGGTCAGATCTGATGCCTCGAGAGCGGCGAGAGGGCTAGTCAGATAAGGAGCATTACCGTAATAATTGCCTTGCATTTGGGTGGTGGCATTGCCCCACGGACCAACCAGGGCTATGCTTTTGACCTTCTTGGATAATGGCAGAGTTCCGTCATTCTTCAAGAGAACGATGCCTTCAACGGCTGCCTCATACGAGATATTCCATGCATTAGTTGTAGACACATCAGACCAGTCAAGGTTGCGATAGGCACTGCTATTGCCGTCGAAGTATCCCAAGCGGGCGAGGTTTGAGTAAAGCCTGATAACACCACGCTCAATCTCACTTCGAGAAATCTCTCCTTGGAAGAATGATTCATTGAGGTGATACTGGTAAGAGGTACCACAATCAATATCGGTACCAGCTCTCATAGAGTCCGCCGATGCACCCGTGATGTTGTGTGCATACTCATGTGGATTCCAGACATTGTAAACGGCATCACAGTCTGACGAGACATACCCGTCATCAACAAAGCCCCAGGTATCCCGGAGAATAGTCTGGAGGAAGAATGAGTTGGCAGAGCTGGGTACTCCGTTCACAGAGTTGTACGAAGACATGACACTGTGGACCCTGGCATCCCGAACTGCAGTCAGGAACTGCGGCATAAAGTATTCCGCCAAGTCCTGTTGGGTAATGTTCACATCGTTACCCAAACGGGAATGGTCGTGCCAATTCTCAATGTCATAACCCGCAAAATGCTTCGCGGTGGCTACCAACTTCAGGTGTTCTGGGTCGACACCTCCTTGCATTCCGGTAATGTATTCATATGCATACGTCCCGCACAGACAGTAAGCGTCCTCGCCGGGTGTCTCCTGTCCACGACCCCAGACAGGGTGCCGGAAGGCATTGATGTTGGGCGCGTAAACATCGAGACCATAGCGACCGACATTATTAAATGCGCGACCCTGGGTTGAAATGATGCCTCCGATTTGGTTGATCAAGGTGCGGTTCAGCGCAGCCATCGAAAGAATGGGCGACGGGAAGGAGGTTGCCCAATTGTAGGCACCAGCGTCGGTGAAATTGGCACGATCCAATCCATGAAGAGCTTCACTCCAGACCTGGTATGGAGGAAGTCCGAGGCGAGGAATGGCAGGGATGTTATTCCCGGTGCTGTTGACCAGCTCTTCGAACGTAAACATGGAAACCAAAGCCGCGGCGCGGTCATGGGCAGTTGCGGATGTATCGCATACTAAGGTATTGCTCAGAGGCCCATTGTCGCAGTCCGGGAACCCCAGATCGATTGTTGCGAGGGTCCAGGTATCGAGATTGGGTTGAGGTTCCGTTGAATAGTCAACATAGCTTGTATTGGCTTGCGCGAGAGCGAACGGCACCAAAGCCGCCAACACGGCTAAGGATGCAGCGGTCATTGTGAACGGCTTGCTGAATGGTGCCGAGCATATCTTCTTGATTGTCTCCGACTATTTATACCCCGACCAGGGCCGGCTGCACTTCGGCTATATCCCACGGGGTATACACAACGTCTCCACAATTCGCCCAAGACGGCAACTCCCGCAGTCGATCGACACGCGGGGAATCCCAACCTCGCACGATGCTTTGCTATTTAGCCTGAAAGTTGCCAGGATGGTTGAATCCTTTCCGTGACGAACTCCAGCTTGGTAATCATGAAGTCATGCGATACCCCTCATTCTCCACGAACTGACAGTCCACGACGCAGGTACAGACTACCTCGTACCGGGTTTAGCATAACTGTGCAGAAGGTTATGCATGGCGGTAGAGACCTCCTGAATCTCCATTTTAGATGGCCAGCAAGATTCTCTTATGATCAAATTGCCAGGTTCAGCTTTCAGCGCGCGGACAAGACTCCAGTATCCCAATGAAGGCTTGATTTGCTGATTTGCTTCATTGCTCCGAGCGAAAATGGAGCATGATGTTAGGGGCTAGAGGTGTCTAAAGCATCCAATTGGTCCTTTGACAAATCCTGAGTGAAAAAGGGGTTGATCATTTTATCCATCCTATTCGCATTCCATTAAAGCAATAGGTTTACACAGATCTAAGATGAGAATTCGTGCACATTCTTGTCAGAGCTCCTGGCGGATTAACATTAGCATTGCAGATGCTGGATGGAGCAACGATCCCTAATTTAGGCTAAATCAAACATCTATGTATATGACGGCAGATGTCGTACGACTGCGCAGAATATGCCTCGAATTGCCTGAAGTAACACCCTGACCATCCTGACCGGCAGCGACACGGTTTTACCCACTGCTTTAAACACGCTCCTCAATGGATAATCGTGATTCAAAGACTCAATGTCTCCATGTCGCATTCCGTTCCATTTACACTACATACTTGGAAACCTAGTAATACCCTGGGCTTGTGTACTTCCACTTCATCCATTAGATCGGTTGAAGAATTTACCTAAGGAATAGCTATATGAACCGACCCCTGGGTAGTAATTCTCTCTAGAAACATAATTCGGTGCTAAACTGGAGCTTTTGTCTCTATCGACCCGATGGATGGTTCCACTCAAGCCTTTAATAAGGGATCTTGAAAACCCAAGCATATTGATCAGCTGCCGCGACTTCCTTGCTCACCGAAAGAACCACAGAACCATTGCGTAACTTTTGACTTGGGATTACTGCACCATGCAACTTCCCCCCTACTACTGTAACTTGATCCCCTTCCGCCCAGGGAATCGGGCTGGATATGATGAGTGTGCTGTTGGGCTTTGTTATTGTATGAATATAAAACGCATCTTGCGAAACAGTGAATCGCACGTCACCCTCTTCGGGTGTAATGAACCAATAGGTAGTGTTGAAAATTGCCTCTTCGTGGGTTTTAATCCATTTACCGGCTTGTCGAAGATGCTGCTGTTCAATGTCGACAATGGTTCCGTTGGCTGTTGGCCCAACATCGAGCAGGAAATTACCGTTCTTGCTGACAATGTCAACAAGACTAGTCACAATAGTGCTAGCATTCATGTAGCTTGCCAATGGGGTGGCACGGTTATATCCGTAGCTGTATGGATCCATTCCAAGGTTACTCTCCCATTTTCGTCTTTGCACAGCGGAGTATGTTGCGTATTCTGGCGTGTCAAAGTCCCCCGGGAGGCCACATCGGGCATTCATGACAACTTGGCGGTTCTCTTTTGCGGCTTTGTTGAACCATTCTGAGGCCCACTCGGCTGTTTTATTCGGTCCTGTTCAACAAGCATTAGAGATATGGTCAATGATTACAAGATGGCTAGATCCTCACCCCCAATGTCACACCACATAATTTCGGTTCCCATCTCGGCAAGAGTGTTCATTTCAGGCAGAACCTTGTCGGTAATGTAATCATTCACAGGGACCCAGCCCGTGTACGGTAATGTCTCGTTCGCGAAGGGATTGGTAGCATTGCCTGGCGCCTGTTGTCAGTCGATATTCAAAAAAAAAAAAAAAAAAAAAAAAAAAAGAGGTTCAAGCCCTAATACCTACCTCCAGGCCAATCACCGAACCCGTACTTCTTGTAGTCTGGATTGAACCACTCAGGAAGGCTGTAGTATCTATAGGAGTAAGGTAATCAGTATAATATCAACACTTTGACCATATTTTACACTGAATTCACTTACGTTGCTCGATGTAGTTGAGGCTGGTACTTTTTGGCTGCATCAAACAATTCCTTCTTATGGTTAGATCTCCTAGGCAAGATGAAACAATCATTCTTCGTACCTGTAATAAGTTCCGATGGGGGGTCATTGCCACAGACGTCCTCTTCGTCACATTCTCTGGAAGATCGAATAGAGCATAGCCCTCATGGTGCTTGCTAACTTGAACGAAGTAATTCGCACCAGCATCCGCAAATAGATCAACCCACTCCTTGGGATCCCATGCGCTGACCGTGAAGTTTTGGATAAAATCATCGTACACAACATGGGGCCCGTATTTCTCTAGCTGATAGTCATATACACCGACTGAGCCACTCGGGCCTTCATTAAGCCACCACCAGTACCTAGACGCCACATCAGCAATGTTTCTCGATATTCAATCTTGCATTGAAAATATACCATTCAGCATAGTCTTCTTTGGATCCCGAGTTTCCCCAGCCTGGGACCGAATAAATTCCCCAGTGTATGAAAATTCCATACTTAGCATTGTTGTACCAATTTGGAGATTCATGACTGTACACAGACTCATAGGTAGCCTCGTAAAGACCAACTCCGTATGTTGCCTCAAATGTATATTTGGTAGACATCACATTCTGGCCCTCGATTACAATGGTTGCAGGGCCTGAATTTCCAATTCTCACCCCTTCGCAGTTCCGCACCCCGATTTCCACCGTGGCTTGATCACCAGGACCCAGTCGTTTGATCACACCTGGCGCTACAGTTTCTAGGCCGGGTGACTCGACGCGCACATAAATGCTGTTGTTACGCAACGCAATGGAAGACCCGACATTGTTGACAAGAACCTCCACGATCTGAACCTTATCAGTGCCTTCCATCCACTTCTTGGTTGATCGGGCATATTGAGTTTCTAATTGAATAGATTCAGCGTTGCCGCTGGACACTGGTAGCATTGATAAGGCAAAAATATGAAGCTTGGTGCTGATGGTCGCTCCTCCAGGACTCGTGGATGACCCAGTCGAGCTATTGGGAAAGGTCAGCGAGACGAGCTCCTTGGATGAGTCCAACCAGGTGGTGGTTTGGAATATATTGGAACGATTCCAGTTAGTATTATTTTCAGTCAGATAGCAAGTGAAGATCAAGTCTCCTCCTTCGGGATAAGGCCAGCTCCACCAAGCTGGGACTAGCAGCGATCCACTGGTCGTGCTACCATCTGCATACTTGGCGAGCACAGAGCCAGAGGCCATACCAGATTCCGATGCAGCAAGCATTTGATAGCTGAAGTATCGAGACTGTGGGACCGTTATTTCCTGTCCCTGAGTGAGAACATTGTCATAACCCGCAGTGGCATTGTACTTGGCGAAGCGATAGTTAAATCCTCCGTATGAGAACTTCTCCGGCGGCATCTCTGCTGCCGGATATGAGTCTGGGTGTTTTTAGTCAATGGGCTTTCGCCATTCGTATTTAATGCTAGATAATTGAGATCTAAACTCACTTGAGTCACCATCAAAATCAGCATCACTTGGGGTTAGGCCAAATGCTCGGTTGTTGAATGGTAAATCGACAGGAAAGGAGGCATTTCGGCCAGAGGTCTCTTTGAAATCATTTTGAGGCTTGAAGAGCACTGCTTGGCAAAGAGTTGCACCGGCAAGAAGCGTGCAGAGTCCATTTATTCTCACCATGGTGACAAGAGGCTTGTGGCGGCCGAACCGTTGTGTGGCGTAGATCATCTATAAGTAGCCGTTGCGCATGTTATCGGTCACTGCCAGGTAGCAGTACCTAAGTAACGGTATCATTTCCCCGCAGATACCAATGTATAGCGTGGATTTCTTTTGTAACCTTGGCTATCTAATCGGATAAATACAAAGTGATCGTCGTGCGGAGATGTCGGCCTTTTCGCCGAAGCTATCCCGATTTGGTGACTATTGATGCGAACCATGAAGCGACAGGACATGGCAAGATGTCCTATATACTATTCCGTTCACAGCTATTGGAATTGTGTTGTGTACTTCTTTCTTCTTGTGAACAGATCTGGACTAACGCCAAGGCTTACTTGTTGACGACATGAAGCTTTTGACTTTCCCTGGGCAGTATTGAGCACGCCTCTAGCATTGAATATTAAAAAGCCTTCGATCTGTTTACTGATCTTCCGGTAATTGGGGCCGTCTGATCCACACTGATCAGGCACCAGACCATCAGCAATTGTCTTCACCTTGCTGATAACAAAGGTGTAACCCGAATCCTAAAGCTGAGAGGCCTTGGGAGGTGACTGGTCACTAAATTCCATGAACGGTGACCCCAGTGGTGTAAGAGAATCACTCGTCTATAGCTTTCTTGGGACCTGCTAAGAAGCAAATGGCCTGTCCAGCTTCGGCCATGGTGGGAGCACTGAAAACCCGGCTAGCGACGAAGCGGCCACTAGACACTTGGATCTTAGCCGCAATGTATGTGGTCGTATCAGGGTGAACAGTAGACGTGTTCAATAAAGAGCTTTCTTTGATGTCCCCGGCGCTCAAACTGGCTCTGATGATTTCAACGATAGCAGCATCGTCACTAAGGCAAGGGAGAGTGATATCGGTCTTTAGAAACAGCCTCCTTGATAGATACAACGGCAACTGTGTTTTGATTCTGAGAAATACAGTTATGAGCGCGCTTGGTGGTTTTGTGGTAGATAAGTAGAGGTGAAGTGAGCGAACCCTTCGAGGGCAGATTTTGGGCCATGCCCTTATTGAAGACGTGTTAGTACTGAGCAGACTAAGACATTATGATGGATTATTGTATGTGACGTACATGGCCCATGTTAACAGAGCCAATACAAGCAGCCTAAGTAGCCGTGATGATAACGCCTGGAGATTTGTGATTTTTGAGAGACGTGAACAATAAGTGTTGTGTGAATACAGAAAGAGATCTGGGAAGGATTTGGTCCAAGTTCAAGTGATCAAGCTTAGACCAACAGAATTTCGGCGAAACCTTTGATCGTGTAATAAGTTTGCAAGAGCAGAGGAGCTTTAAAGCCGTAGCAATATTGGTAAGCATCCAATGGTTTCATGGCGGAAGGAGTAATACAGCTGCTGTTTAAGCCTGGCTCAATTCGTTGTATTTTACATTAAGATACAGACGCTATGCATATAGATGGAAACCATATAAAGAAACTCATGATAAATAGACCTAAGCCCTGGTTGCTGGTTGGGACTTGGACGCCTTGCCCACCTTGACCTCCTTCTCCAGCGCATCCAGTGCTGCTGTAAATTTGGACTGGAGTGACTCCAGCGTCTCCGGTTTGACCTGGACTCGTTCAATTGCAGCTTTACGCGTGATGCGGCCGTCGGTGCTGGCAGAGATTTCGTTGGCAAACCATCGTCCCTCCCGGTGAGCGACCAAAGTCCATGCAGAACCCTCTCGGCCAGCACGAGCAGTTCGTCCCACACGATGCACATAGGTGGTAACACTGCTAGGAACATCGTAGTTCACGACATGTGTCAATGAAGGCAGATCCAGTCCACGTGAGGCTCGATCTGTGGCCACAATGATGGAAATACGACCTTGTCGGAAAGCTGTCAAGGTCTTGCGAGATGCGGCAGAGTTGCTCGACTTGATAATTGTTCCCATGCGGCTGGCAAGCGAGGGGTGGAAGAGGGAGATAAGTCGAGAAAGTCGCGATGCAGACTCGGAAGACTTGGTAAAGATCAAAACGGTAGTAGGGGATATTTTGCCTTCGGGCACAAGATCTACTGAATCAGAGACTGAATCATCGGAGTCATTTGATGAATCAGAGCTTGATTCGGAATCAATGTCGGAATCAGAATCCGAGTCTGAGTCTGTATCAGAATCTGAGTCGGAGTCTGAGCCAGAAGATGAGGTGTCATCATCGGAAGACTCATCAGAGCTCGTATCGTTAGAGCTTGTGTCATCTGAGCTAGAGCTGTCGTCGACAGCATCGAATACAGACTCATCGACGCCAATTTTGATATACGAAAGGAGCAGCCGCAGGAGATACAACGGCTTCTGGGATTCGTCGCTAACGGCGACCATGCGCTCATGCAAGGTCGGCGGCAAAGTGAAATGAGCATCGGCATTGGCGGTAGATGAAGCATCGAGGTCGATAGCTTTCTCAGCGCCGATGATCACCATTTTCGGATTAGCCAAGCGCAAAGAGTTGAGCTTCGAGATATCGCGGGTCATGGTAGCACTCAATACAACCTTCCGAGGGGGCTTGGTTTCAATTGGAAGCCCAAGATCAGACAAGAGCTTGCCACCGGGCCCAAAGGCTTCGGGCGCCTGGCGTGCATCCAGCGACCCCATGACCACATCCACCCATTCCTGGAAGCTCTCGTTCAGCAATCGATCGGCCTCATCAATCACCAACCACTCTAGATGCTTGAGGGTAAAGCCTTTGGTGTAGCGAATATGATCCACCAAACGACCAGGGGTACAGATAAGAATATCGACATTGGGCTCTGGTCGCTGGATATAGCCTGGAAGAAATCCGGTGGAGTCGACTGCCTCTGTCACACAATCCTCGAGGTTGAAGTCCATCCAGTCATTTCCTTGCAGGCCGGTTTTTTGGCGTTGCGCAACAGTGGCGGGATTGTGCACCTGGTCTACTCTCATAAGAAGCTTTTGTTCCTCTTTGATGGCCACATTTCCCACTGCACTTCCAATGTGAAGGCGTGATCCAGAGGCGCAAAGCTCACAGGCCTCACGAGCCTGTTTCACCAATTCTCTCGTAGGAACCACAATGAGTCCTCTTAGTCTTGATGCGGGCCTGGGTGTCAAGGAAGTGACAAGTGGAAGTACGTAGGACAGCGTTTTTCCAGATCCAGTGGCCGCCGAAACACAGAGGTCACCGGGATGGTTCTTGCTTCCATCCAGAAGAAGAGGAATCACCGCAGACTGGACAGCGAATGCCTCCTCGTAACCGTGCTGGTTGAGAATGCGCAATAAGTCAGGTTTGATGCCGAGTTCAGCGAACTTGGATCGCTCTTTTGCTGATGTCCGTACGGGTTCCGCTAGCCATGCGGGCAGAGAAGAGTAGGTCGGAGCCACTTCTAGCTCTGGCGGATTTTCGGGCTGGGGCAACGGTTCCAAGCCTTGTGCAATAACCGGTTTGATGGTATCCTCGGTCACTTCAACCTCATCGGGCTTTTGTTTCTTAGTCAATTTGCTGGAGACTGCCTTGGTCCGTTCAATCTTGGAATAAATCCCTGCGTGTTTGGCTTTCGAAGCCTTTGTCTCGTCCTCATCATCCGAGGAGTCTGCAGGCTTTGCATTCACAGGCGAAGTCTCATCAAGTGTTGTATTGCGCTTTTCAGAGTTATTTCGCTTGCTCTCTTTCGACTTCTTTCCTTCTTTAGTGCTAAGGTGGTGCGGGTCTGTAATAATCTTTTTGCTGCTGACTGGCGAGACAATACTTTCTTTCGGGGTCGATTTCGGAGTATCTTCGCCCTGAAGCGCATCCTTGACTCGCTTTCGTTTCTTGTTGCTGTTGCCATCTTCTGCGGTTGATGGAGCGGAAAGACTGTCACGCTTCTTGTGCTTCTTGGTTGGGGTTGGGGTTTGCGTTCGTGTGAGATCCAAGTCGCGCTTCCGTTTGGGAGTCTTGGTCAACTTGGGCGTTGTGACCATCTTGGTGGACGACTCGGGCGCTTTGGATCCGGTCATTCTTTCCAAGCGCTTGCATTCCTCAAGAGCTTTGGTGCGGAGCAAATTCCAATTTCGTTGATGTTTTTTTGTGCCGGCAGAACGCTAACCAAAGGCACCGCCCGTAGTTCACCGCCGGCTCGGAGGGCGCGCGGTGCGTCTACTATTGACCAAGTGGGAATACATGTGTAAATGTGTCGGGGAATGGATCGAACTGGTATCCTTGTGGAATGACTTGTTCGCCATGGATGGGAAATTGATCCCAATCATCTCATTTTCTCGGAACTCTTTGCCCGAGAGCCACCGCCATAATGCCATATAATATTGCGTGAGTCTCATTCATCTGTGTCGCGAGAGAGAACCATACCAAAGCTGATTAAGGATTCGCATGGCAGTATGGTCAGTGACTTCTTCTTTCCCCAGTCAGGTATGTCCCAAAGACGAAAGTGTGGCCTTGGTTGTGTTTTTTGGTGCTAACCAGGTCCAGGGGGCATTGAGAGTCACATTTATCAGTTATCTTCTGTAAGCAATGCAGAGCAATAGTTGCTTCATCTGGCTATATTCTAACATTCCCCTAGAAATTGATCGATCGCGGGCACAAAGTCATCATCATCACTCATGCATACAAGGGCCGAACGGGGGTTCGATATCTCACCAATGGACTCAAGATTTATCATGTTCCTTTCTTCGTCATTTACCGCGAGACCACGTTCCCTACCGTCTTCTCCTTCTTCCCCATATTCCGCAACATTGTCATTCGGGAGCAAATCGAAATTGTTCATGGCCATGCGAGTCTCAGTAGCTTCTGCGGCGAAGCCATCCTCCATGCCCGCACAATGGGTCTACGAACCGTCTTCACCGATCACTCCCTCTTTGGATTCGCCGACGCCGCCTCCATCCTCACCAATAAACTTCTCAAATTTACATTAAGTGATGTCGATCATGCGATCTGCGTCAGTCATACTTGGTGAGTTGTGGGTGGACGCGTTCCGGTGGGCAAGGACTAACTTGTTCCAGCAAGGAGAATACCGTCCTCCGAGCCTCCTTAGATCCTTTAATGGTATCAGTCATTCCCAATGCCGTTGTTGCGGAGAATTTCTGTCCGCTCTCATCAACCCCTCGTGGGCAGGATCAAATGCCATTGTCACCGGCAGACCCACGGCCGGCACCCACGCCAATCGGTCCTGACGACACAATCACAATCGTCGTTATCTCTCGTCTTTTCTATAACAAGGGTACAGATCTTTTGATCGCAGCGATTCCGCGAATCCTGGCCCTCAACCCCAACACTCGTTTCATCATTGCCGGCTCAGGGCCTAAAGCTATCGACCTCGAACAAATGCTGGAGCGGAATGTTCTGCAGGACAAAGTTGAAATGCTTGGGTCTGTGCGACATGAAGAGGTGCGAGATGTCATGGTTCGAGGGCATATTTACCTGCACCCTAGCCTGACGGAGGCATTCGGAACGGTCATCGTTGAAGCCGCCAGTTGTGGATTGTATGTGGTTTGCACCCGAGTAGGAGGTATTCCTGAGGTTCTTCCGCAGCATATGACCACATTTGCGAAACCCGAGGAGGACGATCTCGTCGTTGCAACCAGCAAGGCGATTACAGCGCTGCGTTCAAACAAAGTACGGACGGACCGATTCCACGACCAAGTGAAGATGATGTATTCATGGCGGGATGTTGCTGAACGTACCGAGCGGGTTTACGAAGGCATCACGGGTGACATCAGCCCTGAGGAATTCTACGGATATTATCCAGGCCAAGGCTGGGAAGCTAGCGGAGACCGAGTCCGCAGCTTTGCCCTCATTGATCGACTCAAGCGATACTACGGCTGTGGTGTCTGGGCCGGCAAGCTGTTCTGTCTTTGCGTAGTCATTGATTTTCTGATCTATGTTTTCCTTGAGATGTGGTTTCCTCGGGTCAATATCGATATTGCTAGAAGCTGGCCGAGGAAACAACCAGAAGGAAAGTCCCGACCATCGGCCATGGCTCGAAGACATGGATAAGAGCTTGAAGTCTTGCCCACACCCCTTTGCTCTATTCTTAACTGACACTAGATGAATTGTACATGAATACTCTCCAGGTGCCAATACTCGCATCATTAGATAATAATAATTAACAGCCAGTTTTCGTGTTGAAATGTTGATCATTTATTTGTTTCTTTGTTCGCTGAATAAAGTAACTATGAGAGTTTTCCGTCCATGCTGTTTGACTTTCTCATACATAGGTTCCGAAACAATCATGACTTCATAAGATTACCAGACCCCACGCGGCTGCATGACAGCGTGATTTATTTGTTGCGCTTTGTGGTAGGCTCATACTTCCACTCCGCATCGAGAGTCTCAGCACCCTCAGGAAGCATATTTTCCGCGGCGCGATCGGCCTTATTGCCACGAGTACCACTTTGAGCCTCTTCTCTCTCAATGCCGCGCTGGTCGGGGAATTGGCGCTCGATGCCATGGTTCTTAGCAGTGGCACCCACACCCTCTACGCCGGAAGGCTGCTTTTTGCGACCATGTGCGCCATCGTGGGCCAGCTCAACATTAGTCTGGCCTTGTAGAGGTTTACCGAGGCCACTGTGTACGTCTTGCGAGGTGGCACCCACTAAAGTGTCGCCAGCAGAGGTGCGCTGACTGGAAGGCATGTCGGGGTTGTTCGTCTGGCTACCGACATCGTTGACATTGGAGGTATATGAGTTGCTAGCGGGAGCTGTGCCAGGAGGGAAGGCTTGGAGGTGGTGTTCGGGACGGTGGTCGGCCTCGTTAACTTTGACACCAGGTTTGTGCTGTATATGATGTTAGCTGATTGTTAGATTAGGGAGTAGTGGTAATAATGAACATACGCCCTTGTCAGTCATAGGACCTTCGGGGGCGATGGAAGGCTTGAAGCTGCCCTGCTTCTCGTTGGCGACGGAGGCAACGTTGTTAAGAGTGCTCATGATGAATATATCTCAATAACCGTGGACAAATGCGAAAGTTGTGATAAATTTGGTGAATTCTTATGCAAAGTTTCGCCTGCAAGTATAGAAAAGATAATTATGTTGGTACTATCCTTGCAATGACCATGGCTTTATATGGTGGTTTCATACTAAAGTTGAGACATGACGTCAAGCTTCTTATGGTTGACTTCATCGATGTGTATTTGGAGGCAACTGTCATTGATAGTATTCTGTGAGCTCAACAGTGGATCCATTGCTTGATGCATCAAGGTTGCACTGACCATGGTCATGGCACGAGGAGTGACATCAAACAAGTGGCGAAACATATCACGGAAGGAGAGTCAGTTGAGAACAGTTTCCAAGAACTTTCTTGATTTCACGGACTTTCGCATGATTTCAAGGTGGATTAACTCTGACCTAACTGATCCATGCACTGATCCTTGCCGTGAGCGTGATTGGTGGATGGTTTACCGGCCAACCGTCACCAAGTTATGCTGGCATCACATCCAGTTATCTAGATTATGTCCAAAGTTGACGATCGGACTGAGCACGAACATTGTCTAGCTTGTGCTATTCTGGTTGATTAACTAATTACAGTGCTTATTATTCTAGCGCGAATTCTGTTGTTATATACATCACACTGGCTATACAATTGGGCTATAGCCCGATTGAAATTCATATGGATCTCATTATCATTCGCAAAAACGCCAGGATGCAAACCAAAGTATGCTCGCCAGTCCAGTCTGCAATCAACGCATTACTGGTGGTCGGCCTTCCTTATTCCACTTGACGCGGCTCTGTACCCACTCCACGGCCGCCTGCACCCCAGACCCTAGTAGCGCGCTGACCGGCAGCACACGGCTGTCTCGAACCCCTGTTCCTGTGTCGCCTTCAAAGACCTTGCGCACGAATCCTTCCTTGATGCGGACGACTTCGACACAGTCTTCACGATCTTGTTTGTTGGCTAACACCAAAATCGGAACCCCCGCCACGTCGGCACTCTGCAGAACGGACTCGAGCACCTCGCGACATTCGTCCAAACGTCCGAATTCACTGCCTCCAGCGTTGGTGCCAACGTTTTGCTCGGAGAACGAGTCGCCGTTACTTGTGCTGCCGCGAGTCGGTCCCGATACGGAGCTAGGGCGTCGTCCGGGTGCGGTGGGAAGCCGTGTGATATCGGAGTCTTGGCCCACGTCGGCGCTATCAACCACGAAGATAATCGCGTGGCAGCTGGTGTAATAGCTTTGCCAGAGGCCACGCATAGATATTTGGCCTCCAACATCCCAGATCTTGAGGTTCATATCCGGTAACGAGATGGTGGTGACATTCTGGCCGACGGTAGGGACGGTCTTGCCGGGGTTAGGCGCGGGGGCGCCATCTGCTCGTGGTTGATAGAGGGCTTTAATCTGGGTCAAGAGAGTTGTTTTTCCGGCATTGTCCAAGCCTAGTAGTAGCACGGAATATTCTTAAGAAAGATCCCAGGCCTATGTGAGCGACAACCCTGCGACGTCTTCTGGGGAGGAATTCGGGGAAGTTCCGGGGGAATCTGCTTACCTTCTTTGCTGGTCGCGTAAAGATATACCGACTTAGCCAAGTGATACATGATCGCGGAGCTTCCTCAAGCTAGCGCGATCCGGTCGAATAAATCCGCAAAGGGAAATCAAACATATCATGAAGTGATGACGAGGCTGATCTCTTGCGCTCATCCCGCTCATCCGGATGCGGTAGGTAGGGCTTAGGGTTGCATGGAGCAGAGGGTGATGATAAACTGTGTAGAATTGGAATGGCTATAGTTCATCGGTATATGCATGCTGACCAGCAGATTGAAGTCCTTCTCCTTGACGTGATCATTATCTTTCCCTCGGGAAGCACTTCCTATCATCTTCACCAATTCCACTCTTTTGCCTTTTTCCCCACTTCGCTTTTGTCAGCTTGATTACATATTGCTTTGATCTTAAATCCGTGGAATCGTCCAGAGACAAAAGAATTACTTGGAAATTTTAACCTTTTCTTTCTCCGCATTATGCACATTCCTATGTCCTTGGTCCGCTTGATAAGACCTCATGCCCGCATTAGATGAGGATTTGGCCTGCTCCCGACCCCAGAATGCCCCGCGTGGGCTTGATCACTCTACCCCAATGGAAACCAACACGGTCATCGTCGGTATGGTTTCGACTCTGTTCTCAATCATTCCAATGCTAAGACTTTATCTCCAGGCAATGGGCCGTCGGCCATGATCCTTTCATATATTCTTCACGGTTATATCCCATTTTACTCCTCCGAAACCCCACATCCGGACCCATTACTGGACGCCAAGTTGAAAAATGCGCCCAACCTCTTGAATATCAACGTAGACGTGCTGACGGCGCATTTCGCCGCCTCGCGTCTATCATACTCTACCCAGGCTTTACCGGTGAATGTGCTGCTGGATACCCTAGTACGACCCAGTCTCGACATTGAAGAGTCGGGCAACGCCTCCAATGTCGAGTGGCGATACATGCCTGAAAATGCCGTCTCACATCTCGTCTTCGGCAACTCGACCGATCCTGGAGGCCAATGGACCGAACACCCCCACGGGGCAAGCTGGGATATCCGGACCCTAAGCTATGCCGCCATGTTGTCGCTACCCGGCTACTCTTTTGCGGAGCATCACAAACAGCAAACAGGCCATGATCTAGCACCTTTCACACGACCTACGAGGCGCGAGATTGCAGAATACTTCCGCCTCTATCCGGCAGCAGTCAGTATCGGTGAGAGTTTCCGGTGCGGAGAGGAGCTGGGTGGCATCTCCCGCACTGCTCATGGCTTCTACATCGAGTCACATAATCTTCACTGCAAGCGATTGGTGCTTGCAAGTGGTATCTTTACCGAGATTCTTGCGCCAGTCCCCGCCCTTCAGCCTCTCCTCGAAACTCAATCAACTCCCTCAGTACCGCTCCTTGTGATTGGCTCGGGCTTCTCCGCTGCCGACGTGATCATCTCCGCCGCGTCGGACCAAAAAATAATTCATGTCTTCAAATGGGCCCCCGAAGATCGTCCGTCACCTTTGCGTGGCTGTCACCAACATGCGTACCCTGAATATGCCGGGGTTTATCGACTAATGAAGAAGGCCGCCCTGACGGGCGCCACAAACCAACGACTGAAATACCGTCGCGGTACCTCAACCCCCTTCTTAGAAAGTCGCGATTGGGACAATGTCTACGAGGGTATCTCCAATATAGAGATTACTGCTGTCGAGATACAAGGTGGAACGGCGCACGTCACATTTCGCCGGACTGATGGTTCCACATTTGCTAGGTCTGTCCAGGGCCTCGTTTATGCCGCTGGGCGGCGTGGTACCTTGGAGTATCTAGATAGCGAGCTTCGCTCCGAAGTCCTCGGACACAACCATTCGGAGACCGCCACTGTTTCAGCGCAGACTCTCCGCGCGAAGGCAATTGAGGACTTGGAGGTTGCCCCGGGAGTGCATATCATTGGAAGCTTGACTGGCGATTCACTTGTGCGCTTTGCGTATGGAGGTTGTGTCTATGCGGCGGGACAGCTCATTGGAGAGCGAGAGGGCGACCTGGGAACCCGCAGTGCCTGTAGTAGCAGAGTGTCGACCCGGACCCAATCCTCATCCCTGCCTGTCATGAATGGGATGGATGGCCACGACATTTTCCCCAATGATATGGCTGTGGTTACCCGAGACGATACCCTGAGCAAAGTGTCAACGGCTGGGGCGACAACCTCTCAGAGCTGGTGGAGGACAGTGACGCGTCTGTGGAAGGACCTTATACGATAAATGAGATGTAAATACTTTGTATACTCGTATGGCGTTGTATGTATTGCATGTAGACGCATTTCAGGCTGGCGGAATTTTGATTTTAATTACCAGAAGATGCACTCATGTTACATGGATGTTCATTCCACAGCTCTCTCTTGTAACAGTTCAGATACCGTGACAACGGTATATCCTTTTTGTTGCAACTCCGGCAACACCACCCGAAGCATAGGCGCAGTCCACTCTCGGCGGTCGTGGCAGATAATGACACTTCCTGGCCTGACCATGCTCAGGATGTGCTTGGCATTCAATCTATAATAAGGCACCTGTGGGTCGTGAGGATATGTATCACCCAAGATGAGCTTATACCCCAAGCCCCCAACCAGGCGCCGCATCCTCGAGCTGAAGAAGCCTGAGCCCGGCCGGAAGTACCACTGATCAGGCCCTTGGCCCTGGTCGGCTGCATCATATGCCTCTTGGATTATAGCCTGGACGGCTAGAATCTGCTCCGTCAGCGACTCGTCGCTTAACGCGCGCGAAGGCTCATCGTGCATGGCATGATTGGCCAGCTCATTCCGGGCCCGAACAAGGTCGGAGAGGACATTTTCATAACCCGGCACTTGAGATCCGATCACGAAAAAGGTGGCAGTCGCATCGTGGGCTTTTAGCAGACTGAGAATTTCCGGTGTATGTGCTGATGGCGCGTCGTCGATGGTCAGCGCGACGATTTTCTTGGCAACTGGGTGATGAAACAGGACGTCGGGCCAGCGACTTTGCAAATAACGGATGAGGAGCGCCGGGGGCTTGTAGATGAAATAGAGAGGGAAAAATAAGCAGCATGTTGACAGGATGCCGAGCATGGTGCCCAGTTGGACCGTAGGTGACGAGAGCTCCGGGGAACCTCTACTCGTGTCATGGTGGACCCGCTTCTTCATATGTGTCTAGGAATCCATCAGCCTCGGTGGGACTTTGACGTGTACCCAGTAGGTCTATAATGTCCGCGAGATAGATACAATAGGGATTGATCGTCTTGCACCATAACGGTCTCTGGGATCATCCAGCCTGATCATCTATTGGATGTACTCCAGATATTGCTAGTCGAAGTTACGAGATAGCTCTGCCTAGATATATACATATCGACTCCTTGAAAAGTTTATTGAATATTCCAACAATAAATGACGGGCCCCGGTATCATGCAGTTCACACATGCCACCGTGCGATATGATGTCTCTTGTTTCTTATTTAGGGAAAAGGTTCATATCCGAGGTCTGAGGTCCTGGAAGAATCGAAGCGAATGTCCCCTATTCCGTCAATGATCAGCAACGTATTCGGCGATCGAATACGCAATCCAACCGAACCGAATACATACCCCCTGCCGAGGACCACTTGCAAACTGTATGTGTCACCTTATGTGACCGATCGACAGATCTGGGGGGATAAGCTGGCCCGACAAAGTGTTTAAGACAAAGGGCTCATCGTCTGCATGTCTGTGCCGTCAGTCCTACAATGTCGAAGTCTGACCCCGAACAGAGCTCGGCCTCCGACACTGGGGCCAAGCCAACAGTATGGCAACGCTTCCGGGCGCATATGAAGAAATGGTGGTGGCTCTATGGGATTGCAGTCATATGCATATTTTTGGTGATCTTCCTTCCTATGTAGAGTGCCCGTGAACACAATCGGTATCGACGACAGGCACTGATTTTCTAACAGTATCTACGTTGGAATCCCACACTTCGCCGACGACTACATTAATAGTTACCAGTATAATGACACAGGCCTGTCCATCACCAATCCCCGACCCTCTGCCTTTCACGTGAGTCAGTCTCAGAAGATCAGGATTGGGGGTGGGCTTAGTGGAAGTGGACATCTATCGGCATTTAATGCGACAATCAACACACCAGATGGCCAGGTGTTGGCGGTCTTTCCGTTACCGGGCATCGAGTTCAGCGACGGCGCCGATCTGAACATCGACCAAGATCTGGAATTGACCTGCGTCGATTGCCTATCAGATATGGCGGCTGCGTTGGCTACGAATCACAGCATCTCTATGGTGGTCAAAGGGCATCCGGACTTGAAAGTCGGTGCGCTGCCCACGGCTCATCTAAACATTGACAAGACGATGAACATGAACGGTAGGTTTCTTCTTGAGAAAGCCTTGGGGCAGGATACACATTAATCAATCTTGAACATCTAGGCTACGATTTCACCGGTAAGTTGAATATTCCGAGGTCTGGTCATAGCCCATAAACCTAACCTCGAAGCAGAATTTGTGAATAGCAACGGGGCCTTCAACATCACCAGTGTGGAGCTCCTGACGCCCGGAGCGGATGGATATAATTTCAATGCGACCGTCTCCCTCCGCAACCCAACACCCTTCTCGGTGCAAATGGTACATGAACATTCCTAGGCTGGCCTGCATGAGCTAACTCAACGACAGGGACATGTCGTATTCAACCTGAGCATGGGAGGATCATCATTAGGCTATATCGATATGCCTGATCTGATGCTGAATCAAGATATCAGTAGCGCGGTAGTCTTGGGCCAGGTCGACGAGTCAATGCTTGTTCAAGAGGCGCTGCTGGGGGACGGTGATATTGGGACGGTAACCATTGATATCCAAGGGTACAGCTGTCACTACAATGGGCAAGCAATCCCGTACTTCGCGGCGGCCATCAAGGCCTCGTCTGCGTCAGTCACTGTGGATCTGCTGAAATATGCATCGAGCTTGTTTGATTAGTAGGCCGAGGGCAAAAAAACAATGAGCCACCGTCCGAAGTCACATTGATGAAAATCATTGCATACCTGAGGGAAACGGGAGTCATGTGGAGTTGGATGTTTTACATGGGCAATGGATTGGGACTGCTAGAACGTCGAATGTCATTTTAAAAACGCAATAATGGGTATTCATATCACCTCCTTCACTTTTTATCCCATGATCTGGAGCTGGTCCTCCGGAGGCCAGCGCACCTGCGCGAAACTCAAAAACCGCTTGATGCTCTGTAGGTACTTCCGAGTAATCTCATCACTGAGAATGTGTGCTTGTTGGTCGCTCTGATGTAGCTTTTCTCGAGCCGATCGCTCGTGAATACCAACCATGGTCACACCAATAGGCCATGCACTAAGTCAACGGTTAGTATGTGCAATCCAGCAACAGGGGAGGTATCATCTTACGCTTTTCCAATGCTCACACGAAGATAAGCATCATTTGCATCAACGTATTTTCGCTGCTGTACCTTGTGCACGATCTCCACAATTGGCTCCAACAGTCCGTCCTCCAAATCTCCCTTCTCAAAGCGCCGGAACAGCGGTGTCATGTTTTCTCGAGACTGGACCATGGCGTTATACGCTTGTTTTCCCTGATGGCTCTGCCGCACCGACACATCTCTTTTTGCCAAAGCCAACTCCCACTCCGAAAGCATCATGTTGAAATAGGACGCCAATTGTCGGAAGAGGAAGAGTCGATCGGCGTCTCCCTTCGGAATCTTAGCGGGAATCAGCATTTGGCTACCGGGCACAGGCTCCAAAATTGTGGGGATCGGTCCATCTGTCAGTTTCTGCTGCGCAGCAGCTCGCTTGACGATTCGGTGGTAACGCCGGAGTCGCGAGCGGTGGTTCTCTCCAAACAACCGCGCAGGCTCGTTGAGCTCTCGAAGCTTTTCAATCAGTTCATCCTCCTCCATATCTACAGCCTCGTCTCCCTCGCCGGGGGTATCCTCCCTGTCGCTTTTGGTGGGCAGGTCGGGGAGTCCGAGTCTTCGTCGCCGTTCCCGCTCCTTGGTCTCTTCCTCTTCCTCCCTTCGCTTTTTCGACTCCTCGGCAAGCCTGGCCCTCTTTTCATCTCGCTCGCGTTGTCTATTTGCCTCTTCCTCCTCGAATTTGCGCTTCTTAGCTTGCTTCTCTTCGCGTTCCCTTTGAAGACGTTCTTGCTCTTCCTCGTATGCCGCTAAGCGCGCAGCCTCGACCTCTCCTCGACGCAGGTATTTCTTTTGAGGTGCTGCCGCATTGTTTTTATCCTCTTGTGTCCCGGAAGGCTTGGCTGAGTCGGTGCCTTTGGCCTTCGAGATCTCCTTGGACATGAGCGCGGCGAAATCCATGGCGGTGGAGTTCACTCAAGGTGCGATTTTCGGTTATGGCGGTGGAAAGAAGCTCAAATGTCGCTGAGCTCTAGCCCCCAAAGTCGGAATGGTCGTTCAAAATGTGACGGGGGTTGGATTGCGGAGTCGAAGGAAGTGGAAGGATGAGAGGAGGAGAATGTTCATGTGGACCTAAGCTTCCAAGCCGCAATCAGACTTGACCTTCCACCCTAACTCCCCAAAGCGATTCACTCCAACTTCCTTCCCCAACTTCTTCGCCAACCATTTCCTGATTATCGCATATATACTGTGCCAGTTGCCACGAGAGCTCCTTTCCCTAATCCTCAGCATTCGTCTCCTATAGCCTGTACCAGTTGATCTGACGCGCGACATCTCGCCCGGTCATGGCCGCTCCATCCCGAGAAGGCCCCAAACCTTCGATCAATCGCCAGACGACGACTCCTTTCCACCTCAAGCTTTTTTATCGCACCAACGGCTTCTACCCTCTATCCGATTATAAGCTTCCCATATCTCCGCGTCAACGCGGTGGTCCAGTCAGTGGTCCGAATGCCACCCGCGCACCCTCCCCTCCGCCAGCTGCTGTAACGCTTCCACCCCATCTTGAGATCTATACCTGGCAATCATGCACACTTCGGGAGCTTTCACAGCTTCTAACCTCCGCATTACCGTGGTTACTAGGCGAATCGCCCACCGGGACTCGACTTTGTTTTCGTCTGATCTACCCCGATGCGCGTGGCGCAGCAATAGCAGGCAATGAGGTTCGCGGTCACTATATCAGCAAAGATCTGGGCAGTGTGGTTGTTGCGCCAAAAGAAAGCCCACTCCGGGGGGATGAAGACGCAGATCGCCAGAGCGAAGCACAGATGCGCCATGGGCCGTTCCGTTTTCAGGGTGGAGAAGCCGACAAATGTTTGCAGGATGTGCGATTCATAATCGGAGATTACATTGAATGTGCAGTCCTGCCGCCGCGTGAGGATGGATCAATCGCACCACCGATCCGTGCTGGCTCCGGGCCGCCGCCGATGGGTCATGGCATGCGCGCATTTGGGCAGAATGGATCTGGGCGACCGGGTCGTGGGGGTCCTCGTGGGGATCGTAGTGGACCTTCGAATGTCCCTATGGGTGATTGGAGGCGCGGGGAGAGACTCCCTGAAGGAGGTGGCCGTGGAGGTCGTCGGGGATGGAATCCATATTAAAAAATATGAAATGATCTGAGAGCTTTGTCTCAGAAAAGCGATGACCACAGGTCGGTTTAGCTTTGGGTATACCAAGTTTCTCATCGTGTATTTGTACTTTTATTATGTATGGAGTGAATGCCTTCGGTAATGTCTTTGTCGATGTATCAATTCCAGCCCTCATGACATCCATCGCCTGCAAAATATACATTCTGAGCTCTACCTACGCCTATAACCGGACACTAGCAATATCTAGAGCTTTATAATAGATGCAGGTCACATATATGATGCCTCCACTGTATCACCAAAGCTTTGTCTGAGTAAGCCGTTCTGAACGAAAACAGAAGAAATCCATGCGGTATAAGCTTGCAGTAAGGTACATAGCCTGGCCGAAGCAGGTATAGTAAAAAGAGAAGGCAGCTTTTTTCAAAAATTCGCCTCGCGATCACTAGAAAATGTGTGAATGGGCAATTCAACCTCCATTGTCCTCCATCACCCCAAACGTATGGTGGATGTTATCGAACCAAATCACATCCTCAATCATTCTTTACCACTCGGAAATTGTGTCTCCCTTCCGCTTACCGCGGAGCTCGAATTTGCCCTGCAGTTTGTCAGCCCATTCCTGCTGGTCGTCCGCATCTGTGCGGGCAACTTGGGTAGCGGATCATACCTCGGTCTTGTAGGCAACGTAGGTCAGGACACCGGGGATGATACCCATGTACACGATAGACAACCAAGCGTGACGAGGAGTCCAGCGGAAGTACTTGTAGCGGTTGGCGTTGAGTTCTATGGTGATCAGTCAGTTCATGCTCAAGGGAAAGCTCATCCGGAGCGTCGGTCTGTGGCCGAATGCGCGAGAAAGCCGGTTCCAGTGCGTTGGTGCAAATTTAATCCTGAGCGCAAAACAGGGAGCGTCCCTGCATATCCACTTTTCTTGAAGCGTGGGGGTCGAGGGTGACGGGGATTGGGATTCATGTACCGTAGTATTTCTGGAGGGCCGGGTCAAGGACCAAGGCTGCGGTCAATTGATTAGCGAGAAGAAAGGTATGAGTTGCAGAGTTTCATAGCACTCACACTTGCTGGGGCCAGCCATGGTTGCGATGGTTCTTGGATCGAAAGCTACAGAGACGTCGCTTTCGCCGTGCGGATCGAGAAGGAAGTGGAGTGGTCACCTGACCAGTATTACCGTCATCCAATCACGTGAGAGACGAAATAAGAATGATCATCCTGTGGACGATTCAGGCGCAGCATGACCTTTGAAGTGAAAACAATGAAAAGTATTGCATGCATTCGATGCTGCCCGCATACTTACGTAGGTATAGGGAAGTTACTCCTGGTCCAACCCCAAATTCTTTTGACCCACTCTATCTACATGACCTGGTACGTATTATATAGTATATACTATAGTCCTTGGATCCCCATGCGCTGTCCGAATCCTAACAAGATTAACGGATATAGCTTGATCCTCCATTCATTTTGTGTATTGTAGCCCATGAGCAGAGATAGGCCTGGGCGTAGTTCTGCGTTGACTCACCAGGTGGATGGACCCCGGGGCGCCACGAATCCCTGTCGAATTTATCCGTATTAGTATTTGCTATCTCCCTAGTCCTCACACCATTCCTGTTATTTAACTTCTGCGCTTGGATGTTAACAGGCTCAGCCTCATTCACGTCATCATCAAAATTATCATTGAGCCTTTTAGGAGCTTGGATGGAGGAGTTCGATTATCTGCCGAGGGAACCATCAGCGTACAAGCCACGCGATAATACTAGGAGAGGAAATCGATATAGAAGTAGGTGGTTGCTGACATGGTGACTTTTGATTCTGTCATATCTGTTCAACAGAGCAATTCCATGGTCATTTTCCAATGTTTCAAAGTTGGTGCATGGACTGTGTACATGGTGCTTATCCAGCTCAGATTGATACCCAGAAGGGAATGGTTGGTGCTTCTCACACACCTACCCAACCAAGAAGGTGGCTCCGATAATATGATAGCAATAGAGGCTTATCCTACCTATATGAATATGCATATAAAGCCTAGAAGCTTGAGAAACACAAGACCTTTGCAGTCCCAGCCATCCTTGGCGAAACCACTATCTCTACTACCAATTCAGTCTCTCCAACCCTCAATATGTCTACTGTCAGCTGTTTTGACTATCCTGGCTATGAGCAGCTTGGAAACATTTTCAACATTTCCGCCGCTGTTTCCATTCCTGCCAGTGCTCGCATTGTGGCTTGTTCTGGCCAAATTGCCGACAACCATGATCCTCTCTGGGGAAACCACGCCGAACAATTCGAAAAGTCCATGGTCAACATCCAAAGATCGCTGGCTGCTGCGTCACCTCACATCACCAACCCTGAACAGTTATGGGAAGGAATGTTTTATGTGACCTCCTTCCACGTTGGCGTGCTGTCGCGAGCGGAGCAACTGCAAATCGCCGAGATTGCCCGAAAATATTTTGGGAAAAACAAGCCTGCCTGGGCAGCTATCTGTGTGATGGCCCTATTCCCCCCTGAAGCGTTGGTTGAGGTCCAGGTGCAGGCGGCCTATTCTGATGAGAAGAAGGTTGATCATTGAAGTGCTGCGGTAGAATGGCTGGATGCCGGGCTCAAGTGATCATTGCATCATACATGAAAAGATCCCCATATTTTATCAATTTTATTCAATAGATCAAGCTGCGGCTTTTACCTATCGAGATAGCTTAAATGTTTGATAGTACTGATCTTCTCACCCTTGAGGTAGGCAGTTGCAATTCAACACTTGAGAATTCCCAAGGTTGCACGTATGAGATCCTTGGATCTTAATGACGCTAGGTATGTAAGAAGCCACGAGAGTGAGAAGGCGTCGGGATGCAAGGACGCTGAAGATTCATATATTACTATTAATTATTCTTTTCACAGGACTTCTTCCGCACCGGTTTCTACCTCCGCGCCTCCAATTCTGCCAGACTTGAACTCCTCCACCATCTGTGCAAAGGTACACCATTCCACCCCTTCATGGGAACTGATATACTCAATCAGACGCTCGTGCAGCATGATAGCTTGCGGTTTTCCGCTGACCTGGGGATGGATGGAGATCGGAAAGACAAATGTGTCATACTCGCGATAGAAGAAGTCAAACTGCGTCTTCCATAGTCGCTCAATGGTGTCGGGATCCACATATCCATGAGATGGCCCCTCAACGAGCTGGAACGGAGGCCAATCATCCAAGTGCCAATTGGCAGGCACCTCGACAATGCTGCTGGGCACAAGCTTCCCCATTGGCTTCATCCACTGGTCGGCAGGCTTTGAGATGTCCGTCATAGAGAGCTTCTCGGGAGCATACGGAACATAATAGAGCTGGGAGTCATGGTGCATGAAGGAATGGTCATATTGCTATGGTGCTATTAGCGATCTTGAATCCATCCGTCTTCGGTGGAGGAAGATTCTTACGATTCCAAATTCCTCCAAGAGCTTGATACTCCGGCGTGAGGTTCTCCAAGATGGTGCAGTCCACCCCTTTGGGTGCTCACCTGTAAACTTAGTGATTACCTCAATCGATCGTGCTAGAACATCCCGCTCTTGTTGCTCCGTGAGTGCGTCCACATGTTCATGTGAGTAGCCATGCAAGCCACTGAGCTTGTCAGCCAATAAAAAAACCACGAATCACGGGTGCTTACATCTCATGGCCCGCATCTTTGATCTTCTTGATCTGTGATGGGAATGATTCGATTGAATGAGCTGGAACAAACCAGGACGTTGTGATGCTATATTTGTCCCAAAGTTTCAGAAGTCGGTCAATCCCAACTGTTGCGCCAAATATACCACGCGATACGTCAGTCAGATCTGGCAAGTGACCATCTTCCGTGTTGATCCTGGCCGCCAGTTAGCACTAAGTCGGAATGATCCGAGGTTGCAGGGGGTGAAATCAACTCTACCAGCCACTGACAGCATCCACGTCGATGCCATACCCAACAAGAACACGTTTTACCATGATGGATCCAGGAGTATCTTCCCAGTCTACACTACGTCTGAATTGATTGGGGATTCGCGTGTAAATAACATATTCATGGACGATCTCACGGCGCGACTAGATCTATAGAGTGCGCTCAATAACCTGCCTAAAGCGGAAGGTGGATGAGTTGACCAATCGGGGGCCTTGTGTGGATCTCTTGATAACGAACGTCTTGAACGTTCGTAACGATATGGAGCGGCCTCTTAAACCAAAGCAGAGTGGATTGTCCATTACCAATTGACTCCATCTCATTACCTTCTTACTTCTGCTTTTTATCTTTCACGGCGATTAGAATGCTTAAGCTCTGGCTTGATAATGCGGGGAAGTGATAAGGTTAATTGGCCAATCAGATACGTTGTGAGATGCGAACACGGAAATGCCGATGATCCTCACAGACGAAAGGCGACAGTCCCCGATGAAATGGAACAAAAACCTTCGAGTGATATTGTTTCGACGTAGAAAAAGATTCACCTGTCACGCACCTCGTTCGAGGTCTTTGTAGGAAGTGCAGTTGCCGCAGGTGATCATCCAGGCGTCCCCCGCTTCCCAGATAGCGGCAACTAAACCACATCTTCCCCGAACATTTTTCCCTCCCCCAAACTCCCCAATGTCCGAAGGTTATTTTGGGAGAGCTTGCAAAACATGTCGGCGTCGTGGACGAGGATGTGATCGACGACTACCTACGTGCAAGACCTGCGAATCGAATGGACTTGTCTGCGAGGGATACTTGTTACAGTGGCCTGGATTGGCCAGTCGCGGGAAATTCGTTGGGAAAAGTATTCCCGTGAGCACCAGCAAAGGTCATGGAGGGGAAGGCGCGAAAGGCGCGAAAGCAGCGAATCCAACAAAAGCAGGAAGATCCCGACGTACACAGCCAACAAAAGCCTCGACATCAACTCTAGCTCTAGCTCCGGCTCCGGCTCTACGATCACCCCCAAATGGAGTCCAAGACGACCAAAACCATCTAATCCAACCCGAGGTCTTGAACCCCCCAGACTGTCCCATCAGAGGAATATCAATCGATCCACAGTCTGTCGATGATACTTCATTCCTTGGTGACACTCTGGTGGATCTTCAATTCAGCGTTGAGATGGAAACTACCCTGAAAATGCCATCATCGGACATCAGCACTTACTTGGATATGAATAACCGATTGTATCCGAGGATTGATGTGTTGAACATTCCGGATGAACTGAAATTTATTATGCAATATCGTTAGTACCTCGCATACCAATCGGAAGCCGTCACGGATGCTAATGGTCCAAAGATCTTTGTGAGGTCGTACCGAAGCTATGTGTCGACAACGAATGTCCTCAAAACCCCTACCGAGATTACATTTTTCCTCTCGCGATCGAGATACCATCATTGATGTATGCATGTGCCGCATTAGCAGCATGCCATTACAACGTCAGGCTGGCGACCAATCAATATCAAAGAGAATTTTACAAGTTCAAGGGCAAAGCGATGAAGCGACTTCAGGAGGATCTCTATTCCCAAGCTCGAGCAGTCCACCCAGGAACCCTTGCTACAATCCTTATGCTCTGTCTTTGCGACCTTTGCCAGGGTGGTGCTTCGGACTTCGAATCTCATTTCCAGGGGGCCAAGAAATTGATGGAACTACGGCAAGAGCGCACCCTAGGATGCTTTGTGGAACAGTACTTAATATGGTAAGGACGCACGCGATTTCAGGCCGGCAGATAGTAGCTAACCCCACGATTTCAGGCTGGATGTGATGGCGGCCGCTTCCCATTCAAGATCGACCGTTTTTGCTGCTCATGATATACAAGAAGTACTCTACGAAAGTGGAGACTTCTGGGGATTTGACGCGATCCCCTGTCCATTGGATCAATTTAAGGTAATTCATGAGATCGGGACTCTACATAAGGAATCGGCAAGTCCAGAAACCACTTCAATGAAAAAAATGGATCAGGTCCAAGATATCAAACATAGACTGTTGCAGGGTCCAATACATTCGCAAAGAGGGCAGAATTGGTTTCACTTAACGGAAGCCTATCGATACGCCATCGTTCTGTATCTTTTACGACTTTTCTCTTGCGACATTGATGAGTATGAATTAAGCTGGCTTGTCAGCAGCGTTCTATACCATGTGAGGTCTACCCCGCCTGCGTCTGGCTGGTCTGATCAGTTGCTATGGCCATTGTTCCATGCAGCGGTAGAGATCAGGGATGCAAAACAACAAGAATGGATTCGCGAACGGGCACAGTGTATGCAGTACTCCGGGGGATTTGGCAACGTACAAAGTGCACTGAAGATCCTAGAGGAAGTGTGGATGAGGAGTCGACCTTCAGAATATCTGGACATGATGCTGGGATGGGGCGATGGAACAGTGCTTCTTATATAAGACATAGGACGCAATTACTCTCTAGTCCTTGATATAGGATGCTTATAGTTCTTTTCATATCTACAGCCTGGCACGTTGAACAGATTCCGCGTGCTGGTCGGTTATCTGGCGCGCACATCGAAGGCCAATCAGATAGGCATTGATTTGAGTGTGGTTGCTGTTTCAGAATTAGCTAATGCTTCGGGACAAGGATGCAGGCTCCTACCAAGTTAAAACGGGACAAACGCTTAGATCCGCCACCCGAAGATTCTGCATGCCACGAACTCGGAAGGAAGAGTCAACTACCGCTGTGGAGTCGTTTGCCTTACCCATGCGGCAGGTTGACATGCTGTGGTACCCTTGGTCGAGGTTCTTCCGAATGAACTCCAGCATGACCTCGTCACTGATCGTGTTGAGATCAACGGTGGTAAAGTCGATATCCGGGCCATGAACCATTCCCTCAATTACTCCTTGATACGCCTTGGAACGAGCAATCTGCAGCGCTTTCCGAACAGTTTCGATGGCAATCCGGCGATCAAATGGATGAGACAAGAATTTGGGATCAACGATCGGATGATCCCGAGGGTTTCGGGATCGGATGCTCACCACTCCCTTGGACAAATTGTTTTGCAAAAGCAATTCGTGGGTGATGTAGCTTTCTTCCGGTCGGCCATTGCCCTCATAGACGGAGGGTCCGGATCCGAGCCAAATCTCGGCCGACGGTCTCGTTGGTTCCAACAAAAATTCCTTGGTTTGAGGGTCGAGATCGCTGAACTCCTTGGATTCAAATAGACGCTGAATCCTTGGAAAAGCCACGGATCCGCTGGATCCATACATGGCCAGTGGGCCGGTTCTGCTTTTAATATATTCGGCTTCGGCTTCGGCAAGGGATTTTGGGTTAAGGAAGACCTTGTTGTGCGCTGGGAGGCCATTGTCGACTTTATATTCGCAGGTGATGATAGAATGATCGAGCATGTTTTGGCCGACTCCTGGAAAGAGTTAGCAAGGAGTATTATAGTTCAAGCATTGGGGCCACAAGCCTGGCAAGTCAATTTTCACGGAAATTCCATGCTGCTCCAGTGCTTTTCTTTGGCCGATCCCTGATAGCATCAGGAGCTTCGGAGATCCAAAGGTGCCAGCGGCTAGAATGACCTCCTTTTGACAGTGTACGGCAACTAGAGCGAACAAAACACAGATTAGTGGAGAGCAAATTTTGAGCACGAAGGATTCTGACCAGTCCTTCCCGTAGAACGATCGTATAGATCCACACGGGTGGCAACCCCGTTGTTAGAGTGAACGTAGTCACACTCAGTGTTTGTCACGATCAATAAGTTCTTGACACTCTCCCGTGCTGAGCCGGGAAGAAAGGCATTGGCTGCATAAGACCTCTCGCCATCGCGAACATTGAACTGGGCTAGTCCAACTCCGACTGGATTGCCGGCGTTGTTGTCAAGGCAAAGGGGAATTCCCACTTCTAAGCATGCTTGCATGTATGTCTCAACACCCGGAACCATTTCCTTTCCGAATCCGAGCTTAATAGGCCTATACTATCGTAAGTGATTGATTCTTCATAAAAAGAGAACAAGGCGTTACTTACCCAGACTTACCATGGTTTGCTGGAAGTGGATGGGCGAACTTGTCCATACCCTCAGGCAATGTAAAGTCAAAGTCTTCCAACTGAATGGGAATGTAAGCTACCAAATCTAGTAACAAAGAGTCGTACCTACACTTTTCATGATTGGTAGTATGTTCTCCCACTTCCAGCCCTCATCGCCAGTCATTTGACTCCACTGATCATAGTCGTCTTTGGGGCCTCGCGCCAACGCCATATAATTCACGGCTCTGAAAAGTCAACATGGTTCGATTCAATTATGGGGTCAAAAAAACATACGAGCTTCCTCCAAGCTGTCTTCCACGCAGGAAGACCAGTTTCCGGTCATTCAACTCTTTCTGGGAGACTGTCGCTAACTCCCATAGTCCCTCTTTATCCTCCTGTAGCTGTTTGACATATTTACCAGGAACCAGAACATCAGAGTCAATTTCCGAGTCTCTGCCAGCTTCTACCAACAGCACCGAGGCACCTGGAATAGTGGAGAGCTCTGCTGCGAGAACGCAGCCTGCGGTTCCTCCACCACAGATGATGTAGTCGAAGCTGCTGCCATCCAGAAGTGGTTTTCGGGAACTCATGGTCTCAAGTATGGAAATCCCAATGGCGGACAGAGAACAATGAAGACGCCTTAAATCTTATGAACTTGGAGCTTGCTGTGATGTTTGTGTTGAAACTGTGAACTTATGACCCCCTTCAGATACTCACTGAGTTGCCTAATCTGGAAGTCGGATAAGCCATCAGATCAACAGCTTTGCATTGACCACCCACATGAGATGTCGTATGGGATGTAACAGTACATCTCATTGTTTTACTGAAAAAGGAATCTCCCGAGAATCGTCTTTTCATTACATTGACCAAATTAGGTTGCAGGGCGGAGAAATTAGCAAATGGTGGGTTGAAACAAGTCTACAGCTTTTGCTGCGGATGCGATGCGATGCAGCTGCTTATCAAATGTCATTTGAGACCAATGTTACTTAAAGGTCCAAAATCAACGACTATAGTATCTTCCAAATTATCGTTTCCTTTCAAGCGTTATACTAAGTCTTGTTTATCTTGATTATCCAATATGGGCTCTATCTCACCCCCGCGTGCTGTCGAAGCACTCCCAGCCAATTCAGCATCAGAAAAGATCCTTGATATTCTCTACCGCGATGGCGCCGTTGTTATTAAGAGCCTCCTCTCCCTTGCCTCCGTCGCTGAGGTCAATGGTGAGATTCAGCCTTACATGGATGCCGACTACAACAGTGGACTGGAGGTCTTTGCCAAGCAAACCAAGACAGTCTGTGGACTGGCAGGAAAGTCGCCTGCCGCTGTTAAGTCCATCTTGCAAAACCCCATTGTCAAGACCGTCGTCAATGACGTCCTCAGTGTCACCACTGAGAGCTGGTGGGGTGAGGCTCGCAATAAGTGTGTCTCCCCTCCGTTGTTGAGCTCTTTCTTCACCGTTCGCGTGGGGCCTGGTAGTGCTCGCCAGGGTCTTCATCGTGATGACCAGGATCATCATGCAACACACACCCACGGTGATCCTAAAGAAACCACCAAGCTGGGGTGCTTTGTCGCAAGTAAGACCCCCTCCCTTTCGTGCATCAGCTTTCTCGCGTGCACTAACCACGTCCAAATCGATAGCTTCAAAGGTCACCAAAGAGAACGGAGCCACAGAGATCGTCCTCGGCTCCCATGTCTGGGACGATGTGCGCAAGCCCACCGTGGATGAGGTCAGCTATGGAGAAATGGACACCGGTGACGCCTTGTTGATGCTGGGTAACTGCTACCACGGAGCGGGTGCGAATGTCACGAACGACTCTTTCCGAAGCGTTGTCGTCACGTTGTTCTGCAAGGGTGTTTACCGATCGGAGGAGAACCAGTTTCTCGCAGTCTCGCAAGAGCAAGCGGAGAAGTTGGACCCCGAGGTTCAGGATCTCCTCGGATGGAAGGCCAGTGCACCCTTCTGCGGATGGTACGATCTGGGCCATCCCTACCGCCTCATCCGTGATGTTGATAGCGTGGGCTCGGATTTGTTTTGAAAGGATTGAAAGAGTGATGATTTAAGTGGCTCTGGGGTGTCTTGCATCAGTCCAAGTTTTATTCATGTGGCTCCAACGTTGAATTGTAAAGCATTAGGACGAAGATGAGAATGTGTATTGCTTCAAGTTGATGCCGAGGCCGAATGCCTGATCCCTGTTTCTAAAGTTGAAAGAGAATTCAGTACTTCAATTTTACCGTGCTAGGTCAAATTTACAGAATCCCCCGTCCGGTGCTCCAGTGTTGTTTTCAGTCGATCACGCGTGAACCGAGGTACTGTCTTTCCGCATGTTAGAGATGCTCGGTCCAGGTGGAGACTAGGTATATAGTCAACAAGAGTTCGAGGTCTGGATCCAAAGTTATCGGAAGCAAAACAACCAAAACATGACATCTATTGATATCCCCACCTCGTATGAGTCTCTCAACCTCACACACATTAAAATCACCCACCACCCTTGTGGAGCCCCGGAGGCAACCCCAGTGGTGGTCTTCACCTTGGATAGACCAGAAAAGCACAATGCGTTCACGCCACAGATGGCTGATAGCCTTACCCAGGCATACAAAATGATTCATGTTGATCCACGCGTAAAGGTAGTTGTACTCACTGGGGCAGGAAGAATGTTTTGCGCTGGATCGGATCTTGGTATTGGATTCGGTAGTGGACACGGGAGAGCTGTTGACTTCCGGGATATGTATGTCAGAGAACATGAGCCCCAACAACTGGAAATTATTGCTAATGCTATCGCTGGGTCTCAGTGGCGGTCGAGTCGCGCTAGCAATGCATCGATGCCACAAGCCTACTATTGTCGCTTTGAATGGATCTGCTGTCGGGGTTGGCATGACCATGACCCTGCCAGCCGCTATTCGGTATATATTTTACCCATCATATCTGATCTCTCATATTCTAACCAGTCAAGAATCTGCCATGAAAAGAGCAAGTACGGGTTCGTCTTCACCAGACGTGGCTTGACCATCGAATCGTGTGCATCATATTTCTTGCCACGCCTAGTCGGCTTCGCGCGAGCCATGCACCTGATCACCACCGGTGGCGTCTTCCCCCCTACACCTCAGCATTTCGGTGATCTTTTCACAGAAGTACTGCCCGATGCGGGGAAAATCCTCCCGCGTGGGCTAGAGCTAGCCCAAGAAATTGCGGAGAATGTCAGCCCATTGGCCTCTTCCATGAGCCGGGCCTTGATGTGGGAAGGCGCCGACTCACCCGAAGCGGCACATCTGTTGGAGTCGCGGGTGTTTCATCATATGATTGGCCAGCGGTATGAGCTTTCTGTGATATCAATGCAAGGATGGTTGCCTGTTTGACTTTGCTGACGTCACGATAGAGACTACCGAGAGGGAGTTCATTCATTTCTCGAGAAGCGTAAGCCTCGCTTTGAGTCGGACTTGCGCGAGACCAGTTCTCCGAATTATCCATGGTGGCCAGAGGTCGACATTACCCGGGAGGCGACTGTTTCGAAACACTCCAAACTATGACAAGGCAAATTGACATTGGTGGTTACATGGGCTGTGAAGAACTATCATGTGAATACGGAGTGGCCGATCTAGAAAATTGACTACAGGGAATCATTAGAGGAAACATATTGTAATGATAGATTCGTTTCAAAACTGAATTAATCGAACAAATCTAGCGATGCATGTAGCCCGCGCCATTTCATATGCTTGAGCGTTGCAGATTGGACACCGAAGAAAGACAAACAATAAGAGATAGAAATCGAGATCGCCCCTCGATTGAAGCTGGGTATCAAGAACGGAAAACACAAATGCTGCTGATTACATGTCAGGCGCAGCTCGCGAAGGCAGGACATATCGAAACACAATGTCGAGCATATCAGGCAAATGAGAAAGAAAACAGAAAACAGATCGTAGGAACATTGAATGCCCTATCGTAGCGCCGATTGAACTCCTTTACCATGGTCGCAAATCAACATCGTGATGAAAAGGAAAAAAAAAAAAAAAGAAGTGAGAAGATAAGTGTCGAGCACATAGAAGTGAAGAATGGACTGCTGCCAGACCTGCTGAGCGCAGCGATCGCCCAGGACGAGGATCAGAAAGTGCTCCAGTTCCAGTCACGAGGAACGCTGGCAGCGACGTCGGCTGTCTGGCCAAGGTTTGCCTGGAGGGCGGCACGGCCGGACTCTTGACTGTTCTCAAGATCCTGGGTGGCATCCTCGTCAATGCTCTTGGCGTCCATGTTGTTCTGGATCTTGTTCAGGCGATCAGTCCGGGTCTCCTCCCAGCGTTGGTGAGCACTCCAGCACAGATCGCAGGCCCGCGAGGGAACACCCTCGGGGTGGAAGCGCGCATCCTGATCCAGGGGAACAATGTGGGGGGTGTGAGAGGAGCAAAAGACATGACCACAATGGCGGCAGTGGTGGCGACGCAGGAAGATGCCAAAGGAGGAACGGCAGGTGGGCGAGTCACAGTTGGGGGAAGCAGAGTCCGCCTGCAAAAGTGAAGTTAGCAACTAGGTCACCGAAGAATCTTCGAGATGAAGGCGTAGGGTTGTGGTTGGGGCAAGACATGCGCACTCGTCATGTCATTCAGATGGCGTGCTCGCACACGACATTTCCAAGAGCGCATACGCCATCCACACCACCAAGGCTTAAAAGCAGAGCAGGTGCCCATTGCGAGAAGGAATTTGGATCTGACTTACTTTCCAGTGCTCACGAGTAGGGAGACCAGTCACCACGCCCAGTTGCTCAGTCTTCATCCATTCGTGCTCGGCAGACTTGCTGATGCCACTGTACTTGCTTTCCATGGTGGAGCGACGACTGATGGGTTCATCGGAGTCCTCGTTCAGACTGTCCAGAGACCCGTGCGCGCTGCGCGGTGGGGTGATGGGGGAAGACTTCTGAGGACGCTCGGTCGGGCGCAGAGCAGCAGGAACATAGAGCGGGCCCTTGGGAGGGCGCAGCTGGCGAGACTGCAATGGGAGTTGGTGCAGAGTAGAGTTGGTGAGACGAGGCGAGGTGGGAGAATTATTGGAAGGGGTGGTAGTATTGGAGTTGGTGGGAGATGGATGACCGTAAACCGAGATCTGGTTGGCGGTACCGGGGGCGGTGGCAGTCATAACGTGAGTAGCCATTTGGAATTTGGAGTGGGTGTGTGTATGTGTAGGGGAGGAGTGGAGGAGAGGAATGAAGGAAGAGTAAATGTTATGGATCGGATAAAAGGAAGAGGCGAAGTGCCATTAAAAGTGGTGATGTCGAGGGGCAAAGTGAGCACACGAGGCAAAGCGAATCCAAAGAACGGTGAGTGGCCGAGATGGCGGTGGAGCACGGGAGGAGCGTTGAGGCTAGTAGAACCCGAGTGGAGAGGGAAATGATTTGGAGTTTGGAGAAGTTTCACAATCCAAGGTCCAAGGCTTTCCAACTAGCAGGTCTGGGAAGTATTGGTAGATATGAGAGTTTGAGGAATGAGGATCAGGAACAAGAAATGGAGGTGCAGTTGGAAAGGGGGCACTTGAAGTATATGAAGGTCTGATGTATATCGGAATACTACGATCGGGTACGACGCGAGTTCGTTTTCCCGTCAAACCCCGAATCGTTTTACCGTAAATTTGGTACGAGACTCACCGATAGTCTTTTTATCTTGATCCTCGACTTTCTACATCAAATTCGAGTAGATATCAAAAGTACTGATTGACCGCTTCTTTTTTCTCTCCCTTTGAGTGACTGATTGATCGCAAGATGCGCACATGTCGACCAGTCACTGAACTCTGACATGCAGTTGTGCTTACAGACGCATGATGGGTTTCCGCATTGAGTGCATTCCTCCACCAGGATCCGCTCAACTCCAAAGTCCCCGCTATGCTCCGCGGAGTCGTTGCCCCATCAGAGCCCACGGCCGATCATGGAGTTCTTTCCATGACTCCATACAGACGCACAGTATTTCATCCCTGGGATTCCCAACTACAGTATACTGTTCAGTATCATCTGAGATGACAAATATGTGGCTAAACTCTTGAGCTGATCAGGATTTGGACGCCCTCGATTCCCCGTTCGCTCCTTCCGTTTTCACTGCTTTGGCGACTTTCCTAATCTAGTCCTGATTTAGTTCCAAGGTTTACTAGTGGCTGCAAAGGTGGCCAATCAGGAAAGAGGTGGCGTTTGGGCTTATCAGAGCGCGCTGATTGGTGCAAAGGACCTCGGTTCCAGCCAGTTGGGGAAGGAACAATCTAGCACAAAGTCACCACACGGCCCAGTGCGGAGTCCCCCTCATAACCTTTCCATCTTCCACCAATCACAGCGACGGGCTTACAATATCCTGAATGGAGTAATTCTCCAGAAGGATGGAATGTTTCGGTCCTCGTCCGAGCTTCCCTTAGCTGCAGATTCCCATTCTCTATGCCAAACGGCAAATGGGATCACCCCCGGGAACCCTACTGTTTCCAAGGTGGCGGATCACGAGGAATTCTCACGGTACGACATGTAACGGATGATTTGGCAGGCGGTCCGGGAAAACGAATAGCGCTCCGTTCTCCCGGCCCGCTGTACACCTGTACGCCAAAATTGTAGTAGATACATTCCTATCCCAGATGATGCTCCATCTCAACCCTACACACCTGCAATCTATGTACGTACACATATCTCCATGGTCTATAAGAAATCCGGGGTGATCAAAAGTACCATCGACCTGGAGGAATGCCACATGTTGCACCCTGATCAAATTTCCCGATCCAATCTCCCGATCTCCCGATCGAATGTCCGGGGAACCCTGAGTTCCTTCCCTCGCCGCTTGCAGCCGTGGGTCTGGGGAACCCTCACTACTTGCACATGGCTATTGGGGACATGATGGCGTCATGACTCCTGAAGCTCACAAGGCCCATTCCGCCTCTGTCGGCTTCTGTGAAGCTCAAAGCAAAAGGGAATAATTGAGATAGTATCATTTCATCATGAAGTTAGCCGTGTTCAGCGCCAAATCTTACGATCGCACCTATCTGGAGGAGGTGCGTATCCAGCGGTTTTCTCAATTGTGCGAGATCGAGTACCACGCCTTTGCTCTGTCTGAGGAGACCGTCCCGTTGGCTAAAGGCTGCGATGCGGTGTGCGTCTTCGTCAACGACACCCTCGATGCGCGCGTGCTGCACGCCTTACATGCCGGTGGCGTGCGGGCGATCCTGCTGCGATGTGCAGGTTTCAACCATGTCGACTTACCGACCGCCGAAAAATTAGGCCTCTTCGTCGCTAATGTTCCAGCTTATTCGCCAGAAGCGGTGGCCGAGTTCGCCGTCGCCTTGGTGCAGACGCTGAATCGCAAGACTCATCGTGCCTATAATCGCGTGCGTGAGGGGAACTTCAACATCGAGGGCCTCCTGGGAACGACCTTGCGTGGCAAGACGGTCGGCATCGTCGGAGTGGGACGCATCGGTCTCGCGACGGCGCGCATCTTCCATGGCTTTGGCTGCCGATTGCTAGCCCATGACCCCTTTGCGGGGGATGAGTTCCACCAGTACGGGACCCTGGTTGACTTGGACAACCTGTTGCAGGAGAGCCACATTGTCAGTTTGCACTGTCCACTGACCGACAGCACGCGCCACCTTATCAATCAGAGCACACTTCGGCGGATGCGGCCTGGCGCAATGTTGGTGAATACGTCCCGAGGAGGACTCATCGATACGACGGCAGTCACCCACGCCTTGAAGACGCGGCACCTGGGTGGAATTGCACTGGATGTGTACGAGGCTGAGGGCGAGTTGTTCTACAATGATCACTCCGGTGAGATTATTGATGATGATATCCTGATGCGCTTGATGACCTTCCCCAACGTTCTGATCTGTGGGCATCAGGCATTCTTTACTCGGGAGGCACTCACCGAGATTGCCGAGGTTACCTTGACGAACCTGACGGCCTTTGTGAACGGTCTGTCATGCCCCAACTCCCTCGTCACGGAGGGCCATGTACTCGTGCGAGCAGATACGGCCCCAGTACGGATGTAGGGTAATTGGATGCTTGGTGCTGTACTTGTTCGGGCACATTGTGTCTATTCCACCAATTAACTCACCATGTCATGTACTGAAAGCATAGCACCGTCGTGCATAATATAAACATGTCAATCATAGGTCATATTATCATCATATCTGGAGTCTACTCTCGGCATGATGAGATCTACTACTTCGTAGGTACATTGGCATAATCTCATAGTATTAGTTTCACAATGGGCGACTGCATTGAAACTGATTCCGCAACATATGCCATGCCCGAGGCAGAAAACGATGACCGTGTATGATCAAGGGAACCACGGCAATTAGCCACATGCCATATACAACCCCAACAGCTAGCACCAGACAAATCTGCTCAATAACCCATGCAAGGATTCCAGTCCGGGGCTGCCGAGCAGGACTGTGCGACTCCTGATCTGCATTTGTCAATGCTTCCGCGATTTGCCAGGCGGCGCGACGATTGATCTTTTCCCAAGTTGTGTCTTCTGCTTGTTGACGGGCCGCTGTGGAGAGTTTCTTCCGGTAAGATCCATTCTTTGATACTTCCCGGGCCAATCTGATAAATTGGTCGAGATCCTTTGGTGGGACAAGGAATCCGGTCTGACCATGCCGTATAATATCAGAGGGTCCACCCTGGTCCCGGGCAATGACGGGAATTCCACTTGCCATCGCCTCTAAAACGACCAGTCCGAATGTCTCGGTAACGGAGCAGTGCAAGAAGAGATCAGCCGACGCATAGGCACGAGCCAGCGATGCTCCAGTGAGGAACCCGGTAAAGACGACGTGAGTAGGAATTTCGGAAAATAGCTGCTTGACTCTGTTCTCGACAACCGGGTTGCGATTTCCCCCAACGATCAGCAGCTTAAAGGGTATCTTCTCCGCGGCCAAACGCGTTGCGACTTGTGCGAGGAATTCAAAGCCCTTCTCGGGCGCAATGCGACAGACACAGATGAGAATGATTTCTCCGTTTGGAGCAATCTGCTGACGATAGGCTTCGTCTCGCTGGGCGGGCGTGAAGAGAACAGTGTCGACTCCGCGACCCAACTGGACCATTCGCTTGGCGGGGGCTCCCACATGTTCGAGATAGCCACGAATGGCTGAACATGGGTAAAAGATGGTGTGCACTGCTGGCGAACGAAACAAAAAGCCCTGCACTATTCCGAGCAGCCAGACTCCGAACCGGTCCAGCGGCGCAGGGAGCATGATCTCCGAATAGGCCGATAGATCCGTCTGGAAGTTGAGCAGCACCGGAGGTGAGGATCGGAGTTGACGAATTTGCAACAACATCTGGAATCCCAAAGACGCGGGACTGGCCAGATAGATGATATCAGGCTTGAAGGCCTGTCGATAAACATCACCAATGTGAAATGGATAGACCACGGTCAAGTCTGGGTTGTACGGCAGAGCGCATCCTGGCAGTCGTCGCTCCCATGATTGGGTCTGCTTAGTAGCATCCCCCTTGAAATCAGGTGCGACCAGGATGAGATCGACGCCATGCGCTTGTAAGTACTCGACTAAACTGCGAGTGGTGCGACTGACTCCATTGACAGGGCCCCAGGATTCTGTTGCTAGAAGTACCTTCTTTCCCTCCAGGATACTAGGGAACTCCTCTGCTCCCTGGAACGAGGAGAGCAACGGCGCCGACTCCGACATAATGCGACATTTTTTCGAAGGAGAAAAGGGAGAGGACAGGCAGAAGATAAAGTATAAGAAAGTGTAAATGATCACTAGTTCTTTCCCGGGGCACGTGCCGCAATTGGCCGCTGAGAAGTGCTTAAGTATGGGAATCGATGACAACCAGTCGTTCCGAGTGCATGCGCCGCGTGCATCAATCCAACTCATCCACAGGCACAACCCATGTTCCGATAACCACGATAACGATCAATCTTCAAGTCATGAGGGGAAATCATTCACAAGAGATGAATTTGAAGAAATAGGAGAAAGCAGGGATTCAAAGATGGTCGATTTCTCTACTGGTTTCAACCTTTTTTAGTATCCTCAACTGACCTCTTTCCCAACCCCCCTCCTCTTATTGTTCCTTTACGGGCATAGTCGCGTTCAAGTCATTATTTGAATCACGGTCAGAACACTGGAAGATTTCTCAAGTCGTTCACAGGGTGGAAAAACATCATGTCATGCGACGATATTCCCATGGATATTCTATTCTCAGAGAGTGGCGAATCATGCTCTACGGCACCTACCAGCCCGAGCGCAAGTCCCTTGTTTCGTCCTTCGGACATTGATGACCTCAAGCTGGCGTTGCCTGAGTCAACCCCACCGACTGATGAGCACGAGCAAGTCCAACCAGTCAAGAATGTGTGTGTGGTAGGCGCAGGTTATGTTGGTAGGCGTTCCATTCCCTACTAATTCCACTTCGCAACTAACCCGGTATAGGAGGACCAACGGCCGCTATTCTGGCCCTCCACAACCCCGAGGTGACAGTGGAAGTGTTGGATCGGGACCCACAGCGCATCAGGCAATGGAAGTCACCGCATCTTCCCGTTCACGAACCGGGACTTGACCCCCTGGTGAGAATGGTTCGGGATGGTGTGGAGACTGACGAGAGTGACATTCCTCGGCGCCAGCGAAATCTGTATTTCACATGCGATTCTGCACGTGTGATCGCCAAAGCGGATATCATTTTCATGGCAGTCAATACGCCCACGAAGATGTTTGGGGTGGGAGCAGGCTGTGCAACTAACATGGCGGCGTTTGACGGTGCCATGCGGGATGTCGCAGCTCATGCAAAACCCGGCGCAATCATCGTGGAGAAGAGCACTGTGCCCGGCGGAACGGCGGAGCGAGTGCGGAAAATGGTGCGCTTATTTGTTTCAAGTATCTCCTTCGCTGGATACTTCATGAAGTCTCTAACCTGAGTTTAGCTTGCGGCTCACCGACCCGGAGCCTCTTTCGAGGTGCTTTCAAACCCGGAATTTCTCGCCGAAGGCACCGCCATCAAGAATCTCACGACACCCGACCGTGTGTTGATCGGATCAGCCGCGACCGCTGCTGGCCGACAGGCTGCTCGCACCCTGGCAAACCTCTACAAGACGTGGATCCCAGCAGACCGTATTTTGGAAACAAACACCTGGTCCTCTGAGCTCGCGAAGCTTGTTGCCAATGCCATGTTGGCTCAGCGGATCAGTAGCATCAACTCGATCAGTGCGATCTGTGAGCGAACTGGTGCGGACGTGGATCAGGTGTCCAAGGCCATTGGCATGGATGCCCGCATTGGTTCACAATTCCTCAAGGCTGGACTAGGCTTTGGAGGCTCCTGCTTCCGGAAGGACATTGCGAGTCTCGCCTATTTGGCAGAGTCCCTGGGTTTGGATGATGTGGCCATGTACTGGCGGCAGGTCAATATTATGAATGAGCGACAGCGGGACCGATTTGCTCGTAAGGTCATTGAGCGATTCGAAGGGAACTTAGTGGGTCACAAGCTGGCCATTCTTGGTTTTGCCTTCAAGAAAAACACGGGCGACACCCGAGAGTCGTTGGCAGTGGAGGTCATTCGATTGCTGCAGGATGGTGAGCTTTCGTTTCTCCTTAGTCACCTTTTATTTTTCTCTCTTTATTCCGTTTCAACTAACAGGTCCATTGTGTTAAAGAGCGACCGGCCGAGATTTCCATATTCGACCCATTTTGTCGCCAAGAAGATATCATGCGGGAGCTAGGTCCAGGAATTGCCGAGATGGGCACTGTCAAGGTCCACAGTGACCCATACCTGGCTTGTTCACAGGCCCACGCCATCCTGGTGGTGACTGATTGCGATCAGTTCCGCAACACGCCGACCAAGAAATCCAGCTGGAGCATCTCGGATCCATCAACACCTACGCCTACCTCTGATTGCATGGACTTTCAGCCCACTTCCACCCATCCTGGTACCAGTGAAACCATTGAATGGCCACGTATCGCATACAATATGATTGAACCCAAATGGGTGTTTGACGGACGGGGCCTGTTGGATGTGGCGGAGATGAAGAAATTGGGTGTGCGAGTGGACCGCGTGGGACAGCGTACAGAGCTCCACGTTTAATTTCCATATACTTGTTGATTTTGCGATACCCTCTGTTCTTTTTGCGGTTTTTCTTTTCTTTCTTTTTTTTTCTTATCCTGCTTCGATCATTTACACAATCCTACGATATCGAATAATTTGCGTGATGGCTTTCTGGCGTTCTCAGTGGGATTTGGAGGCATGATTGAGGACTCCCTTCCTACACCGATCTACATTTTCTTCGTACACTGCTGCAGAAGACTCATCCAATAGAGATTTGGGATAATATACCAATGCGGTCACCATCTATCCTAGACTATTGGTCATATAAAATAGGAACACGTACCGAATAGAATCATATGGGTTGAACATGAGTAACGACTTTCCTCTATGGAGGTACCCAAATATCCAGAAAGTATTCGTTTTCTCACTAAAGCGATCAGCATTCTTGTTTCCAATTAAAACACCTTTCCACTCAGAATCTCGGCCCGGGAGCCGAGGTGGAAGACGGGAATATGTTCAACGGGTGCTGGAACGGTCACAGTCTGGCCACCAGCGTAGGTTTGGTTTGTCCACCAGTAAGTCCAAGGCCGCGTAGTCTCATTACTTGCTACCTTTGGAAGATAGACAGACCATTCTGTGGCATTCGGGAGAGTGACTGGGGTCACCAGCAGTCGTGGACCGAACATGTACTGCTGCGTAGTGACGTTGCTGTTCATCTGTGTCAACTCGGCAATGTGTGGATCCGAAGTCTGGAAATCCATATACAGAGGGCGCATGATCATGCGACCGGTGCGGTGGAACTGAGCAAACACCGACTGGATGTAAGCGGCTAGCTGGTACCGAAGGTGAATGTACGATACAATGATGGGTGTATTCTGCTCTCCATATGACCATGGCTCATTGGCACAGGTGTAGGCGTTCTGGACATAACAGGCCCGCGATCCATGGGTTCTCATAAATGGTAGGAATGTTGTCCACTGCAACCAGCGGAGGTAGAGTTCCCGGTATTGAGGGGTGTCGATATTCGCTGACCAGGAAATGGTCGGGTCAGCTTGGAAGCCACCTGCATCCACAGTCCACCAGCCCCAGCCAGTTGCAGCAGCGGAAAGACCACTCGCAACCTGCGCGCTGAGGGTCTCCCAGACTGCGGTTGTGTCACCAGACCAGATCATGCTGCAGAATCGCTGGGAGCCGATGTAGCCCGAGCGGCTTAAGGAAACATGATCACACGCACTGCCCATCTCACTTGATGTAGCGTTTCGAAATCCCTCCTCAATCGCCTGCTGATGTGCCCAGGGATAGAGCTTACCGACACTTCGTTGAGTACCGGCAGCATAATTGACATCAGGTAATGTGAAGGGAACGGACTGGATGTATGTACTCTGGCCGTTGTTTTCGTATGCCTCGCCGAGAGCTCCTCCATCAGCCTGGTCAATCCAGAAATTCTTGATTCCCTTGTCGTAGTAGTTGCGCTTTAGGGTGTTCCATAGAAACTGCCGAGCCAAGGGATTTGTGGAATCGTAGTTGCGGATGTACGACCCATTCCACGAGTCGGTTGTTCCAGGCCCGGATCGTGTGGCAGAGAGATATCCTTGGGCCATCATATCAAGATAATTTACACTATTATCAGCGACGCTAGGCCAGAGTGATGCCATCATCTCCGCATCCGTGAGGTTTTTCACCTGGGCCGCCATCTCGGCAACATTACTCCACAGGCGAGGATCCAGAGCCCAATCTCCTTGGTGAGCCCACGACTGATAATCAATGACGATCATGGAGACGGGGATGTTTCGCTTTTTAAACTCCTTGGCCAGTAAGACAATCTCTGTTTCGTTTTCATATCGCAGCTTCGACTGGATATATCCAAGGGACCAGTTTGGGGGAACAGGAGCACGACCAGTGAGCGCCGACAGGCGTTGTTGCAGCGTGTCATAATCTCCAGGGGTTGAGCTGACAATAAAATAGTCGACAACGTTAGCAGCGTCGGAGGTAAAACGATTCCTCAAGGTAGAAAATTCCATGCGACCAGTAGAGGGCATGTTCCAGACGAACCCATAGCCCTTGTTGCTCATGAACACAGGGGTGGGAATGTGAGTGTTGAAGTTGATGAGATCAATTGTTGATCCCTTCTTATTGACTTGATGATCCTGCTGGGTGCCAGTTCCGTAGATTTGTTCATCAGGCGTCGTGCTGAATGAGAACTCGGCAGCAAACTCCCTTCCTGGGCCGGTCCATGAGTAGAACCGAGGGTTGATTGACTTAAGTGGTGCATACTCATTGGTAAGGAGGGTTTCTGTGCCGTTGCTCTCCACACGGTAAAAGGCCAGACGATAGCCTCCCGGACTACCACCCCAGCCAGAAGTGCGGACTATCATGTTACCGTTGCGTAGTTCTTCCGATTGATTGCCGGTGAACGCAGTATCGAAAGTCATGCCATGAGCCTGGCCATCCTCTGGGCCTTCAAGCGGAGGATCATACACGAATCCGATTTCGTGGCCGGTTGGCGGACGGAAAGGCCATGCTCGCACACGAAAGCCGTCATACCCAAAGGGCTGGACTAGGATAGTCTCAAAGCCATGTTGCATACGGAAACCTTTGGAAGTCGGCCGGTGATAGTCCTGTGGCGAAGATGCCAACGTACCAATGGCCCATATGGCACTCAGAGCCAGAGTGGAGAAGAGCATGTCGCTGAGATTGACCGAGTCACTCACAGATGCGCACCTAGTCCTTGTTCCTGTTGCATTCCAACGGGCCCAGAGGCCTCTTTTAGGTCACAGAGGGTCCAGATTTAGGCTGAAATAAAATGACAAAATGGCCGTGCCTCTGCCAGGCATGGAAATGAAGGGCAGATCGGCATCCCGGCTACCTTTACTGCAGGTATGAATGGCGGAGGAATTCATCCAGGCTAATGCACAGGATTCGGGGCGGAATACTCCGACGATGGACTGATCGTCGTAGGGAGTCTGTGTCACGGTAATGGTGACGGGTGTGGGGTTGCGTGGGGGTGATGTAGTATCAAGCAGGTGTTTGAATCTTGAGATATTAATGTGAAGACACTCATCGCCCGCTATTAAAGGTACGAAACCATGAGGCCGCTGCCCGCCTCATCCGGGTACATTACAAATGTACTGTAATTGAGTTTCCACCGTTTGGAATTCTGATTCTTGATTGGCTCCAAGCTACATTGTAACCTTCACTACACCGTCTACACATAACGCGTGCCATTCCGATAGTTCGAAACCAAAGAACTGCAACTAGTTGAAAATGCGACTGATTAGCGAACAAACACAGCCTGGATTCTCAGGCATTGAGCAGAATCTTGGCGGTGAAGTGATGTCACACACTTGGAAACGAATGCTTCCCCGCATCGGACTTCTCCACGATCTTCAGCATGGGCGGCGGGAAGGAAACTCCATGCCACCACAGCTTGAAAATGGCGGAAATGTTGGGCCCTAGCCCGAATGTTCATCTGCATGCCGTGGTGGACCTGGGAAGGTAATAGCTGAGCCACATCTCCCCTCTCCTATGAATCGATCCCTTGATTGACACCAACCCCCGCAGCAATGGTATTCGATGCTCAATTTCGGACCTTTCAGTACCAACTACTCGAGTGATTCCTACCGTCCATTTTCATCGTGTCAATGTCTCATTGTATGAGGCGCAGATTGACCCTGACACGGGCAACCGCATTCCAATCCCCCAGTCAGTCATCGACCGCGTTGTGAGCGCCATTTTACGATTTCAGATAATATGTGTGGAAATCGGCGTTCCGGCTACCAATATTCGGCTCATTGCTACTGAGGCCACTCGAACGGCTATCAACTCTGCAGCTTTTACGGAAGCGATACGCAAAACAACTGGCATCACTGTGGAAATGCTCCCAAAGGAGGAGGAGGGTATTGTTGGAGCATGGGGCATTGCAAGCAGCTTTTCTGACGTGGAAGGTCTGGCCTTGGATCTGGGCGGCGGCAGCATGCAAATGACATGGATCATATCCCACACCGGCAATGTCCGCATTAGCCCCCGAGGCTCGGTCAGCTTTCCTTACGGAGCGGCCGCGTTGACGCAGAAACTGGCCGACCTGAAGCGAGGCAAAAGTAAAGGTGACGCAGAAAAGGCCAAAGAAAAATTTCGCCATGAGATGGCTGCCAACTTTCGGGCAGCATTTGACCGTCTCGAAATTCCTGGGAGTATGATCGAAAAGGCCCAGTCACAGGGTGGCTTCCCGCTCTATCTTTCAGGTGGAGGTTTCCGGGGATGGGGCTATCTCCTTCTGTATCTGCATCAAACTCGCGGACAGAGCTACCCCATCTCAATCATTAACGGGTATTCAGCGCTCAAGGAAGATTTTGAAAACACCGAGGCCCTGGAGGAAGTGGCTCGCACAGCTCATGAGATTTTCCGAGTGTCTGACCGGCGCCGCAAACAGGTTCCATCAGTCGCATTTCTAGTGAATGTATTGGCTGAATCATTGCCGCATGGGATCAAAGAAGCACATTTCTGCCAAGGAGGTGTACGGGAGGGAGTACTCTTTCGGGATATGCTCCCGGTGATCCGTCAACAAGATCCTCTTGAGGTCGCAACGGCGCGTTACGCAACTTCATCAGCCCAGTCCATTGCCGCGTTGATGCTGGCTGCACTTCCCCGTCCAATGGAAGGCCGATCGGTTCCACCTTCCATTACCACACATTTGGTTCAAGCTTTTGCCAATGCTCTCTACGTACATGCAACTATGCCGAAAGAGTTATCTTCCAGCGCTGCTTTGTATAGCACAAGTACTGGAATTCTTGCATCTACCCATGGAATACCGCATTCCCACCGCGCTCTTCTGGCATTAATGCTCCAGGAACGCTATGGAGGAGAATTACCACCTCGCGACGTTGAATTGAAAACTCATCTGCAGGGAATTCTAACCCCGGAGGAGGTCTGGTGGACACGCTATCTGGGCAAATTGGGACTCGTTCTCGGTGCCTTGTATCCTACCGGGTCTATTGACTCTTCCAAACCGCGTATTGTCCCCTCCGCCAGATGGGCAGATGGGCTTGGCAAAAAGGGGAAGAAAAATGGATTGGAGTTGAATATTGCCATCCAAAAAGTCGCATATGACCCCACTCACCTCAAAGAGGAACTTACCCACGACGTCCAGAAGATTGTGAAAGTAGGGAAGCGCAAGCACTGGATTGGAGGTGCGGATGGCTGGGGCATCAAAGTGGTCGTTTCGGTACGAGAGGAGGATTTGTTGCAGTGACTCGCAAGTGAATTGTGACTTGTCCTGATGCGATAGCAGTGAATGCATTTTTACTGGGTGGATTGTCCCCTACATCTTTGATGATCGGGGAATGGACCACGATACTGTCCAGCACTGTGGCATGGCGAGAAATCGTCTCTTAGTATCATCATATTCACTTACTTCTCGATGAAAATGAAAATCAAAAATCCAGGTGACCAACAAAGCTCCCTAGGAGATCCTTGGGACCTTCTCAAACTGGTTACGTATTCTGACCCGGGAAGAATTAGCAAACGCATATGCATGAACTCCACTTTGCGGATATCCGTACAGCATCATATGCCGGAAGCACCAGAGGGGCGAGGGGGAGACACCTGGTTTTTGCTGACTGGACCCTGATCTTCATTTACTCAGTTTGACGCCTTGCGTTTGACACTGAAGGCTTTATCGTGCAGCACTACAGCACCACAGCTATGTAGAAAGTTAGCTGAGTTGAGGAATGCCAATATGATTTCTGAAAACAAAATTTCGACTAGGCAGACACGAAAAGAAAATGCCAAGTTACAAGTGTGGACCCTGACCGAATCTTATCTGATTACTGCGACAATTTATCTGATGCCTATTTATCTGATCCGAACCCCTGAGCTTTAGATTTCATGCCATTCTAACCGAATCGATATGGAAGCAAAAAACGTTGATATCAAGAACGACATTCATGAGCCGTATGGAACGAGTGATGGTAGGCCTGGATATCCCTTTTCCGAATTTTGAGAATTACCCTCCATTCTGACAGCTCCCTAGACGAAATCGAATCCCAGATTCAAGTCCTCCGGGCAGCTGGCATAGGCCTCGGCGAAAATGATCCTACCGAACCCGTCCTCACACTGCGAATGTGGTCGCTCGCGATCATCTTTTGCATTGTTGTCAGTGGCTTGAACACCCTATATACCTTACGCACGCCATCCGTCACAATCTCTGCCTCTGTCGTCCTCTTATTAGCCTATCCTCTGGGAAAAGTATGGGAGAAACTTTTACCAGATTGGAATGTTCCATTGGGGGCTTGGTCATTCAGCCTTAACCCAGGGCCATTCAACACCAAGGCAAGTAACTTTCTCCTACATCTCTCCCTCTTCGGTTGATTAACTGTTTCTGTCTTAATTCAGGAGCATGTGCTCATTTATATCATGTAAAACCTCAGTGTGTATGTGCGCCTTGGAGCCGACGTACTGACTGAACAAGAGATGTTCTATGGCTACAAAGCTGGCTGGGGCTTTCAAATCATGATCACCCTCGCTACATTCCTTTTTGGATTTTGTTTGGCGGGTCTATTCCGTGCCATCGTGGTGGTGCCGAGGAACCTGATCTGGCCGGGTGTGCTCAGCGTCACTGCCCTCGCCACCACATTGCACGATGTTGGCCAGGGTGAAGTTCAAGCGAGGTGAATAAGGCCTAATGTTTGAATAGACGACCGTCAGACTAATATGGAACTAGTTTCAACACTTGGAGAATGTCTCGGTATGCATTTTTCACAATTGCAGGCACCGTCTCTTTCTGCTGGTACTGGTTCCCTGATTTCATCTTTCCGGCCCTGAGCACCTTAAACTTCCCCTGTTGGATTGCTCCGAAAGATAAAGTGATAAATCAGTTGTTTGGAATGACCTCTGGCATGGGCCTTCTCCCAATCACGTTTGATTGTACGCTTGTGTCCATTGTTTTTCCGTGTAGAGCTAACATCGTCCAGGGAGTCAGGTTTCTTATGTTGGTTCTCCATTACTCATCCCGTCGTGGGCCATTCTGACTCATCCCGTCGTGGGCCATTCTGACTCATCCCGTCGTGGGCCATTCTGAATGTCTTTGTATCCCTTGTATTTTGGATCTGGATTGTTGCCGTGGCCTGCTATTACACAAATGTGTGAAATACCGGCTATCTTCCCTTTCAGAGTTCGAAAGGTATGGGGACAATGAACTTCTTCTCCGCTAAACAGGCTAATCACTTTCAAATTAGTATTTGACAATACTAAGACTTTCGCAGCTGGCCATTGTGTATGCCACATCAAACCTCAAGATCAACATTGATATTTTTTGTCGGATTGTCGCGGGCTTTGTCTTCCCTGGCAAGGTACTTGCAAACATTTGGTTCTTCGACAGTATGTCCCTGCGGATCTTCGACTTTGGCCCTGTTTCAACCCGGAATGTGACTGATCTCCACGCCTCGTGTAGTTGGGTATATTAGTACCATCAAAGGATTATACTTCGCTCAGGACATGAAGCTTGCCTATTATTGCCACGTAAGACGGTTTCCCACTTTTCAGTCGCCTGCAGTCACTAATTATAGATCAAGATTCCCCAACGGCAGCTTTTCTTGGTACAATGCGTTGGCATGGTCATGGGAACACTTTCCTCCCTTGGTGCCCTAAATTGGGCTCTAAACCATATTGCAGGGGTCTGCACCAGTGCCGCTTCTAATGGATTCAGTTGCCCATACTCGACCACGCACTTCAATACTTCGCTGATTTGGGGTGCGATCGGGCCACGACGGTATTTTTCGAACCAGATCGGGTATTCGGCCTTGCTGTATTTCTTCATCATCGGCGCGATTCTCCCTGTTCCGGTGTATTTCCTGAGTCATCGGTATCCGAACTCGCTATGGAAGAAGGTGCACATCCCCTTGTTCCTCGGGGGGTTGAATTATCTTCCACCCGCAACAGGCATGAACTATGGTAGCTGGGCGGTGGTTGGTCTCACGTTTGGCTGGCTGATTCGGAAGCGACCCTTTTCGTGGTGGGCCAAATATAACTTCGTTCTCAGTTCGGCGCTTGATTCATCGGTGGGAGTTGCGGGGGTTTTGATTTTCTTGACGGTGTTTTGCACGGGAGCGAGTAAACATTTCAATTGGTGGGGGACAGAGGTGTCCAAGGTTTGTTTGATTCAAAGTGAGCAATGGGAAGGTGGTGCTAATGGAAAATATTAGAACAATTGCGACTATAACGGCTGTGCGTATCTGTCCATACCTGAAGGGGGGAAGTTTGGAGTGTGATGGAATTTCTTGCGGTCGCATTGCATGCTTGCTTCTTTTGTCCCTTGAGGACTTCCCGTTCCGAGGGTCGGCTCTAATGACTGAGTCAAGTGGTATTGGGGTGAAAGAGAACACTGCTTGCTTTTATATCTATTCCAACTTACCTAGTGTTCAAATGTGAATAGTGATGTCGACGCAAGGTTTAGCCCTGGGTGAACCTTAGACTCGCTGCACTGCCGATTAGCCTACTTGCACGTGGAGGATTGATGTAGATATATATAATTGACACTTTCCAACATGCAACATGAGGAGTTGACTAGGTACCTACTTACCCCCAGGGTTTATTTATCAAACCACATAGGCAACGTTTGAAAATCCAAGTCGAGAATGTACCAAAAAAATCATACTAACCTCTAGATCTTGGAAGTCTGGAACGAAAGTCTGAACTTTTCCATGGACCTTAAAGGGCTGGAACCTTGCTAAGGAGACACATATCTACATAGGATACCTAGGTAGGTATAAGCTACTGACATCCATGGGCGTCTTGACGTGGGCACCTGGGGAAAGTCCAGCTGGACTCGCGTTTTTTCTTTCCGCAAGATCCATATCGTGTTAAAGATATTTAAAACCTCAAACAGGCCTGAAAGTATTATTGACCCTTGAACGCGTTTATAGCGACCTTTATAGATAGAAGTACAGAACATTTAACTTAGAAAGGGTTGATGATCCTTGGGAGCCTCAATCTCCAGGGCTTCAAGCCACCAGAGCATGGATATTGATTGCTATTATTCACAGTATTCAGGGTAAAAAACAACATTGGAAGACCTGGCGAAGACGCGACTGGTAGTAGCCCAGGAACGAATAACCTTGGAAGACATGGACTAGATATAGTCCGGGCGAGACTCTGAAAAGCTGGTGGAGAGTTCTAAGGTTCACTGTTCCGTGACGCTTCTACTCAAGGTCTTCCCAAAAGAATCCCGAGATTGGCCTTTGATGCATACGGAGGATGGGCCTAGAATTATGGGCTGGATACACATTTCATTTGGCGAACTTGATAGTTAGCCCCGGTAAGTTGAAGAGTGTGTCTCGATGGGGAGATGGGGGCCCATGGAAATCATCTAAGTCCCGCTCAGCTCACATTGGCCGAGACTTTGCTAGTTCCCACGTTGCCTTGATTCATGGCCGTAGCTGGCTCGATCCGAGGTCTCATCTGGCTCTCTATCTAGATAGGGAAGAAGTTGGCTGATCATGCAGACTCCTTTTCTTGCCACTGGCGAGGTGTGACGAGCTGTCCATTTCTGAAAAGATCGTCAAAGCCATCACGTAAATAGGTCCGCCTTGCCCTGGACCTGGCAGTGAAAACTCAATTCAGCAAATACGATAAAAAGAAAACATGAAGTTTAGGCCAACGAGAAACAAGAAAAGCTGGCCACGATCGGAGGAAGCTGCTCGCGATCAGGGTCCCAAGACCCAGCGATCTTCCCTCGATAGTCGATGTGATATAAAGTGGAATGCAGGTGCCGAGACGAGGCCTGATTCCAAATTACGCGATGAACCAGTCAACTAAACTCACGGATGCTCCCGCTGCCCCGTAGTGATGTGTTCCGCCGATCGGACACTCGTGTTCTGCTAGCCCATATCGCCGAAGAAGCAAATATTGCCCCTGCAGGAAACGCCGATCTTAATGAAAAGAAAGTAGCTGCAGCAATTTTTCAATAGCTGGTCTGCCTGTGCAACCCGCGTTGCCTTGGGCGTTCGTGGGGACCAATCGCGAATACGCTGACCTCAATTTCTCACTACTCTCGTCAGTGATCGACAGGAACCGCTGTGACCTCCGCTGCAGCGCCAGCGCTCGTGTTGAACATGTACCACGCCAAACAGGGAACCACAAGTGGGAAGGGCCTTCAGTGGCCACCAAAGACCAATATTTTACGATTATGTCACGCTAGCAGGATTGCCAAGTCTATCGATTTTCAGGGTCTGCGGTGCGATACCTAGATGCAGCACGAAGAGATGAGTCCAACTGGAAAAGAAAAGAAAACATATCAGGGATCGGAAGTGACAATTAAGGGTCCTATCCTCAGGTATAAAGCCTTCAGGATTTCCTCTCCGGAAAACTTCTTCATCATCCAGCTCAATCTCCTCAAGCAAACCCAGAACTCCTTCTTTCGCTTTCAGTGACTTTTTGACTCTGATTCTTCGCTTTACGCATTAAACCAACCGCCAAAATGAAGTTCTTCGCCACTGCTCTCTTGCTCGCTGCCACCGCCATGGCTCTGCCCCAGCCGGGAGGCGAAGGCAACATCCAGTCTATTCCCAAGGATATGACCATTAACCAGGCTCAGGCCAAGTGCGGTGACAACGCCAAGGTCAACTGCTGCAACAAGTACACCACCAACAAAAACATCAACACCAACAACTCCGGGCCACTGGCAGGTGTTGCGCAGAGTGCTCTGGCCCAGGGCCTAGGTATCGGCGAGCAGTGCAACGATCTCAGCCTCAACGGTATGACTTCTTGTGTGAAATTTGTAATAATGAACATGCTCTCACGCTCTCATAGTCCCTGTTCTCAACATTGTTGGAGGTGGTGTCGACCAGCTTATCAACCAGAAGTGCAAGCAGAACATTGCTTGCTGCCAGAACACCGGGTCGAACGCCGTATGTTACTCCTCGCCGCTTATTCTGCATACAAGATCACACACTGACCTCATAAACAGAACAACGACGTTGTCGGAGTCGCCCTTCCCTGTATCGCTCTGGGCTCCCTCCTCTAAGCTACCAGAGCTTTTCCCTCCAAGGAAGCCTAGTACATGGAAATCTCGTACATACATGTACATTGCATTGCCCCGACAAGGGTCAGTTTTTCCAGTGCAATGAGATTAGCATGACCGGTTTGGAATTGTTATCTTAGCGCACTGTGTCGGTCGTTAACTTTCGTTTGTCACCTTTTTCTGGGACATCTTATGTACCTAGCTTTTAATTTAATATGAGACCCTTGCGTTTACCAAGTTGAAATTGCGTAGCTCACCCACGAATGGCAATGACGACCACTGATTCTATCGGCATCGGAATAGATATCGATGAGAGTTAAAAGATAACACTCACACACAATCATAAGCAAATGGGAAAGGGGGAACAAAGTGAGACTCTCGCTTTTCTAACGCAATGTTCGGCTACGATTGAATCGAATTCTGAAAAGGCAAGGCAGAATCCTCTCAAAGTAATCCCAACTGCTTCCCAAATCTTGCACAAGGCAAGTATTCGCACATCCATTGATGGGCTGACATCATCCTTCCAGTGGCATACATTTGCCGGCCTTCGGCCACCTGGCAGTCTGGCCTGAAACCTGTGTTCTCTCGTATCCTGTCCCACGGATATCTGGCTATTTGAATGTCAAATATACGCACATTAATAACTATCGGCCGGATTGACTCTGCAGAGAGACTAGCATCAGGACTCAAAATTGCGTCTTGTCCAGCCTCTAATGTGGCGATATAATCAGGATGGATTTTAAGTTGTCAGGATAAACGGGATATTGAATTGAATTATATCTTATTACCACGAAGGAAGAGATGCGGCAGAGATGACGGTTTATAGAGTCGTCGTGAAACAAGAGTCCAACGCCGCGGTGCTTGAGCATTGATTGTTGAAAAAACTCGGACTGGTTCTGAGGGTTAATCATGTGTTTGACTTGTTATAAGCGCACGATTGCGCTTCGGTATAGGGTGTTTGAATGTGAATCAGCCACATGATGTAAGACAATCACCCCAAAGTCCAAGGATCAAGCACCGACTCAGTCCGCATTCTGGCTAAATGAAAATTTGGAAACGCCGATCCGAGAACAAAAATTGAGATCGGCTATGAGCCATTAACCAGCTGATGATCCCGGTAACTACTGCCATTTGGTATTCCTTTCGCGGCAATCACGATGTCATCGGCAATTCAAAAGACCCACAAAAAACACGGGAGATGCGTGGATCAGAGAAGGGCCAAGTAGGACAAGCTTTGCAGTGGGCCCGGGGGGCGGTGCTAGAATTCTTGGAGAACTCTCATGGCAAGTGGGGTGCGCTGTTCTTCATCTGAGACGTTGGGGTTGTGCTAGATACCTATCAGACATTTCTTCTTGTTGTCTTAGAATCTCCGATCGAGCGATGTAAATAGAATTCATGGGCACAGTATTTGAATCATAAGGTCATGTGGTGAGCCTTTGTTAACGTGCACGAAGACCCCCAAGACTGAAACAATTCATGACGATTCTTCCAGTTCTTTGATGATCACTGATCAATAAACCTCTCTCCTTGTTTGTTTCTCAAAAAGCTTTGTAAAAGACATAGATAATAGAGTACAGCTAGCCGTAATCACACCGGCGCAAGGTAAATCTCAATGGCCTCTTCCTGTATTCCAAGAATTGAAAGGTCGAGGCCGCACCCAAGAAAAGTAGAGCAATAGATGAATGATCTGTATGCATTTGACGAATGGCGGCGTCTTTTGCTCCATGGCCATCGATGCCAGCTACCGCATCCCAAGTTCCATTCAAATTTAGGTCAAATTGTCGCTTCCCTGATCATGGTGGCACCGGTGTCTCCATACTTCTATTCTATCGCATTACTAGACAGGATGCAGGATGATGATCACCAAGATAGCGTTTTGGACAAAGGGCGAGACCGGTGAAGACGGGCAAGGGTGGAGTCGGTGGCGTGGTTATCCCTCTTTTTTGTTTCCTGCTGAATCGCTGACAATATTTTGTACCTAATTCACGCATGAAGCGATGTTTCCTATGAAGAGTCAATGCTTGTAGTGCAGCATGGCATTTCTTGGTCTTCCGTCAAAGCTCAGAGGTGGGAGCTCAGCCTGTCAAGCCCGCGCAAAGCAGTAGAATCTGGTGGAACCGGACCTATTTCTCTGGAATAGGTACGCATCTGATGGAATACCTCGTGCCAATGAACTTTTGTTCCGCCCCACTCGACGGTACGTTTGAGTTCCAAGGGGCACGGAAGGCACGGGCTAGTCATCATGTCATGACGATCATCGTGTCGTGCCAAGGTTTTGCGCGCCAGCCGCAATCAGATAAGCCGGATCAGTCTGATCTTATCAGATTTCGCGCACAGTGGAGACCTGGACAAAGTTCCCGAGACAAAACGTTAGTTGGGTTCTGCTTTGCCGTGAAAACTAAGGAGCAAGGATCGACGGTGTTTGCGACTGAGAATCGTCCAGCCCGTGTTTCGACCGAAATCGGAATCGTTCTTTCGCACCGAGCTGCTGATTCGCACCGTCTCGATTATAAGAGAGTAGGGTATAAAAGCTTCTTGCACTCCCTTTGTGAAGTGCTCTACAGCAAAATTCTGTGTCGTACTTTCCACACCCCTGCCTTATCAAACACCACAGTTCAAAATGTCGATTGCTTCTTCTATACATTCATTAGTCGATCAGATTAAAACAGAAGCCTTCCAAGACTCATCCTCTACTGGCCATGGTCATGCGCGCCTTCTTCAACTTATCGATGAACTCAAGCTACTTGTTGAAACACCCACTGAGACAATCCTGCGTTTGATATACCAAGTATGCGATGACCTCAAACATTGACCGGGCGAAGACTAACGTTGAATTCAACCCATAGCCTCCGGAAAATGCGGCTTTGAGGACGGTGGTTGATCTCGGGATATTTCCCCTTCTTGTCGGTAGCCCAAAGCAGGAAGGCCTCTCCGCGTCAGACATAGCCCTGCACACTGGGGCCGATAGAAGGCTCATTGGTGAGTCTCTATCCATAATCCCCTGAATGATGATGTTGTACTGATCAAAATGATCAAGTTCGCCTGATGCGGGTGATGACTTCCCTGGGGCTTTGTTCCAGCGTAGAGGCGGAAATATACCGTTTCACTGATAAGACTCTCGCGATGACCAAACCGATCGGGCGAGATGGGGTCCCATGCATGTAAGATTTCAATCGATGTCTTTGCTTGTCTCACACTGACAATACCAGATACGATCTGACACTTCCGGCCCTATCCAAACTTCCCGAATACCTCCGTCTAAACAACCATATCAACCCAGAGGAATACTCAAAGTCCCCAATGCAATGGGCCGTGGGCAAAAGCCAATTCGAATGGCTTGCTGAGAACAAGCAGCATCAGTTTCTTTTTAACTCATACATGTCCAGTCGACGTGAAGGCAAGCCCAATTGGTTCGAAGTATACCCGTTAGAAAGGTTGATTGATGGGGCCATATATTCACCGGAAGTTGCGTTTCTTGTTGATGTCGGTGGAAATGAAGGGCATGATCTGGGAAGTCTCCATGCCCGATACGCCAGCCTCCCTGGGCGACTCATCCTCCAAGATCTTCCAAAGATGGTGAAGAATGTCGACAGAGAAGGAATAGAAAATATAGCATATAGCTTCCTCGACCCGCAGCCAGTCAAGGGTAAGGTCTCCTCACTGACTATTATGTCCTTTACTGACCTGCAAAGGCGCCCGAGCATACTACTTTAGAGCAATCTTCCATGACTGGCCCGATAGGGTTTGCAAACGGATCTTGTTGAATACTATCTCTGCCATGAATGCCCAATATTCGCGCATCATCATCGTCGACTTTGTTCTCCCCGACACAAATGTCCCACGAATGCAATCCGCCATGGACATACAGATGATGAGCATTGGAGCAGGTGTTGAGCGATCAAAAAAGCAGTGGTTTGATCTTCTGGCCAGTGTTGGCTTGAAGATAAATGAGATCTGGAATTCGAACTCGGCCATGGAGTCGGTCATTGAGGCAGTTCCGATGGAAGATGGTGAAGAGCCTGCCGAAAAGCTGTGACTTTCAAGAAGTTCTCGTATTTCGCTCTACAGCTTTATCCCCATTGTGAGACTCTAGTGTATCCATATACATCTGCATGAAATTTATGGAAGTGTTCATAGACTGCAAAAACCGATGAGCAACTTTGATTACTATTTTATCTTTGTTTTTGTTTTGGCATTCTATTTTTTTGGTCTGACATTTGTATATTATTCACTTCAACTGACTAATTGCCGATGATCAGGGCTCACGTTGTAAGTTTACCTTAGGTTTCGCGTTCAAGAGTGATATGCGTCCGTACGAGCAGCTACTGAGTTGTGTATGAGCCCCTTTCCTGGAGATTCTTGATTCTGCCGAGCAGAAACTCAAGCTGTCGGTAAGCGGCACCAGGAACGTACTGCGGGATTTCGTGCCCGGAGCCGTAAACGGTGGAGAATGTGAGGCCGCGCTCTGTATGGGCAGTTCCCAAGATTCCAGCGCCCGCATCAGCAGTATAAGGAGCTTGTACATTCCCATTGGCGTCTGCATTCAAGGCATCGGTATATGGCACGAAAAGCGGCTCGGTCGGTGCGTGCTGGAACCCCTGCTTGCCATTCCATGTCTAAACATGTTAGGACAAGGAAAAATCAACTTCTCAACAATCACTTACCATATTCTGAATTGTAGCCAAGCTACCATTCATGAACAACAAGTAGTCAAGCCATCCATGGCCCAGAACTACGTTATTGGTGCGTTCAATAACACTTGGGAGTGGGCCTAGCGCACTGGGGACTGATCCATCACCGTTCGGAAAAATGTCGCCACCACAAACTGCGTAGTCAGTGATGGGAACATGGAGCGCCTGTTGGACAGCAGTCTGGTTGAAATAGTTGTTCGGACCACCGGCCAGCGAGGGGAAGCCCATTTCATCCCACAAGAAAGGACAGAAGTCTGTCAGGTGATACATGTTGAAGCACGGATTCACGTAGGTTGCTGCCTTCACAATCTGGTCCCATAGATCACAGCCATCTTTGTATGGTTCTGGGGCAATCGGGAAGTCCTTTGGCGGTGGGAAAGTTAAAGCTGCTTCAAGGAACTTGTTGTATCCACAAATTTCAGATTTCCGGTTTATATCGGTCATGAATGTATCATTCAAGCCAAAAACACGGTCAAAATAATTCAACGCCGCGACCGCAGGGGCTACATCAATTCGTCAGCTTGGACAGTTTATCGCCTTAGCCCAAGACTCACCATAAATCATCACGCTATCGTCATTGATGGATGGGTCATTGATTTGAATACCCTTGAGATTGAAGTGGGTCGTGTCATTTTGATCCAGCATTCCAGCTGCCAAGTAGGGTATGTATTGTCCCGCGTAGCTCTCTCCAGTGATATAAACCTTGTAGCCTTGCATGCTGAATGTTTCAATAAACCTTCTCCAGAAGTCATTGAATTGATTGGAAACATCAATCTCATCCTGCACGGTCGCCGGTCCAGGAGACAAGCCAGTCCCGGCTGGCTGGTCAATGTAGACAACATTGGTCAGGTTTGTCCAAGAATAAGGATTTCGAACGGGCGCATACGTCCCAGACTGCCACAGAAAAGGTCCATTCTCCTGGAGTAACCCATCTAAAGAGCTGCACCCAGGACCACCGTTCAGCCAGATGGTGATCTAACACAGTAAGCATCGGCCAAGAAACGGACATTTTGATCATTCCATACCTCTCGATCGGCAGCAGGATTACTGGAAGGAAAAAACCAAAAGAACAGACTTGAATTGCCATGAGGAGTGTTGGATAAGAGCCCAGAGTAGCTCTCACCTATGTCAAATGGCACCTGTGGAAAGTTTGTGCCGTTGACAAGAAATTTCTCGGTTTTTTTATTCAAATAACTCAATTCTGACGAAATTGCATGCGTTGCTTCTCTCTTGTGCAGAGACTTGGGGGAGTTTCTTAAAGATGTTGCCTTGCGATGGGGGCTCTGCAACGCAGCGACCGTGGTGGTCAGCAGAATTGCCGCAAAGGAGGCGAGAAAGAGCATTTCAAATCCCTTTCTAGCTCAACAATAAAAAGGAAAAAAAAAAAAAAAGAAAAAAGTTGTTGCAGGGACAATGGAGTCGCAAGACAGACCATTCCGTCTATTTTATTGACTTTCGTTGTTCTTAAGCCACTGATGGAGATCGTTTTGGACCTCTCCGGAGTAGAGATTCCATCATTAATTTGCTTGCAGATCGCCAATATCGCGCCCCAATTGGACCCTGCCAAGCGGGGTTTTCTAGCGGCAGGAGATAGATTGTAACCTAGCCAAGGGCAACTAGGAAGGTTACATGATAGATGATGGGGTCATGGTTCCAAAATTGAGTTCGTGCCCTGAAGAGATCCCCACGCCGACGGAGTCCTGGCCCAATTGCAGGCTACCATCGAGAGAATCCCTGCGTACGGCCGTGTATCCCGCAACACCCCGCCGCTTCTCCGAGATCGCGACATAAAGCGAGACATTTCTTCGGTGCGTAGGCGAATGACAAGTAAGAAGAGCTGAACTGGGCATAAAAGCAATCTAAAGTAATGAAGAAGAAAGATAAGGGTCGAGATCCGATTGAGAGGACTACAAACAAACAGTGCAAACATGATTCACGTAAACAGTGACTGCTGAAGCACCAATCTCAAATTGAACCTTGATCTAGACTCTGGAAGCTCTGCAGCCTGCCTTTGGCGTCTTCAAGATCTTGGGTTTTGCAGGGCTCTAGTCTGAGTCTTGGAAGCTCTGGCCACGAATGCGGTGCGGGGTCATATACTTCTGCCAAATTTCATTCTCCCAAGGGACCCCCCCACTCGCCCAAGCTAATCCATGAATAACCATATCACAGTCACACTAGATTCCCTACTTATAGAAAGGCCTCCCCCCACCCTGAGCGCTGGGCTTCTGGCGGATGCTTCTCTAGAGGCAGGGTCAGAGACAGCAACGTGAACGGATCCGTTCAAGCTGCAGACCCTCATAGCTATTGCTTTCCCTTGCCTTACACAACAAAGCCCGAAGCCCGGGAATATTATTGCATGTCCGATCTCGAAATGGCACTGAGTAATCAAGATGCCTCGGCTTTGAATATCGATGGGGATTTTGACTACTTCCGTATAAACGCCCTGAAATTTGACTAGAGTAGGAAATGTCTCCCCAGGGCCGAAGCAATGCAACCGAGCCCTTAGCGTAGAATTAGTAGATAGAGTGCGACCGGGCTCATTCCGAAGGTCTTTCAAGCTAGCGGAATCACTCTGGATTCAATGCCAAGGCCGCCACGATTGCTTGTATCGAGGACGCGCGGAGCGCGGAACGATCAGTGAATCACCCAAACTCAAATTTATTGCTTGGATATTTAGCGAAAACCTTCAGGCAACTAGCGGTATTTTCTTATGAGCGCGTGACTAGGTGAATGTAATTTTGAAGCTCTCCGCCACACATAGGAGAGTGGATTGTTGGGGAATGGAGGAAAAGTTTTGCTGCGTTTGACGATTTTTATTTATTCTCTCCAAATGGCGACGATGAGCGTAGCATGAATGTGCTATGCTTGTGCCTACCGCAAGTGATACAGGAGATATCTTGTGGAACAGAACGCAGATATCGCCACCGGCCACTAAGATTGGCTGGGATGGACGTCAAGCGCCCGGCCCCAGAATTCTGTTTAAGGAGCGATAACACCAAATCACGCGATAATGGCGCTGATAACAACAAAACAAATACTTTGCTGATTTTGAGTTGCGGGGCAGCGTAGCTATAATATAGATCAGATCATTCAACCTCCTTTCTTCAACCTGGTCTTGTCTGATTAATTTCTGCCATCGCGACATCCCGGCTTAGAGATGACAAGCGCAACCAAACAAAGGGGGGTGAAGGGAACCCCATGCCTATGAACGAGCCAAGTAATCCAGAATCAATTGATGTGGGGAATCGACAGTTTACGGCGAAGGCATGGCAATTAAATTATGAGGAGTATACACGCGGGGGGATGGGCCGGCATCTTGGTACATTCTCGACAATCTTTCTAATGTATGTTGATGACTCAGATCATGAACCATAAGTAACTGAGATGACAGTGTGGGCCGCATTATTGGAACTGGCATTTTCTCCACGCCCTCGTCGGTTACGGAGAGTGTCGGGAGTGTGGGTGCCGCGCTACTTCTTTGGGTCTTGGGATTCCTTCTGGCTGCTGCTGGACTTTGTGTCTGGCTTGAGATGGGTTCCATGATCCCACGGAGTGGCGGAGAAAAGGTTTACTTGGAGGCTGTGTATCGTCAACCTAAGCTGTTGATTACGATTGTATTTGCCGTCCAAGCCGTGGCATTGGGCTTCACAGCGTCGGGCTGCGTTGTTTTCGCGTCGTATGTCTGGGTGGCAGCTGGCAAGGAAGCATCGGAATGGGAAGAGCGTGGAGTCGCAATAGCCGTGATTGTGTTCATCACCATGTTGCATACATTGCTACCCAACTGGGGTGTTCGAGGCATGAATGTCCTTGGTGTGTACAAAGTCATTCTTTTGCTATTCATTGTCATCACTGGCTGGGTCGTACTCGGTGGGCATGTGTCCAGTATTCCAGATCCATATTCCAGCTTCCGTGACTCCTTTGCGGGCTCAGCAACGTCCAGTAACCTTTACGCTATCGCACTTTTCAAGGTTTTGAATTCATTCTCAGGGTATGTCGACAGTTGACATTGGCGATATAAGCGCCCGGCTGACTGGATTAAATCTCTAGTTGGTCAAATGCAGCATACGTTATGAACGAAATTCGCAATCCTGTGCGCACAGTGAAGATCGCTGCGCCCATCGGACTATCAATCTGTGGTGTTCTTTACATCCTGGCAAATGTTGCGTATTACGCGGCAGCCACTCCAGAGGAGATTGCGAATAGCGGGACGACAGTTGCTTCGTTTTTTATGGGGAAGGTGTTTGGCTCGGCGGCCGAGCGTACCTTAAGGTGAGAACTCAATTTCAATTATCTAGATCCCAGGTTCTAGAGGTTTTCTCTTTGTTAACGGGAGATGTAGTGCCCTGGTGGCTATATCTGCCTTTGGTAATGTGTTGACCGTTACATTTGCCCAAGCCCGGGTCAATCAGGAGCTGGCTAAAGAAGGCGTAATTCCGTTTCCTAAATTTTGGGCGTCGAACTGGCCCTTTGGCTCACCCTCAGCTGGACTGCTGCTGCATTTCATTCCATCATTTATTGTGATCATTGCAATACCATTCGGCGATGCCTACGATTTTATTCTGGACCTTGAGGGTTATCCAGCTAGCGTGATCGACTTCCTGGTCGTTGTTGGACTCTTTTACCTTCGATGGACGGCTCCGCTTGTGGATCGACCCTTCCGCGTTTGGTGGCCCGTGGCCTTTTTCTTCATGGTCGGACAGGCATTTCAGCTCGTTGCCCCATTCGTGCGGCCGCCCGGTGGTAAAGGTGAGTTGGAGAGATGCTTCGGTGGAGATGACACTAATTGAATTTGTAGGCGATACGTCTCTTCCATACTGGTTATCCTCTGTGGTGGGTATAGTCATACTATTGTTGGGAGTTGTCTATTGGGCAATATGGCGAAAGGTTCTTCCTGTGATCGGGAAATACCGCTTGATTCCAGAACACGAGGTGCTCTCCGATGGCACAACTGTAGTTTGCTACAAGGCCGTGAAATGAGAGCTGATTACATTTTCTTGAGAACCGATCCAGGGGGAACGCAGGGCTTAATATCTAAGTATAGTCCGCCCATGTGTTTAAATGCCCGAGGCTGCATGTATCAAAGACTTTAAAATTATGCTTCGCACGTTGGCATTCAGTGTCGATTGTGGGGCGGAAGGAAGAATCGAGTTGACACCAGGATAAGGATGTAAAGTAAATCATAAATGCGCTGACAAAAGAGACGTTGTACCTTGCTAAGTTACTTAGCGCACTGCCTCACAAAGGTAGCCAACGCCACATCATTCCATGAAATACGAGATGAGGCTGTGTTGTTGATCCTGCGCCCCCTGAGGGGAACGGATGAGGCGGTGCTCATTTCCGGGGATCCGCAGGACAAGATATTTATTATCTTCCCAGATCATCATCAAATCGTCCATCAGTCATTTTTTCGTTGATTCTTTCATTCTATTCCACCCTTCCTCAACCACTCCCACCATGTCCAATTATACTGGGCCACCGAATAATCATAGCGACGCTTACTATGGCCAGCAGGGCCAAGGTTACTATCCGCCCCACCAGGAACCTGACCGTCTACCCCAGCAACAATACTACAACCCCACAGTGAGTATAAGCTCGAGACTGATGGTTGCTTTGCCTCCTGTGTTGGCCATTGTTAATATTCAACCATCCAGCCACAACAGTATAACCAGCCACCATATGGTGAACAGGCCGCGACTCACCAAGGATATCCTGCTTCCTCGGCTACCTATGGCCAACAATACCCGCAAGCCCCCCAGCCTGTAGATTCTGGTACCAACTACCAGTATCCTCCACAGTTCTCTGGTCAAGATCGCGGACACTTGCCCTACACTCCAAATCAGCAGCACCAAAGCAACGGCGAGAGCGCATCATATTATGGGGGTGACATGCAACATCAACATCCACCGGGCTATGCCGCTGGTCCTGGAGGCCCTGAGGGTGATAGAGGACTTGGATCTACGCTACTGGGGGGTGCTGCAGGTGGATTTGCCGGCCATAAAATGGGCGGTGGTTTCCTTGGGACCGCGGGTGGTGCAGTACTAGGTGCAGTAGGAATGAACATGGCAACCCATGAAATGTGAGTTAGATTTGGCGGTGATGACTTCCCACCCCCCTTCCCCAAATCACTTGGAAAATCTTTGCTAATATGATTACTTTCCTGGATACAGCAAGGACCACAAGAAACACAAGGAAAAGAAAGACAAGAAACATAAGAAAGACAAACATCATAAGCATCACAAGCGTCGTGGTTCAGGCTCGAGTTCGAGTTCAAGCTCAAGCTCCTCAAGCTCCTCAAGTGATTGATTTACTAAAGGGGTCCTGGTTACAATTACCAGAAGACAGATGAGGTTACTTAATTAGCAACTAGTAACACCAAATAGCATGTCTCTTGCTCTCATATCGGAGATTTATAGACTATATTGTATTTCAAACGAGGATGCCGCTGGCTTAGCCTATCCTCTGCAAACGGCTTTCCAAATCTCCAACCGCTTCTTGTAGCTTGCTTCCCGGGATTTTGCGTTCAATCAGATCGGTGGCAAAGACTGACATTCCCGACAGGCTGGTTGAGAGAATCAGGCTAGTGTCGGCAGAGATTTGTTCGAAGAAATAACGACATTCAACATATCAACATATTTAGTTTCTCCAAGATCTGACACAAGGTCAAGTTGCACCCACATCAGTTCAATCATCCCTTTAACAACGTGCATCCTTCGATGACCGGACGCCTTTTGTGTTCTTTCCAAGAGAAAGAGAATAACGTCCCGCTGTTCATCAGTATGCGCTTCACATGCTACGAAGAACAGTGGAAAGGGGCGATCGCATATTTTCAACTGCCGCATAATGTCAAAGGCTTCATCAGACCATCTGGTCACTTGCAGACTAGTGGAGGAGTCTTTCAGAACACGCTCATAATAGATCAGGCCTGCCAATCGATATAACTGGGACATTCTACTACCGTAGTTGACATCATCCGCAGGGTTCGTTCCAATGAGGCTTGTGGTATCTTGTTTTATTGACAGCAAGTCATTCTCAATGGAACGTAGAATCATTCGCTCTGCGTATGGTATGTTTCCAGGACATCCACTCTGAAGCTTGATCTCCGACATTCTGGCGATCAGATTTATCATTTCCAGCGAGCAACCAAAAATGCCCAGTACCTGTCACTTCTGTCAGCACATGATCGAACCAGAATGATTTCGAAGCTTACCTGATTGTCCGCTACGGAGGCCAGGCTAGAGGCCATGCCTTGCATCTTGGAGATTGATGACTTTTCTGCAGACTCGGTATTCCAATGTTTGGAGGTAAATCTTGCAAGAATATCATGATAATGTACCCAGAGTATAAGAAGGTCGGCTTCCATCAGCTTGGGGTGTCCACCATCGCAGATCTCATGGAGCATGCTCTTGGCGCCAGATACGTATAGCGGCCATTGAAAGGAGGTCTCCGATGGCAAGAAAATCTATCGTTATCAGTATAGTTCGAGCAATTGGAAGCAAGGGAGATACCTCAAAAGCACAGATCAACATTCCTACGGCGACATGTTGATAAATTTCTCTTGTTCCAATATTGCGCTGGTTCATGGATGCACTCAGAGAGCCAAGAGATGCAACCTTAAGCCGGAGGGGCTCCTCAGCATTGCCATGGCGATACACAGATGCCAGGGACAATATTGCTTGTAAGACGGCTATGGACGCTGGTGAATCATCGGAGAACGACAGCTGGAACAAAAATTTCGACAGACTATAGCCATCAGTTGTGATAGGCGTAAGTGAGGTAACCACCTCTGTCATAACTACACAGACGCTGATCAGCTTTGTCGACCTTCCCGAACAGATCCGAGTCTTGTCTCCTACAGAATGTTACCAGGTGGTGCCCATCGTTCAAACTTGGTTGCGCTTTCGCCAAATTCGATAGCGGAAAGATGCATGTGCTATGGAGTGATAATTTGCCTGATTCAAGACATAGCCCGGAATGTCAGCGACCCAATCTCAACGCAGATCCACGGTGCGGGGCCATCATCTCACTTACGTAGTATTTCCGATCCTTCCAAATAAAGCAGCTCGACGTTCACCATCGACGTGTTGATAAAATGTCTCTTTTGACTTGTATCCCTTACAGTATCGGCGCTGGTCAAGACGGAGTGTTCAATGGATCTACGTGAGCCAGGTGTTGGCCAACTTAAACGTAGCCCGTAGCCCTGGCAGTTGCGGGCCGACGATATACAGTTTCGGCAGTCTGGACGTCCTCGATCGCAAGAAATCTTTCGATCTGTAGAGCAGTCAGATTCTTATGTCTCGATTTAGATTGATCAAAAAGTATTTTATCCTACCGCGGCATGTCCAACACCCCCGCTTTGATGGAATTCCCACACGATAAGGACCTCGCGGCTTTGCTGAAGTCATTCCAACGCAAAGCTCAAGGCAATCAACAATATTCTAGGATTGAATTTACGCAGCTTGGATGAAATATCTTGTTTCGTGCAATATCGTGCAATTCAAGAGTCTGGGAAAGGGTGAGCTGGCAGGATGACCATCGTAGCTGCCATATTAGTAGTCATGTGACTGGTAACTATTTAAGTTGACTGACCAATGAATTAGTTATAGTTGCCTAGTGATTCAACCGACCGCTATAGTGCACTCAGAGGCTCATCATGAATCTGGATGATATATGGAATGGCGGGTGCTTGGAATGGATTCGTTGGATCCCAGGCCATGATGGATGTTGTTAAGTTTGCGAGACTACTCGACGCCAAATTGATAGCACAGGGTGCATTTCCATTTCAAATCTGCCTGATTCTCAACATAGATGAGGGTGGATTTATTCCCGATGATCCATCAACCTTTGTCCCAGGCGATCCGATCCGCTTTAACGATAAATCGCAGAGTGCTGGGTCATCGGTTTTGTCCAAATTACAACCACTGTTTGTTTCCTAGATGCGAGATAAACGCACCGCCATCTCCATTCGCGATCGAAGCTTTATGCATGACTGCAAGGACAGCTTTTATGGATTCCTGGGGTGTCAGGGGCCGCTGGAAGTGCGGCGCATACTCGGCGAATTTGCCCACAAGGACAGCGGCCTTGTCAGCATCTGCCGGAGCTGCCTCAGCTGCGAAAAAGTTTCAGTGTGTGTCGTCGTGGCTATATCGGGGTTGATCTATACTCATACCTATGTTCCGCTCGGTTGACACGTATCCGGGGCTAACGGCGAGGAACAAAATACCATCCTTGTTGTAAAGAGCGTTGTACTTGGCCATGGCGATATTGATAGCCCCCTTACTGATGGCGTAAGGGCTACCGAAGGCCACTTCTGTCGCATTTATCAGGTCGATATCGGCCATACCGGTGGAGATGGTAATCAACTTTTTCTCCCTGCCATTGCGGACTAAAGGAAGAAAAGCATGTATTATCTTTATAGCTCCCAGCAGGTTGATTTCCAGCGATTCCCGAATGTCTCTTTCCATCGTCTCGAAATCGTCGTCACTGCTCATCGTCAGCATTGTTTTCTTCATTCTTTCGAACATCAGACGCGCACAAGTCACCCAATGTTTTCCATTCGCTGATATGCGAGACGATAGCGGCATTATTCACTAGATAATCTAACCCTCCGTTGGTAATACCTTTGACAACTTCTGCAGCTTTCTGAATAGAATCAGTATTGTAGGATTCGTTCTCAAGACGAGTATCCTCACTTTTAGTGATGCTAAATCGGTGTACTGAGCCTCAACCATGTGAACATTATGAAGCCCTTGTTCCTTGGCCTTGGCCTCAGCTGCAGCCTTGTTGCGAACGAGGCCAATGACTGTATTCTTTGGGTCCTGAGCAAGCTGCCGAACGAACTCGAACTAGGTATTCATGTTAGTTCACAACCATCAAAGAAAATCATTGAATAGTGACGAACCCCAAGACCACGACTGGCGCCAGTTATGAGATAGGAAGACGTGGACATGGTAAAAATTGGGGGTTTTAGTACGTTTTGATTGCTTCGGTGGATAGTTCAATGCAATGAGATTCGACTGAGTCCGCTGCGTGAAACCCAAGGTCGTCAAGCCGGCAAGCACTATTTATATTTCGAGGTCACCCAGACCTCATAGCATTGATTACTATTCAGCTAGTCTCGAACATCCAAATACTACGATCAAAGGATGTTTCCCCGCGTCTGAAGCAAAATGGTGATCTCACTTACTTATCTAGTCTCAGATCAGGCTGATGTCGAGGCCGTTGATTGGGTGCCTCATGACGAAGGGCAATTATTTGCGAGATTTCGGGAGAGCCTTACCTAGATGAGCAGCGCCCCACATCGCTCTAATATTTACAATCATTCCGTGTCTTGACGAATTGATTGGAAATGGGCGCGAGCAGAATGAAATGGAAAAGCCCGGAAGCGATCAAGACGGCTCGAAAGCTAGAACTAGAATTTTGCGACCGCAGGCGGTTTAGTTGAGTAATTTACTTGGAGTCGTTGGATAAGGTGGACGAAAATTCGGCTCATCATGCCCCGAAGATGGTTGGAATCATCAGGGGGCATTTGCCAGATTGGATTACTACAAGCAGCCGAGTCAATCTTTCAGTGGAATCTCATGACCTTGGCGGCAGCGCACGCGACCGTGTTTCGACCCCTGCTTCACGAAGTATATAGACCCAGACAGCTGCCGCGATTCAGATATACGCGAATCGGGATATACGTACGGAAACTTGGAAATTCTATGCGGCACTTAAGCCCAGGTGGGTGATATTGTTCAAGGGTAATGTGGATGAATTAACATGGCACTCCTTGGGGCGCTCGGCAATCAAGAGGTCAGGCCACCAGGATCTATTGCAATCTATCTTCCAAGCTGCTGGCTAACAGCTCTATCAGTTGAAATCTATCCAACCAATGAACTCACAAGTACCCAATGGAAAATGTAGATCGTATGCTCTCTCTAGGTTGAAACGAAACAAGACTGCAGTGTTGCTTTAGATAGTCGCCAGCTATTGCACACTCGAAAGGAGTTCAGCATCGCCGTTTTCCCACGGAAAAGAATGTTCGAGGGACTGGATCAGGTCCCGATGTGCCGAGCTTCTGGGTTGAATAGATACTTTGAACGGCGCTGGATGGCTGATAACCCCCGGGAGAAACTTGACGTCAAAATCTTGGGCTTCTGGGCTTTTCAGCGGTTTGAATATTTCAAAAACGCTCAGGGATTGTGCAACGGTGAGAAATATGTTCGAGTCTGCTAGAGTACGCCCGGGACAAGCTCGACGGCCAAACCCGAAGACAAGCATGTGGGGGTCTCGCTCTGGAGGCTGGCCCGCTGAACCAGTCAAGAAACGCTCTGGTCTAAAAGCCATGGGATCAGAATAGATATTTGCATCGTGTGTAAAACCCCTGAAGCATTTTAGACTAGTGAGAATCCAAATTTCCTGTTGTCTTTTCGTATTCAAGGGAAAGGCTTACCATATATTGGCCACAATTGATGATCCCTTGGGAATGAGATACCCTTCGCAAGTATCGTCTTGGGTTGATACGTGTGGAATATTTGTAGGCACGACTGGATGCCACCGGAGAACCTCTTTGACCAGCGCATTAATATATGGAAGCTTCGCTCGATCTTCAAATTGTACGAGGGTATTAACCCCAACCACTGAATCCAGCTCTTGTTGCGCCTTCAGTTGCACCTCCGGATAAAAAGCCATAGCGAGAAAGAAGCTGGCGATTGCAGAGACAGTCTAACAATTTCTCAGCTTTGTGAATCCAGAATTTAGACAGTGTCAATATTTCTCTCACTGTGTCTGCTCCTCCAGCATATAGTGACCCAGCCGACCATTTGATGATTCTTTCTTCCTCGGACCCCGGCTCCACGTCACACTTTCGCAGCAGATTCGATAAGAATGATGGTACATAAGCCTTAGTATCCATCTGTTGCTTAACGAACTTGTATGGCACGTCACTAAATGCCACTGCTCTCGTCTTATAGGCTTGACAGGTTTTAATAAAGCCTGCGCCAGGGAACCAGGCAGGCAAATATCTCACTAGTGGAATAGTTAAAAAGGGGAACACAGACGGTTTGAGCCCAGCTTTACACTGGACCTAGTCTATGGTAACTTACGAATTGGAATAAAATCGACGGCCCATGCTGTTGGGAGCAAGGCATACGAAAAGTCTTCCATTGCCTTGTCGGCTAAATCAACAAGTGGGTCTGGAGAATGAGGACTGATTGTGTAGCCGTATGCAACTTTAAGGACGATTCCCCCAGCTTCCCTTTTCTATATTAGTCTTGGCAGAGCATTGAGGGAAGAGAGGGCTTTTCTTCTGAGTCTGAAAAACTTACTTTCGAATGTGCTGTTGAAGTCTTTCAGGGTCATTCATTACCCTAAGGAGGAACCGACTAACTTCTGTTATTTGAACATCGTTGAAACAAGCAACAGAATTGTTTGAACCAATTTCTCGATGTAGGTACTTGCGAGTAGTCCTGATGTGCTCTGGGTTTCTGAGCGCGCCAAGAACATTGTGCCAGCCAGACCTATGGGAATTAATCCTCCGTCATTGTGTTGAGATAACGTCGCTTCTTACATTTCAGTGAAGTTTTGTTGAGGCCGCGACGAGTGTATGGCAGATCGCTTTTCCAAAAGCTGCACCGCCAGCTGAGCATCATTGAGAATGATGATACGCTTACCGAGCACGCGAAGTGAGCTGATGGGTCCTGTTTGAGCGCGGGTCAATATTCGTATTTTAGGTCAAGGAGGTCTAATTACCATATAGTTCCTTGTGCTTTAGCCAGTGCTGCCAGTCCTGTTCATCCGGGCTAGGAAGATCCCTTAGGTTTCCAATGATGGGTTTGGGTCGAGGACCGGGAGGAAGAGGTAGATCATGGCGCTTACGACTTCGCTGCGTGCTGTAAGCAAAAAGGCCCACGAGAACCATGGATGCAAGGAACCACAGCATGGAAACCATAATGATATCTGGATTAAGAAATAAGACAAGTCAGATTAAGATACAGACATGGTACACATGTTGGGAAATGTTGACTTTAAAGGTCTGGCGAAAAGAGGGGCCATGACGTTGTCGTATGTTCGCACGGATATCCAAAGATTAGCTGGCTGCAAAAACCAGCCTATAGTTGATAAAATGGCTGGATTTATGCATTAGTCCGAAGAGGAATCCTATCTGAGAGGCCTGTCAGGTCACACTGCATTTGAGGCGGGGTCGAGGGGAATTACGTAGCACTTTTGCATGTATCAATGAGGTACTGAAGTACTAGAATGTATTAAAGCGATATCTCTCGCTCCGGACCTTATTTTTTTCCTTCAGCCCGTCCATTGGGATTATCATTGCTGAAACGGCATATCCTTGCTTCCCTTCCTTCCCTGGCTGTAGCTCGTATGGTCTTGCGGGGTCTGGTATATCTGAAGCAAAGTCTAAAGCAGGACAGACATGGCTCGGAATGTAGTGATAGCGAGCGCAGGAGAAGAGGACTTGCGCTAAATTTAGTGTTAACGTCCTTTTTGGAATTACGCCCTTCCATTTTACTACTTAAGTTTCACTTGCGTAGTCTCTTCTCCTATCTGTCGCACTCAACTCAGTCCTTATGTACTATGTTTATCTGCTTCCTGTTTTTCTGCTTCTTCAATCAGAGTATTTCTGTATTAGTATCGGGTATAGGTTCTAGTGTACTATGATTAAAGATAAACACTTTCCTTCTGCACTGCAAAAGTCTGACATATGAGTAGATGAAGTGAGGGATTGATCATCATATGGGGATGACGGAGAATTGGACTACTTTGGGGCGCTTCTACAGAGCCTTGAACGCTTTACATTTTGAATCCTTGAATCATCCTCAGCACCGAATAATTACTAAGCGAGAACGGGCAGAGTGCAGTGAACCAAACGTTGAGCAAATTTTGATCAAAAAGTTTAACCTTAGCCAAGCCAGGTGGACCACTGAAACATTCTCCTGAGGACTGTAAGAAAAAGTGCAAAGACAAAGACGGAGAAGAATGGCGCGTTCTCTAAGAAGCCGGTAGGCGATGCCTCGGTTGATTCCCAATGTGACAGTTTCTTATTGCTTGCGCGGGCGGGGAAGTAAATAAATGTCCGAACACGAGAACGGGACACCAGACAGCCCCAACATTCCCAAAGCACCAAAAAAAATACTGGACTACATTCTCTAACACCGCCCAGCTTTAACTTCCTTGGCTGCGTTTCTCCTGATCCTCGCCATGCTCTGCGTGTTCATTTGCGCCTACTCCAACCATCACCACGGATTTATTCATCTCAACACATACCGCGTCCTTAAATTACTGCTGGGTTCTTCGTTCACGCCCCTACCGGTCTTGCGATGCCAATATCCGATAATGACTAGATATGAAGATGTGCTGAGATGTCAATACACTGTACCTTACAAAGACATTGAGGAACCAGAACTAAACTTCAAATATGCTAACTAAATGAGTTTAGATTATCAAGTCGTCAGAAATCAGATCAGAGAAATTTTACCCCCTTTTATCACCCCCCCCCCCCCCCCCCCCCCCCCGGTCACGTACCCGAGGACCCATCGAAAGAAAACCTTTATTCACAGGTTTCAGCTGTCAAATATATGGGTTCTGAATCTATTTTGCATCACCAAGATGGTTCTTGAGAAAAGGAAGAATCTGATCGAGCGCAGGCTTGACCGCATCGGGCTTATCGTAGAGCATATAGTGTGAGCTTCCAGGTAGAACGACACTATGCTTTTCCTTGCAGCCTGCCCGACCATATATCTCTTGGGCGTCGCGATAGGCGCCAAAACCGCCAGGTTTGTCACCGACTACCACCATGAGGGGTTTGTCATGAGCACTTCCGCGTGGTTGAATGCATCCCACCCGAGGGCAGCGCTATTGAATGAAAATAAACCGCTGGTGCAGCCGTTGGGCTCTTCGCCGCGCGAAGTCTTATAGTATTCGGTCGCCTCGATGACGTCGATGTCCGTTGTGGATTTCTTGGCCTCTTCGACAGATGGGGGGAGTAGATTGATGACAAGGCATTCAGCACCCTGGGACTCAATGGTGCGCTGATTTGCCATCTTCTCGACAGAAGCAGCGGGGTCGAAGTTACCGAAAGCTTAAGCTTCGCGGGAGAGACGGCCAAAATTAACCGGCGTGATGCCGACGCAGCATTTGAAGCGGTAGTCTGTCATAGCTGCGTTAATCGCGTAGCCACCTCCGCCACAAACACCGAGCACACCAATCCGCTCGGCATCAACATAGGGCAGAGTTTGGATGTAGTCGACCACGAAGCGAAAATCGGAGAAGCGAAATTCGGGGTTCTCAATGAAGCGGGGCTGCCCACCCGAGGCGCCTTGGAAAGACGCATCGAAGGCAACGACAATAAAGCCTGCGGCCGCCATGGCTTCCCCATAGATGTTGCCTGCGGTCTGCTCCTTACAGGAGCCAATAGGATGGGCAGACACGACAGCTGGGTACTTTTTGGTCTTCCTAAAGTTCGGTGGGAAGTGAATGTTGGCGGCAGTGTCCCAGGCAATGTTTGGAATACTAACAGTCTCGATTGTAGACATGATGGCGATTGGTGACAATATGATGTTGAATGTGCCTTATACTTTCGTGGGTTTACGAGATGTGAATATTACATCCGACGATTCCTTGCAGCTTACTGACTGAAACGAGGTCCCGGGAAATGATGAATTCCAAAATATCACAGCCACTTACAATATCGGTCCTCGATTCCGATCCGAAGAAAACATCCAAACCCTCATCGCGAAACTACCGCCGAGAACGGTCATCGAAGCCCTCGTGGATTTCTTTTTTAGCGAAGTCAACTGGCATTACTGCATCCTCGAGAAGTTATATTTCGATGATTTACTCACGCGTTGGTCCCCTAATGAGGAAATGGGGGTTGTCAGCTATCTGGAAATCGCAGAACTTTCAATGGGATTAAGATACTTTCCTGCCCTCCTTTTCCAGGTCATCGTGTTAGCTTTGCAATTTCTACCAAGTGACTGGGGGATCCTCGCTCAATCATCATCGACGGGTATTGCAACTTCACAGACGTACAGCGACTTTGGGGACGAGCTATTATTTCTATTAGGAAGACCTGGGTTCACCCTCGCTGCAGTTCAAGCAGACTTTCTAAGGTCTTCGTGGCTGAAGAATTGTGGGCGAGGCATTGAAGCTTGGCACGCGGTTGGATATGCCATCAGGTCCGTATGATGCCCACGCACATCATCGACAATCACTGACTTACCTTTCAAGGCAAGCCCAGGAACTTGATTTGCATCGGCGAAAAGAAATCTATCAAACAAATCAAAAAAATCTTGAGAAGACCTTGAGTATGTTCTGGTACGGAGAGAACAAGAAACGTCTTTGGATCAATTTGTTTGTATGGGATAGGTGAGGGTGTCTTGAATATCATTACCTTGGCTATTTTTTGTTCGTCTGACTGGAATAGTTTTATGGCCATGATTCTCGGTGGCGAATCTGTTCCTGATGACATTGCATCGGCCACATATTGTGACCAACGCAGAGAGTCGAAGAGCCGTTTTGCAGGCCGCTTTTGAAACGATCGAATCCCAACAACGGTTATTCGCAGAGGCTAAAAAACATCACTATCATCTATTTGGTCTCGCATTTTACATCGTTGATGCTTCTTTCCTTGTCTCAATAATCACAATTATGTTTCCACCGCCGAGCCAGGAAGCCAAACAGAGGATTGAACACAACCTCCAGCAGGTCATTAAGAGCCTGTCCGATATGGAGGCTTCAAATGCAATAGCGAGATCCGGCTTGGATATTCTACAACGGTGCTATCACAAGGTCGAGAGCAAACTGCAGGGGCATATGCGAAAAAACTGTCCGATGCCGGATTTACGACGATCGTTTACGACGCGGCCTTCCAAGGTGCCAGTGGAGGTGAACCTCATTATCTAGAAGACCCAAACGAACGTGTGAGCGATGTTTATGCCGCAACGGATTTCCTCCAGAACATTGATTCCGTGGACTCCAATAAAATCGGTGTATTGGGTATATGCGCTGGAGGTGGCTACGCCGTAGCCGCTGCGAAGGGGGACCACCGACTGAAAGCTGTTGCTACAGTCAGCATAGTGAACATTAGAGACTCGGCACGCCTAGGCTGGGATGGAGATGAGGACGCATCTGAAAAAGTCGACTCTTTACGTGCAGCGGCGGCCCAGATCACCGCCGAGGCGGAAGGTGCTGAGCGTGCCAGTGCGCCATATGTGCCTCCTCAGCCTGTTGACAAGACCCCTCGAGACATGAAGGAGGCTAGTGACTATTATCTCACTCCACGGGCACAGCATCCCCGCGCTGGAAATAAGATGTTATATCTTAGCTTTCCCCGGGTGCTCACTTTCGACGTTTTCCACCTAGCGAACGTTTTTCTCAAACAACCTGTTCTTCTCATCGCTGGTTCGGACGCGGGATCCCTGTGGCATACCAATAAGTTGGATAAGCTAATTGACGGCGCGACTGAGAAGATCATCGTTCCAAAAGGAGCCCATATGGACTTTTATGACAACGAAGCTTATGTGGGGCCTGCTGTCAAGGATGTTGCTGAGTTTATGAAGAAACATTTGGTCTGAAATAAAAATGGGCTAGACCCACATTTGAGATCATTGCTGTGGCATGGCATGAGGACTTGGCCATGCTATATATTTCTCGATGCCAAAAGTATGGCATGGTTCAACTCTTCTTGTCCGAGACTCAAGTTCTGAAAATCGTCGAGGATCTCACCTTGGAAAGTTCCGATCAGCCATGTGTTATTTTGAATGATAGATCCTTGCCATACCCTGAGGTTCTTGTTTACCCTTAATCTCATAACGGGTCCATCGGGACATTTGCGTTGAAATGATTCGTTGGAACCTAAACTGGATGATTTGCTTTAATTAAGCAGCGACCGCTAAACCTAAACAGGCGCGGCGCACACTTGTTTTCGGCGTCTTCCGGGGCTGGACCCTCACGCTAGTAGTGATAGTTGTTTCAGATGGATTTAATCTCATTTCTTAGATGAAGACATACCTTAATATGGCCTGATCCACTAACGCGAAGGAGCAAGCCATGTGCAAATGTGCAAATTTGCACTTTAATTAATTCGGTCAAGGGGACCCTACATCATATTAATGGTCTCCCTCCTCCCCTCTTTCTTTTCCTTCTCATCTAATTCTTTTTTCCACCCATCTGCGACACTTCCACTCCTTTGTCAGTCTAGGATTTGAAATCCTGACGTCCGTTCATTCTTATTCAATCTTTTTGGGACATCTGCCGCCACAATCATTTCAAATTTGCCGTATCTTGGATATAGGCAACTTCCATCTCGTTGGCAGGATCAATTCATACAACAGAGAGCGCTATATATCTGAGAAAGTACGATCAACATGAGACATCAGCTGCTCACCTCGCTTAGTGCGACCGTTCTCGGGCTCACTGCAACCGTATCCGCCAGCCCGCTAATGAAGCACGATGATTCTTGCCCACCTGGGTACACTGTGAGCGTGTACTATGAGACCGTGGCTATTGCCCTCACTACGACACCAAGCCCGACGCCTGCGATGGCCGCAAGTGCTATAATCACCGATACTTCCATTGAAACACCGACTACTACGTACCACAATGCTGTATCGACTTCTTCTACCCTGACCTCTTCATCTGTGGCTTCGATCCCCGAGACCACTGTTCAAAACCAAGAGCAGGTTGCCAATGTTGCTACATCAACCTCGCATGCTGTCCAGGATCTGATCCCTTCCACCACGGTGGCCCCTGTGGAATCTTTTGCAACCTCATCTGCCTCTACTATTTCTACTATCAATGTAGAAACGTCTTCTTCTTCTTCGTCATCCTCCTCGTCGACATCCTCGTCGACATCCTCTTCGACTTCCTCTGCGTCTTCGTCTAAGGAAACTGCCGGGACAGCAACCTACTACGGCGGTAACCTCTCAGGTGGAACCTGCTCCTTTTCTGACTACACATTACCCAGTACTCTCTTTGGTACCGCACTGTCGATTGACCAATGGGACGACGCCGCCAACTGCGGCGCATGTGTTGCTGTCAAGGGGCCTAACGGAAAAACCATCAAAGCAATGGTAATTATGTCACTTTTCGGATTCATCTTAGCCGTCTGTGAAAGCTAACATATCCCACCTTTACAGATTGTCGATCAATGCCCCAGCTGCGCAACAAACCACTTTGACCTATTCGAGGATGCCTTTGGTGAGATAGCAGAGATATCGGCCGGCGTCATCGATATCGATTGGGAGTACACCTCCTGTGAATTGGATGGTGCTCTGAAGCTGCGCAATAAATCTGGATCATCACAATACTGGTTTTCCATGCAGGTCGTCAATGCTAATGAGCCCGTTTCTGCACTCGAAGCTAGTACCGATGGAGGTAGTACTTGGATTGCTACTACCCGTACATCTTACAACTACTTTGAGTACACTTCTGGCTTCGGTACGGATACTGTTGATGTGCGTGTGACAGGTAGTAGTGGAAACACAGTGATAGTGGAGAACGTCTCGTGCTCTACTACCTCCGAGATTATCGCGGACTCAAACCTGTAAACGGTTGGAGTCAAGTTCGTACCTTTATATGGCGCGAAGTGACCGAGATATTCTTTTTGATATGCCACAGTCGACAACAAGAGCGGTAATTGCTGTCAGGTTTAGTAAACTGAATTTCAACTGCAAGCATTACTCGAAGTATTATTCATTCAAAAGGTCCAATAGTGTTGATTTATGGGAGTTGATAGTTTAATGTAGTCTTAGCCTATCTAGTATTCCTCGGGCGTGAATATGGAAGAAAAGGGATAATATCAATCGTCCGCAACAGCGGGCCGATCCACGAAGTTTTCATGCCCGGTCAGCATTGCCGAATGAGAATCTGTCCAAAGATCAAAGCCCAAATCAGGACGCGTTGCAGGGTCAAGCATATAAACCAGCGTATGAATGAATTTTGCTTTCTTTCAATCCGTGGTCGGGGCGTCCGAACTGTAAAACAACAAACTCGATGATGCCAATGCCCGATAGCTCCACAAGGAATCTACCAATGGACTATCTTAGCGCTCTGAAAATTTCATGCTAATTATCTGATATGGCGTCTTGAATAAAGCATTTTAATCAAGTGAGTAATTATGTGGCATTCATTCCTTAGACAAAATCATGGCACATAGGGAGAGCAATTTTAACATATCTATTAGACGTTCCTAACAAGCCTGGCCGTGGCTGTTTACCTGTTTCATCTACACGCTATATACTCCCTGGACTTTGTTCTATCAACAGCAAAACTCCTTGTCAGTCTTTTGACGAGACATGCCGATGTGTTGCACCCCTGAAAATATCATGCCTAGTCATCGAGGGCTTTAATCCTTAAGGATTGAGTCTTCTTCACGATCTTCCTCAATGATGAGACTCAATTTGTTTTCGGATAGTAAATTTGACTGAGTGACTATCATGCTCTAATAGAACAAGAATATTGATGGTCTCATCCAGATTATGACGTCATGTGAGCTATAAAATAAAGACCAAAAAGTGTTTCATGGCAATGAAAATACATCAATTTCTGTACTGTGTTTAGCTGACGGTAGGTGGCATTCATGTATCCACTGTCCTGTTCTTCTTCTTGCCCCAGTCCAATCTCTCCCACTTCATCACCAACCCACAGACGAGACAGATGGCACCACTAGCCACCACTAAGTAAAATTCCCGCCCAATTACAGTAGCCACGGCATCAACTCCACGAGAAAGAACCTCGGGGTTGCCAGACTGCCATACTGCTGAGGATACCCCTGCAAGCGCTTCACGCAGGTCTTTTTCCGAATACCCTTCATCACCAAGGGCGTCCGCAAGCAGGTTGTATCCTACATTTTGGAAGATGGAGCCTGCAACCGCCAAAGCGATTGCAATGCCACCCATCTGTGCCATATTGAACATGACCGCACTGTCGATGCGATCGTGAGAATTCTTGTTTATGACATTCGAGACACCCACCCCGTGCTGGAACGAACAGCCAAGACCAACACCAATGAGTGCTTCAAAGCCTAGCACATGTGATTCGGAGACAGTGGGACTCAGTGTGCCGGCCATAGCGCCAGCACCCGCCACAGTTGCAATGCCCGCAACGATGTAGATCAGGTTGTAGCGACCAAAGACTGGGAGTAACCCACCAACAATAATTACTACAATGATAAAAACCACGACAAAGGGAAGGAGACGGACAGTTTGCTGGATCGAACTTTGGCCGCGAGCGAAAGCGAAGAAGAGCGGTGTGTAGTAGAGTGTGATGGCGTATGATGCGCCTGCACAGCCAGACGCGACCCATAACGGAAGCAAGTCAATCCGGGTGAGCAAGTGAACAGGAACAGCGCGCTGCTCCGGGGTCGTGCCAATACACCAACATTGCTGGATAATCCATCCAATCAAGGTCACTCCGAAAATCAACCAGACAGCAATAGACGCACCGGAGCCCCAGTCCCACACAGGACCGGAGAACTCCAATGCTAGGGCAAATAGTACTGGGGTCGCCATATTGAAAGCAATGCCAATGGGATCTATTGCCATTAATCGGGAGATTAAGGGAGTTTCGGGCCCTAGATATTTGCGAGGGAGGCAGAAAATGGCGGCCGCAAGACTGAGACCCACCCAAGGTAGGTTCATGTAGAAAGCCCACCGCCAGGTGGTGTGTTTGTTCGAAGCGAGAGCAGAACCGATAGGGCCTCCAATGACGAGACCAATGGCCCATACTGCGCTCAGAAGACCGAACAGACGAGGTGTCTCATCGGGCGTTGCGAAGACGGCAACAAATGTCAAATTGCTATCTTACTGTGAGCTCTAGGAGCCTCAAGACATCAAAGAAAGATCTTAAAATACCTTTGGTAAACAACAGCGCCACCTACGCCCATGACAATCCGTCCCACAATGACGGTAGGCAGATTGGAGGCAGCACCAGCTACCGCAGCACCAGCCATGAAGATTATAACATTAGCAATGTATATCCATTTCATGTCGACGCAGTACATGATCTTCCGGGATAGAGATAGAACAGAGAATACGGCGAGACTGAAGGACAGGCTGATCCATGAAAGGAGTTTAATGTTGCCAAAGGCCGAGTAAAGGGCGGGCTGAATATTGGCTACATTGCTCACATCATAACCTAATGATATGACATTGTCAGAATTATGGCCTGGAATGCACCTGCTCAGTTGGTGTCATGATCATGGGCGTTACAGACCGTTGATTAGAGTTGTCAGAATGAGGACTGCAAGAGTTCCCTTCCATTTCCATTCTGGAAAATGGCTGCGAGGATGAGTCTCCGGAGAGAAAGAAGTTTTCTCTTTTCCTGAAGTCGACATGTTGAGACTGAGCCTAAAAGACCGGTCTTAGTGTCTGAGTAGTCAATAAAAGCCAGCAAAAGACATTATGGGTAAAAGGCGAAGGGCTGGTCTTGTAGATAGATTTGACCTGATGGACCCCACGAGAGAGATGCGGGACATGCATAGTACGTTGCTTTCAGTGGTAATTCTAATGCAACATTGCAAGGATTCATACTGGTTATTTCGTACGGAGTCTGTTAACGAATTTAGACTCAACATCCTTATTACCCTTTTCAGTATGCCACTAGCCGCTCAAGGGCATTTTAGCCAGTGTGTTAGTCGCAAAAGTCATAGAAACATTTCATCTAACGTCAGCGTACAGATTTTTCCCCCAAGTTTATTTCCAGGTTGCCAAGTGAGGACACATGGCACCGTAGAGCCATTACACAGCCTCAAGTTATCTCAGTCAAGATGCTAATACAAATGTGAATTATGCTATACAAGTAGCCAAGAAACCTAGAGAACGCCTGATTAGGCGCTACGTACCGCCCACGAGCAGACAGGGGGACACGTGGCCGTCATAAGGCAGTATTAAGGCGTTCCATCACCCATTTTTGCAAGGATTGTGGGTCTGTTGTTAATCTACGCTAAATTTACAGTCGTAAATGGTTAATGCTTTACGAAAAAGTATTATCTTTTCATTGCCGGGCAATTACTGAATCTTCTGCTATGTCAATGTTGCGACAGCATATTGCTGATGAGTACACTCGCCAGTACTATTTTGGCCCCATTTGCTATTTTTATTAAGTTCCCTCTATATATTTCAAAATTTCCAGTAGGCTTGTCATCAAATTCTCAGTTCTATCTCATTTCGACCAGCTATCGCTTCTACGGCATCTCCCACAACATGTCCGAGTCAAAAACGCATTTAAATACCTGTACTAGTATGTCAACGTTGAATACCCTCCTCACGCAAAGCTGGTTAGTTCCAGCATTTGTGGCACTCGCTATCGCCGGGCGTCTGGCTCTCTCCGTCTATTTCACTTGGATTCATGCCTGTAAATCTCATCAAATAGGCTGTGAAGAGCCCCCTGTCTACGCCAGTCATGACCCTTTCGGTATTCTCACCCTTCTAGAGACACTGAAAGCCGCACAAAAGAAACTGCTCCCACAACTAGCTGAGAGGCGAATTGCTTTCTTATCCCGCCGGCATGATAGATACGTTTCTACCTTTCGTATCTGTCAGGCCGGTCGGGAGAACCTCTTGACGGCAGATCCTAAGAATATCCAAGCTATGTTGGCGTCTCAGTTCAAGGACTTTGGGTTAGGCGACATGCGTCGTAATGTAGCTAATCCAGTCATTGGTCATGGAATCGTGGGTATTCACACTTGGCGAAGTAGCGCTTCTCTCTCAGGGACAGAAAAGATTGGCTGACTGGACATAGTTTACTACCGATGGCAAAGACTGGTCCCTTTCCCGATCACTGCTACGGCCACAGTTCACTCGAGATCAAATGAGTAATCTCGAAAGCGAAGAACGTCATGTCCAGAATGCGTTGCGCGCCATTCCGATGCTATCTAACGGCTGGTCCTCCCCAGTCGATATTCAAGCCATCTTCTTTCGCCTTACCCTTGACTCGGCCACTGAATTCCTCTTTGGTAATAGCTGTGATAGCCAGATTGCTGCTATGCAAGTGAAATCTGCACAGGGATCCGATGATACTTTTCTCCATGGATTTGACCGGTGCATGTGGTATCTTGCAGAGCGACTCCGGTTCGAGCGGTTCTACTGGGTCATCTACAATAAGGAGTTTCGAAAGTGTATCAACATTGTGCACGCCTTCGTAGACCGGTTTGTTCACGCTGCTCTGAAGGAGAAGCATCAGTCGGAAGAGAAAGCCCAGAGCATTCAAGAGCATCCATCGCAGTATACGTTCCTGAAAGCCTTGACTGATACTACGAAAGACCCCATCAGGCTCCGCAATGAATCTCTGAACGTCCTTCTAGCAGGCCGTGACACAACGGCTTCTCTACTGAGCTGGTCAATCCTCATTCTCGCACGACAGCCCCACATTTTCGCAAGACTTCGCAGCGACATTCTAGAGCAATTCGGAACTTATGATCAACCGAGTAACATGGAATTTGGGTCTTTGAAATCATGCCAATACCTTCACAATTTTCTAAATGAAACCCTTCGTCTCTACCCGGTGGTACCCTTCAACCGCCGTTGCGCAACAAAGGATACTACACTTCCCCGTGGCGGCGGTAAAGATGGTACCTCTCCAATCTACATCCGCAAGGGCCAGGCAGTAATGTACAGTACCTATATGCTGCACCGTCGAAAGGATATCTGGGGCGAGGATGCTGAAATCTTCAATCCGGACCGGTGGATTCGCCGGAAGGTCACCTGGGAGTACATTCCGTTCAACGGGGGACCTAGAACGTGTATTGGCCAACAGTTTGCTTTGGTGAGGTCTAGCTATGTGTTGGTGAGACTTCTGCAGAAGTTTGACAAGATTGAGGATGTACACCCTGAGAGAGAGATTCGGCATGGTGTGTCGCTTACTTCTTGTCCAGCTGATGCAGTGACTTTGAGACTACATCAAGCAGGGATGGAGGCTTAAGTGACAAGAATAATACTAACATTGATAAGATTGATCGTTTGCTTTTTCACTTGTTTTTTTATTTTTTTTGTTGACTATGACACTTTTGAAGAGTGGAGTCTCTATGCGTTCTTTGAATTCTCATTCTGTCCTTCACTTTTCCGGATTTATCGTTTAGCCTTTGCTAATATAACGTCATATGCTGAAAAATCTAAGACCAGAGGTCCTGTAATGCACCAATCTATAGAAAAGGATATTCAAACGGAAGTGCACGGATGGCTCGGGAAGCTGCGACCTTGCTGCTCGTATCTCGGTTCTTTTCACTGTGGATGATTTGCCAGGAAATACCACAATGCCAATTTAGTGATATGAATCGTTGCATCACTTCGTCCTTAAGTGAGCGCTCTGAAAAAAGATATCACAACTTCTAGTAAATTCCGAAATGAGATGGTAGTTAACACGTCGAACAGTCGAATCTTTATTGTTGTCCGTTCAATTGATATGCGCACTAGTCATTGCCTTGTTATGTTAGAATGCGAAAACAATTTGCTCCAAAGGCTCACGCTATATTTCTTGGCCTAAAAACAAAGCCAAGCTAATCTGTTTCAAGATACGTCGTTGGCGATTCATCCCTTGGAATAGATAAACTTTCTTAACCCAAGATATGTAGGTTACGTATAATATCTGTCGAAGTCACATCATGGCCTCTGTTGCGTACATCAGCGCTTCTCCCTCTTGTTCTCTCCTTCTCCTTCTTCTATACGCCCTCACATATGACATATCGTTCTGTCTCCTGCTTTTCATCCACGGCGTCACCGCTGATTTTATCGTAAAGTACACGGAACGCCTAAGACGATCCAGTCGACAGTGCAGTCATGCTCAATATGATGAGGACTAAATACATACGTGGGATTTAGATGTGAATTCAAACAGAATGAATAAGATAAGGAAAACGTCACATGGCTTTACAGAAGCGAAGTTTGCGGAGAGTTCCGGTAAAAATGAAGGATAAAGTGCGAACTCAGAGAACACGCAAGGACTCCATTCTCTGGCACTATTATAAAACCCCGTACTATAATCAACGCTAACATCACTATAGGAGACGGACGAAGTGAAAGTGAGCATAATATCCAACAGAAAGGCGACGAAGGGGTGAAGGATTGCGATGAGATGCCAACGTCAAATTCGCGCCATGACATTATGTAAATCAATAGTTTGGTTGGCAATCAAATATTCTTACCTCATTGATTCAGAATTCTCCTGTTTAAATTTCATGCTAGGCAGTCTTAGCGTAATCCCGTTCCAGGGATAACATCTTTCGGGTTTACTTCCACTGCACAGATGTTTTCCGAGGGCCCACCAAGCGATTCCATCAATACGTGGGCGATTGTCTCCTACGCGCAGCTTTCGCACCGATCAACATCGCTATGACCAATCCTCTTCCAGTAACTAGATAGCCAGCCGTGGCTGGGTCATAGCTTTGTCGGTAGATGTGCGCGATGCTTAGCCAAAAGACGTAAGTAGCTTTGGCAGGCCTACTTGCATAGACCACTACCCCCATTTTCGGCCAGGTATTCGGAGTTTCTAGGCTTTCCTGGTGGGCAAAGCCTCTCACCCTAGTGACTCTCAGTCTGCTCCATAGGCAAATCAAGGTCAAATAACGAGGCCGACACCGCTTTAATTGAAATAGATCAACTTCAGGCCCTCGGGGCGAGTGATATAGTTATTTCCCAGCTTTCTACACAGACACACGCTTCCGTACTCTCGGGTCTTACAGACAGTCTCTTAATACGCCCTGATCCTATCGCAGTGGCTGGCATTGTACACTACACCACCTGAGCCCTTAGATCCCCATTTAGCATTACCTAGAAAGGCCTCCCAGACTAGGCCGACCGTGTCTTGCGAAGGCCTCATATACACTTAATTCGGCAGTTCACGCCGGTCAATTTCCACTAACCAAGCTTATTCCCCGATGCCTGAGCAAGATCGATAGTTTGCCCGTGGCAAGGCCTTAACAGGGACCATCGATTGCCACCAGTCTAATACCATTTCCATCTAGATTGCCCGTTCGTTTTCCTCCCAGGGGATGCCCGTGTTCTCGGTTGTTTCTATGTCAAAAAGAAGACCTGCACCAAAGATTGCCCGTGGATAGGTCTTAACGAGGTCTTCAGAGACGGCATCTTCGAAGTCTTAATGAGTTTGACCCTTTGCGAGGCCTCCTGAGCATCAAACGAGGTCTGTACGGTGTTAGCCTGACTGCTTCGTCTCATCTCGTACAATGCAATCCCAGACCGTATGCAGGCTCTTGGGTGTCCTGTCTTCCATTTAGGGGAACAGAGGACATCAATTTTACTGCTATTGAAAGAGTGCGAGTCAGATAAAAAGAAGTCGGATGATTTTCATACCCCGTTGTCCCCTAATTTTGGTGATATGCAGTCTCTACCTTACCGGGCCATACCGCACAATCACAACGGAGTCACTTTGGTCTCGCAACGGAGATTATGGCCAGATACCAAGGGAAAGTATAAATCCATCATCCCAATAACCTGGCGGTGATTGCTACGCAGTGCGAGCTCATTGAGGGCATACAGGCGGTGCTGTCCTTGGGTGTCGGAGAGGCACATATCATGATTTGACGTCGCTCCACCGGGGATATCGCGATTCCGGAGTAAAAGTTGCAAATACCCCAAGAGACTATATGCCACGCTAGCAAATAAGGATGCGAAGGGATAGGCATATATGAGAAATATGCTCCACGAAACAACCTATCTCTTCATACACCAAGCGTGTATCTCAGTCACCTCTCCTCCACCGCGATCCTCCTTAGCCTCGACCCGAAGATGGGAAGTTGCTAGCATTAGGATTCAAAACCGCAACGTGTTATTATAGAAGTGGGTAGAGCCCCGATCTGCTAGACCTCTCTTCGGCGCCAGCCGGCAGTCTACCCCTTGACCATCAGCTAACGGAATATAACAGTATGATGAAATCAAGTGGTCTCTAATGAGTACGGTGTGATGGGTGTGGTAAAGGATCGAGGTGGTGATTTGTTGTGTGCAGTATGGGATGAGAACGACTTGATCTGGCTCCGAACAGTTAATGACAATCGCGGGCCACCTGTGCGGCTTTGACGCCAATATAATACTCTATTCCTCTATTTCTAATATTCCCGTTGTTTTGTTGAATGAGAATGGCTTCGTTCTGATGAGTTGGCCGTCTAGGCTCGTAGCTGGGCTGAAGTAAGCGTCTTGGAGAGGGGCTGAGAGCACCTGTAAGCTGCAGTATATAGAGAAGTAATACATGAAGTATAATATCACCGGTCTGGAGCAAACAAAGCCAGCCAGCGTAGTCCACATGATCGAATGTTTGGCACTGATATTCAAGATGCAGACCCATGAAAATAACGCCTATGCGACCTCCGCTGGAATAGAAGTTCACCTGCGAGGTCCAATTGCAGCTTTCCGAGACTAGAAGACCCTTGTAGCGTCGCTTTCATGCGTGATAGATTCAGCTAAAGAGTATCGATCTTCATATACCATTTTAGGAAGAAATTCTTGAGTATGCCTGTTTCAAAACCCTAAGCCACGGAGTCATATGCATAGCCGGGGCCAAATTTTCATGTTTTCATACATGCCAGCATCGGCTCTTCCAATCAAATTTTCCGAGTGAACAGCCACGATCTCATCACATACGATAAATTCAAAATGAAAACAAAAGAGCTTTTTTTCAATTTCAGTACGCGCTATGATGTCATGTGGAGTAGTGTGATCAGGGCCGAGACCCTGTTGTTGTAGGGGCGCCCACGACCCCTTGTGACCTTCTTAGCAACACCTTTTAGTTTGTACAGAATGCTTTTCGTAATCAGAGCCGACTATACTGATCAACAAAACCATAAATAGGATCTTCACATATATTTTCTAACGACGATTTGACTCAAGCACAAGCACCTAATATCAGCACAATTTAATTTATGCCAAGCTTGACCGTACCCCGCATATCTTACTTGTAACTTTTCTGGAAGCCCGCACTTGCAGCGCCGACAAATGTCCATTTCTCCTAGGGACTCCACCCAGTACCTAAGAATATGTAACTAATTTTGGGCGGACGGGCTTGGTGACTCGGCTGTCCCTATAATGTAGATTGTGGCCTTCGGCAGGGTGAGACACTGCACAAGGCAATCTTACTGATCACATTTGAGCTCGTTCCCTGAGGCTATGGAGTCAACGGTACGGAATGCTCTCTCCTCGACCTATCTTGCATGTCGAAAGGCAGATGACGAGCATTTGCTGACTTCGCAAATAGGATTGTTCCCAAAGATTAAGTAGCAAATAACAAATTTAGTCGACTATCCGTACTTGCACAATCTGTTTTCCCCGCACGACGCAACCTCACGCTTCGCCAAAATCCGACTATACGGGACGCATTATAATAAAAGTAGCCCAGCCATCCGCACCACTGATAATAGACTAAGCCAGACTTGGTTGGAGCCGGTCGATCTACAAAAGACTAATGTCATAAGATCGTGGTGGTTTTGACACGTCCGAAATGAAGTTCCTAGAGAGCAGGGGGACCTGCCTCGTCCAATCGGTTAAATTTACTGACAGAACGAACCCCGATACGATTCTTCATGATCGTAAAAGATACGATCTAGATCTCAAGTGGCAAGGCCCAACTTGACTTTAGCTGATGAATGATCTCGTTTCCTTGATTTGAGCTTTGATCAAGTCCAACGAAACCAGATTCTTGTAAGATGGCGCTTCGTATTAAGGCAATGTGTTGAGGTGATTTGAGCCGACTGGTCTATAAGGTATAACAGCCTTGTGATCTCATAAGTCTGGGTATTTGTCTATATTTTAAAGCTATTTAAGAGAAACCCATTCTCCCCTTTCTTCAACTGATCCAACCAAGCTTCTAAGTCAATATCTACCACCGCACAAACTTTCAAACCTATACTCAGAATGCATTTCATGTCTGCCATCGTGTGTTTTGCTACAGTCAGCGCTGTCGCCGCGATCCCAACTGGTGGGACCGAATCCCAGTGTACCACGTCCCAGGCCAATAAATGCTGTTCTAGTCTCACGAATGGTATCTTGAACATCAACATTCTGCCTGCACTGTGTGTTCGTAAGTAGCCAAATTTCTAATCATCGAATAAAACTAATCATTCACAGCTTTGCTTGGTGCCTGCAATAATCAGGCAGCATGCTGCGAATCCAACGGAATTGTATTTCATCCTTGTCTTGGAAATGCAATCATCATCCTAACATTTTATAGGGGCTTTTGAACTGCCTGACTGTGCAGGTTTAAGTATAATTAGTATTATACTAGCGAGCCAGCAGGTTACAAGACCGACAATCCTTTATCTAGAAGGAAACCTGGGAGCTGGCAAATTAGCAGATCTAAACTGGAAATTGACACACTCTTTAAATATAGCATCACCATTCAACATTGTGAAAGTCTACGAATGAATTATTGAATAACGTTCTTATACCTCAAAATATTTTCCTTATGCCGTCCTCTATTCACTAGACTAGCATCGTAAGACCAGACCAGAACAATAATGCTCGTCTCAGGGGTTACCAAACTAGTCACATATTCTCCTTATGTACGATCAGGAACTCAGACCACATTAGGTACATCTAGGTATGGACGTTCGAGGATTTAATGTATAGCCATGTTAAGGCTCCGAATAGAATATAACTATTCGTGAATACTCATAAATATCTACGATTGTATATTTACCCTAAGTACATAGGCCTTAAATTCATATAACGAGGCATAATATACTAGACTTCTTACATCCATAGCGCAGGACTTCACAGAATAGTGACGATGTCGCCAAGAACACATATGCGGGAATGGTCATTTTGACAACCCGATGTCGATCTCTTTGAGCCTGTCAAGGCAGAAATGCTTTAGATGGGGTATGAAAGAGAGGTATAGTGCTATTGTATTGAGGTCGTACTGAGTATATTGAATTATGATAATATAATCGCCGATAAACCTTTAGGTCCCTCTTCAGGATTCTATATAACTGTGTGCCTTAGCTAATCCTATTGAGGGAGGCTACCATCCTCTTGCCGACTGTATTTTGGGTGATTTCTAGGGTTTGGGGTTTCCCTGGTTCTATTATGTGGTTATGCTGTGGCTGTGTTGCGGCCTATGCCGAGGTCTGGGATTTCCCGTTGGATAAGTGTTAGACCAGAATGTAGTTGAGTTGAACACTTGGGAGTGGGCCAGGCCACACTTCGGTGGATTCAGCCGCCACTCGCCGAAGTAGTGGGGCCTCCGAGTTGACGGATCCATATTTTTTTGCCAATTGTATTTTATTTTATTTTATTTTATTTTATTTTACTTTGTTTTATTTTATTTTATTTTATTTTATTTCGTTTTCGGACGTCGCATTTACCCCATTATTTCTTTGATTGATGCCGGACCCCGGTATTTTCTCCAGTTTCCGGTCATACCTCGTAGACGCGGCGCGGCTGTGGGGCCCCGGTATAAATGTTGGAGAACGAACACACACGGGCCATGCATAGGCGATTTTACACGCGGGTGAGTCACAGTCAAGGTGGCCTTCCTGGATTTTTATCTTACAAAATCGGGGCCCCTGGAGGATCTGACATAAAGTGGCGTTCGGCTAAAAGGCCTTGGTTCAAGCTAGTGAAGTATGCTCTCGTGAGATTGACGAACGACGATCTAATGTTTCATTCAAATCAGGTAGAAGTCTAATTTGGACGAATGAACAAGAATCCTCGGAAACATTTACTCTGTTTGTCCTTCCCATTTGCCAAAGTCGGGCTACTCAGTTCATCTCCCTGTCTTCGTGAAAGCGGGTCGGTGCCTCCTCTCAGAGTAGGGGGGCACTAAACCCAGAAGAATGTGAAAAAGTAATGTTAAAAAGGGTTCAATGCCATGGGAAAGGAGAGCCTAGACTTTCACATTGAGAGTGTCTTTCTACCAATTTCTTCCTTTCCTCCTTATCGCTTTACGCCCTTCCTCGCATCATGATTCAAGAAGAGCCAAGTGGCTCAATTCGGAGTCTGCCATGGCTTATCTGGGTTGTGGTCGTCTTTGGGTCAATTTCTTCCGCTGGCTTTAGATTTGACCAAGGATGGTGGGGAGCCCTAATGAGCTCTTCTCAATTTATTCAAAACTTCGGATCTTCCAACCCTGTCACTGAGGAATGGACTCTTTCCTCCCAACAGCAGTCATTAGGAACTGGCCTTAGTTACGTCGGGGTTATCATTGGAGTCTTTAGTGGTTCGCCGATCAATGAACGCCTTGGAAGAAGGAATACCTTGTATATCCAAAGTGCTGTGGTGACAATTGGCATTATCATCGAATCAACTGCTCAGAGACACTACGTCCAGTTTCTAATTGGCAAGCTTCTTGTCTACCTAGGTGGTGGGATTGCAACCAGTGTCATCCCTGCCTATCAAGGAGAATTTGCCCCGAAATCCATGCGTGGTTTGATGGTGGGAACATACAATGCTTTTCTTATGATCGGTGGCTTCCTCGCCACACTAATCGTCTATCTCAGCCAACATATATCTGGGGACTGGGCCTGGAGGTACGTTCCAGCCACAATGATTAACACTATTAAACGCTTAAATGACCTAGGGACTACTGAATCACGTAAAAGAAGCGGTCGCCCCCGGTAATGGAATAACTAAGCTCGCTAGTATATTCTTGTAATAAAATTACCAGTTACAGCTACGGTACCCGTGCTGGTTTAAGCTGAGCGCTAGTAAAAAACCTTTGGCTACCTATTGAGCTCCTACGTCGCTCCCTTTTCATTACTATAGCTGTTACCACTCCAGGCTGTAGCTATTAATGGCTGAGCGTAGTCCTAGTCACTGTAGCTATTAAGCTCCTACGTCGCTTCCTCGTTATTACCGTGACTATTGATGGCTAAGCGTAATTCAGCGTATAGAAACGATATTTTATGGGCTAACGGCTCTATATATAGGCCTGGTAGCAGCCGGGGAATTCTTAGAGCAACGGCATCCTCATGGGTACGTCGAGGTTGAGTAGTGGCCCGCAGGGCATACTGGCATTGCTGGCAGGTCTTTATGATGGCCCCCCCTCGCCGAGAAGGCTATAACTAATGCAGCGGCCACACCTACTTATAGGTACGGCACTATTTCGAAGGCATACGAAATCCAGGAGACACGATCTAGCAAGGGCAGGAATGTAATATGCAGCGGATTACTAGACTGTAAATAGCTACGATAGGCAGGCGGTCTAGGAATGACAGAGAAACGCGGCAGTAACCAGCTGAAAATGGCTGAAAACTGGCAGGATAGCCCGAAAGAGAAGGCGGAACCTTCAATGCCTGATTAACACCTAACCGTCGACACCTAACGTGCCTGATTCAAATTACACACCTTCCCCCTACCACACGCCCCCACCCGCGACTTCCTATTCTGTAATAGCTTCGCTAGCGCTCAGCTATTAGTTGACCCAATTGCATTTTTGATGCCGAATTCCGCTCCAATCTACCAACACGTACTATAGCGGAGTTTGCGGGGCTGCTTACAAACTTACGGTTCATCCAGGGATGAGAATGCTTGTCACTTGAACAGCTGTAGATGAAATTCCGCAGAACTCCGCAAATCTCATAAACTCCGCAGCTACGAATGTGGGTCCATTCATGCACTTACAAGGTCATTGGCTTCCTCCGAATTAATAGCACCCAGCCTGACTGACATAATACTCTCCAGAATCATTTAATACATCCTGTTTCCCGGGTCCAACAGATCTTCAAGTGACCAAATAAGTGTTTTGATCAACAACTTAAAAGTCGCAATGGCCCCAAAAGTTCTTGTCGTCCTTACCTCGCAGGCAATGATCCCGGCAAACAGCCACCCTAGCGGATGGTATCTAGTATTCATTCCCATTGCCCCTACTATGATATGCTCCATAGATGCGCTAATACCCTTATCACCAGCCTGAACTTGCCCACCCATTTTATATTCTGAATGGCAAGGTTGATCTAACCGTGACGTCTCCTAAAGGTGGAGAAGCACCCTTAGCCCCTGACTCTATCAAGCTCTCTCAGCACGATGCATTGAGCATGAAGTTCTTGAAAGAACAGAGACCTCTCTGGAGCAATACAGTCAAACTCCGCGAAATCATTCCCCGAGCAGATGAGTTCGGCGCGCTCTTTTATGTTGGGGGACATGGGCGTAAGTGCAATTCTCAGCTATAAATTGTTTGTGAGCGCACTAATGACGAAATCAGCGATGTTTGACTTGACCAACGATGCCGATAGCATTGCCCTGATCGAAAGATTTGTGGCTGCTCAGAAGCCTATCGCATCTGTCTGCCATGGCCCAGCTGTTCTTCTTAAGGCGAAGACCCCATCTGGTCAATCCATTATTGATGGTGTTAGAGTGACAGGTCTGTCAAATGCCGAGGAGGACGCTGTTGGTACAACTTCAGTTATGCCATTTCTATTAGAATCGGAACTGGATCGTATCTCTGGAAAATATGTAAAGGCAAAGCCTTTCAGCGAGAATGTTGTTGTGTCTCGATCGGCCGGTAACGGTTCGCTTATAATCACTGGTCAAAATCCGGCGAGTGCTGCGGCTGTTGGGGAGGAAATTCTTAAAGCCTTGAGCCTATGAATGAGGGCACATCCATAACATTTGGTATGCGTTAAATGTCAATCTCCAGAAAGGAATAGATCCTCATTTACATCGCATCGCGAGCTTAGCTCCGGGCTTCTTACGTCTACCTAAACGATTCATCATTTTGGCAAGTCAATCCTATTATAGGTCCTGAAGTTTGTGCTCTAGGTGATTATTAAGTCACAAGACAAGATTGCTATGTACGTTAGGAGCTTTACTAGGTTGATGTAATCATAGTCTAGACGCTATCATTACCTAAAGATTAGAGGCATGACGGTCCGCTGAATCAAAAATTACGTTCACTTGATCGCTCTTCCTAAATATGACTATTAAACATGACTTGAAAATTATTTTCCGCCTTGGTATGTAAAGTCTCCAATTTTTTCTCCGCGATGAAGGGTGGGCTCATTTCACCTAAATAATTATTTTCTACGGTCTTTCACGTGGAAGAAAACCCTTTAATAAATAAGATTTGCTGCGGTATTGTGCGACTTAAATATTTAGGATTTTTGGCCTTAGGCATCAAGGAAATATCGCCACGAATAGACATTCAGCAACCACGTCATCACATAACTCATCATGGTGACATTAATTATCCCATCTCTACCATCATCCTTGCCGTTCTATCGATCACATGGTTGTGGCAGGGCTTGTTCCTTGAATTATTTGGGATTGCGGCTGAATCCAAATACATGTCTACCAAGCCCTGCTAGTCATGACATCAACATTACCGTGATCAGTTAGTCATAGCAGCTGCGTGTTTTGTGGCTTTTATTGGAGAAGGAAAAAAAACAAGATCCACAACGCTGAAGATTCCAAAGAACAGGTCTGCTCAAGGAAACATTGCGCATGACCATAAAACCCAATGTGATCCCAAGGTACTTTGCAGGATAAGCTATGAATTTTCAAACTCGAATTCTTACTTGAAGACGTATCACTCTCCTGCCAATAGTGCTCATCGGTGCATTATGACTGAAAGAATGCATCAGTCAGGTGATAGCAATAACTCCCAGCCCTCACTCGAGCAACGTGTTGAATACACATTCGAAGACGAAGATCCCAGCAATCGCCCGCCGTATTCCCGGCCGTCGCTAGATGAATTTGGCGAGATCAAATGGGGCGCGCATTGCCAGTGTGGCAAGATTTCATACAAGTTGAGACGCGAGCGACCGTTGAAGGCCAAGTTTTGCCATTGTCGTGGGTGTCAAGTTATGCACGGCGCACCCTTCCAATGGGCAGCCATTTTCCCGAAGGAGGACGTGCGATTTGATAACGGAACGAACGGTCTGTCATTCTATGCAGCCCGAGAGAAAAATACAAAATATCAAACACCCACTAAAGTCTCTTGCGCTGTTTGTCGGACTCCCATCATGGATGAAGGGCGCAACATGTGCCTGTTGTTTCCGCAATTGATTGACTTTTCCAGTTCACCGGAGGAGCAACGGGAGCGGGTTGAAACGTTCTTACCATCGTAAGTCTTATTTATAGTTTCGTTAGGGCATTGTGACTAACAATGATGATAAGGTGCCACATCTTCTATAAATACAGGTTGCGGGATATTCATGATGGGATTCCTAAGTGGAGTGGGATTGACGAGGAAAGCGAACGTCTGGATGATAGTGGAAACCCCCTGGACGTTCCAAGCGAGTAACAGCTTTCCAGTGCAGTCTGAAATACTTTAATTCTCCAGTACCGGTGCTCTCATCTTCGAGTTTCCAGGTTACCTTTGATTTTTTCTTATCTAACGGATGATATTGTACTTAGGGGCCAAGACATAGCACGAATCCATCATTCATAGCTTAATCAGATACATGCGAGAGCTTGTTTCGGTTACGCGCAATCAACATCTCATGGCTATCTTAATTCAATATTAATTGATCTATTTCTGAATTCAACCGTGACGAAAAGATTAGAAAAAACACTCCCCCAGGTGGCGAAAGATGGAGACTTTCGGCAATGCCAGTCAACTTGTCATCGACCAACGTAATTCACAAGCGAGGGGAACACCCCAATCAAAACGCGTCAATTTATTAGACTATCCTTCTTCAAGTAACCACCATGCCACCAATTCGCTCTTAAAATTGTCAAAATCTAACAAATCAAGTGGAAGCCCATATATAATATTAGGCTGTGCTGTAATCCGTAAATAGGTAGGTTAAGTCAATCCACCTAGAGTTTGGCTGAAAAGAAACTCCCAGCGGGATGTCAACATGTGCATCTCCTGCAAAAGTCGGAACGGCATTCATGATGACCCCCCACCTATCCGTTGAAAGTATAGGAGCAGTACAATATTGTACAATGTCATAGCTGTTCAAGTATTTATCCAGTCGAGGTAAAACCGCGTTTAGCGCTTTGCACTCCATCTCAAATGGATCTGCTCGGCTGAGCCCAGGATTTTTAACATACCAACTGGAGTCTGACTCCACAGAAGCCGCTTCGTATAAGGCCGGTAGATTTGGATCGATCCCTATGGCGTCAGCAGCTTCATATGCCATGCGCTGACCGATCGCCAGGACTAGGGGCCGGCAGCGAGGGAGAATGTGGTGATTATATTCATCACTCCGGTGATTCCCAATTTTCTATGAAGATTTGTGAGCTCAGTCATGAGTCCTGCTTTGTGTTGCGCCAGCAGGCATTTAGGATTGGTGGGCGCGGGAATTTGTTATCGACTTAGGAGTAGCTCGGTGGCCAGGCCTGTAGCGAATCAATACGAGCGTACATCCAATGTTGAGGTAAACATATGAATAAACAAGACCAATACTTCTCCTTCGGCAATGCCAGTAGCTCGAGTCAAAGACTTTGAAAATGTTTAGTCATGCACAGAAAACTTCCACAAATTGATCGTACCTCGAACGCTGCTATCTGATTATGTGAATACATTCCTTGTGCACCACTTCGTTCAATCAAGTTGGCTAGACTTTTCTGACCATTATGAAAAAAATACATTCTTGGTAATTACCGCAGGTCCATGTCTAGCGCCAGGGTGAAGCGAGCAGAGCTATTGCTGTATAAATGAGTAATCCAGTTGGAAAATGGTTCCATGATAGCAATCTGCGCTATAGTATACAAAATTGGAAGCTGCTGGTTCCGAAAGGCAATGATCGGTGAACGCTCGCCGTGCATTCCCTGCTGGACTGTCTGACCTTGGCTATACCTGCCCGTAATTAAAACAGCAGCCTTGAGAAAAAGAATAACCCACAGAGTCAGAGCGAGTGCACCTGTACCCAGAGGGTTGATGGCAGACAAGTATTGGTCGCGCATATTCATGGGCCTTGCAAGGTCGCCGAGGAGTGCAGTTGCTGGGAGCTGGACGTGATCGAATGAAGTCAGGCCATGGTCGAGCATCTTTCCGCCTGTGATGGAAGGTAGCAGCCTAGATAACATTTTTAGATATAAAGTACTAATTTTAATTATTAATATAATACTAATTATATATCCTCAAATTCTTAGGTGCCCTAGGTTGCATTGCCCCTTAGAGTGGTGAGCTACATATTACCTGCCAATCTTGGAGCATGTGCTTCCTCTGGGGATCTCCAAAGCTGGGAAGTGCGACTTATGCCAATTTCCACCCTCTCTTCGATCCTTTCTTCTGTCGTATCGCTACATACGTATCTTCTTTTGGTTTCTTTCTTCAGTCTATGCGGAGCTTGACCCTTCCAACACTGTCAAGGGCTTTGACCCCTTCTTTTGACCTTCCAGTCACAGATTTATCAATTTTCTTTCTCTCTCTTCCATTCCAGTATTCTACATTAGGACGTAGATTCAATACATTTGTATCTACTAGTAGACGCAGGAACCTTCTTGAAACCTTCCAAAACTACCTATCAATATTATATTAACAAGTACGCATCGGGCCATAAGGATCGATACAAATATTTAGTAGATGCCTTTTATGTCCACTATGCAACTTCATGATAATGATTTCACTATCATTGAATACACGATTAATAAGATTTTGAGTGCTTCAAAGCGACTATGCCACATTGCGATTCTTTCCAAGGTAAAAAGCAGCATTGAAAGATGATTGCTTCCTCTACGAATAAAGGTATGAAAGAAAGTAGTAGGGACTGTGAGGAGCGTTATGGAGAGAAAAATCTTGATGAAGGGTAAAAATGGTCTTGTGTTCGCGTCACGGTATAGACTCGGGTTTGTCGAGTACTACAGCAAAATTCTCAAAATGAACTGCCCCTTGCTAGTACTAGGTGATGGGCTTGTAAACATTAATGTCTGAGGTTGAGAAATCATACAAGACTAAACAAAAGTTCCCCCAAGGTTCCACCCATAATGACTAGTTAGTTAACGGGGTTGTAAATACTTTCTTCAGTTACGGGTACTGTGAATATTACTAGTTTCGTAGTGGTAAAGACAGACACACCCCCTTTATTACGCTGGCAGTGACTATAGGGGTACTAATTTAGGATTCTACTGCATGATTATTGGTTGACCATACCAGTAACGTTCTGTCCTGCACGGTTCCTCTAGTACTATGAGACGGTTCAAGAAGACATACTCCTAATGTACCCCTATTGATTCTCCCACCATCTTCTAAAAGCTACCAATTGTATGGTTATGGGTGGTTTATTCATTGCCAGTCCGACCCGCATGTTGTCAGGCGTGCTGCCATCGATTCCCCACTTCGTTAACTAGCCCCCTCAAGGTGATTGGCTACTTGATATGCGGGCGGTGACGGACGCTGTTCGCTCAACGTACGACGTACTCCGTTTGCCCCCGTACATTTATCCTGACCTCCTATATCTCCCTCGCTTCGAACTGGTTAGGTCAGTGAGCCACATTTCATACCAAGTGTAATTATGCTTGCTAATTCGCATTCACCACCGCCCCCACCCGAGGACCAACAGCCGCCTTGAAGAGAATCCGAAAAGGGATCGCAACTGTTGGGAATGTATGTACTCACCTATAGGTAATTTCTATCATTTGATATAGTCGTCTTAACCTGAATTCAATATAGGTAAACATCGTAAGGTTCGCTGTCAATATGTCTCCGATGGCGATTCCAGTTGTCGCGAATGTCTGGCCAGGGGAACGGTTTGTCTCAGCCAAGATTTCTCAGAACCTGAAAATCTACGCGAATCAGACCGCGCATCACTCAATGATCGGCTAGGCCGCGTAGAATCCCTCCTAGAGAAAGTTCTGCGGCGATTGGATAACCTTGGTGAGAAACGAGAGCCGCCAATGTCACCACCAATAGGGACCGTTGATAGCAGCAATCCGAGCTCCGGCACAGCTATTACACCTGCCAATGAAAATGCCCCTGTTTTACCACTTTTCGACAATGGAGTGGTATGGATTACCCATTTTGTTTCGCATAGAAATTTCACGCTAATATTAAAATAGTTAGGCTTTCAACCATCAGACGCCTCTCCGCCGAGTATCACGCTTTATGGCACGATGAATCACGAGTGGGAGAAACTCCGTCACGGACTCTTAGCCCTCCTACCGTCATATAGTACTTTGAAAAGACTAGCGGCCAATAGCTGCTGGTGGCTGGTCCGAGCCCAATGCTTTCAAGACTACGAAGAATCACTTCTTCCGTATTCACTAGCTTCTTTGTCAAACCACCACCCTGTTGTCATCGCCAAGGCTCTATTGTGGGTGGTCATCTGCCTACAGAACTCCCACGGGGATTCGCCGTTGATTCATTGGAGCTTCCCTGCCCTCCAGCAGAACTCATCACATAATGCGTCAACATTGTCGCACATTCGATTAGTTCTGATGAGACGTTGATAAGTGGCATTGACGGACTAGAATGCTTAGTTCTCCAAGGAATATTCTACAACAACGACGGGAAACTACGAAGTGCCTGGCTATCTTATCGACGTGCTCTAAACGTTGGTCAAATCATCGGACTTCATCTTCTTGCCCTAAAGAGGGAGCATGATTCCGAATCTGTATCGCGGGTAAGGCATATATGGAATCACATAATACATGCAGATCGGTATCTTTCCTTGATCTAGGAATGTATCATGGCATTACCGATGTGGCGTTGGATTCGCAGCGCGTGCCTAGCGAGACAACTTCTTACTCTATGGATATCCTTTGTCGCATTGCTGGATCAATAATCGAACGAAATCAAAAATTTACCACAGTCACTCCCCTAATGGCGAGAATGACGCAGACCATCGATTCAGAGCTTATGTCGGTCGATCCTCCAGAAGTAGCAGAAGAAACCAGTATTCCTAGCTCAGGAAAGTCTATACAACGAGCTTGGGGGTATAATAAACTCATGGCGAGGCTATGGTATTATCAACTTATGGCATGGCTACATCTGCCACTTCTTCTCGAGTCTGGAACCCATAGGCGGTACGACTACAGCAGGCAAAGTTGCCTCGAGGCATCCCGGCACATGAGTACACGTTATATTTCCATGCGCCGGCTGACTCCTGAAAGTTTCTGCTGCAAATCGCTTGATTTCCAGGCTTTTACTGCGGCTGTCACTCTTATGATCAATATAATAAGACCAGGTGGTCGGCCCCAGTCCAGTCCGAACGATTGGCGCGCTGTTGAAAACGTCATGGAGACTCTGGAGAAATTGGCAGAGGGACAACCACCTGACAAGGTGGCAACTCGAGGATTTAGTGTGCTACGCACATTGAAGAATGTTGCTAAGGGCGAGAGACCATCACAATCTGCCAACTCGGCAGGGCTCTCGACTGAAGATCGCCAGTCCAACCGCATCAAAGTCGACATTCCGTATTTCGGTACTATTTTTCTTGATTGTGGTATTCAAGGTGCAGACAAGCAATGTCCTGATTCCCTTCCAGCACAACTGCCTCGGCCATCATTTAATATGGCCCTTAGCGAAAGTTCCTTGCAAGCAGAAATCCTTCCTTATTCGAGCACTACACAGGGTCCACTCACGGATGGAGCGCCTTGGCCTTGGCCAGAGATTCGCATGGAAACGGAAACCGCTGATATTGGGACTTTTGACCCGGAATTGACGACACTGCCTCCGTTCCTATCGGAGTTTAGAGACAATTGGGACCTAGGTTTGTAAATCCTAGAAGTATCTGAGTGAGTGGTAAAGATATAAACAGAACAGTAGGCGAAAACATAAAACATCGTCAGAACTCACTTGCATATGGCAGAACCCTTTGCACTCACCTCATTTGTTACCATCACGTGGCTCAGAGTACCTTATTTAGCTGTCACGGCCGCCTAGACTTAATGTCAGCGCGCTCACACAATTCATTCTAGCTAAGAGCCATGACCAGCCTTCCTTATTGACGATATAATTCGTTGGGTAAAACTTCAACTACAGCAGGAAGCTCTATTTGGAATTCTAATAGCTATATGCTACCTAAAGTAAGGGATAAGCTAAAAGAATGGAAGCATCTATCTATTCCTCTGAGTATTTGTTTTCTATTCAGTAATTAAGTGATACAGTGTCACTGTGAGGGATCTGAGGGTGCTTGTTACATCGTTATTGCATGAGATATTGGTATACTTCCTTTTATAGACGAACAGAGCCGTTCTCTGATCACAGGGAGCAAATGCATTCATTCAGTGAGGCGATAAAAACATGGCGTGGTTCCTCTTTCTTGAAAGGTGCATTGGTCCATTCCAAAGCCGTATGGAATAAGATTACTTGGTCTACTTTCCCCCCGAACTACCTTAACCACTCTATTCGCGTAGAGTTATTGGATCACCATAACCATTGATCTCCTATATTATCTGAATCGGTACCTCTCATCCATATTCACTTCTACCGCAGTACAGAAAATGCTAATGTAACGTAGACCTTCCCATTCATCAATTAGGCTCTATCAAATTCTACCCGATCAAAATGCGCTACGCGAGTCTCGCTCTCGGGTTACTACTTCCTCTCACGACGTCCGCTGTGGAAGTATGGCTGGATGAAAAAAAGGTTGACACTTCTCCACCTGGTGATCACTGAAACCAACGAATGCATTGCTGTGGACTATGAATGCTGGCGGGAAGCAGATACATTTGACATCCGAGGTTTAAAGGAGGGTCAACGGTTTGGTGTCTATGATGACACGAAATGCACAGATGAATACGCCCGTTATGTAGAGGATGGCTTTTATGTCGCTTGTAGTGATGGGTGCAAAGCTGTCTATTTATTCAGCTCTTGAAATGAATGAGAGGCATATTTAGTCTACTAGACAAAGGAAACTAAAAATATGACTTTAGTATTGTTGAAAGAGAATTTCATTGCCTTGATATGGGACTTAGTCTAGACTTTCTTGGGTTTATTATATTATTAGGTTCTATAGGAATGATTAAGTAAAGTAAGTCAAGTAAGTACTACCAGCTAGGTCTTCTACTAAGACAATAGTACTATATTTATACCACCTAGTATAATCCTACTAGATCCACCTTCAGTCCTTGGTACTATTGTTAAGGAAGTATAATAGCTGGGCGAGAAGGTAAGAATAATAGTATTGGGTAGAATACTGCAAAACTAATTCTTAAAGAGGGAAAGAGGAGAGTCTGCTTCCTCTTCTAGATAAAATGTGGTTCCTAGGTGATTCGCATGCTTATCGGAAAGGTAAGTCCGCCATACATGGCTACCTAACTCCATGCCTCATCACTAAGGCATTCTTATCTTGTATAGCATAATGGTAGCGAAGAGAAACATTCAATCCATAAATTTAAATTTCATAAATGTTTCAGGTACTATGAGTATTGAATCAAGAGGTCTCTTACTAATATTTTCATCTACGTTAGTCTCAAAACGCCTTAGCAATTACCCTTCCAACCTCGTCTACTACTGGCTTTATCATCATTGAGAAGTGATTGGCGTCAATGACCTCGAAACAGAAACTTGCCTGGTCAAGCAGTTGATCCCATCCATTCTGACCGAAATTCTTTCTCTCATCTAAAAGCCAATCCATGACTTTAGGATCTCCTTGCCCACGGATCGGCCGTGGATCGTCAGGATTTTGACACACCCCTTGTCGGGCCCAGATAAACAGAACTGTAAGCATTTTGACTGAATCCCCACGCAATTTCTCTGGACGATACGTATCAAGGTTGCGGATCATGGCCTCAAAATGCGGGATGAGATAAGGCGGTGATTCTTTGCGACCTGGCCCTCGGTCTCCAAGCACATGAATCGAGTCAAAGAATCGAAACAGTTTAGATGGAATCGGCTCCAATGCGACTGGGCATGGTGAATCGATAAGGATCAGTTTGTTGACTACCTCGCCAGCGGCGCGTAGCTGCACTGCGGCTTCGTATGCAAGCACACCACCAGCTGACCATCCGCCCAGATTGTAAGGGCCTTTAGGTTGACGGCGACGTACTTCATTGAGGTAAATAGTCACAACTCCAGGAATACCACACATCCAATCTTCTGGCGTTTTTAGATATGGACAACCAAGCGAGTACACGCAGACTTGGTCTGAAATTGGAGGTATGGGGGCGTAGGAGGTTGCAGAGCCTGATCCGTCCGGAAAGAAGAAGATCGTTTCTGAGGACCTTTTAGGGTTACCCTGTAATAGATACGATGGAGAATTGAGAACTGAAGCGAGAGTCGAGGGTGGGTTCGAAACTGGCTCCACCGTCTGCACAATCTTCAAAGCCCGCAAGAGCTCACAGATCGATCCACAATGCGCCATAAGATCTTCTGAGATTTCAATGTCTTCGAAATTCTCTCTGATTGCCGCAGTGATTGATAGGATACTCAAAGAGTCAAGGCCCATGTCATTCAGATGAGTGTCGTCTTTGATCGTGGTTGCATCTACTCCAAGTTCCTGAGCTATCACACCACGAATCCACTCAATAGCCCCACTGGTATGGCTTGAATGAAAGGTCAACTGAGGTTGCATACATGACTCGCTGTTCTTTTCTTGTGATGGGGTATCTGCACCTTTTGTGCTGGAGTTACTGGTCGATGGTGCCCCAATAAGCTCCCTTAGCTGCGCTAAATCTTCAATGTCCAGGAGAAAGTTCGAGTCAAGATCAACACCTAGTTCTTCACGAAGGCGCGAAGTAATTGTCAAAGAAAGGAGGGAGTCGATTCCCAGATCAGCAAATGGAATACCCTCATTCAAAGTGGTCAGCTTGACTCCACACTCGTTTGCGACAATGTTGAGACATTTATCAAGGAAACCTGTGTCTTCAAAAGCATGACCTCGTGAGGTTGAACTCAAGTCCGGACGTATAGCCTCCACCAATGAATCGTTCTTCTTCTGCAAAGGCCCGAGCTTGGGCGCGATCTTGGATGAGGCTGGTAAAAGGAAATCCAACACCCGACGCGGAACACACTGGAATTTGACACCCGACGCCAATCCCACAATACGTTCATCATAAATAATGTACACATCTCCTTCTCGGATATCTCCTTCTCCAGAGCGCTCCATGCGAACATATGTGCGATATGCTTTGGCATGTTCAATTGGCTCGGCGAAACGTAGAGATTCCCATCCATGTGAAATATACACATCTTTGTCCGAGTTAAATTCGTTGCTGTTGACAATGAAGCCAGAGATGTGGCACAAATTGTCAATCCAACGTGGATCCATGTAAAAGTCTCTCGCTTCTTCCTTAGGTGTCTTGAAAGAGATTTGTGCTACTCCTTCAAATTTGCCCGAGTCGACATATACTTGGTCCATGCCGCGATAAGTGTTACCGTAATCCACAAGTGAGGCGAACAATCTGTAGGCCAATCTGGATTGAATACGATGGATGCTGGAATTCATGGGATCTTCCAGTCGTTTAATCGCCTCGAGAACCAAGGGAGCCTTGCGATTCCATTTTTGCGCCCATTTTCTCCGACTGCCATATTTAACAATGCAAGTGGCGTGGATAACTGCACCCTCAGAGGATTTGAACTGAACTCGGATCTGATTGCCGTCTTTCACTGCTATGATCTCCAGATTTTGAGGGATTTGAGGATCTGTATGAAGAATAACGGGTTTTGGCACACTCATTGATGAGATATTGATACCAATTGGCTCCACGTCCGCGTGATTTTGACGACGAAATCTTTCAGCGAGGGTCATGCAAATTTCCGCATATAAGACCTAAAATAAATGAGGAATTTGTTATCATCCATGCATATATATGAGAGTAGTCATAGGTTATTAGACAGTCATACCGATGGACATAGCCCTGCACCATTAACCAGATGCCCAAATATGAGCTCGCGAAGGCGCGGGTGAGAAAGGTCTGTTCTTGCGACTAGTGTTATTTTGTCGTGATCTTGTTTCTCTCGCATTATTTTATGAACAGTCAATGTGTATAAGTCAGGCTCGGGCTGCCCAGTAAGGCTTTTGACCGTAGGTCCTCCTTTGGTGAGAGCCCAGTCATTCTCGTAGGCAATCCAATAGCTATTGCGCACTGTCAGCACTATTATATAGTACATTCCCATAGGCCAGTCAGCTACTCACTTGTTTAAATCAAACGAATATGCTGGAAGTTCCAACAACTCATTGCGCTTCTCAAACTCCCGATGGTATTCATTCCAGTCAATATTGAAACCTTCATTGCTTAATCTTGCAAGAGTCGTGGACAGTGTATGCCATGCATCTTCACCCTCTTTCAGTGACGGCAGAGCATTGTGTTCTGGCCCTAAAATAGCCTTGAGCAACCCGCAGCAAATAGAATGATTTCCAACTTCAATCCATGCAGTCTTATCGTCAATGACAAGATCTTGTTTGGCAGAAATGATTGCTTCATGAAATTTGACCGTGTTACGCATATGGCGAGCAAAGTAGCTAGGTTTAAAATCACTCTCTTGAGATAGGCGACCAAGTACTGACGATATATATTTGACTTTGGGTGGTGCGAAGTCAACCAATTGTGAAACAGCATTTTCAAACTCATCGACAATTGGATTCATTTGGTCGGAGTGAAAGGCGTAAGGTACGTCCAAAATCTTCGTCCTAAATCCTTGATTCTTTAGTAATCGGGAAATTTCATCGACCTTTTCTCGCGGTCCTGCTAACACAGTTTCATCGGCACTGTTCTCACACGCGACACTAACTCCATCTCCCTGGTCGATAATTGCCCGTATTTTAGACGCGTTGGCTCCTTTGATAGCAAGCATTATGTGTGTATCTTTTTGACAATGCTTTACAATGAGTTGAGCTCTAGTTCCCGTGGCTCTTAGAACCTCCTCTGGAGAGATGACACCGGCTGCATAAAGTGCAGGGTACTCGCCCAGACTATGCCCAATGACAGCATCGGGTTTGAGCCCCCAGGAAAACAACAGATCGCTGATAGCCATTTGAAATGTGACCATGCAGAGCTGAGTAGAAACGGGGCTACCAATTTCATTCTGAGGTGATGATCCAACGATCATCCCCAGAAAGGACTCAAATCCAAGTGAGAGGGCCATTTCATGGAGAAAGTGGATCCTTTGGCGGAAGAAGGTTGACGTCTCAAATAGCCCTTTGCCAAGCTCTCTGTATTGCTTTCCTTGGCCACTGAAAACAAAAGCAAGTTTTCCTGCTTGGACAGGCTTGAAATTCTGGGTGGCCGCCTGTCGAAGCCCATCCTGCAAATCTGCCATGTCGGATCCTGCAATAGCGAATCGGTGTGAGTGAGACATTCTGCGGGCAGTGGTTGTGTAGGATAAATCAGATAAACGTGTTTGAGGATTGTGGGCCATGTAATCAGCCAATTTGAGCAGACTCGCCTGAAGAGAGCTGAGAGTCTTGCCGGTGACTTGCAGTACCAATGTCTTCCGAGGATCAACTTGAAGGCCACGTGTAATCCTGGGGGCTTCCTGAAGTAGCATTGCCTGTAAATCCAGATTTAGCCGCAAACGAGGCTGGAAGGGTAGAAGCTCAATATTACTCACCGTATTCCCCCCAGCAGCGGAGAAATTGTTCAGAAAGGCTAGGCGATAACCGCCGTCAGATCTTCTTTGCCATGGTATCTGACCCTTTGGGATTCGAATATTTCGCTCTGCCAAATCAGAGGGAAACCTTTTGTTCATAACACCACTTTGAATCCCAACGTGGGGAGGAATGGCTTCGTGCTGAAGCATTTTGAGGACTTTCACTAAAGACATCACTCCAGCCGCAGCCTCTGCATGACCGAAATTGGCCTTCACAGTTCCTACATACAGAGGCTTTGGGCGGACAGGTGCATCTAGAGGTGCGAAGACTTGGGTCACTGACAGCATCTCATGATAGTCGCCAGCTTGTGTACCGGTTCCGTGCATCTCGATGTACTCAACTTCATGCGCGTGTACACCCGCGCTGTCCAAAATCTTTTGGCACAAAAACGCTTGAGCCTCGTGGTGGGGTCGTGTAATAGATGTTGCCTGTGCAGAGTGGTTGGTTCGCGAGCCGAGTATGACTCCGTAAACGTGATCATTGTCCGCGATTGCATCTGGAAGCCTCTTCAGGACTAAAGATGCCACACCCTCTGCTCGACAATATCCATCTGCAGCCTCATCAAATGCTTTACACTGCCCAGTGGTTGAGAGAAAATGACCCCGACTCAATCCTGTAAAGATATCAGGGTTTGTCAAAATATTGACACCGCCAGCGATCGCTGTATCACATTCACCGTTGGACAAGGATGTGCAAGCCACTTGAATTGCTGCAAAACTTGAACTACAAGCGGTATCAACGCTGTAGCTTGGTCCAGAAAATTTGAAATGGTAGTTGATACGTCCAGGTGTGAAAGCACGAATGCCGCCCGGAATGAAGTAAGTATCAATATTTTGGGATGAGTTTATTTCCCGCCAATCATCGCTAGCTTGTCCATAGAAGGTGCCAATACGATCATTCGCCGTTGATGGCGTCCTTCCCGCCACAATACCCGCCATCTCAATGGCTTCGTACGCTGTGATAAGGCCCAGTCGTTGAACAGGATCCATTTGCATAGCCTCACGGGGAGAAACATGAAAAAACTTGTTGTCAAATAGCCCCGGCTCATCCAAAAAGCATCCAAACTGCGTTTTCATTGTGTTGCGAATCTTTCCAGTGGGATCGTAATGGGTGTTTGCATCGAATCTATCCGGTGGGATTTGCTTGTGGACATCCCGACCGTCTCGTAGTACCTCCCAGAACTCTTCGGCGTCCTGCGCAGACGGAAATCGCCCTGAGAAGCCTACGATAGCAACTCTCTCATCTTCTGAATTTCTTGGTGACTCAACGGGTCGATTGAATTCACACAGTGCTATCGCTGAACGAAACGCAAATTTGGGAGGACGGAAGTCATCTTGGTGCATAGACTTGAAAATGAAAACATTGTTCCAGGCAGTCTGACTGCAGGCTTTGGAGACAACATCAAACAATGTGTCAGTGTCCGTTTTTGGAGGCGAGGAACTGGTCAAAAGTTCATGGACTAGCTGGACTGCGTCGACATGATTGGAAAATGTGCCAACGACTGAGTGGATTGGGGCTATTTGACCGCATTGGTTGAAGGCTAGCGACGATATTGGCGAACATATCATTTCAAGCGTATGTTTGGACAGAGTTGAGACATGGCTGTGTAAAGTACTGGATCGTGCTAGCAGTGTCGATGCAAGCTTCCGCTGAAGGCTCAGTCTCAAGACCATCACAGCAAAGCTTGGTCCAAACTCTGCCAACTGGTTGGCTGTTTTCGATAGTGCCAATGATGCTGCAAGCAGGTATTGTTTCTCGCTTGATACGGAAATCACGAGATGATTGCTTCCGGACCATATATATTGGTGGTGGTGGCAATATCTACAAATGTCAGAGATTAAGACAATCCAAATTACCGAGATGCTAGTTGGGAACGCACTGCAGAATGATCGCAATATGGCACAGGTATTGCAATGTCTCTTTCATCAGGTCACATGGATTTCGGGACACATTTTCGATAAGATCGTTAAATGAATAAAAGGATGGTAGCTGGTCTCTAGTTGATGAAGACTGCTGACCGATATCGAGTCGGAGAGCATTGAAGGTCTTTTTGAAGAAAAACCCCAGGCTGGGATTATCATGGACTCGGGATAACTGTCTCAAAGTGGAGAGATAGTCAATTTCCTCATCATCGAGCAAAATAAGATCGAAGTCTGGCATCTTAAATGGAGATTGAAATCGAAAGTTGGAATGAGATCTACAAAAGAGGAAGAAAAAGGGTGAATTCTAACTGACACGAGGAGCAGGGCAAGAAACTCGCTTTATTTGACTAGGGCTGTTATCTGCTATCGAATGCTGCTGCTTACGACCGCAAGTGTTGGATTGACGGGATAATCGATGATTGATTACGTTTATCTAGTCAACGATGACGATCCTGCATATCAGGTCATCTTTGTCACAGAGACCTAGGGCCGATTCTGGATAAATTAGCGATGTCCGAGTATTGTGCACAGGTCATCATCTATGCATGATCATACGATCGATCACTATGATAATTGGTTACGAGAGAGAATCTAGCTTTCCACTGTATTTGGCTTTGTGAGTCCTAGTTGGAGATACTCAGAGATAAATTGATCACGGGTAAATCAGTGTAGTACAGTCTCAATGACAGCATTTTACTTCGTGTCAAGGCAGCCATACTCAGCTATGAACACTGCGACAGGGTGTGTCTAAATGCATCGCTTTGAGTACTATTACGAGTTAGCCACATCTATTCCCTCTTTCCCCAAGTCTTTGCTACAATTAATAGAAGAATTATGCCTGGAACAAATCAAGAGAAAAAAATAATAAGAACTTAATAGCAGATCCATATGTATCGAGAAGAGAATTTGAATATTGGGCTGTAGCACAACAGACTCGCGGAAGTCACAGAAACAACGATCGGTCATCAGTCCCAGTCAGCATGACATGTGACTCCACCTGCAGGCGAAGAATCAGATACTTTCGCTCTGTGAGACCATGGGATCAGCTTATTGCCGTAAACAGTTGATTACTTCGTGCGCCCTCTAGCATGCCGGTCTCGCACCCAGCAATTGCAACCTTGGGGTTTCCTCCGCATGCGGAACTCTGTTTTTTCGGAACTCTATTCATGCTGCGTCTTTAAGAACTTTTTCGAGAAATAAGGTGTGCATTCCTTCAAGTTGAGCTATTTGTATAGCATAACTAATTTACGTCCAATAATCTAGGAAGTTTTTATATCAAAGTTGGTTTCATACTCAGTACTTACATGCGCATGAGCTGCCTCCCTGTCGTCAATCGCATATAAGTACAAACCGACCATTGCCAAAGCCTAGATGGTGAACAAACTATTTTCCCCGTCGATATAGTTGATGGCATGGTAAACATTGCCCGCAAAAGGTATCTTGATCCGGGAAGATCCCTCTGGTTTCGAGGCCGTGAGATTGACGCACTCCTAAGAGCAAGAACTAAAAGAAATTGAACAAAGTAAAACCGAGGTTCCGTCACTCTTGCATTCGGGCGGATCTCGTAAAATCGATGAAGTTGGTCGAAGAAACAGTCCTCATCAAAAATTTGTATGACTGGCTAAGGCGAAATCGAACAATTTGAAATAAGTAGAGGACACAGTCGAGGGAAGTAGGTCACTCGTGTCTATAGGGCCAGAGGCTAAGGCTTGATCACATGCGATGGGATATGTATCTCCGTCTAGGTAAGACTGGGGAAGCTCACTTGCCGAGCCTTTTGTCGAATATATTGGTCATTATGAAGATAGGTCGGGCTGTGAGAGACCATGGCGATGCTGGGGCTGACCAAGCTATGGCAAGTGTGGGATTCAAAGGGCAAAAGGGAAATCATGGAAAGCTGGATACTAAAGTCATTTGCGCTGCTCCTGGTGAGCATCTTTAAAACCTGTTGTGGGTAGTGTGAAGGGGCTTGTTCAAATACTGCAAGAGAGATCGACGTAAGAGGATTCTGAGGATCCTCCGGCCTGGGTGCCTAAAGGCTCCTGGGCAGCCCCGAAATCATCTACCTGATGACCTGCATCAATATAATCGTAGCGGAAATAATCCTCGTGTGACCCCATTAAGCCGGTAGCACGCTGCCAATGATAGCTGAGCGCTAGCGAAGCTATTCGACCAGTTCCAGCCCACTTAGAATCCATAGGTGGAAGTAGCCTACCACCTTACTTTCTTTTGACTACTATCGTAGCTACCTCCCCTGACATCTACCTACTCTAGCCACTTTAGAATAGCCCGTGCTTTTTTTGATAACTTAAGTATGCTTTTAGTAATTACGCTTACTATTGCCTATTTATAGCTATTTTTGGCCCATAGAAAGGCGTTCCTATTCCTAGGACTAAGCTTAGCCACTAAGAAAACCGCTCACCCCCAGTTATGGCCGTTTATGGCCCACAAAAGTCGTGTCTTGATATTTATGATGATGGATATCCTAAAAAATGGATTCACTCGCGCTAAGCTTAAACCAGCACGGGTACCGTAGCTACCTTATCTGTTATGGGAAAATAAAGGGTGCGTTATTGCTGAGGCATGGAATTCGATATCGGTGCATGGAGGCCTTACCCATCCGGTTTGTATGCGAATCGCCAACGTTTCCTACTTTCAAAGGAAAGAGCTTATCTTCCCTCTGTCCTTCTTAAAGAATTAGTCTTAGGATGTTCTACCTAACACTATTATTCTCCTCTTCTCTCCCCTAGCTATCGTGATTTCTTAACATAAATAATTGTTAGCTTATATAAATTCGATAACAGACCGCTGGTAATGTGAAATCTAGTAATGTTAGTATGCTATAAGGAGTCTTCCACTTGAAGGTCTTTCATGTAGATCATGATGCCTACCTTTTCATCTTCTAATGCTACATTCCTGCCTTAGGACGTAAGGTAGGTCACGGTCAAAGCGTGGTTACACTGAATTTGGCGTTTGTGCCGAAATGGTCGTGCCTAGCTCTATGCCCGTGTTAGACCTCGCCATAAAATTGCTTTTTGAAGTACCCTATGGGTTCCGCGAACTAGCCAAAAAGCCATGTATCCATATATTATAGGATAAGGGTCATAATTCAGAGATTAGCGCACATATTTATAAGTAATATAGTTTACATGTCTGTGAAGCTCCTAGCGAGGTCTCATGCGTGACTCTAGAGCTAGTATGTAACCTTGGTACCATGCCAAAGATCGGTAGATATGCAATAAACATGCGAGCCACCCACTGTGGATACTTCTCAAACCCTGGCTGGATTTGATTTGTAAAATTCTCGAAAAATAAAAACATCTCACGACCTTGCCTGTCTATGATATCACTGGAACATTTGTGTAGCGCGATATAACCAGCAATTTTAGTAGAGGATTCAAAAAAGAGGGCATAAACAACGATGAAAGATGATTAAACACTTCTAGGTAGAGAAGGAGGCTAATCATTGAAAAGAATTGGCCAAACAAATAACATCTTCTCTATCTATCCTTGGCCTTTGATCATTAACGTGGTCGGTAAGCGAGTGGGCCATGTAAGCGAGTGGGCCACCCAACCACTTTTCCTACACATATATGCATATATATCAACTACATAACGTCTTATATTCATATAACTCTACTTGGACATGCTGTTTTTCTATGGCCAATTTCACCACAATTACCATATTTAGGTAAAGCCCGGGGTTTTGGTGTTTCCGAGGCCTGTGCTGGAGGTACCCGCGGACCTGGCCTTGCTTAAAAGAACGAATTATGAGCCTCCTGGAGCTGTAGAGCCTCTTATATGGATAGACTACCTTCTTGTGCTATCTACCTAGTCGTACGTTCACGTCTTTTCTTTTGTATATTGTGTTCGTCGCGTAGTAGCTTGTTTTCTGCCTCGAGAAGGATGCCGTTCTATATAGTAATTTAACAGCCTTGATAAGCTGGTTTAACGCGGTTTGAGATAGTGATGGAGGGCTTCTTGAGCGTTGCTTAAGGAAAGCTTTAATTAAGGATGCTTGCTTATAAAGCTCGTCGACGTTCGCGGGTGTATATAGATGAAATATACTTGTTTAACTACCGCGGCTTGCTAGAGGTGTCGGCGTATGAAGTCGAATATTAAGCTTTGATAGTATTGGCTTAGGATTAAATAGCACTAATCCTACTACTTAAAAGCTATTCTGAATTATGCTGAATTTAAAGGCTTAAACATGAGCTTTTAGATAGGCTAGAAGGAAGTTGAGCTTATTGATATAGCTAATTCTAAGCCGCATTTTTTAGTTAATAAAGCTACTATACGCGCGCTTTAAAACTGTAAAACACCTAATATTAAGCGGTTATAAAAGATATAAAGAGTACGTAGGTATATAGAGTGGAATAATATCTAAATCCGCGTAAATTTAATCGAATCTTGACGTGAGATAGCTTCTATATCTATTAAGAATAAGAAGTCGATATCGCCTACGCGTATAGTAAGTTATTAATAGAATAAATTATTTTTAAAGCTAGCGAAGGCCTATCTTATTAGTCGTCTATCTATTATCACTAATTTTAAAGCGCTAATTATGTGGAAGTTCCTCGAACCATACCTGATTATATTACTTTCCTTTAAAGATTATTATTAGTGGAAGCGCCTATCTTAACGCGCTAATTAACTCGATTGTAGTTACCCACTCACGATTTCCTAGCTATAAAACTAATCTCCGACTGTAGTATTCTACCTAGGTAATCACTTTTTATGTTAAATAAAGCCCTATCGCGAATCCTATCTCGTTAAAGTTATAGATATCGTCCGTGAGGATGCTATATTATTGGATAGTAGATTAGATGAGGTTAAACTACTCCTAGATGATCTTTAGGTCTTCTTATAGTGCTCGTTGGTAGTTATATCGTCTTAAGAAGCGTGATTTAAGCTCTTAATGACGTTTAGTAAAGTTATATACCCATTTTTCACTAACGGTTTGAATCTAGGTGGAACCACGCTTTTTAAGGAGAATATTGGCCATATCTCGTACGTGAGCTTATATAGGGGCTACTCCACGAAGATCTAGAGATAATATACGTTATATAAGGATATTCTCTTTAATTTTAGTTAATTTATAACCATTAGCGCGAGATTTAGTCCGATTTATGGTGCCGCGGAGTGGTTAGGTAGCCCACTCGCTTATATGGCCCACTCGCTTACCGACCACGTTAGGGTGGCTTATACCATAAATTAGCCGTATAAAACCATAACGCGTCTCTAGTGTCACTTTTCTTTATATCTCTTATAGATTAGACACGGATGTCATATAGCGGTGTGATCACGATCCATACAAATAAAGCAAGTAGCCAAAGTCGTACCTCGAACGACAAACCTGACGTAATAGCACAAACTCTCTAACAATGCCAATAAAACAAGAGGCTATATGACGGCTTCTACTAGTATGGTAATCATCATGATGATGCACGGGCGATGTTTATATCCCAAAAAGCCCTAAACTGTGAAAATCGTGATTCACATCGAACAGACTGGGCGCGCGTGTCTTTAAAACTCGAGTATAATTGTAAAGATACCCTTTGTTTGTTATTGTTATTGTATCTAATGGTATTTAGGCCATAGGAGACGAAGAGCTTTATATATTTTACCGATATTGACCGATTTATCTTTTTAGCATATGACATTTGAATATAGCTCTGGCGACATAGCCATGGTTAATGAATGCTGGCCGAGCTCCTATTGTTGGGCCACTGATCACTTATCTTGTATAGGTAGCGCATTTCTAAGGAATAGATAAATAATACCAGAGTTGCTAATTATATACTGTACGGGCCTAGATCCGCCAATAAGCTATCGAAACACTACTTGAAGCATCAAGCAAACCTGTTTATCTAAAATGCCTTCTTGTTCCATGATTTCTGCCTCTCCTTCCATTTTCAACCGGTCGGGAAGGTTTCATCATGATCGCTACTTATATCATTATGACATGATGGTTAAACAACGGAAATAGATGTTCCACTCTTGAGCTCGAATACGAGTTTGGCAGAATTGGCATGGTTTCACGGGCGCTGGTTTGAATTTCGTCAAAGATTGGTCATTATGATTTCATCAGCAGCTGGGCAAGATCTCAATCAATTTGATCAAGCTTCATTATAGCTTCTGATATTACTGATCGATTATATAAATATGTGGTGCTTTTCCTGGTTTATTCTAAATTTCTTCAATCCATACATAACCTCGTAACCTTTACTACCTAACATTTTACAAGGGCCACGATGTCTGACAACACCAACCCTGGTAATTTCGCCAACAGGCCCCATGAAGAAGTTGAGAATATTGCTCGGAAGGGTGGGCAGTCTAGCCATCAAGGCGGATTTGCTTCGATGGATCCCCAGAAGCAGGTTAGTGAAAGCGTCCATTACTGTATATGACATTCTATAGCTAAAGTTTTCCTTTTAAGAGGGACATTGCATCGTCGGGAGGTCACGCTTCAAGCGGAAGCTTCAAGCCCGGAGACGAGAGAGCTAAGGAAGCAGGTCGCAAAGGGGGCCAAAGTACCGATCAGCCGAATGAATAGGATGGTTTCATTGCCTGTGGAGTCACTGTCGTAGCGACTCGCAAGTTGTTGTTTTCAAATGGTATTAACAGCTTTAAATAAAGCCTGATGTTGGTAGTCTCGATTCCTAGTAAAATATTCCCTCTGTTCTGAGGGTGTAAGTTTGTACTCCGTAATTCCGTTATATCTCCTGTAAAGGCCTGCCAAAGCTGCTCAACCTCTTATTAGAGTTGATCCCATTATTCTCCCAGCAGCAAATGGCATGATGTGTTTATTAGATGAAGCCGCTAGCTAAAGAGCTGATGTAGATTCAAAGGAAGTGCTGTTGTAAGATGGTTTTGTTACTCCTCCTTAAAATAAAATATGTTATCACTATTGAACTAGAAGCCTCTAAATAGTCAATACATAGAGAAGATTTTTGAGGTTACTCTCCCACTAATGGGTGTATTTGAGGGTTTGAGAAGCCCATTAATAGGTATGAATTTGGCGACCTTAAGTATTGGGTTATAGCACTGCTCTGGAGAGTCACCGTTTAAAAAACGGCCTCCGCCTTTTTCAGCCTTCATGGTCACTTCTTTCTTACCGGCCTCCTACAGACGCGTTCAAATTGTAGAGCCGTTCAATGCTGAGGCTCTACTATCTCCCGTGCAAAGCTGTCAATATTTCTGCTGACCTTAGGAACCCGCAAACAAATGTTTAGTTATGGGGAGTCACAAAGCAGGGCATTGGCCAAACCCACCAACGAACGTTGGCGAGGTGATTTTAAACGATACCGTGGTCTTAGGACTCGATGGAGTCGACAGAAAGGTTTATATGTCTTAATTCTCATGATCATCTTGCTTGAAGCCCCTATGCATGAATGTCTTCCTCGGAGACTACAGTCCCGAACGCATCTGCTAGCTCACTCAACACAACGGACACCAGATTCTCGGCCTTGACACCAGGAATATCCCTGTCACCAACCGCATCTCTCACGACGAGCACATCATATCCAAGCTCAGCAGCCGCTCGCGTAGTGGTAGAGACACAGACGTGCGCCATATAGCCAACCAACACGACTTTCCTTCCCACATCGCCTAGACCTTGCAGATAGGCATGTAGATCGGTCTTTGCGAACGAGCTAGGAAAATTCTTGGTGACCACTTTCTCGCCTGCTTTAGGGTTGAGTTCCTCAAACTCTTGCACCAAGGGGGTGTTTGGCGTGAAGATGGGTGCGCCTTCGGGCACCTCATGGACGACGTGCACGATGTTTCTGCCGTTGCCAGCTTGACGGTAACGTTCTAGTAGTTTAGTTATGGATTTGCGGGTTTCTGTAACATTTTCGGTCTTGAGAGCGCCTATAGCGTATTCGTTCTGAGCGTCGATAATGATGAGAGTTGAGTCTTGCGGGGAAGCTGAGGAGCGGCGAATCCCGACGATCTCACGGAAGGATTGAGCGGTAGAAGACATTGTATAGTAAACGGATTTTGTAAAATGGAAGATTGGATATCTTGCAGTAGAAACGTTCGATATTAAAAAGAAGAGTGGGTTTATATGTGTTTATATGGAGGGTATATTGCACTTGGTATGCTTTGCTTAGGAAACCCCATAGGTCTTGCGGGTGACAAATAATGATGGACTGGGTCGGCCATCCCACCTGGACAGCCTGAGGCGATCACCTCAGCTATCTCACGTTGGACCCGGATCTAAGGGCGAATGACGTAATACCTGACTTCCTGACCGGTTAACTTAGTTGCGGACATCGGAGGCGAAGGTGAGGTTCCAATGTAATTATATTTATTGACAGAAACATATTACAGATGTATTATTTTAAACTCAAGGGCATGATTCTCTCTAAAATGACTGGTTCTAAATTGGAAATTTGTACGGCCGATTAGAGAGCAAAACTATCTTATGTAGCACTATGGGTTTTCAGTAAAAGACCGAGTAAGCAATGTAACACACCTGTTTCTTCACATTTGATAGAATTTTGCCACTCTAGCGTGAAAGAAACTAAGAAGGTGAATATGCACGATTGTTGCTGTTTATAGCCTCCTTCTTAATTTGAGTCTAATAAGTCGCATCTTATATGATAGTCTCTGCTATATCCAATCAAAGCTAACTCGTGCGTCATGTAGAAGAGCAGATGATTGAGATATCCAGTTTCTCGCATCTCCATTATCCCGTCCGACTGCGGATGAATCAGACTTGTTTAACACCTCAGACCCCCTGCCCCACGGAGCATTCCAAAGTTCATCACTGTCAGGCATGCAAAAGGACAAGTCGGCCAGGGTCAATAGATCATTTCTGTCACCATTGAAACATTCTCCGCTCAAGTCAAAGGAGGTTGGAGTGGACAACCGGCATACCTTATAGAGGGCTAGTCCAAATCTCTTGATCTCTTCAACGATCACATACATAAGCGCGAGTGGCGCATCGACATCGTGTTGCTGAAGCATGTTGGGATAGTAGAAAATATCCCACCGTCGACAGCTTTGAATAAGCGCAGCCAAGAGGTCGTATTTGTCGTCTGGTAATCGGCAGCGCATGCTCAAATCTGTACTATTATTTCCTCTTGTAATGAAAAGAGAAAGGACGATATTCAAGAGCACACTTTGAAATGTTGTTATAGGCCACGGGGTATTTGTTTGTTGGCGTGGACTTGAGTTGGAGATGCACCATCGGTCCTAGAGCGAAAGGATTATATCAACACATAATTATATATGCAGTTAGTGTTATAATGCTTTCCTCACTATTTGAGCGTAAAATGCGGAACATAGTTTATTATGTAGACGTATTGATGCGTCTCGTGCCTCCTGAGTTCCTTTTACCTAAAGTCCGATTGCGACAACGGATTGAATAAGTACACAAGGTTCCTTAGTGAAGTCAAATGTACTTCGATGGAGAAACGGCCATCTTGGATGGAAAGTATTAAAGTAAATATCAATATAGTCATGAGCAATCCACAGGGAAGCGTTAGGAACGGATTCATTAATCGTGGAAATAGGCGGCAAAGGGCATAGATCATCGATCGAAAACTGTAGTTCGCTCACGGTTTTAACACCACTAGGCACATAGGAGACGCCGCGATGTTGATAGGCACTGCATGGTAATACACCTTCACAACGGACTTTCCGTGCATGACATGCAGTATATGCCCTAAATTTTCGAGACGGTAGCAGTTCTCTCTGTAGATGGTAAGTCCGGATATGGCGTCGCAATAGGTCACTGATTACTCTGAGTCGAAAGTCTTCCCAATGGATCGAAGAAACTACTCACTTCCTGGTCAGGATGCTCTCATAATAAGGACAGGCGAAATTGATTTCCTTATCATGATAATTACGATGTCGATTCAGGTGCTCTTTGCGCCGATATTTGGCGTTGCAATCTGGATAGTCACATTGGAACCACAAGGGAACAATATCAGCAGGAAGCGGCATTGTACAGAATTTTTGCAAACCTTTCCATTTCACAATTTTGTGAAATGGTAAAAGTGAATGAGGCAAAAAGGGAGAAGATAAGGTAATGGCTGGGAGCTCCGGTGGGCCCCCACGAAAGTCTCCAATGAAATTCCGCCGGTCATCCCACTTGATGAATAACTCCACAGGTGGCGCTAGCTGAATAAATATCCCATGGATAAACCGGCAAGTGGGATAGGCCGACTATCCAAGTGTAATCTATAAATGGCAAACCTTCGAAATGGAGGTATTCATTTTACTACCTCCACTACCTTGGAAAGAGTTTTTGACATTTCAATGTATCTCAAATGGAGTGCACTACAAATTCAATGCCCAACCTCTATCATCCTAGAACATTGCGCAATGACTCTGAACAAACCGACAGTCTCGATGTCGGTACCGATACCTACTTCGCCTCACATCTTGAGCCAGCAATTTCCAAATTGGCCAGCATACACGCAGCTCCGGAATTCGAAGTTTACTGGGATTCTGGTGACCCGGAAAATCCCCGCCTGTGGCCGCTTTGGTACAAATGTCTCACTGTCGCTGCTATGAGTCTTGGAGCTACAGTCGTCAGTCTCTCCAGCACACTGTACACATCTGGGATTCCAGGACTACAAGAAGATTTTCGCGTTTCGAAGATCGTGGCTCTCCTTGGTGTCACCACTTACCTTCTTGGAATGGGGATAGGCAGCATCTTTTTTGCTCCACTTAGCGAGCTTGTGGGACGGCGTCCAGTCTATATTGTCTCAATGATAATATTTTTACTTTTATTGTTGCCGAGTGCTTTGGCTCAAAACATTGCTTCAATCCTCGTGGGCAGGTTCTTTGGAGGATTCTTTGGAAGTGCATTGATGTCGAACTCGCCCGCGTCTGTGAATGATATCGTCTCGGATAAGCACCGTGCTTTAGCATTTGGCTTCTGGTCTATTGGCCCCACCAACGGCCCTGTATATGGCCCAATCATAGGAGGGTTTGTGTTCCAATATCTTGGCTGGAGGTGGACAAATTGGATTGTCCTCATCATTGGGGGTATGGTCCTGGTCCTGATAGCCTCTGTCAAAGAAACATACGCCCCCGTGATCTTGAAAAAGCGCGCTGCGATAAAAAGAAAGGAGACACAGGACTCAAAATGGTGGACACGCTATGATGATGATGTCGGCTTTACATCTTCACTTAGAACCAATCTCAAGAGACCTTTCGTGATGCTCCTAACAGAGCCGATATGGTAAACTATTTCCTTTCCATACTACAAAGCCAGGGCTAACATTCTAGTAGTATATTCTGGGATGGCTACGTTGCGATTGTTTACGGCATCCTTTACCTATGTTTCGTCGCGTATCCAATCGCTTTCCAACAAGAACGTGGGTGGTTGCCAGGCATCGGTGGTCTTTCGTTCGTCGGTATAGGCGTCGGTGTCTTGATCGCCATCGCTTGCGAACCTTTGTTTCGTAAAGTGATCAATCTTCATCACAAGAATCCAGAAACCGGCATGGTTCAACCAGAGGCTATGGTCAGCGTCGTAATTTTTGGTGCTATCCTTTTAGCCATTGGCCAGTTGTGGTTTTCCTGGACTTGTACTCCAAATGTTCACTGGATCGTCCCCATCCTAGCCGGTGTCCCCTTTGGAATTGGTAATGCATGCGTCTTCATTTACGCCTCGAACTACATTGCCCGGTCATACGGCATTTACGCCGCATCTGCGCTTGCAGGAAATATGCTCACTCGCAGTATTATGGGAGCATTTCTCCCTCTTGCGGGACCATCAATGTATAAGGCTCTGGGTTTGAATTGGGCAAGTACAATCCTGGGAATTGTTGAGGCAGTATGCGTCTTGATACCCGTTGTCTTCTACTTTTACGGACACAGAATTCGAAAGGCGAGTCGCTTTATTAAAGAGGTAGAAAAGCTGCAGGCAGCTTGAAAAAACTTATTAGCAAAATTCATATGTGCTTCATGTTTGTTCAAAGTGTAAATGAATGGTTACGATAAGTCAGTCATTCTATAGCAACGTTCAAAAATTCATCTATCCGCAAACCGGTGTACACGTGTCTATCCTATAACGTGTCGTGACTAAAGTCCAAGGTACAGTTGGATATAAGGTCTAGAGAGGTTGACTTTTTCTTTCGCAGTTGCAACGGGATATCCAGAATAGGATACATTTAGTCGGAGTAAGCTTTCGTGCGCAGCAGATAGCAGTTGTGTTGTCATGAAGGCCATATACACACTAAAATATTCTAACTAAATGCGTAAGATACAAACGTTGCTCCATCTAGCGATCTTGAATTATCCCTGCCATATTAGCCCGTAAACGGCCAGATTCTCTGCCAGGCCTTTGGTGTGCAACCCTTGGAAGTCACTACGAAGACTCGAAGAGGCACGCGGGGTCGGTTTACAATATTGCGGTCTTAATTCCCGAATTTGACCGGCAGAAAATGCAGAAAATAAAAATACATTTGAATTACCATTATAGACCATTAATTAACTAATGTACGAAGTGCCTTGGATTTTGGACAGGAAAATAAAGCTTCTAATCCTATACAAATACATATATCACCCACGTTTGGGTGGCTGGCTAGTTAGATATCTTTCGCCATATATGAAAAATGAAGCTTTTGGTCCCATACAAAATCGTGCATCTCATCTTTAGGTGGTATACTACATTCATAATGGATCAAAGCTTTCATTTTTATGAGGGTCATCGATCATGGTCATTCCGTAGTTACACTGTAGATAGATGTCCAAAAGCGGTCTGAGTTCAGTTAAATTCGGGCATCAAGGCCTCAATATTGTGAGAGCGACCCTGCGCGCCATGCCCCTTCGTGCAGTGGCAAGTGCTTACCCCGTAAAGAGTAGAGGAAAATGACTCATCGTAATTCACAACCACTGGACTGAATTGCTGAATAAACCCGTGGGATATCCCGCAAAGCTATTATAAATTTCTCTCCATTTTCGTGGCAAAATTGAAACTTTTATCTCCGCGGGTGGGATGAACCGAACTTACATCATCAGCAGGATGAAACGGAATTTCTAACATTTTCAAAAAAGCAAAGTATTTAAACCTCGGTTTCCATTGAGCGGAGAATCTTAATATCCCATTCCATTGAATCACATCCACAGTATCAAAAGGCTACATCCACGACTTTTGCTCTTACCACAGCCATGGCAGCAACATCCAAACCAACCCTTACAATCACACATATCACCACTGCAACTGCCATTCTCAATATTGATGGAGTCAACTTCCTGACAGATCCCTTCTTCGGGGCCATCGAAGGGACAGAGTATGACTCGACCGCGGTCTGGGAACAAATGGACCTGAAACCGTACGGTCTTGACAGCATCCCGCCGCCACCGCACCTTGTTAACAAGCAAGGACCAGCGCTTCAGCTCAATGAGCTGCCGCCTATCGATGCTGTGCTTCTTAGCCATGAGGATCACCTTGACAATTTGGACCCAGAAGGCCGTAAGCTGCTGGATGGTCGAAAGGTATTTACCACCGTGGACGGTGCCTCCAACTTGCGCCCACGCCCAGGAGTCATTGGCCTTCGCCCCTGGGAGACTGTGACTTCTTGTATCGGAGGAAAAACGTACCGAATCACTGGTACCCCTTGCAAGCACTTCCCAGTTGGAGAAGTTACGGGATTCGTCCTAGAGACCGATTCCTTTGGTGTTGATCCTTCTGGCAAGCCTAATGCAATCTACTTCTCCGGAGATACTGTCTATATTGATGAACTGCAAGAGATTGGAAAGAGATGGCACATTACTGCAGGCATTTTCAATTTGGGCAATGCCACCTTTGAGTTCCCAACTGGCCCTATTCAGATTACAATGGACGGTAAACAAGCTGTTCAGCTTGCCCGTGATATTGGCGTCGACGTCATGATCCCAATCCATTTTGAATCGTGGGATCACTTTAAGGAGGGCCGGGAGGAGTTACTGGAGGTTTTCACCCAGGAGGCATTTCAGGACAAAGTGTGCTGGACAGTTCCTGGCGTTCCTAAGGTTGTTCTTTGATTGTGAATCCTCAATATTGCGGCCGTATAGACCTCTTTCTACTTCATGTTTTGTTTCGTTTCGTCTATTTCCTCTAATTTCGTGAGGCCGACCATTCTACCTATAAGTTTATTTAGATAGATCCCTTAGATTCAAAAGCGAAGATTTCAATTTAACCTATACTCTATGCTTAAAGGGAATTAGGGGCTCACTGGCTTTCTTCGCCCCCTGATTGGCTGTCGGTGCGTGCTCCCGCACCCACGCCGCCGTGGCCGTGCGGGGGTTAGACCTGGACAAAACCCGTGGGAGCTACTAAATTCTAGAGTCCCGTGCCCGTGGGAGCTTAGTCATACTGGACGGGACTAACGTATTTCACAAGCGAGCGGAACACCCGGTCGGCCGGAACACCCCAACCAAAACGCGTCAATTAATTAGACTATTCTTCTTCAACCACCCGCCATGCCACCAGTTCGCTCTCAAAATCGTCAAAAATTGATAGAACAAGAAGGACGAATCTTAGTTGCTATCCAGGCTCTTGAAACGCAGAAAGAGCTCTCAATTCGCAAAGCAGCGCTTATATATGATATCCCCCATACAACGTTATACGCACGTCTTCGTGGACGTCAAAACCGCGTCGAATCACGCGCAAATTCGTTCAAATTGACTGAAATCGAGGAGAATTCGCTTAAGTAGTGGGTCATATCTATGGCTATACGTGGAGCGGCCCCACGAGTCACGACCTTCTATGGTGCAAGAAATGGCTAATCTCTTACTTGCCACTCGTGGAACAACCTTAATTTAAACCGTTGGCAAAAAACTGGGTTACGAACTTTATTAAACGACACCTAGAACTTAAAATAAGGTTCTAAGGCGCTACGATTATAAGCGTGCTAAATGCGAGGACCCTAAAGTTATTAATAGCTGGTTTGACCTGGTTCAAAAGACAGTTCTTGAGTATGGGATTAAGCAAGACGATATCTATAACTTTGATGAGATAGGCTTCGCGATGGGTTTAACCGCGACCGCGAAGGTTATTATAAGAGCGGATACTAGTGGTTAGCGCTATCCACTTTTACAACCTGGAAATCGTGAATGGATAACCTCGATTAAGTTTATAGGCGCGTCTAGATATAGCCTACCTCTAATAGTTATCTTTAACTGGAGAAGCAGGAATCTATAGTGAAAAGAAAGCTTCAGAAGCGCATACAATATGGCTCACAGAGTCCTACCTCTTCATTAGAGCTACGGTTGGACAAGATCATTAAAAGCAGTGAAATGGCTTTAAATGAGGCAACCCTTGCACGTCAAGAAATTCGTGATTTACGAGCTGATAATGAATGGAAAGGCCCAAAGCGGAAGCACTCTACTAGGCAGCTAGCTATCGCAGAGGGTATGGCTATTCAGGAAGGCCTAGAGCGATTTCAGCATAAAGACAAGGTCGATGAAGCTCAAAATGCGCCTCTTATAGATCCAATGCTTTCTGCAGTTGGACCGCGCGTACGGGCGCCCCCCACTGTTCTAATTGTCATATTCGAGGACATTTTAGAGTTCCATGTCCTAATCCACTTAGTAATTAATTTTTATATAGAAATGCAGTTATTTCGTTGGTATAGACCCTTCTATTTAGCGCATGGGCAGGAATTGGCGGGTGGTGACTCGCTCGGTAGGACCCAGCTCGTAGACCTTGAACCAGTCGCCGGAGCCATCGTAGTCTTTCACATCGCCTGGTGCTTTTGAGAGGTAGACTTGCATGGGAGCTGGGTGTTGGATTGTAGCGCCGAAATCGAGACCGAAGCCGATTGTGTCGCCGGCTTTGACTTTGTAGGTGGTGAAATACGTTAACCCGCTCCGAGTCGCTTAGCTAATCTGCCCAATGTAAGCAAGCTCAGCTACAGGAGAAAGAGGGGCTTTCTCACCCTTATGTATCCCAGGGACTATGCTTTTTATCAAGGAAAAAATATGGCCTCCGTTCTTATTCATGATGGATACCCCCCTTTGATCAGGCCAAGCGCCTTATTGAAGGAGCGCGCCAATATCTAAAGAAAGACGACTTGTCTTTGGAATGTTATCGGGTACTCGTGCAGGCAGATTATCACCTTCAACGCACGAGTGAGTATCTTGAACGGGATGACAACTCTCTGATGCATTATCGGCTCCTTCAACAGGTAAAGCACCTAATCGAGGGATCCTGCTACTATATTAAAAGAGCGAAGATGTCTCACGAGTGCTATCGACTTCTCATGCAGGCGAAGGATCTTATCGATGAATCTCACCAACATTTCCAACGCCATAACGGTTTTCTGGAGCGTGGATGTACATTTTCCGTTGAAAAATACTGCTATGAACCGCTTGACGCAGAAGATACAATTCGTCTGCTGGAATTTGAGAATGAAGAAGGACACATGGGTTTTATCAGATGTCAAATGAAACATGTCCGTCTCACCGATGAGCCGATATACGAGGCACTCTCGTACGCCTGGGGCGACCCAATACCCACCATAACGGTCATCTGCAATGATCGAATATTCAAAGTGTCAGCAAATCTCGAATCAGCGCTGTTTCGTCTGCAGCAAACTGCTGTTCCCTTCTGGATAGACGCCATCTGTATCAACCAGACCGACAATGCAGAGCGATCAAAGCAAGTGAAAATGATGAGTCACATTTATCAAAAAGCCAGGAGGGTGAATATTTGGCTCGGCGAAAGCGATGGTGAGACTTGGGCCCCATTGTCGCCTACCTACTCGTTGCTCAAAATCCCGGCGGTTCTTGCATCCACAGGTCGTCGAAACTGCCTTGAGATGACCCCTTTGGAGTTAAGAAAGCATCTCGCCATCTCAGGCTCTGGAGATCCCGCCGTAGAGAGCTTCTTCAGACTGATGATGCGACCGTGGTTCCGACGCATATGGATAATACAGGAGGTTGCCGTCTCACGTGAAGCGTGGGTTTGGTGTGGGAGGTTTGCGGTCCAGTGGAAAGATTTCGCTCTCGCCTTGAAATATGCTAAAGAGGCTGGGCTTGCCACAAAAATCAACGGGAACCTTTTTGAGAGGGTCCATCGGATTGAGCTAGTGCGTCAGGAAGTCGCGGACAGCAATTTCACCCAGAGGGATGTACACCACCTTCTCTTCAGATACTATGACTTTCTGGCAACAAATCGAAAGGATAAGGTTTACGCAGTCCTCGGCTTAGCTAAAGAGCCCATAGTCAACGTTGACTATGGTTTGGATGACCGGCAGGTGTATATTGATGCCGCTGTGGAGATTCTCCGTCGAAGCGAAAATTTTGACCTCCTCGGTGCATGTCGGATTCCTTTGGGCTACACTCGGACTGCCCTTTCAAATTTACCTTCCTGGGTCCCGGATTGGAGTGTCTCAAAACCGTTCATGCCTCTAAGAATGCAAGGTCTTCCGCAGGAACAGGAATTCGCTGGGTTTTCAGCCTCCGGACCCTACTTCCGTTATCCCCCATCATTTTCGGACGACCAGGAGCGGCTGTGCCTATATGGGCACTTTACAGACAAGATAGAGCTGAGTACAAATTCTATGGTGCCAAAAGCTGCGCCGGCACTCGCACCGAGGGGATTCGAGTTTTCATACCTAGACTTCATTCGCCACACATATCATTTGCTGCAGGCAGCAGGGACCTGGGTCCGGTTGATCTCTCAACAGCCAGACGACATGTACATAACTGGAGAAACAGTAAAGGAAGCGTTGCTACAAACTATGTGCTGTGGCCAGGCGGATGACAATTTCAGGAACCAGTATGGTCACAACCGCGCTATTCATCGACTGCGAAACTACATTTTAGCGAACGCCCTCCGCTCCGAGATGACGTTCGTAACTTTCTTGATTTTGTACACTGTTTTTTATCAACTACTGAGGACTCTATGCTGCATAAACATCCACGAAGTACACAGTGAGGACGTCGAGGAATGCTCTGATGATGCTCACAGGGTGACTAGCACTTCTCCCCTCTTGATGTTGGAACAAGCACCCCATCTGTTTTCAGGCGACTGGGGCATAGGAATTACCAGTATGAAGTATATTGCACTGGTCCCTGGTACCATGTTTCTTCAGCCCCAGAGGATATATATGGTGGGGGTGTTTCTGGGTTGCAAAGTGCCTTTGATTCTGTCGCCAGTTGAGGATGGATGGGAGTTTATTGGAGAATGCTACATACATGGGATAATGCACGGGGAGGCCTTTAATATAGAAAGATGTGAAAAAATATGGGTAGGCTAATGTCAGAGTATGTTTTAATATTCTTGGAATCTACAGAGTTGATCGTTGGTTGGTGAACTAATACTCAGGCAGTTAGTTGAGGGCGGCCACGCCACGCAGAATCAAAGCAAAGACAACTAACCGAACCCCACAACACTTGAAGGTCTGAACTGAAACATAACATGTGCGGTCTAACCAGCTACGGGACCCTGCGGGAAGATATTGCGAACCAAGTCATTGGGCAACATATTCCGCAGGCATTGGAATATCCCTGCCGCTACTGGATGTACCATTTAAAGAAGGTTAGGACCGAAGAATGGGGGAAAGACGTATCCTCTTTCCTAAAGAAGCATTTCATTCATTGGCTAGAGGCAATAGACTTGATGGAACTTGCATCAGAGGCTGTTGGTATTATCAGTACTCTTCAGTCAAAGGCCGTGGTGAGTCCGTACCTTAACTGCCTTAATCCTAGCTTTTAAGGCCGACTGAATACATTACAAAATCAGACCGATGTAGAGTTTTCCAAATTCTTACAGGACGGTTACCGATTTGTTCTTCCAGACGATCAACATAGCTCCGCTTCAAGTCTATTGCTCTGGACTCGTGTTCTCCCCAACAGACAGTATTATTAGAAGAATCTTCAGCAATAAACAACCTAGCTAGCTGCCTGTGTTACTCGCAGTGCAGAAGTTGGGGGGGCGCAGAGCTGCAGACCCTCGAGGGCCATTCTAATTAGATTAAATCAGTGTCCTTCTCGCCGGATGGCCGGAGGATCGTGTCAGGGTCTAGCAATAACACTATTAAGCTCTAGGATGCACAGACCGGCGCCGAGCTGCGCACCCTAGAGGGTCATTCCAGTTCCGTTTACTCAGTGGCTTTCTCGCCAGATAGCCAGAGGATAGTGTCAGGATCTATACTATAGTGGTTAAATGCACTCGACCCCTAATGCATTTCTTAACATCCTGATTGGCCCGTTCTGCGTGTACCCGTCGCTGGTGGTGCGTGTCCTTTTAGCCCGCATCCCGCCCCGTCAAAAATCTTTGAGGTCTTTAATTATAGGGAGTTCTAACGGTTCAATGAGATTTATTCCCTAGGAATAAGTAAAAGAATAATATAAATCTGATAGAAAAGATAAGAATGTTATAAACACTAAACCTGAGAATACTTCTAGAGATTTAATATATAATCGATGGTGAATACTTTAATATATATCTATCCCATGGGGGTTGCTGGATCGAGGCTGAGATCAGTTAGGGTGGAAGTCTTCAGTATGGCAGAAAAAGTGGGGCTGGTACCCTGAGACCAATTACACTAAGACCTCGGATTTCTGGCCAAATTATGGGCGGTTCAGTTCAAAGATAGCTAGTTTATAGATCAATGCTTCTTTCATCAATAAGTGGGGTTTAAGCAATATTGAATATTGTTTAAAGGTAGTTATAGGGATTAGAAACCAAGAGATAGTTTTGATGGGGTGCGCACCAATATCATATCATAAGGAATATCAATAACCACTAGACTCGACCTATCCACGCCCTTATCTCTATTCTGGCTGGACTGGACTTTTAGGGGTAATTAGTAGGATGTTCTTTAGATATTTTCATTACCTATAGTCAAGTTATTATGTTGTAATTACGATTCTATTCATCCTAAAACGTAAACCTTTCCCTAGTCGACGTGAATATATATCTTTGTATATAATATATTAACTATAATCTCGACGCCCTAGTAGTTTTTCCTTTATAATACTATATTCTAGGTCTTAATCTATTAGTAGTGCTAGTACGTGGTCCGTCTAGCTAAGATTAAGAGCTACCTTATTAAGTAGCTATATTATATCGCTCCCGCCGTGGTCTAATAGATCACTAACTAGATATAAACCTAGCCTCCCTAGTAAGATCTCGCATAGGACAAGGTAAGTATTATACCCTTAACGCTCTATATTCCCGTGGAAGGCTTACTATTATTTTTGAGTGGATTTTAGTGCCGCTAAGAGAGGTTATATAAGTATATAGTCCGAACGTTCTATATATTATATTAGTATTAGCGTTAAGAGCATAGATTCTCTCTATATAGGAATAGTAGGAAACCAGCCCTAGACGAGCGCTATGCCCGAGAGTAGCTTATTAACTAGGCTATAGAGTGGGTCTACTACTAACGTTTCTTTAAATAGGGTAAAGCGGCTAGATATATTCACGTGCGTAAGCCTAGCGTTGACTATAAGCCCGAGCCTTTACTACTAAGTGAGGTTGGTATATAGAACTTTCGTACCTAGGCTCTAAGTATCTAGGCTAAGTTCGCACCTAATCGCGTGGACTATATCTACCTAGACGATATCACTAAGGTAATTTCCTAGCTCTATTAGAATAAGTAGCCTCGATACCTTACTAGTATCACGCCTTAGTATCTACGCTAGCTAACTAACCACCCCTATAAGGGCTACTAGAGTAGCGAGGGTCCCTTATAAGCTATCTAGGATGTAATAGTGGATATGGCCTAGATTAGCTAGTGGGCGATATCCTTCGCTGGTAATATGATCTATTACGATGCTAATCGCATAGAGAAAGAGATCGCCGCGCCTAAGCCGCTCTAGCTATATATATAGCGTGACTATGTGACTAAGCACGCCTAGGTCTGGTAGTATATGCTTATGTTCTTCGCCTAGAGCTAGTAGCCCTATAACGGTCTAAGCCCTATATATAAGTTCTCCTAATAGTAGTAATAGGCCTAGGATATGCTTTAGCGCGTGGCTATGGCTATAGCTAACTAGCGTCGCGCCTCTAATCCTATAGATAAGGACGAGCCTACCAATTTATAGACTCTACTCTAGGCGCACTATTATTACGGACCTATAGGGGGCCGCACTACCTGTGGGGTACTTATACCTAATTATCCTAGATAAATGGGACGACGTATAGGTCACGTGTAAGGCATGGTTTAAAGAACCATAGCCTCTTCATAACAGGATATATGATACGTGATAACTAAAGGTCATTACGATTTAGTGCTATCCTGAGAAATGGACGATCGCACGATAAGTAAGATCGCTAGATAAGGAGTATCCTGCGATATACCATAGTTATTAGTAACGGGAAGGATCCTATGATAGGTTCCACCCTACGATCAAGGATACCCTACGATAAGCCATGGTTTAGAACCAAAAGGGGGATTCTTAGGATATAGGGTATCCTAGGATTAATAATACCCTACGATAGACCATGGTTACTAATAACTATAAATATCCTACGATATAAAGGATCCTATAGAGCTTAGGATCCTAGGAAAATAAGGATCCTAGGAAAGGATTACGTACTAACTTATCGGGCGATAAGTATAGCTTATTAAGCGATGAGACTAGAATAGATCGAGCGATAAGTCCTAGACTTATTAAGCGATGTGATGGATTAGATATATAAAGATAGTTATTACCATAGATATATTTAGTTCTTATTACGACACGTCTATAGAAGAGCCATATAAGAGGTAGAGAACAGGCGTATAAACGCACGAGAACACTTCTGATTGCTACTATAGCTAGAGATGCTGGAGAAAGGTTATTCTGATATATTTGGGTAACTGATTAGATAAGCTACATAACAGAAGTAGGCTCACGGGAGAGATCCAGGAGAGCTCTCTAGTAATTATATTATTAATATAATAATAGTACTATATATGCTATAGCTCGTGTTATTACTTATATCTAATCCAACCGCATAAGGCCTATGCCTTAATATTATAATTACTTCTTACTAAGGATATGACCAGTGACACGAAGAACTCGCGAAGAACAATATATTATATAACACGCGTAACTATATAATAAGGCACGAAGGACCTAATAACCCTATAGAAGAGCAATAAGAGGAAACTAGAGTAGGAGATTTTCTCTACCTAGGAGCGCAGGAGTCCTTAACCGAGGGTATAACCTTAATAGGAGAGGCCCCTAACGCGAACCTCGGCCTAGAGTAGGTAAATCTTAAGGTAGTAAGAGCCTAAGTAGAACCGCTAGAGAATGCCACTATAATAGGATATAGGAATAAATAATCTATATAGGAAGCCGTAGAGAACTTAAGAGAGATTATAGAGTAAGTCCTAAAGACTACTATTATAGTATATAAACTAGAAGAGGTTAAGATCCTTCTAGTATACTAAAGGGAAGCAGCGGCTACCTAGAGGGAGATCGACGAACTTAAAGTAGAGGCCGTGGAACGTAAGAACGCCTATAATACCCGTGAATAAGGGCGATTAGAGGCATAGCGTCTAATGACTATACTAATTAGGTCTAGAATACTATCTCTAGCACTAACTATAAGTATATAATAATAGTAAGACTAGGAGTAGGGTAATATACTAATACTAGACGTAGAAGTAATATAGAAGAAACCTAAGCTAGTAGACCTTAAAGAAAAGGTCCTAGTAGTACTAAAGTATATTAAACTATTTACTACTAGCACTACTAAAGAATAGGATCTATTTAAAAGCGGACTCGATATTTACTTTAAATAGTATAACGCCTACTTTAAGTAGTAGCATAGATAGGTACTCTAAGCGTTAATATACCTAGAAGGTAAGTTAAGAGTATAATAGCGAAGATATATAAAAGAACTAGAAAAGAAGGACCTAGAGTGTAAATTTACTTAGAAGGAGTTTAGTGACTAGTGTCATAATCTTATTATAGACCCTATAACACGCCATATATCTATGCTTAGATAATAGCATAGGACTAAGTAGAGATATAACTAGTCTATAATAGAGTTCTTAGTATACCTAATAAATATCCACGCGTCCCTATTAGTATAACTAGATAAGTACTAGTATATATAAAAGCTAGTAATATTAGTAGTATAAGAACTATAGGACGAACTCGTGGATCACCTAGTTTAGGGAGATATATATAAAGTAATACTATAGTACCTTTAATTACTAGAATCCCGCTTACTAGCGAGGAAGATAGCTATTAAAAGAGGTAAAGTTAGTAAAGACCTAACGTAGAATATACGATTTAGGGGAGTAGAAGGATTTAACTATACTAGAGGATAACCGCGCGTTGATAAGTACTTAACCCTATATCTATTAGGATAGGGGGAGAAGCGTAAGTATAATAGCTATGTTCCTAGGTATTTTAACTATAGGAGACGAGGGTATTATATATCTAAGTGCTATAGCGACGGTGTGAAACTAGATATAAATAGCTAGATAGATAAGTAATTAAAAAAATGATTTACCTAGTGTTCCTTACTATGGTAGCACTAGGTATTAACCCTAAGAATAAGTAGATAATAGGTCTAGCACTAGCGGTAGAAGCGGAGATCTTTCTCGCGAAGAAGAGCAGTAGAATAGTGTTCACGCTAATAGACTATAGGGCGTAGAAGAGTTTCATTAGCCAGAGATAGGTAAAAGAGAACCTACTAGATACCCCCTCTAAACTAAGAATTATAGAGGCGATTAATGGGCATTAAATATAGTTATATAGAGCCTATAGAATCATACTTAAACTCGCTAATAGCGACGGAAATAAGAAGAAATATATAAGAATATTTAAAGTAGTTAATATATAAGGGTTTAACCTTATATTAGGATATAACTAGTTATAGCTAGACCTGGACAAAACCCGCGGGATTCCCACCGTGGGATA